ATGGCCGACGAGATGATAACACCAGTTCGCAAGGCTACGGTCGACGAGATGATAACATCAGCTCGCATGGTTCCAGTCGGCGAGATGATAACACCACTTCGCAAGGCTATGGTCGACGAGATGATAACACCACTTCGCAAGGCTACGGTCGACGAGATGATAACACCAGCTCACACGGCAGTGGCTACGATTCCCAACAGGCCTCATTTTCCGCTTCCGATAGGTACGAACGTCAAAATGAGTCCTCCTCTAGATATGGCCGTCAGGAACAATCTGGCTATGGCTCCGATAACTACGGACGTCAAAATGAGTCCTCCTCTGGATATGGCCGTCAGGAACAATCCGGCTATGGCTCCGATAACTACGGACGTCAAGAGCAATCAGGTTATGGCGGCTACGATGGTGCATCCGACTATCGACATCAACAACAAAGCTCTAGGCCTCGCAGATCTGAACAGGACAGACAAGGATACCGTTGACGGGAATAATGAGAGCGATGATGACGACAGGAGTGATAACAAGCAGAGACATGGCGTGGTTTCTTCCGGGCATGGCGTAGGAGGCCAATGGAGATACTGGGATGGGAGGCTGTTGAGTTCAGAGTGGTTACGGTGCTGACAGCCAGTATGAGACTTGCGATGGAGGCTATGGTGGCGGCTGACGTCGGGGCTGCTACAATCGGTCAGTTGATGGTTCCCATTACTGAGAAACGAGATTCAATCACGAGCGAAGAAAGTTGACATTGCCTGTTTAGAGGCTAGGAAAGGATGAACACTGAAATGCCATATGCTGATGCGGAAAAGTGGAGACAGCATACAAGCGCAAGGCATACGAGGAAATAGATGCTCCATGATAGACAACTTCAGGGCCATTTTTCTCAGGAGCTCGACGGGAACTATGAGCTTAAATAAAGGCACAAACATAGGATCACGTCTCCTATCTCTGCATCTACCTGAGCTTGACACTTCTGTGTAGGAGAATCCTCCTGGCCATCTGGAACCTCACCATCGTGGCTTGGACGAGGCAGCGATCCTAGCTGATAACGCTATTCAGCCTCGTCTGCCGCGGCGTTCGTCTCCCGAATCTGGAGAGTGTCTCCTGCGCTTTTCATCGCGGCGTCGTCCTCGAGGTGTCTCTGGCCTTTCCCAAGGTCTCGTCGAGTGGTGTTCCTCGAGTTCTCTTTCGCGCACACGCCCCTGTCGGGCCTCTGCAGGACTTATATCCCAGTCGTCAATACGACCGAGTCTCTCTACAGATTGTGTCTCTTGGTCGTTATGCCAAAAACCAGGTGGCAACCTTCCATGCTGAGATGATTCTCCAACAGTTCCCATTTCGCTCAGCATCCCGTCAAGATGGTCGTGACGATTTTCTCTTCCTTCTACTGTTCGCACAAGTTCATCTACTGTTCGCGCCAGTTCTTCCGCCCTACGCCCCGTTCCTTCCATTCCTCGCTCTGTACTCTGGCTCATCCCGTCGAGCATCGGGTCGACAGGTACCCGGCGATATACTGGAGGCTTTCCATCCGGAGTGTTGTCAGGCCCCCAGCCGAATTCGTCGCGTTTTGATATGGCTTCAGCATGAGTAATTCTGTACTCAGCTGCTTCCTCCATGCGTTCGATCGAATTCTCCACGTCTTGTTCCGTATACTGTCTTCGGCCCTTTGGTCGATGCTTCCAGCATTTCTGGTTCTTCATTGAAAATTCCTTTGGACCTGGTACAAAGTCTCTCATGTGGTGCCCTCCTTCCTTGATATAGTCTGTTGTGCTGAGGTTAGTGGACAGAAGAATGAGCCATCTAGACCCTTTTTCTCAATTTGCTCGGGCCAAAAGGGTAGAAATGGAACTTTGTACTCACCACATACCTCAACCCCTCCTCGATCTCGACATCCACATGCCCAGACTGCGATTCTAGTTTTACACATGGTAAAACTCTCAAGAGAACGAACGGTGTGTTCTGCGTAGTAAGAACAACGGGTTTGTGTAATTATAACTGGCTCACCTGCAGATAGCCGTTGTTTCTTCTTCTTTGTGGTAGAACTTGTGGCCTCGGGTACAGAAAGGATAGATCTCACGTTCATTAGTTAACTTGCAACTTATATACCGTGTCCCAGCAAACGAGCCCATGGCTCTGACTCAAACAACGGTCGCACAATGATTCGTGTTCCCCAGATCCGTCATGGTTGTGTGATGGCATGGATGGGAAAACACGCCAGTAAAGGCCAGATCCTGGGTTTGCTACTCGCTGGGGCAATTCTGGCCTTTGTCACATCCATTCTCCACTTCAGACGTATAAAACATAGAATATCGAGAACCGACCTTGTCTGTCCTTGTCACAGCCTTGGCCATGTGTTTGTCTGTGACAGTGATATAGGACCTCCTACCTAGCATATGGTGGACTATCGGTTTTGTGGTTCAACGTCACAGGGGCAATGCCCTTTCAACACCATTCTGGGCATCACGAATGTTGACTGTCCTGAGGCCTACTTGGATATGTGCCAATTTTGCCAAGAATAAAATATATGCAGCGAGTAGCAGCTGTAAATAACGCTAAGTCGCCTACAGAGCTCTAGAAATCACTCCTCTACACTTCTCTCCAGGGCACTCTCTCCAGGGCACTCTCGGATTCCAAGATTTCCTACAATAGGACACAAACCCCAATGTATACTACTCCGCTTCGCTCCGTAGGATGAGCAACAAGATGAGTGCTGACCTGCCCTTTGAATATCTGGGAGGCAGCATGAGGCCTACGTAGGGTCGAGGAACGTTCGTCCAGACTAGCCCTAGAAGTCATCTCCCTTGACTGGATCTCTGGAATCATCCGCATCATGACAATCTTGTGAGTGATTGACGTCACTTATGGTCACATCACATCCATCAGCATCTAGGCAAGTTGTCGACCACTTCTGTAAAGTCGCTACCTAATCCGCAGGCACGCATACTGTCAAAGATACAATGTATCTAGATTCCTGCAGCCTCGACTATGATGAGATCACCGGTCGGCAGGTCCTTCATCTTCCAAATCCGATCAAAAAGCGCACCCAATCAATCGGATTTATTGGAGTCGTGTCTCGGTGTTTCGGATTTTCGGGGCTATTCCACTTCTCTTCTTCCGCACAGTGATTGTCTCGTACGCTCCTTAATACTGAGAAAAGAGCTGTACGTAAGAAGCAGGGCCTCGGTGAGATGATACAGTAACCAAAGTCCGACATTGGACGACGCAGACCGCTGAGATGCCCGAAACAGAAGTCTGTAAATATTGGCCGCAGTGTGCATGGAGGTACAGATTCACCCTGAAGGAGCCCATGATCATCGTTTAAAGCCGTCTCAGTGCACACAATCCAAATATTTTGTACAGAGCATTTTGACGTTCGAGAAACTATCTGACGATGGGTTCTGTTTCATCGCCGACCAAGCTTGACGCCTTCAGTGGGTTTTACAACACCATCAACGGGAAGCTAACGGGCACAAAAACCACCCGACATGGAATCAATCCTGCCACAGGGAAACCAAACCCTGAAGTCCCTGTAGCCACTCGAGAGGATGTCGAAAATGCCGTGGTAGCAGCGAACGAAGCTTTTGAGACATGGTCGAAAACTCCGTGGGCGGATCGAAAGCAGGCTATTCTTGATTTTGCCGATGAGCTTGAGAAATATACCGATGACTTTGCGAATATGCTTACTCAAGAGCAAGGAAAGCCGGTAGAGACCTCTTCTCCCCCCCTCTGAAGTGGCTGTAAAGTCTGCTAATCAACCGTTCAGTTATCCAACGCGACCGACGAAGTTCAGGTTGGAGTTCAGTGGCTGAGAGAGCTGGCCAGCATCGAACTGAAGGAGACGATTATCGAGGAAACAAATGAAAAGAAGGTCATCACACGATATACTCCACTAGGTTTGGCAGTCGGCATCGTGCCATGGAATTTTCCAGTCCATCTCGCTTGCGGCAAAATCGCCCCAGCAGTACTTACCGGCAACCCGATCATCATCAAACCTTCGCCCTTCACCCCATACTGTGGACTGAAACTCGGCGAGCTGGCACAGAACTTCTTCCCACCGGGAGTTGTGCAAGTATTGAGTGGCGACGATAATCTCGGCCCATGGCTGACATCGCACCCTGGTCCGAAGAAGATCAGTTTCACGGGATCTACTGCGACTGGGAAGTTGGTCATGGCCAGTGCGTCAAAGACGCTGAAGCGAGTGACTCTGGAGTTGTATGTCGAGGTTCCGTCCCTTGCCGGGTGAGACAGTGGTTAATAAAAGCTGCAGGGGTGGAAATGATCCGGCGATTGTGACTGCAAATGTCGATATCAAGGAAACTGCTGCAAAGGTGATATCCATGAATGCATTGACGACGCATATACTGAGTTCAAGCAGATTGCAACTCTGGCCTTCTTGAATGCTGGACAGATATGCTTAGCTATCAAGCGGATTTATGTCCATCAATCCATCTTCAACGAGTTCCGTCAAGCCATCGTGGACTTCACCAGAGGACTCAAGATAGGAGATGGAAAAAGTGGCGATGTGTTCCTCGGTCCTGTTCAGAATTCGATGCAATTCGAAAAGGTCAAGACATTCTTTGCGGACATCGAGAAGGAGAAATGGTCAGTTGCTGTTGGTGGTCTTGGAGAGGAAAAACCAGGGTACTTCATTAACCCTACCATTATCGAGAAGCCGGCAGAAGACTCTCGGATCGTCACAGAGGAGCCTTTTGGTCCTATTGTTCCTCTCCTAGAGTGGAGCGATGAGGATGATGTTATTAGTCGGGCGAACAATACTCAGCAAGGTCTAGGCGCTTCCGTGTGGTCCAATGATTTAGACCAAGCGGAACGTATTGCGCGCCAACTCGAGGCTGGTAGTGTCTGGATCAATAACCATATCTCGCTTGATCCTCATACGCCATTTGGAGGTCACAAAGAGAGTGGTATTGGATATGAGTGGGGTGGTAAGTCTTTCAAGTCGATTCCTGTGATACAGTGTCTTTGCAAATACTGACAGATAACCAGTCGGAGGTCTTCAGTCCTATTGCAACATGCAAGCCCTCATTTTGGATAAGAGGACTACCTGATTGGGGTTGAGTATGATGCTACCCATAGCAAGGCCGCAATTCCAGACTGAGAATGCCCGTTGAAGGCGGTTAGGTCTGCTGTGGAATTCACGTGGGTTGAGAGTCGCCATCACACCAACAACGTGAAAATCATATGTAGAATGTGACTAGGCGGTAGAGACGAGAGACAATTAAAGAATATGAACACAAGCAGTCTTCATGTTTTGCCAGTTGAAGGGGAGTCTGTTTTCGATCCTGTGCTCCACCGTAAATGATAACCGCCAAAACCGTCATATGATCCGCAGTTGAGAAATGCCAAGATCGGCGTCGGTCAACCTCTTCCCCGCATGTCCGATGGCTCGAGAAATTTTGTGAATCTTTCTTCTAGAGCGCAGTCAGCGCAGCTCAAAACACTCGACGGAAAAGTCTATACGTCCGTGTCGACACAATCGTTCATGTCGATTAAGGCGAACGGAGCGCATAAGGCGCAACAGGCGGAGATGGACACTGCAACAACCCCCAGAAAAAGAAAGCATGATCATGAAGCCAAAGATTCTTCCAAAAAGAAGAAGAACAAGAAACAGCGGATAGAGGAGGATGCCAACGATACACCGCCACCGGCACAAGCATCACCAATCGAGACACCCAAGAAGAGCAAGAAGAAGAAGAAGAGAAGAGACAAAGCGGATGCAAGTCCTGGGTTGCAAGAAGAAATTGAACAAACCGACAAAGTGAACGGGGTTGAGGTGGATCAAGAGGAAGCAGTTGATGCAATCGAAGAAGACAGCAACCTCGAGCAAGATGTTTTGGAGAGTCCTCAGGTAGAGGAGATTCTCGCAGATCTACTCGAGTCGTCTGACCCCTCATCATTCTACTCTACGCGCCTGTCTCTCTATGTCTCGATACCTGCCATCGCCCTCGAATCGGCTAGCTCCTCAATTCTCGCAGCCCACCTGGCACCCCTCCTTCTCACATACTTTCCCCCTGCAAAAGGAATTGTCCTTGGATTTTCCGACCCTGTCCTTTCGGCCAAGCCAGATAGTTCGGCCAACCTGCCACTACTAGCTCCAGATTCTGCAGAGGTGCGCCCCGGGACCGAAGTTCTCGCACGAACAGCCGACGAGTTTGGCGTCTGTTGGACATGGCTCACCGTCACATTGTTGACATTTCGACCAGAGAGGGGAGATGAGTTATATGGATGGACCAATGTCACTTCGGAGGGATTTATTGGGCTGGTCAGTTACAACTATTTTCAGTCGGCCATCGGACAAAACCGAATACCTCAGGAATGGACGTGGAATGGGCCTCATAAAGGTCAGGGTGGAAAGGGGAGAAAAGGCAGAAAGGCTAGACTGCGGGATGAAGATGGAACGTCGAAAGAACAAGATATCGATATGTTGGACGAAGGTTCCCAACCTCAGGATCCTGCTGGCCCGACGGAGTCGACAGATGAAATCGGATTTTTCACAGACGAAACTGGGAACAAAGTGTCCAGCACGCTCACATACCGAGTACTTGACACTGAAGTGGTCCCCGGACACGATCGACACACCTGGTCACTCCAGATTGACGGAACCTTGTTGAACAAGGATGCTGAGCAAAAGGCGCTCGAAGAAGATCGGCTCAGGTTTGAGAGAATTCAACAGTCAGGTGCTCGACCCGAGATATCCGCAGTTGGCGCGTTCATGACGGGAGCGAGAGGTCTGAGCCGTGAAGGCAGTGTGACGTCGAGGCTATCTGCTCCTGCACAGACACCATCCAGGATCCGCAGTTGAATTGGTGACCACCGATGATTCTGAGCAAGATCCTAGAACCGTGGCCCATCATGTCTTCGTGGATGATAGCGTTGATCAATTAGGGATTCAAGGCGTCACTGGCGTTGAAGCAAATGGAAACATTTTTGGCTGGCACATGCATTCTGATTCCTTAGTCGCATTTCATTGGCTGGATCATGTTAACAATCAGTGGACATTCATTGGTCGACAGCCGGACGGAAACATCCGTGGGTGGTCCACCGACGGAACAATGACGCAAAGCATCCGGCGCGTCGTGGTCTCTCGACCGAGACTTTTGGAGAAGGTGCAACGATTAATTTGTCAGGGAACAATTCAGGACCAGGTAAACGTGCAGGACAGTAATGGGATGGGTCCATGACATGTTCTTCCGACCGAATATGAAGTCATGAGGATATCTATCGAAGATCAATGGCAGTTGAGGAGCCAGAGCGACCATAAGCAGCGAGCTTTGAGAGGCACCCCTCGCACCTGCCTCATTTGCTCCACGTGTATGACACGCTCTTTCCCAAGAAGTCGTCCCCCCCTTCGGTCCTGACGTGATAGACGATTTCCCAATTCTACCATCGCTCACTGCGCTACACTGCACTATTACCACCCATCCCACCTTTCTCCCCTCCTCTTTCGCTTTAATCGCTGTAATCATTATTCTCCTGGCCTCTTGTCCTCTTGTTCTCCGGTCCTCCTGTCCCTCACATTTCATGTCCTCAAAACTTACCCCGCGGTCGCTTATCCGTTTCCTGCAATCAAACCGTAGTCCACTAACACATCTTTATCCTCGGTCACCTACAAGTCGGCATTTGGTGCCTTCGCACAGATATAGCAAGGCTCAGTCTTCCCTGATCGTACCGTACTCATCTTCAAGGTCGTTCCATCAGACCTCTGTCATCATGGCCCAGGAATTCAAGTTAAAGTCCCCTTCCACTCTGTCAGATCTCAAGGAGCTCGACAAAGTCGAAGCAGAAGTAGAGGGTATCGAAGGTGGTAAGGTGTTGTTGGTCAAGGTCAATGGCAAAATCTCTGCTGTCAATGCCAATTGCACACATTACGGTGCGCCATTGAAGAACGGGGTCCTGACCCCGGAAGGGCGGTTGACATGTCCCTGGCATGGAGGTATGTCGAAATCCTGAAAGATGTCATTTGCGCTTAAAGTCTAGAACTCATGACTGACATGTTTGGCATCCTGCAGCATGTTTCAATGTCCACTCTGGCGATGTGGAAGACTCTCCAGGCCCAAATGCTCTCAATACCTTCAGCGTCGAGGAGAAGAATGGTGCAGTTTATATCAAAGGCAAAGAGGCGGATGTCAAGAAAGGAAGCAGACAAGTGAACATCAAGACCAAACCTACCTCAGATGACAAAGTGGTCATCGTCGGAGCGTAAGTCTCTCGAAAGTCATTCTGGATCCCCAACTGATCATCTTGCACAGAGGCTCAGGCACTTTCGGTGCTCTGCTTAAACTGCGTGAACGAGGCTATCCTGGCCAAATCACTGTCATCACCAATGAAGGTTTACCAATTGATCGGACCAAGCTATCCAAGGCTTTGATCACTGATGCTTCGAAAATCTACCTACAACCCGGAGAATGGTATGCTGATGGAAGCATCACTTTCGAAAATGATACCGCCACAGCAATCGATTTCTCCTCCAAGGAGGTCAAGACCAAGACTGGCAAATCTTATCCATATACGAAATTGATTCTTGCCACTGGTGGGACCCCGAGACAACTGCCATTACCTGGTTTCAAAGATCTGTCCAACATTTTCCTTCTCCGACAAGTCAGCGACACCCAAAAAATCATGGATGCTGTTGGCGACAAGGGCAAGAAGATTGTCGTTGTTGGATCTAGCTTCATTGGCATGGAGGTCGCCAATGCTCTAGCAAAGGAGAATTCGGTATCCATCGTTGGTATGGAAGCGGCTCCTCTGGAACGAGTCATGGGCAAGGAAGTCGGTCAAATTTTCCAAAAGGCTCTCGAGAAGAATGGAGCTAAATTTTACCTGAACGCAAGTGTTGATTCCGCTGTCCCCGCATCCAAAGTCGCCAATGCGGTAGGCTTGAGCTCAGTGGGAGCAGTCAAGCTCAAGGATGGGACCGAGCTGGAGGCTGACCTGGTCATACTCGGCATCGGGGTTGCCCCAGCCACGGAATACCTCAAAGACAACTCGTCCATTACGTTGGAAAAGGATGGAAGCATAGCGGTGGACGAGCAATTTTCAGTCAAGGGACTTTCGGATGTGTGGGCAATTGGAGACATTGCCACCTATCCCTACCATGGTCCTGGTGGAGGGGGCAATCCAGTGAGGATCGAGCATTGGAACGTGGCTCAGAACCAGGGACGAAGTGTAGGCCAACAGATCGCCCAACCTGGCAGCAAGCAGAAGCCATTTATTCCCATCTTCTGGTCAGCACTGGGAACACAATTGCGCTATTGCGGAAACACCGTGGGAGGCTACGATGATATGATTTTGAAAGGGGAGCCGGAGAACAGCAAGTTTGTTGCGTACTACACCAAAGGGGATGAGGTTGTCGCGGTTGCCAGCATGCAACAAGACCCGGTAGTGATGAAGACGGCGGAGTTGATGCGGAAGGGCAAGATGTTGAGCAAGCAGGACATCCAGGGAGATGGCGATGTGTTGCAAGCGAATTTATGAGTTCAATCTAGGCGGTAAAATAAGGGGCAATGATGCATGCGAAAAGCGCGAGTCACAATCAAGAGTATGACTTGTTTCCAGCTCGACCACTGTCTTTGAGTTGAAATTGATGCGGGTGATGACCCCTTAAGACTTTAGATGGGCTGTAGAAGTGGCTACAGCTGATAGAGGTAGGCTGGACAGAGTGGGCTTGAGGTTGGCGGCGACTATGCCTCCAATCACGCCAGTGATTATGTCTAGGAACAACGGAGGAGATTCATTTGTAGAGTAACTTTGTAGAAATCCAGTCAATTATTTCTGCCTGTTGATAAAAGTTGAACCAAACTACTTACTTAGCACTTGCGCCCAGCCAAGGATCTGATACACGTCTGTGCCAGCAATGCCCTGTTTCAGAATTGCTGCATAGCCACAATCCTGATGGCCAGAGGGAGCCACGAGTTCACTGTAAGTGGAATGGTGAATAGATAGGGACGCCATCGATTCGTATGATTACTATATATTCGATGTGGTCGGGAGGGTCATGTACCGAATTTACACTTACAGTTGCATGGACATTCTAGCGAGTCTAATTGCCTTGGAAGAATTATCGTGGACCAATGGATCTCGTCAATTGGTGGATGCTCATGTGCTGCTGGTGCTGCGACAGGAGAAGTGACGAAGAGAAGGAATACGATGCCGCACAGAAGGAAAGGGAAAGGGACCAGGCACAGGCGGCGGCGAATACCAAGGAGAAGACTGATGACGATGAGACGATTGTCACAGCACCAACACCAGTCCAACCTCCTCGACTATTCCACGCTCCAAAATTGGAAACGGAGCCTCAACAGAACCCACAGACATAGAGGCGAGGACAGGACAAGACAGGACAGGGACGCCGAAGCAAGGAGAAATCTAAAAGGCAAACGACTATTTCTCATTGAAACTGCCACCGGGAGGCTCCTCCTCATAAGCCTCAACGCCTTCTGGAATATCGACAACGGCCGACTTTGTCCAGATATGAATGGCCGACCGCATCATGTCCTTGTTGAGGCCAGTCAAGCAACCCGCCTTCACACTGAGCATCTTGGCTGGTTGACCCTCGGCGATATAATCGGCATGAATCAACCGCGAACCACAGTTGGTACAGAAATACCCCACGGTACGATAGTGAGAATTGGGCCGGCTGTAGATGCCAATGGCTCCTGGATGGGGAGGAGTGATCTCAAAGTAGGGGAAGATGGCTGTCATGCCGTATGTTGACGATGATTGGTGTCGACACTCGGTGCAGTGGCAGATATACAACGCCTGTGGTTGTGGTGTCGGTGTCGTGAACCGGATTTGTCCACATTGGCATCGTCCTTCCATCTTGGGACTGGGATTGTCAACGAGAAGAGAGGAGACTTCTCACAGGGTTGATGGTGAGTTGAGTCTTGCAGTCTGATGCTGGTAGAGGGAAGATGGTGGACTGTAATAAGAGCGGGGAAAGGGAAAGGAACAGGGAGGGTCCTTCCCTTGCAGGGACATCATATCACGTGAGTGTTGCCTATTTTAATCCTAGACAAGGAAGGTGCCCCTGTGGCTGTGGAGACAAACCTTGAGAACTGGACATGAACCACCAAGTCCGCCGTCAGCTGTCATTGTCGGATAGAAAGGAGACATGCATAAGGTACTTTGTTGACACCCAGACAGGCTGACCGATGTCGTACATGACTGCGGCTGCACGTCTGTCACTGTTTATGACAGGTTGATAAAAAGACACATCTGCAATAATCCTCAATATGTGACGACTTTCTAGGAAATCTTTTTCTGTAGACAATCGTACCTGCCCCCAAACTTGGGAAAACTTCTTATTATTTCATAGGGAAAGAGCAAGGGGGGAATTCTGGAACTGGTGGATGCCTGGAGAATTTATGGCCACTGACCAACCAGAAGCCATATCTCGCAACAAGGGTGGACCGACTAACCCCAATCAGTCTTCTGGAGATTAATCTTCATGTGAGAGTCTCCTGAACTTCCCCTCCACCACAACCACCAGAGCTCGGCAATTTCATCCTCGTCGCAATTCACAATGTCAAAGCCACACAATGGAATCCTCGCGTGCCTCGAAAGTGAGGTCGCAGTGCGCCTTCAATCTTCTCTCTTCCGAAGCAAAAGCCAATCGATCACGTCCAGAAACAAGCAACCATCGATCGACCAGGACCGCAGAAACCCCTGCTCCAAGTCCAGGCGTGCTAGATGTTTGTCAAAGTTTGACCATATATAGGAAAACCACACCACCAAATCTCATGGCTCCAACTCCATGGCTGGTCCAGACCCACTCGATCACCAACCTAAGATAACACCTTGATTGCGTGTGATAAAGCCCCCAGTACAAACCACAAAGCATCCTTGAAACGCCAAGAGCCCCTGTCCATGCTACCACTCCCGAGTCCACAGTTATTCATCAATGTCTACCAAGTATTCTGATGACCAGGAAGTGTCCTTCTCACTGTACTGAAAATACATGCTGGTCGTAAAACCAAGACCAAGAGAGGGACTTGTCCTATTGAGAATGGATCAACAATGACAGAAAGCAAAACCTATATCGCCATCACTGTCTCGACTCAAGGTTGAAACCTTGATCCCCTGGGACCATGTTGTCCATCTTCCTGTTTGTGGCTATTTGCTTGTACGCAATCCCCGCCTGGTCGCAAGATGTCGCACGACCAAGCAACACATCGCTGCAATGGGGTCCATATCGCCCCAACGTATACTTTGGGGTTCGACCTAGGATCCCAGACTCACTCTTGATGGGATTGATGTGGTCCAATGCCGATCAAGCCTCCTACAATGGAATTGCCAAAAGTAAGTCCTCAATAGCCCGGTCGATCGAGGTCGACCACTCGTCCTTTCGTCTTCTCACCGATTCCTCAAGATTTCAGGCATTCGTGCGACCAAGACGATGGAGCTGTCAGATATGAATGGATCCAATACGATGCTCGTAAAGGTGGAATCCAAGTCATGAATGATACAGCCAACCATCTTGACCTGATCACCCAATTTGCAAAAGGTCCAGAGGCCCAGGCTCCTGGAAGCTGGGGCCTCAAGGTGCATGGATTTAAACGACCTGGTGCTCGTCGTCGGCAAAAGACAACCCTTGTCTTTTATATCGCTGGCGAGAATAAAGCATCCAAAATCAAGTGTAAGAACACTGGCAGGGAAGGCATTATTTGCAAAGGCAGAACCCCGGGCGTAGGAAAATTCACCATCAGACTTCCAGCAGCCTCCGTCATCAGCACAACATCTCGCAAGGTGTCGGTGTACAGCATGAAAGTAGCCATCGACTCGGTCTGGCAGGCAAAGACCATTTTTCTCAAAAGTCTCAAAAAGAACAAGGCTGGTGGAGGCATGATCTCCAATCGACCAGGACTGGGCAATCTCCATTTTATCCAGCTGATGTTGGACGGTGATTTCGCCTTTGACCTCACCTTCACTTCTGGAAAAGACCCCGACATGATCAATCCAAACTCCTTGATTGGGGCAGTTGCCGATGCTCGATACACCTTCCAGTCCCGGTTTGAATCAACCTTCTCTCCAGCGACCCCGTTCACCAACATCGAACACGTCCACTTCTCCCAGAGCCTACTGTCGAACCTGCTCGGGAGCCTTGGGTATTTCGACGGCACCTTCACAGTCAACACGGAAGAGGCATCTTCAAACAAACAAGACGCGACCCCAAAATACTGGAATGACGCACTCGCCAAGTTCTCAGAAGCCCGTATCGAAGAACGCGGACCACACACCCTATTCAGTGCTGTACCCTCGAGAACTGCTTTCGCCCGCGGCTTTCTGTTCGACGAAGGGTTTCACCTCTTAACTATCCTCGACTGGGATCTGGACATGGGAGTGGAAATGATCACAAGCTGGCTGAATCTCATAGACGAGCGGGGCTGGATACCACGAGAGATGATTCTTGGCAAGGAAGGTCGCAACCGAGTGCCTCCTGAATTGCAGACGCAGAATCCGCACCTCAGCGCGCCGCCAACCATGTTTCTGGCCATTCAGAGTCTCCTCGACAAGCTGAAAGGCACAGTGCCCTATGATGGAATGCCCAGCCGACACCACCTGTCAAGGGATCTGGGAAAGGCGTACCTAAAATCCATCTATCCCAAGCTCAAACTTCACTATTCATGGTTCCGCCAGATCAATGCGGGCCACCCTGGTCAACCAGCGATGCCGGCGTCGCTGTCGCCTGAAACCTACCGGTGGCAGTTCAGGACTCGGGAATTTGCCATCTCGAGCGGCCTGGCCGACTACCCTCGTCTCGAGCCTCCATCGACAGACGAGCTGCACGTCGACGCCTTAGCCTGGGTCGGCCTCATGGCGAGGACGCTCGAATCAGTAGCGACCTATCTCTCAGATGCAGAGGGACAGGAAATCTTCTCAAAACAATCAAGCGACATTCTGCAGAGTCTCGACAAGATCCATTGGTCAGAGAAACAGCAAATGTACTGCGACACCAAAATGAGCGTCGGTCGCAACGGCTATGGAGGAGAGAAAGAGATCGAACACATTTGCCATCGTGGATACGTTTCCATTATGCCATTCCTCCTGGGCCTGCTCCCAGCCAAACATCCCCATCTGGGAGCAGTATTGGACATGATGCGGCAGCCGAGCGAGCTGTGGACGTCTCACGGGCTGCGCAGCCTGTCTCCTCGAGACAGCTACTACTCCAAGGGCACCAACATCTATCGGGGTCCGATTTGGGTGCATTTCAACTATCTGGCAATCAAGCAGCTACTGACAGTCGCACAAGAGTCCGGACCGCGCCAGAAGCGCGCCCGCGACATGTACGCCGCTCTGAGGGTCGGCCTGGTCGACTCCGTCTACCGCACCTACGCCGAGTCTGGCTGGCTGTGGGAGCAATACCATCCCGACACGGCCAAGGGCATGCGCGCTCGCGGCTTCGTCGGCTGGAACTCTCTCCTGGTGAAAATCATGGCCATGCCCGACCTCCGATCCGCATCCGCCTCTCGCGTCGATGCCCTCGACTATGCCTCCCTTCCTGGTACTGGCGACGATAGCCACCTCTTCCCCTTGATTGCTATTTCAACCCTCTTTCTCGCAACGTATGTCAACAGGCGTAAGGTTCTGGTTCTCTTGCACAGATTACTCAGGAAATAAAGTCGGTAAACCACGGGCGTTCTTTTTGGGGGGGGGGGGGGTCTGGTTTGGCATCTGCTTGTCATCGCTCGAATTCTCAACCTTGTATGAATATATATATGTGTACTAAGGAGGGAAGGTGTTTAGGGTTAAGAGGTGACGTGACGATTGATATAGATAGATACGTTGAATTGGATGATTCATGAGGATTATGACTACCCGTTCTCTCTCTCTCTCTCACACACACACACAAAAATCTATATGACATGCATGACATTGTCTAGTTTGATGTTTCCCGCTCATGCAACGGGATATATCATGACAGCGTGATACTGGTATTCTCTTGATTATATTATGTCCCACTAGGAATCTATACACAGACCTGGAGTGGCATTAAATAACAAATTATGTTCAGGCGACCTGGGCCCATGCTATACAAATCGAACGCTCTCCAGAAGATTTGTTCAGTCGCTGCAGTTCATTGTACTGGTTTGTTCAAAAACGCGATATGTTCAGCCATCGTTCCACATAAAAGTGGGACATGGAGATGAATCTGTAAAACAAAAAGCGTTCGCTCGCCTTGCTCATTCATGACTTTGGTCAGATTCAGCAAGGATTTCTTTCAAGCCCACCTCGTCCATCATCTTGACTTCCACACCATTCAATGGTGGTTTCCGTATCGTTCTGAAGCCAGGTATTGTCCCGGGCTGATTGATCCCCGGGCTTCGACTGCCAAACATCATTGACAATGGATCCCCGGGTGGAGGTGGTCGTGCTTCGTCTTGAGCCCGAGCCTGAGCACGCAAATCGCCACTCGATTTCACAGGCGTGACACCCCATTTGCTCCGAACCCATCCCCCAACCATACGGCCGAATCCACCAGTCGCTGCTTGAGGTTGAGCCTGCGAAGGAACCGGCAGTCCCGCAAGTCCACTCAAGGCCTCTACGCTCATGCTGGTAGTCCGACTGGGTGTTCGCGGTGGGCCATTCGAAGCATTCTCACCACCTTCATCTCCTGTACCTAATGACCTCGCCGTGCTCAGTGCTGTAAACTCTGTCACAGTAGCAAGTGGCTGCGCAGCCGAAAAGGATCTTGCCGCAGACGGAGACCTTGCAAAATATGCTCTGTTGCCTTTCAAAAGGCTCGAGGCTTGTGATGTCGACGTCGACGGGCGCTTGGCAATGTGAATGTCCATTCCAGATATGGATACTAACGAGTCGTGCGATCCTCTCCTCCGAAGGCCCGGTCGACTGTGCATGTCGAGTACGTTGTTGAAGTCGTATTCTTCTTCAAGTGGCTGCGATAGGGATATTGAAGGCTCTGTGTCCACATTATCGGTCGAATCTCTGGTGGACGTCTCATCATGAACAAGCGGTAGATCAGGAGGTTCACGCTCCTCGAGGCTAGGTATTGACAGGTCTTCGTTCGGGTTCGCCTCGGGGTGATGTGTGGTGCTACCCGGAGAAGCCTCATCCTTATCTACCAGTATTTGTGACGGTTTAGGAGTCAAATCGGTTGACCATATATCAGCAACACGGTCTTGCTCGGCCTTGTCGTCGTCAGAGACGTGCGACAGTGGCTTTGCGTCAGTTTCATTTTGGTTGAAGTCACGTTCGGGTATTTCGGCCAGATCATCATCGAAATCGTCATCAAATTTGGACTCGCGCCTCCTAGAGCTCATGTCGTCGGCGGCGGACTCGGGGCTGGTTGGTCGGGAAGAATCGTCACCAGCTTCAAGCCTATCAAATATGGTGCTGCTGCGATCGTAATATGATCTGGGAGAACTGGGGAAACTGGACATCTGAGAAGTGCCAGTTGCGGCCGATTGTACCGACCATCGATTCCTCCTTGGGTGCGGCTGTTGTAGAGTGATGGGATAGACGGGGCTTGAGACAAGACGACTCGCACCTGCCATCGGTGTCGTTGGGGAAGATGATTCTGGTGTTGAGGGCAACATGCTCAGACCGATAGAAGCACGTTTTCTGGAGGCTCTGCGGATGTTAGGAGTGCGATCCTTCTTCCCTGCTATCTTGGCGTGATAATGGTGATGGACATGGACTTCTTGTTGCACTTGTTTGGGAGAAGCCCAAGACAACTGTTCGCTCAATGGGCGGGATCTCGCGCCGTCAGTTTGAGATGGCTCCAAGTCGACAGGTTGGTGCTGGAGAATCTGTTCTCTCAGGTTTTGGACTTCTTCATTCGAAGTTTGCAAAAGCTCGCGCAATTCGGCAATACCGGCTTGGAGATTAGCATTATCTTGAAGGATGTCGCGAACGAAATGGCTGACGACATTGGAGCCCGTTGCATTAGTGGTGATGCCTTGGATGGCAGCGGCGCCTTTCAGACGAGCCTCTGCGCCCCCCAGCTCTCTCTCAAGGACTCGCTCCCTCTCCAGTCGAGCAATGATTTCTTCATGACGTTCTCGATCCTGCTTGGCTTCCCATTCGACCTTCTGTAATTCGATCTCGAGTTGTCTGAGCTTCATCTCGCTTTCCCTCCACCTCTTAATGGTGCTCTTCGTTTCCTTATTGGAGTCCTCGACAGTGCGCGACAAGACCATTCGTTCCTTTTCCATGTCCATCATCTGTAGTTCTAGCTCTTCGGTGCGGCGGGTAAGGATGCTGAGTCTGCGAACTTCGACCTCGCAGTCCTTGAGGAGGGCTTCGAGGCTTTTGACATGACTATCGCTGTCCTTGAGAGAGGTATTGACAGTCTCCAGGCGGGTGAGCAATTGACGGTTCTCCTCGACAATCTTCTCATTCGTGGACTGTAGGTTTGTGCGCTCATTCTCGAGTTCATTGATGTAGGTGGTGAGTCGCTCATGTTCGAGCTGTGAGTCAGTAACATATGTTTCGTGTCGATTGAGGAGGGCCTGCAGAGCGAAGGTTAGCCCACCACCGATTTCACTTTCGTTGGGATTGTTGCCGGCCGGCGCAGGACGAGGATCCATCTTATGGCATGCGTTCGTTGAAGGATGGTCGCATAAGATAGATGTGCCTCCCCGGCAGCTCTGCAGCACAGGGTCCGCAGAAGTCGCAGAGGAAAATGCTTGCTTGAAAGAAAAGTTGGGCAGCTCCTTCCTCGGATGAGAGCCGGAGCAGCAGCCACCCTGAAGAGATTGGAAGCAAAGAAGGAATTACGTGCACGTACCTGGCCAAGTCTGGCCGCAGTTTCGAGGTCTCGTTCGATGCCACCTAGAAGAGTATTGTTGTTCTCGAGATAGACACATTCTGGTCGGCCACAGCAACAACGTAATTTCGAGTCCAGGTCTGACAGCCCATGGTCATTGGTGCGTGTCATGATGGTGTCGTCAGATTGGAGAGTGTCCCACTGGTCATGGCGCGGGCGCTGGTCAAGGCTCTGAGAGGTGGGAGAGGTGGGGTTGTCATTGTTTGCGTGGCAGAAGGCCTGGTAGCGGGCCGCAGTGACATTGAACGGCGGAGACATGATGAAGACGATGACATTTCGGAGATGCGAGGTATATAAAATGGAGATTCGCAGGCTGATGAGAGGTGTTGAGAGTGAAGGAAGGATGGATCGATTGATTGTATGTACGGAGTACGCGTTCAACCAACGCATCGAAAAGATGGGCTGGGGAGTTGACGAGTGGCCCATGGCCCACGGGCCTTGTTGAGGGTGACGGAATGGCTCTTGGGGGCCCAATAGCTTGGAGCCACTCCGCCAATGTCGCCTAATGATTGACCAGGGATTGCGCTTGTTGTGCCTGATTCTGGTCCCCCGGTTCAGTCTTTGGGTGCCAGGGCTTCTGCTTCTCGGTCAGCCGACTTTCCTCTTGCCAGTTCCCTGTTCCTGGCGCCTCGGAACCTTGGCCCCTGGCTCTTAAAAGCGCCAAGATACTAATCAGCCAATTAAACTATTAAACTCTGAGACTATGTTGTTTTAGGCATGGTGTCTCCCCCATTATTCCACGTGAGTATCAACATAATCTACGGAGTACGGAGTACGAGTACATATTCGTGTACACATGACAGTCCACATCTCCAAGTACAAAACATTCTACATATGCATGTACATAGTTCTGCCCTTTCGTATTGAGTCTACACCGCACACTGATCCTGTCCATCCTCGTTCGCCACAGACATTGATTGGTTTATGTTGGGGTCAGTGTCACATGTGGACGGACAGGTCAGCGTCGTGACGTTGACGGCGTGACTAGAGTCCTGGCAGTGAATCGTAATAATACACATTGCACTCCAAGCAAAGCTGTGTCGTGTTTGAAAAGCCATGTTCAAGAATGTCGTAATATCATCAAGTTTGTGATCTATCTAGACCGTCCTAGTCGGTACTCGGCGGCACTGACCTTTCTGACCTTCTGACCAACGCTCGCCGAACGGCCTCCCGAACCTCAGGATGATTGCGTAGAGCGCCAGCTACGAGCGAATCTCTCATCCCCGCTCGCAAAACTTCCCTATGTTCGGACGCTCCTCTGAAGGGACCAAGACCTGACTGAACAAGACTTGCAGACTCTCCATCTACCCTATCGACAATTTGAGATAGGTGGATGATCTGCTGCTGGCTCTGCAAATCGCCCAACGCAGCATTCCTGTGCGATGGAGGGGCAAGCTGCGAGATGAAGATGTTCAGAGACATGGACATACGCCTAGCCAGCTCCAAGATCTGAAAGGGTAACAGCTGTGGCGGAAACAATTGTGGTGCGGCGTTTTGAGCGAGAGATGCCCATAGAAGGACCAGCTTCGGAGGTTCCCAGGTATGTGTGAGGAAGTAGAGCTCGAGAAAGGCCATGGTGGCGATGGCACAGTAGCGCCAAAATTGTCCCCATTTGGGCAGCCAAACGTAGTTCATGATAACCAGTATCACCGCACTCATGATATACTCTGGGATTTTGGATTGAAGCCCAGCATAGACATAATCTCTCATCGTCTTGAGACCTGGCCGTTGTACCTGCACGACGCTGGGACCAAAGCGGTCATAGGCAAATCTTTTTGCTGGATCCAGTATCGTGTCGTGCGCCAGCTTGATTTGCACAAAGATCTCGTCTGCGCCCGGAAACGACCTTCCATTCTCATGCAGCTTGTCCGGATGATATTTTGCAGCCAATCGTCGAAACCGACTCTTCACTTCTTTCTCCGTTGACCACGGCGTGGCGCCGAGCGTGCTGTAGAAATCCCCGGCAAGCCTGATGTCATATAAGGCCTGGGTCAGGGTGTAGACTAAATACAGACACAAAACAAAGATTCGGATTCGACGGTTGTGCTGAGCAAACGCGGGCTCGCCCGGCTGTGGGTGTCTCTGGCCAGCCCGAACGGTCAACCGATAATATGTCGATTGCAAAATGGCGGTGGCAAACTAGAAGTAAGCATTAGTCTTGCTTGCCCAATATCATCGGTGAGAGACAGTTGACGGTCGTACATTTGGTAGAACCGCCCACCCGGCCAGGGAGAACGCCTGCGTCACCACTCCGTCCGCCATAGAGTCACAGCGTGTGAGGGTGTGGCCTGGTACCAGTCGCAAGGTCCTAGGTTGATTCAAGTCATCTGCTTGTGACTATGCTGATTGACTGGCATTTGTTGCTGTTTGTTGTCGTTGTCTGCACGAGGTTCGGGTTCAGGGAGGCATGAGGCGCCAGTGGCATTGTTGTCATTTGACCGTCAGACGCCCTTTTTGGCCCCCAATGTCCCCGTCGCGCCTTCCTCAAAATCCAACCAAATGGCAGACACGTACCTTCCCTCAACCATCAATCCACGTGGAAAGAATTTTCACTGTTCTCTGCTCTCCCTGCGCTCTCTCCTATCATCTTGTGTTCTTTTGACATCTCCTCTCAAAACAATGTAGCAGCTATTTGACCGCTCAAAGCATTTCAAGCCCTCGTATCAGAATAGACTCGCAGGACTAAAATCGACATCGTTGCATTTGCGATACCTTGTTTGGGCCCACTGCAGGGTACAGATGCTCGACTTGCTTGGGATTCGATAGTCCTCAGGGCCGCTTTGAGACACGCGGCGAAGTCGCCATCTCATCCACATGAGTCCAAAGGTGTCTGTCTCAAGAGCACATCGGCTTGTACCACCTCAAAAATCACCAGTCATTCTGGAGCTCCATACCCGATATCCTGCGGTCTCGGCCGAAATGGTGGCATTGCACTGAGCAAAGGCAACATCCTTCCTCGAAGACAACTTACCATCGTACAGCCGACTCTTGGCCCCTGCGGAGCCTTGGGGAGTAGCCCGGAAACACCCTTTCACACAGGTGGTTTATCAGAAGGCCAACTCAGAGCCAGTTGGGCCGGAAAACCTCTGCAACGGTCAACAGTCCAGCCACTGCACACACATCCTCAGAGTGTTCAGCAGCATTTTTTTTGGTCTAGGTTTGATCTATCTCTTTCTACGCACCTTTTTCTGTTTTCTGCGCAGCAAGTCTTCCCGAACACTAGACACCGACACCATCATCCATGTACAGTCTGTCACACAGCCTACGTCGCTCCTGAGATCAGACCAACCCAACCATGTTTCAGCTTTCAAATGGCGTCTAATGCCGCATCAAAAGTATGGTCCTGATATATTGGTCACTCTCAATCATGGATCTGTATCGTTGCTGGCCCTGTTTGAATTTATCGAATCCTCGCCCTGGTTACAATGGAAACCTAGCATCACCATTCCGTTCGCGAGTCAGAAGAAGCTTTCTGAAAAGGACTAGCCAGTCTTCTGCCCCTGCACTTACCCTTCATGCTTGTTACCTTCCCCAAGTCATACAGAAATCCCCCGGTGTTAAACCTTCATCCTGCCACGAACCGCCTTCCTCTTCACCTTCCACCCGTTTCGATGACAGGTCTATCCGACTGCATTGACTCGGTGTGGTAGTCTTGATATCCCACATTAAATCTACCTACCAAGCACGCAAGTCCACGCGACTTGCAATCTCACAATTCGAGACATCGTATGGCCTTGGGCATTCCGCCTTGTCATTTGATCCCATGGTCAGCTTTCTTAAATTCCCGTTGACCACCTGGGACGTCATGGACGCGGTCTACTACAAATCAGTTTCCCAAAACTTGCAACAACAACTCTGCCTCTTTCTCCTGCCGTTTGAGGACCGTTGCCAACACCATGTCTTAACAGTGTGCATGTTAGGATTGTGGCGTGTCAGGTGCTTGCATGGGGGCCATGTCCTGGCCATGTCACGCATCTGTATCACCACAGGTCAAGTCTAGCCTTGATTCTGATTTGTCAATGTATCTGCAGGAGAATTCTGATGGACGAAGTTAATCCTGTTGACATCTCTGTCCCACCACCATTTTGGTAGCGTTCTTAGGACTGATCGCCCGACGCTGATCAGGGGCTGACTGACCACACCCAAATCAAGCCCGGCTGCGCATGCTGCACCAGTTATTCTTCACGGATCTTGTTGCTGGATGGATCAGCTCACCACCAATGAGATGCACTTGTCACCACCTTTTGACTTGCTAGCACATTGGTGAGATCATTCAACAGTTAGCCTGCGACTCAGCTTACAACGAGGTATGTCTGTATGAGCCTCTATACCCCTCTCCCTGCCTCTTGTAGCCAAGGTCAGCCTTCTAAAGTTATCCTGTTCCATCTCGCGGAGAATAATATTCTGCTGAATCAAGTCTTCCGGACTATGAACCAACTCCTCGATCACTTTCAGCACCAGTATGATTTAGCGGGGATTGAAAGATCTGCAGATGGTGAGTTTGCTATGAGACGGATGTTGCATATGCCACGTTGGGAATGATCAAAAGCAACCAATCATGACCTTTATAGGTAAGTAACAAACAGAGCCCCAGCCCGGATTTCGAATTCATGATGGGGCCCTTGGACGAGGCCGGGTGTCGTACGTACAACTAGAGCCGCCTCCTGAAATGTCCTCCTCTGCCTCCACCTCGAGATATGCTTGTCAAGGAGGAGCTTGGCCGTAGCCTGGCTTGTTCCCCCACACGCAACATGCCGGCGCTGCATGAAAAGATGAATAACACTCACCTTGCCAGCATGAATACGAAAGACAGGGTGGTTGATACAAGCTGCTGAGAATCATTGGACAGGACCAGTCGGAACTGTTCCACAGCTGAGAGAGTCCAAGTAGGTAAAGGCTGAAGCGGGCGACTGGTCAACCAAGACTTTGGCCATTGAATCAGGTTGTTGTTCTCGACCAAGCATCATCGTCACACCTACGGGAGGCCGCATCATGCCCGTCACAGAAATCTTGCCACCAGATTACAAGACGGACTATGGCAGAGGAGAGGCATCCTGACATGACAAGAAGCTATCGCATGATCTGGATCCATGTATGCCTTCTGGTCATTGCCAATTCTGTTGCAACCCTGTGTGGAGTGGCTGCGTGTTTCTGGAGATACTACTCTGCTTGATCCCTGGCTTTTTCTATTCTCCGAACTCTTCTCATTGCTCGTCCTGGTTTTGATCAATCGTTTTGTCAACACCGCCAGCCTGATTGCTATGATCTGGTCGCTTGGTGTTTTGTGCTGGACCACAACGCCTCCGACTTGCCTTGATTTCAACTTTCTCTGCAAGTAAAGGCAGCTTTCTGTCACCATGGTCAGCCATTACCGCTCCTTGTTTTGTCCACAGCACTGATTCTGCTAGCTCTCGGCGAGACACTTTTATGGCTCCAACATTGAATTTCTCCGACGTAATGAACGAGGTGGCAATTATATGCCATTAAGTCAGGGCACACACTTTCACGAGCAGTATGAAACGAATGCTCACCTTCGGGAACGAACCACTCCATCCTCTGAGCCGGACTCCAGAGGCACGCCCACCCCTAGGAAAAGAGTCCCTGTTGCAGTACGTCTGAGTCTTACCACATTCTGGCCAAGTTCCCCTTCGGTCCACTAACGGCTCAAGTGCGAGAGGTGCCGCAAGCGGAAGATCAAATGCAGTGGCAATGAGGGCGAAAGCGGGAGCTGTGTGAACTGCAAGAATGCTGGCCAATCCGAACAATGCAAGTTCATGAGAGTAGGTGTCCAAACTGGCTCCAGGCTTTCTGTTCGCACATTGACCTGATAGGTACAATCTTACGAAGCAGCCGCGCTTCACCTACGAACATGGCCAGCACAGCAACAGCAGCATCATCATCGTTACTCCCCTTATTCGCACCCATTGCGCTATACACCAGTTCCGGCGGCGCGATACAGTCCCTCAAACTCTATGCCCTTTCCCAGTGTCAATAGCCCAGTGGATTATGGTGGATATGGTGCGTCTAGTCCGAATGTCGAGTGGTCGAGAGCACCTTACGTGAATCAATATGCTCCATTCGGCGAGGAGGACGATAACAATCTCTACTCGACCCAGCCGCCACCTTACATCCTGCCAAATACTGATCCTATGACCATCAGTGCTAGCAGCGCCTGCTATGCCAACAGTTATGTTGTTCGCCAACAGTCAGGCTCCCTGTGGCCCGACACCCAGCAATCCCTTTCCCAACAGGCCTCTCAAATGTCAAACCAGACATACGCAGTGCCCAGCGACGCTTCACAGTCTCCTTTACAAGCCTTAGGTATCACTTCCAATCGCACGGCTGAGAGAACCTTGCCTGCACCAACTGTCCGAGCTTCGGCGTATATGCCTGCCCCAGTTACAAACATAGACGCAAGCCTTCTCACGAGCTCAACCGATCGACAATCCACTTCCTGGAGTCATGATACTTCGACAACACCACCCCTCTTATCGAGCCAGCTGGAAACCGCCAATGGCCAGGATCATGTGAGCGAGAGAAGAAGTGCAGCATACAGATTGCAAGAATTGGCATATGGCCACATTCCCATGTGTGACAATATGTCCGCCACTGGCCTGCAAAGCCACACCCCAGGAACTCTCCATGAAGAGACTAACCCATCGGTGGAACCCCCATCTCAAGGTTCATCGCAAACATGCCGGCGAACATTTTCACACGACAGCCCGAGATCGGGGACAGACAATGCGACTGCGAGCTATGGTTACACCAATGGGCTAGCAGGTCGCAATTTGCAGATGAGGAGCTCTTCAGGTCATCTCTCAAACGGGGTGCTGTACTGTCGTACACAACCACCCGTGTCACGACGAGAATCGGCGCCGGGCGATTGCAGCCCTGGTACTGTCACCAGTGTTGATTGCTCCAACTGCCCTACCGAGTCTGCGAGATCCTCAGTTACATCTATCAGCAACTCTTCTTCTGGATTCTAGATCATTTTCGATCACAACCCTGCATTATCTGTCACCCTTTTTCTCTCCTATTCTTGTTTCTTCAGAGGTTACAGTCTGAAACCCTATACCGCGTGTGTCGCATGGCAAGCTTTTCAGGCCCTCCTTCGAGCTTCCTCGTATCGCATTGTATCACCATTACCATTCATCTCAGGCTGGCACTGTCTTGGTTGGCGCTTTCATGTTAAAGGGGCGTTCCAAAAGCTAAAAGTTCATGCAGAGGATCATTATTTTGTATCAGCAGCGGGATCACAGACTGGCAGATTTCGGGCTGGTTGGATGATGTCTGTTCAGGAAATCCGTGTGCCGCGTGACGGGACGATGACTTGGCAAAGATAAGTCGAATGTCGTCTACTGGAAAGGAGGCACTTTGATCGAGCCCGGAACAGGCTCACGGCCATGGGCGGCGACTTTCACTGAGACATGCAAGGAGGAGCCGGGTCATTGCAAACGGGAGTGGCCTAGGCCACTTGGTATCGATAGCATCAACGCATTCAAAAGACTGGCAGCTGGGAGGAATAGTATTGGCAAGTAGAGGAGGATATTATTGAGATTTCAGTGTCGGTGACTGACACAGCACAAGCGATAGTGGGCGATAATTGAGCGTGTCGACAAGGCATGATTGTTTGAACAACGAAAATTCCATGAAGAAGGGCTGAATGACTCTTCAGTGCCACCTTGGTAGCCTAAAGTCAGGTGTTGTTTGCGCACCGCTGTCCTCGGTGCTGCAATCGCGTCATTATGGCCGGCACGATTTGGAAGAAAACAAGACAAACCCCATGTGGACGAATTTTACAAATACCTTGTGGATTTCACGTGAGCAATGCACCAGGGTGTCCATGCATCAATCTAGGGCTAACGCCTAGAATGTTCTGACAAGTTGGCCTTGAAGGTGTGGAAGCCCAAAGTGGATGGAACGCAATTGATGAATTGATTGATTGATTGATGGTTTGGTTGGATTGAGTCAAGAACCAAGGCCATTTATTTTGGCTGGTATCTCAACTCCCACCGCTACCTGCATCGAGCAAAACCCGACGGCAGCTCAGCATCTGTTTCTCTGTTTGGTGGTAAAGTCTGCTTGCATCCACCAGTTCCTTTGTAAACCACCACACATGCACAGGGTTTGCTTTGAGGAATGGGATGGGTTGAGGTTTTTTTGAGCGGGGTCCAGAGCACTTCGTTCGCATCCATGAACTCAACCAATCCAGACCCACGCTTTGAACATCGAAGAAGTCGTTTTCCTTTCCCCTAAGCTCTCTCCCACTCTCACATCTCACCACATGAGCACCCATGCTCCACCATTCGCACCACCGTACACCCCATTCTGTCAACCTCGTCACACCGTCATCATCCTCGCGCTTATTTCTTCTTGTCCTTGCTGGCACCCTTGGTCTTGGCGGTACCTCGGAACTCCTTGGAGCGGTTCTTCCTCTGTTTGCGCTGTTGTCTGCTGGCCTTTTCGATCTTGGAGGCCTGGCCCACTCGGACCAGTCGGTAGTGGGGTTCGAATTTCTTAAGAGCCTCGACACTGTCGTAGATGAGGGCGAAACCGGTGGATTTGCCGCCGCCGTAGTGTGTGCGCAGACCGAAGACGTTGATCTGGTCTTTGTTGGATTTGTACACCTCGGCCAGCTTAGCCCGCAGGTCGTCCTTGGACACGTTGGGTCGGTTGGGGTGCAGAATGTCACTGTATGGCCAAAAACAAGGGCATCTGGTTAGTCTTGAGTTTTTCCCACTCGTTTTCAAATAGGTACAATCGTAGCTCCAATGAATCAGGGAAGGTGTGAGAAAGGGATCATTCTTACACGACGAATTGCTTGCGCGCCAACAATCGGTTGGTGATGAACTTTCGAGTTCGGATCGTCACTGCGGAGTCGGCCATGATTGCTGTCGAGTTGTCTTGCCCGTGCAACGGAAACTCGCAATCTGGATAACGAAAAGAGGTGGCTGTTGAGGGATGGAGGAAGGGGGGTTGACTGCGCCTGGGATTTCGAGATGTGGTGGTGAGGGTCTTACTGCGTCTAAAAATTGTGAACGTGGCCTTGGCAAAGGAAATCTTGGCATTGATGTGACACTAGTCCCATTATGGAATGGTCAATATATGAGATGCCCGCAACAACTTTTCTTTGGTTGCCCCCCAGACTTTGCTCATTCATCATACTCGCCCTCTGCGTTGTCAACACCTCGAGATAATCCAAAATACACATCATATTGATGTGAGGATTGTTAACATGGATATTGCCCGCGCAGAGTTGGAACCTGTGGTGGTCAAATTCTATCGCCAATACATGCAGCAAATCAACGATTTGACATATCCTCCTGGACCGCTTTTGCTCAAACAAGATGTCCAGGACTGTCTATACCGATATTTCTTTGATTCAAGCAGGAACCCATTCCTACCTCCTGCCCGTTACCAGAGTAGGATCCTCAAGCATGTGATCCAAGAGATTGAAAAGTCATGCAAGGATTTAGATGAAGATGTAGGCTTGCTCTGGCTTGTGCCGTGGAACACCCACCTATCCCACCACATTCTAAACTGACGTGTCTTGTTGCCAATCACTTTCAAAGTGCGCTCCACTAACTTCTAACCTGCTCACAGCAAGTGTCAGATCTTCTGATGGAGCATATGGCCCACCTGACCACAGTTCCTCAACAACATCCCTTAGAGGAAGCTCAGCAAACACATGTCCACACGTATTTTCCACCCCTTCCTCCGGATCAACAAGGACTACAGCCAATCCTCATCAAAGAGGCGCAAAATCTTCTTTCCAAGGGTAACAATGTCGGCCTTCGCACGTGGGAAGCAGCCTTACATCTCGCCTGGTACTTGTTGACGCAAAGGCCAGAGCTGGTACGTGGTCATAATGTTGTTGAACTCGGTGCAGGTACTGGATTCTTGTCCCTTCTCTGTGCTGGCCACCTCGGTGCATCTCATGTGCTTGCCACCGATGGTCTAGGCCATGTTTGCGAAAGCCTCCAGTACAATGTCGATTTAAATGTCAAGAACAACACCTTGTATGGCAATCAACCACCTGAGGTTGCTCAGCTCGATTGGACTGAGCAATCGGAGCTCGATGAGATTCTACAGACGGCCCAGACCAAGTCTATGAAGTATGATTTGGTCATTGGGGCAGACATCACTTATCATCCCGAGATTTTGCGACCTCTCGCACAAGTTCTCAGGGCACTAAACGATGCCTTTCCAGGAGTCCACATCCTCATCTCGTCTACCATCCGCAACTTTACCACCTTTTCACAATTCATCGACATCTGTCGCCAAGAGTTTGCGTTCACGGTGATTGAGGTGCAATGCCCCATTCCCGAAGGGCTACTCTACTCTGGCTTCTTCCACTCGGTAGCGACAGAAATCAAAATCATCTCACTGAGCAGATGATTGCGACTCGAACTACTAGGTTACTATACCACATGTTCATAACAGTGTGAACAAAGGCCTACAAAGGACGAGATCCATAAGACTTGATCAGGATTCAACTGGCTAGGTCACTTGATCCCACCACTAGAAAAGGCGACCCACAACCCGGATTACACCTTAACTAGCCCCACGTGACATTCAACCAGCCGATAAGCACTACAATCGCAAAGACACCAGCATCAAATCTCATTCATCTGTCCTAAAGCTTAGCTGGATCGTCGTCGCTTACGACATCCGGGCTCCCCTCAAGGAAGACTTTAATATTACCACTAGCACACAGTGCGTCTTTGGTATGAATTGTCTTTCACCGGCAGATGTATAGAACCATCTGGTCAAAAATACACTCTGTACAGATGATCCCCCTATCACTATCGGACGCAAGCAAGCAAGCGTGTCCAAGCATTACGAACTTGTCGCCGTGCCTGGTGCCTTCCCATTTCCACTCCCACCCCCGCCATCACCATTTAAATGGGGCTTTTGTGACGTTTCGGTCTTACAAGCTCCTGAAACGCACTTGGGAGTATCTTTCGGAATGAGCGTGTCTTGATGATATGGGTCATCCCTTGACTTATCGCATCGCTTCTTGTACATTCGAACCGGTGGGCAGTCGCATGCAAAGTTGATGACGTAAAGTTCGCACATTTTGCAATACTTTTGGTCGCCTTCCTTTCTTGTATGGGAAATGAAGATGGGTTTTGAGTTGGGTTTCTTTATATTTTCAGGATCGAGGTTCTCGGGTTGTGGCAGATGATAAAGGAGACAACTTCCAACAGATTTATATAGCCTAGTTCAACGTGGCCAGAACATTCTGACTTGCCTGCGTTTGTGAGTGTGTGTGTGAGCATGAGCCGGCTAGAAACACCGGAGCAAAGTGTCACCTTCAACTCCGGTTGCACACGGTCAATTAGATTGCACAAGGTGCGCACAATCAGGCGCTCCTGTGAGTCTAGATACCAAGTCATCGATCAATGGGGACATCAATGACTCTGGCTGTCATCGAGGCCTTGGGTCATATTTTGTACACACGTACAGTATGTATGGCAGACGGGATGATACCTTTATATTCGCGATGATTGGTTAAATGCCACGTGGAATATAAAATTGGGCCGTTGAATATGGGATAGGGAATTCCAACTCCGGCGTTACTATATATACAGCCGGGGACGCCGTTCATCAGTCCCGACTTTAATTCAATAGCAAATTGGCCAACTCAGGACCGTTAATTCCTTTCGGGTAAAAAATAGAATCAGTCAACTGTCGTTGGTGTCATCCACTGCAATTAGGATTGAATGTCACAAAATGTTGCTGGAACTGCGTAACCTGACACAATACTCCGCTGAAATTATATCTTTTTGTCAATGACATTTCCGAGAACCTTTCCCGTTTGTGGGTGGCAACGATTCATTTCACGACCCTCAAGTGACCCTGACAAATTCTGACATGAGCCAACGGTGAAACTACGCTATCTGGACTGTCATGCTCCGTTTTCCCTCGTGCAGAAACGATGAGTGTTCTTCTGGAAACATCACTGGGAGAGATCGTGATTGATCTTCTGGTTGACAGCGCGCCCAAATGTTGTGAGAAGTAAGTTCTACCCACCCACGGACACAGGTTTGCATGCAATGGACAATCGGCTGATATAAGGTGTACAGTTTTCTCAAACTCTGCAAGATCAAGTACTACAATTTCTCGCCAGTGCACAGTGTTCAGAAAGGGTTTTCATTTCAGACAGGTGACCCACTAGGCCCGGATGCCCCAGACAGTGATGGCGGTAGTTCGATATGGGGCTTGCTCTCTGGGCCGGCGAAGAAAAGCTTTGTCGCAGAAATCGATCCCAAACGCAAGCATGAGGAACGTGGCACTGTGAGCATGGCGACGGTCCCTTCGTCTAACGACCCCGACCAACGGCTTGCTGGGAGCCAGTTCATCATTACCCTCGGCGACAACATTGACTACCTCGATGGCAAAGCTGCCCCGTTTGGAATGGTGGTGGAAGGTTTCGACACTCTAGAGAAGATCAACGACGCTTTCACGAATTCAAATGGCAGGCCATTGAAGGACATCCGAATAAAACACACTATCATCCTGGAGGATCCCTACGATGACCCTCCCGGGCTTGTGGAGCCAGACTCTAGTCCTGCTCCTACAAAGGCGCAATTGGCAACTGTCATGATCGCAGATGATGAGGAACTTGCCGAGGAGGTGGATGAGGCTGCGATGGAAAAGTTACGACGAGAGCGCGAAGCCCGGGCTCAAGCATTGACCCTAGAAATGGTCGGCGATCTCCCCTTTGCAGAAGTCAAACCTCCAGAAAATGTGCTGTTTGTCTGCAAGCTGAACCCGGTCACCCACGACGAAGATTTGGAACTGATTTTCAGCCGTTTTGGAAAGATCTTGTCTTGCGAGGTCATCAGGGACAAACGAACGGGTGACAGTCTGCAGTACGCATTCATCGAGTTTGAGAATCAAAAGGATTGCGAGCAAGCGTACTTCAAGATGCAAGGAGTCCTCATTGATGACCATCGAATTCACGTCGATTTCTCACAGAGTGTTTCTAAGCTGTCTGATACCTGGAGAGACGCGACGAATTCAAAGCGGGCGAGACACGTGGGTGGCTTTGGAGGGATTGCCAGTTTAGAAAAGAAGAGCCATTACCGAGAGGAGGACGAGCGGTCAGGTGGTGGACGTGGTTACCGAATGGTGTTTGACAAGAGAGATATGAAGCGAGGTCCAGATTCACGGCCAGAGTCGACAGATGACAGACGGAGGAGTCGAAGCCGTAGCCCTCGATACGACAAGCGCTCTCACCATCGAGATGGTGATCGAAGGGACCGGGACAGAGACCGCAATTGGGATAGGGATAAGGGCAGGGACAGGGACAGGGACAGGGACCGCTACCGAGAATCAGATAGGAGAGGCGACCGCCGGGCGGATCGAGACAGAGATCACTATCGTCGTCAAGATCGCTAATGATCTACCACGGTCAGGGCCGATTTGTTACGAGTTCCACATGTGTATTTCTACTGCAATGAATAGCCAGAGTCAAAAGGTCACTGGGCTGAGACCATTGTGAACATCAACTTTCCCATTTGGCTAAGAGCCTTATGTGAGTCTCTGCCGCAGCCCTGAACAGGGAGGTTCCCATGACCTATTGTCGTTCGTCTCGTCATAGCTCCTTTAAAGACCTGTACACATATAGTTGACCTAACAGCCACAATTTGAACGCCACAATGACAGGCTGTGGAACTAGTCTACATTCGGCGATATATCAAGCCGTCATTTCAAACCCAGCCCGCCAATGAAACGCGGTCCTACGTCACAGCGAGGCTGAGATGTTTCAACACGAGAAGCAAGCGAGAAGCGTGCCGTCGTCCTCACTCCTCAGCCCGCAGCCCGCATCCCTACTGTCTCACCGCGCTAGGGAACAAGAATCACTCAGCTGCTGATGCCACCAATTGCTGTTCGTTAAACGGGGGCCGACTGCAGATTCCTGATGAAAGAGTCCTAGGGACTGTACCATCTTGTTTCTTTTCTTTGTTCCTCCTTCATTCCAACCTCCCACCTGTCCACCTGCCATATACTACCTTCGAAAGATCCCCCTCTCCCCTCCCCTCCTCACTACACCCACTGCACACCGACATAGACAGGCAATCATAAACCAAGATGGCTGGCGTGGTGAAGAATTTACTAGAGACCCTCCATATTACCTCCTCAGACAAAGAAGCCCCACCTCGAGAGCCAACTGCCGACGAGGTCAAAGAACTGCGAGAAAAGTATGAGAAGGCAGGACAGGAACATGTTTTTGCATTCTATGATGAGCTCGACATCTCTGGCAAGGCATTCCTCTTTGACCAACTATCCACCTTTGACCCTGACCGAATCAACACTCTGGCTGACAAGGCCCTGAAACCTACAAAATCATCCGAAGAACCACCCTCCCTTGAACCTCTGCCAGACTCTGCAACTGCTTCCCTACTCGACGCTCCTCAAGATAAGAAGGATGAGTGGTACAAGTCCGGTCTTGGCCACATCTCTGAGAACAAGGTTGCTGTTGTGTTGATGGCGGGTGGTCAAGGAACCCGACTCGGCAGTTCTGATCCCAAGGGATGCTTCGACATTGGTCTACCAAGCAAGAAGTCATTGTTTCAGGTCCAGGCCGAGAGAATCAAGAAAGTACAAGAGTTGGCGGCAAAGCATGCCGGATTAGAATCCGCGAAAGAGCCCATTGTGCCCTGGTATGTCATGACAAGTGGTCCAACCAGAAAGCCTACAGAAAAATTCTTTCAAGACAACGAATATTTTGGTCTGGAGAAAGAAAATGTCATCATCTTTGAACAAGGTGTGCTCCCTTGCATCTCCAATGATGGGAAGATTCTCCTTGAGAGCAAGTCCAAGGTTGCCGTGGCCCCTGATGGCAACGGCGGTATCTATCAAGCGCTCTTGACCTCTGGGGTTCGTGGAGACATGGAGAAGCGTGGAATCGAGCACATCCACGCCTACTGTGTCGACAATTGCTTGGTCAAGGTCGCTGATCCTGTCTTCATTGGATTTTCTTCCTCAAAGAAAGCTGACATTGCCACCAAAGTGGTGCGGAAGAGAGCTGCGAATGAGTCTGTTGGATTGATTGTGCAAAAGAACGGCAAACCTGATGTGGTTGAATATTCCGAGATCGACAAGGAGACAGCCGAGGCCAAAGACGGTTCCGACCTTCTCAAGTTCCGCGCCGCTAACATTGTCAACCACTACTACTCATTCAAGTTCTTACAGAGCATTGAAGAATGGGCGGACAAGCTCCCACATCACGTTGCTAGAAAGAAGATTCCTTATGTCGACCCCGAAAATGGCGAGACGATCAAGCCTGAGAAACCAAACGGTATCAAACTGGAACAATTCGTCTTTGATGTCTTCCCGTTCCTTTCCCTGGATGAATTCGCTTGCCTCGAGGTAGACCGCAAGGAGGAGTTCTCACCATTGAAAAATGCTCGTGGCACCGGCGAAGACGACCCAGACACCAGCAAGCAGGACATAATGGAGCAAGGTGCACGCTGGTTGAAGGAAGCTGGAGCTGTGGTTGTCTCAGAAGGAAGTGCAACCGGTGTGGAAGTTTCGCCTCTCATCAGCTACGTAAGGTTTGCTCAAATTTCTGATCCCCTACAGATTATGCTAACTGTTTCCCAGGGAGGAGAAGGATTGGGCTATCTCAACGAACGAGAGATTCGAGCCCCTGCTGTCATTGAGAAGACCAAAGATGAGAAATGATATGATTATGATACTGTTGTATGGCATGACGCGTCGTTTGAACAGAGACACAGATTTATAGCGAAACAGAGACAATTTTTGGCCCATAGGGATACCCAACGATGCCTACCTAGTGTGTTTAGAAGCTCTCTGCAGGGTCAATCCAACCCCTAGCCTAAGTCTGCTTGATTGGAAATGCACCCAAGGGAAGTTGAAGATACTATCCCGTGATATTTCTAGTCTATATTTGGCCATAGCGCCTGTATCATGCTTGGTGGCTCAAGTAATGTCAAAACTACACTCACCCCAGCAAGCTTGGATGTGTTTATGGCATTAGTATGCAGTTCTCCCAGCCAGAACTGTCTTCACGATGCCCTTGTCAGCCAAGGCTTTAATGAGCGCAAAAAGCATACCATCACAGCCTGGACGAGCGAGGAGATTGATGTTGACAGGCAAATACTCTGTTTGCTGGCTGATGGGGCTCTCATACTCGACTTGTCCGATGGGGATACTGACTTCCGGGCCTCCCGTGATTGGCGACAGGAACACTGGGTTCAAGAAGAACTCCTGTAGTCTTTCTAGAATCATTGGGCCCGCCCCCGGCGTCTCGTTGAGATAGTCCTCTCGATAGTTTGGTAAACCGCTTGCTCCTGTTTCCAGAATCATGATTCCATCAGAGCAAGATTCAACTGACTCTTGAAAAAAATTGCCGTTCAAAAGGTCTGCTAGCTCTTGCTTGCCCTGCAGCATGGCGCTGTAAGCGTCTTCGCCGATCGAAGGGCCAATGCTATACCAGGATCGGGTTTCGTTGTCCAATGGTGGATATCCTCGGTCTGGGTACAAGGCTTCCCATCCCTCGATCAGCGCTTCACCGATGCCATGATACGAATCGTAGGCTACGCTCGTCTGAAATAGGCCAAGAATTGATGCAGAGCTATTTGCGACTGGGAGGTCGGATTCAGTTAGAATTGCTGTGACGTTGACATCACTCCTAACCATTCCAAACTCTCGGCTCACAGCGTTGAGGAAATCGTCGTATATTCTCTGCGCATCAGGATTTCGAAGTGGCCAGTAGTCGACGGGGTAGAGGAGCTTCTGCGGGAATGATGCGAAAGTCTCGTTGAAAGGAGCCTCCCCTTGGTCATACCTACAAGAACTGTAAGTGGACACCCGTCGATGCGACGGAATGATATACGTACCAGAGAGGACCCATTGTCGAAAATAGGTGGGGGTCTCGGGTGAAGAACCCAGCTGTGTCGAATGGTAGCCCGAGGGGCAGTATATTCGACATATCTTGCGCGCCCCACGATGGTCTTACACCGTAAGTACCTCCTAAGGATGCTGGAATGCGAACACTTCCACTGGTATCACTACCTATAGTAATATCAAGCCAGCTGTACCCTGCGATCGCTGCGCCGCTTCCTGCAGACGAAACTCCAGTTGCAAGTTGGCCGTCTCCACGAGGATTAAAAGGGTATTGATCATCGTTCCAATGCCGTGGTGGGATGCCAAAGGCAAATTGACTGGTTTTGGTGACGCCCTACAACAAAGGATTAGATTCGGTCGCACTATGAATTGATGAACGAAGAGTGGTTTCTTACAACAAGCACAGCTCCCAATTCGATGAGTTGGGCAATAGCCGTGGCCGTATTATTGCGCTCGGGGTATACTGCAGCATGAGCCTTTGAGCCACCAGTAATTGCGATACCGTCAATGGCATAGAGATCTTTGACTGCGACCCGCAGTCCTGCGAGTGGTCGAGGATCATCGATGCTGTAGAGTCGTGAGGGCACCGGCACAAGAAGGTTTCGATATCTTCCATTGTAGAGTGAAACAGAACTATAAGTGCCGGAATGTTGCGCAGGCGCTATAGCTTGAGTAAAGGCCTGTAAATTGTCGTCATAGAGTAGATATGCTCGTCTTGCATGGATACAACCATCACTTAGCGTAGAGAAATAAGGGCCCGTTTCCAGGTTCGTATCTGTGGAAGGCAGCAAGGTGAACAGCTCTAGCGTTGAGTTCGTGATCAAAATATCTGTTGGTACTGATAAATACTTGACGCCTTGTTCTGCGAACCAGTCCATGGCGGAACTTTCAACTTGGCTGCCAGGAAGAGCTTGTAAGATGATCATTTCAAGAAACCTCGGCGACCATACATCGTCAAGTGCTTCATATTGCCTCACCAGTCGTGAAAGGAGGTCATAAGTTATGTTGTGCTCTTGAGGCCGCATGATGGTACTTGCAAGCCATTCCGTTTCGGTGAGGGATGTATCGCTGGATGGTGTTTGACATATAGTCGCAACGATAGGAGTTGCCACGTAGGACGTGAAATTGTTTAGCGCAGGTGAAAGGCTTGAGGCTGCAATCACTGGTACTGAAGAAGACCCCCATGTTATGTCGCACAATGCGAGGAAAGCGAGGAGAATCAGGGGATGCATGGCTACCATGGCTGCAGCAAGTATATTCTCTATACCATTGGAAACTGTAAACAGACAGGGATCATGAATTGCTGATTCTGGCAAGATCGCCCCGTCTATGTATAGTTTTTCTTAACCCCGAGCATCCGAAATCGATCCTGTATACTCAAGATCATAATTCTTGGAAATACGCTTGACTTGGACCTTTTGATTCCTTCGTGCTATTGCTCTTCTACTCTTGTTACCTCTTCTCATCCATATACCAAATGTCAACCTTGGTATATTGAGGCATAGTGTATCGCCGTCAATGCAAGTTGCTGACACCACTAAATAAGCTCATAGTTGATAGAGTTCGGATGTTAATTGATATGACAAGGCCATTGGCTCGTTTGTGAGTGCACTGGCTTCTAGAAAGATAAGGGGACTCCACAGTTCGCTAAAGTCCATAGTCTAATATACATAATTCCGATATTCATTATATGCCAAGGTCATCAGCCCGGTTATGAGAGCACAACAGCTTCAAATCTAGAGATAGCAAAACTACTTCAGCTGACGCAGTGATCCAAGCCAAGATCCAGATGACCCATCCTCCTGACAAGCCCATGCGTAACAAGACTTTACTAAAACTTACTGCAATCTAATCGCAAGGATTTGTTTCTACGCTTCATGGTAGGGTAGAACTGGTGGTCCAGGCGATCTTGGTCTATCAAAGTTACTATCCTGGAAGCATGTAGCTTTCCAGACTCGATTCCGAGATCTTCCGTGTTCAAGTAATTGCCATTGTTGGTTCTTTGCCAGGGGTTCCTGTTTAAGACATTAGTCGTGTGGAATGTGTAAAAATGAGAGTTGTCATTCTAGAGTTGAGAAATGTATACACTTGCTCCTCTAAATGGACGAGTCTCGAAAGGCGAGTGTACAGTCTTGATCAGCGGAGGTCGAATCCGGCCATGGCATATCCACCATTGTGTGGAGAAAAGGTCCTCCCGAGACTCATGAATTGCAGAAGCTAGTAGGTTACAGAATGACGGTAAGAGATTCTGCGATAATCAAACTGAATGTTTTATCTGCCCATAAAGATAGACCGCGTCAAAGTTTGTCAATCGACTTTGAAGTTCATGATCAAGAAAACCTCGGAGTTGATTCTACGGTCAGCTGGTTTCTCTCTTGACATATTCTATAGTGTCCCAAGATTATGGACCATGAAATCAGATTTTCATGAGAAGTTTTCTTCAATTTAACATGTATACTGCTTTCTGAGTTGTCTGCCTAGGGGGTTGATGTGATGTCAAAATTCTCGAGAATACACATCTTAAATCAAGGGATTGTTGAACTTTGGCGGCAATTTTACTTGTAAAACATGTTATGATCGACCTGTATCATTCCGAGATGGCTGTAGCTTTCTATGAGACGTTCAATAAATGTTGTAGACATGAAATTGTATAATCAACCTATCTCAATAGGATGCAAAGTCTGACAGCACTATCGTTAGCATTTGACAAGATGCATGCTCTTTCTTGACCAGGAATATCTTCTCTCTTCATTGATCAACAGTCCTCTTTGAAAGGGCGTCACACCTTTTGCTGCCCCGTGTCTTTCATACACTCCCTTTGGGGGAATGAGTAAAAAGCGGACACTGTTGCATCCTGTCTCGGCAAGTGCAGAAAACCCTCTCTGCAGGATCGAGAGCCTTCTGCTCATGTGGACAATTGATGAACTTTACCAGCATACCTATGTGCAGAGAAGATACATATCTGCGCCCCTGCACTGGCCTAAGTCTACTTTAAGTAATCTGTCTTAGTGGAGTTATGGCCTTAGTAGAGTCCGAGGCTGAAGATATTATCACGTGATAATACTAGTCTTCATTGAACCATAGCGCCTGGATCACTTCTTGGCGTCACTTTCCTCGCTCGTTCCGCTTTTCACTTGCGCCCACCTCAACTTTAAGTCTCCTGCTTTTCTTCGTCTACAGGTTGTGGTTGAACAGGTCGCAATAGTCTCAAGGTGGCTGAGTTGTCGTTGGATAGGTTGCGTGGGAAGTTGTGACAAACGTGAGTATGCCATTTTTCCTCATCAACTCCCCCTGGACTGTTCATCCCCTGCGCTTTGCCATACCCCTCAATCACTCTGGTAATCTGACCTCTCCTTGATATGCCTGCGGGTAGCCGCATCTGCAATGATGAACCCCTAGTCGGCTGACTTTGAGATACAGGCAAGGGAATATCGGGATATTTGAGACGAGACACATTCGAGAAGGTACGAATTCACCTCAGGTCATTTCCTTATCATCGAAACGAGAAAATCAATCATCATCTGTTCCCATCAATGGCATCTCCGTTTCACTTCCTCCACATCATACAACCCTACTTCCTCCCCACACATGCCGCATTCAAGAATAAACATCTAACATGGGTGCTTACACAGGGAAAGGGATCGCTTTTGACGAACTCCGCCAAGATGTCGTCTCTGTCGCGTCGAGCATGCTACAAGTGTGGAAATGTTGGCCACTATGCCGAAGTCTGCACATCGTCTGAGAGACTGTGCTACAATTGCAAGCAGCCGGGTCACGAATCCAACCAGTGTCCCATGCCACGTACCACTGAAAGTGTGTTCTAACCTCGTTTGTCTTTATGGGGATTTTTTTCTGACTTGTATCATCTAGCCAAACAGTGCTATCACTGCCAGGGCCTAGGCCACGTCCAAGCCGACTGCCCAACCTTGCGGATTAGTGGTGGCCCGGCCGGCGGCCGCTGTTATTCATGTGGACAAATTGGCCACCTCGCTCGAAATTGCCCAACCCCTGGGGCTGGTGGGATGGCCATGCGCGGTGGGCGGGGAGGTTTTGGCAACAGCTTCCGTGGCGGTTTCAATGTCACCAATAATCGAGCTGCCACATGTTACAAATGTGGTGGGCCCAACCATTTTGCCCGCGATTGCCAAGCTCAGGCCATGAAATGCTACGCCTGTGGCAAACTGGTGAGTTGAATTGTGCAAGAGACGTGATCTTTAATGGCTAACCCTGTTCTAGGGCCATATCTCTAGAGATTGCACTGCCCCCAACGGTGGTCCTCTCAATGCTGCGGGTAAAACTTGCTACAAGTGTGGACAGCCCGGTCACATCAGCAAGGATTGCACTTCAGCAGAAACCAATGGTTCGGCTGGTGTTGTGCCAAATGGAACCTCTGCTGATGTCTTAGCAGCTGCGCCTGCGGCCGATCCTCAGGACATTGCTGCCGGCGCCGCGCCTACGGCCGCGGTTGCGTAAGCTTTCATCACCGGCGACATTGCACGTTGGTTTTCTCAGCCTTCCCAGCAGGACGACTGATGCATCTCCTTTCACGCAAGCTACGACCAGTGCAATGCAAATTATCTTTCCTGGTGTTTTCGTTGACTTTATTACACAAAATTGTCTCCTCATGGAATTCTCTTGTTTCTTTATCACTTTTACGATACCACTCTCAACATCTTTACTTTTCTGCCTCTTTGCCCATCACCATTACCCCCACGACTTTCTACTACCTCCACCACCCTACAAACCTAATCGAAACTTTGACGGAGGGGAGCTTGAGAGAGTTCGGTCTCTCATGGCTACCCCAAACTAAGCAAGGCTGAAGGAATTTGAAAGGCACGGATTACGAAACTGTTCTGGCACGACTCTCTTGGAAACTTCTTTTGCTTCTGCAACAGAAGCTCGAATATTGGCGACCATATTTCATATGCCACTTGCCAACAGCTCGGCATCTCACGATGTCAGAATATTTCTCGTCATGTGCTCTATGCACGTCATCAGAACCAGGGGGTTTGAAGTTCTTCATCCTCTTGGGAGTGAGACCAGAAAATCAAATTCGGACTTGAAGTGGAGGCAGGAGAAATCAGACAGTGGATCAGAACGCAGCATACCCCATTTCACGAACGCATGAACCATGAGATCGAACTCTTGATGATCGACGGAGGGAGAAGCACAGTTGACGGTTGCAGTCAGGCAGGCGAGTGGAGGAGATAACCTTGGTTAGCAGTGACAAGCAAACCGAAAGCAGACATGTCGATAATCAGACCGGTCACTTTTGGTGTAGCGAATGGCATGAGATCTTGAATGACAGAATTGGACAACAGACCTTTTGGCGTGACGCAATCTCCATCAGTGCTCCCCGCATAGCAGGTGTATATCATGGTCGACGTAGATCAGCCCCGTGGCCAGTCCCTATAGCCTGGTCTGGTCGCATAAGACGCTACCTTGGTTCGTCTAGGATGGTGGTAGAAGAGGGTGTTCTTTGCAACCTCCTCCGATTGCACCAGATTTCCCCACTGATTAGACTGTCCCAATCGCGATTTATGTGGTCTCTTAGAGCCTGTGGTAGGTGGATACCTGAGACTGAGTCCTTGGTGCTCTGAGGACTTGCCTGAGTATGTTTGTTTATGTGCATTTGCTTCTATCTCCAGGTCCTTTGCTATCAATGTGCATTGTGACATTACCACGTGATACTACAGTCACGTGGAAGTCACTTGTGCTTGGCTTGAAGTCTTGGCATTTACCCCGTAGAATTGAGGTCTCTGGAATTGTCATCTCTTTCTCTTCTCCCCCTCTTTGGGTGACACTTCATGTTTGGGGTTTTGCACTGTGACTCTACATTGCACACCTGTCGAGTCCACATCTGCTACGTGAGTCAAAGGTGGGTCTAGAGAATACAGTCACGGGCTCTTCTCCGGAGTCGAGGTTGGTGATCCCCCGCATCAGAAACCCGAAACAGCCCCTGTCGTCCAGTTTGTTCCAAACTTGCCGTAAGCGCCAGCGAGCAGCGAGCAACCTCGTCTCAAATCCTACCCCAAGTCTTGCAATGCTCTCCGTACATTCGGTCTCAGACTGAGCGCTATGGTGGGGGCTGCCTCGTGACGCACCACGATGTTCCCTGTTCAACGTCATTGGCGATGTCTATATTTATCTTTACAGAGCCGCAGAAAGACCGCCAAACAGTCGAATGTTTCACCCGGCTTCTCCCAAGATACTCGAAAGACTCCCATGTCTGATTCGACCAGGATGCCGCGCTCGTCAGGCCTCTATCGATAACACCGACCCGCCAAGATGGCATTCCTGCCCTCATGTTTACGTCAGGTTTACAGTAGTCGAAACACTCGACTTGCTCTGGACTTTTGAGCTGAGCCACAATCTAGCCTCTTGCCGGTTGCTCAATGCGAGAATTTGGAAACCATCAACTCACACTCTCAGCCTCGCGGCTTCTTCCAAGCGAGTTCTTCGATATTTCAGCCTCCTTGATTGGTAGGCTAAACAGCCGACGTACATTTCTTTGTACGTCGGAAGTCTAGCCCGAGGATCCCATGAAACAATGCCAAAGGTATCACGCAAGGCTATGCCCTCAAAGCAAAAGTCGGTGGCTGGGAGTCCCTCGTGTTCGCCGTCTCCAGTTTCATTGATGCGTACCGATCGTGTTTGACGAGATCTATATTTGGATATGGAAGCACAGACATGCCTCCTCTGAACTGGCGAGGATATGGGAATGGCCGCACTCAGTGTGGTGCTACCTGCTCACCAGTTGCTTCTGAATTGAAATCTATCAAGTCAACATTGAACAACCCGCGGTCACCACACCCTGGTGGCAGGTCGCATCTTTTGGCTAGCCTTCGTTTTTGTTCATGAAGTTGGCGCCGACTGAGGTCGGCACAGCCACCATTAGGGCGACATCGCTAAGATCTCAAGCACTTCGCGCCTCAGACTTGCGATAAGCGTCCTGCTCGCTGACTTCTGGCGAGGTTTACAGATTTCTGCTCTAACTGCTAGTGTCTTTCCCCGGCTATAGTTCTCCACCATCATGGCAGGGATATGCATTGCAACTACCATGGGAACCACTAAGTCCTCTTGCAAAGAACGACTAGATCAAGAGTCCATCCTTATTTGGGTAATCCATCACTCCTCATGACCGACTGATGTTGCTCTCCCGAGTACGTTGAAACTACAGACCTAAGCCTGTCAAAACATCCTTGGTCTTTGACGTTGCACATGAACCAATGATGCATAGGCCATTCAACCAGCCTCGCGATATACCACCTCTAGACATGCTGCTTCGGAGTGATCGTGGGTCCAATGTACAACATCCGTGATGCATGAAAGTCTTCCAAGTGAAGCACACCTGTGACGGAGTGTCTTGAAGTATTTCAAATGTTCACACTGGAACAAAGTCTTGGAGTCCGAGTTCTCTTCTACATCGTGAGGACGATTTGGGATATGGAGCTGACAGTCTTGAGCACAACTCGCACCGATCGTCACAAGCATAAATAATCAACCTATTTCCCACTCATTGTAACTCCCTCCATCAGCATTTCATCCAGCAAATAGTTCATTACAAGTCATCTCATCCTTTCTCATCTTTACTTATTATTATTACAACACAAGGCCGGTCCTTCCTCATCTACATACTCAAAATGGTTGCATACTCATCCTTTATTACTTGCGCGCTTCTAGCCGCCGAGCTTGTGGCAGGCCACGGGGCGATCATCGGTGCAACGGGCAACGCTGGCGGCAGTGGTATGGCTTTGGGAGTTGATACCTCGACCCCTCGTGACGGCACGCGGAGAAGACCTTTCCAGCAAGATTCAACGCGCTTTCGAGGATCTGCTGCCGACACCTTCGGCGAGACTCTTGGTGGAGGGGACAACAACCTCGAGACTGGCACAGCCGCCATCCTCGCCGAGACTGGGGATGAGCTACCACAGGTCACTCCTGGTGGCTCGGTCCAGATGACTGTTCACCAAGTCAATGCCGACGGTGCTGGGCCATATACTTGCATGATCAACGCCGATGGCACAGGTCAGACTTGGAGCCAGGTAAGCCAGACAGTGGGCAGAAGTGGGCCTAGCTAACACACAACTTAGTTGACCGTGTCTGAACAAGTTCCTGGAAACAATGGCCGAAATCGTGCTGGGCAGACGACAGCTTTCGTAAGCGCATTCTTAGGTTGCCATGTGAAAGATGATGCTGACAATTTGCAGCCTCTAACAGCCGAAATTCCGAATGGTCAGACCTGCACTGGCACCGTCGCCGGGGAGGATAATGTTTGCCTTGTCCGCTGCCAGAATCCTGCCCGGGCTGGACCTTTTGGAGGGGTCGTCCCTGTTCAAATGGTCGTGCCAGCTGCTGCTGCCGCCGCCCCTGCCGCCGCCGCCGTCCCAGTTGCTGCTCCTATTGCTGCCAATGGTACCGCTGCGTCCAACATCGCTGCTGCCAATACACAACCCGACAGCCTCACTCCTGGCCAAGCAGCAGCAGAGGCTGCAGCAGATGCACTCAGAAAGAGATCAACTGTCATTCGCAAGCTCCCCAAGCGATCAAGCAGAATCCATCGGGACACGGCTGCTGCGATTGCTTACTCCAACCGACGCTAGGGAACAGAAACGAATAATTGCCGCAAGGGGGGATTGAGGCTGCTGGAACGGCCGGCCCACCAAGCGAGCTTGCACAATAACGCCACGAATTTCTTACCGCTGATGACAACAATGCTACGACCTTCCTTTGACGACCAAACCGGTTGAGAACTGAAATGCAACGCTCCTTAACTCTGGACATGATGAATGACCCGACAGGAATCGGACGAAATTGCTGCATCCAAAAAAGAAGATCTGGAGGTCATACTATATACTCACAAACCTCGACCGTACAAAAGCCGGTCCAGCAGGCGAGATCATATTTGGGACCGGAGAAGGACACAATGTATCAAAACTGTATCAACGAAACATATCAGTAGTCATGACAGAGCATATAGACAGACAGTCTACTACACTCCTTGATAATTATCAGAACATGTGTGGTCAATGTTGAAAATATTCCCCTTAAATGTACAACTCCCTTTATGAGTGTATCATCAAAGTGACCAGGTCATTGCCAACTCTTCATGAAAAGAACGTGAAGAACAGAAGTGTTCTACCTACAGTGACTCCATTACCATTTGGCAATGATGATATATGGAGAGAAATGTATCTAAAAAAGCCAATGAACCGCCGTAGGTGTATACTGCTCACATGTAATCAATATCCCACCGTACTAGTGCTCCGCTGTACGCAATTTGCCTCGCGCCTGCTTGGATTCGAAAAGTCGCGACTGCCTTTAATCGTTGTGTGCATCACGGTTTCGACTCGATTCTACACTTCCAGCACTCCCAACCTCCCTCACCCTCACCCTTTCCACCCTCTCCATCTCGAATTCCCGCGCTTGTTCGCCCGATCTGCCAATAATACACTTACCCAGATTTCATACCGATCTGACCTTTATCCTCGGCGTCGCCCCTCAGTCCTTCAAAATGTCTGGTTTGTTCGGGAGCGCTACCTCGACGGCGTCCACGAGCACCGCCGGCGACATTTCCAAAGATGTGGCTCTGGCGACCCCCCCAGAAGACGGTGTATCAGATCTGCGCTTCTCTCCAACAGCCGATTTTCTCGCAGTCTCGTCTTGGGATAAGAAGCTTCGGATATACTCAGTCAGCGAACAAGGTCAGAGCGAAGGAAAGGCTCTGATCCAATTCGATGCTCCCGTCTTTGCAGGCGACTGGACTAGTGTAAGTGCCCATGCAACAAATCTCGTTCCTACGAATATCGCTGACAGACAATAAAGGATGGCCAGAAGGTGGTTGGAGCCGGAGCTGATAAGACCATTCGCTTACTCGATCTCGGTTCAGGCAACATGACACCGCAAGTCCTTAAGGACGCTCACACGGAGCCCATAAGGTGCGCACGCTTCGCCGACATCAATAACCAACAAGTTCTCGTCACGGGTTCCTGGGACAAAACCATCAAATATTGGGATATGAGACAACCCACTCCCGTTGCAACAATCAATGCCCAAGAAAGAATATACACCATGGATGTTAGGAACAAGCTACTGGTGTACGGCACTGCCGACCGCTATATCAACATTATCGACCTCAACAAACCCGAAACGCCATACAAATCCATACAGTCTCCCCTCAAATACCAGACTCGTGTCATCTCATGCTTCACCGACGCTACTGGCTTCGCTGTAGGCAGTGTGGAGGGCCGATGTGCCATTCAATATGTTGAAGAGAAGGATTCGTCTAACAACTTCAGTTTCAAATGTCATCGAGACGGCCCGGCGACGTCAGGGCCAAATCGCGACGTAACTAATGTCTTCAGCGTCAATGCCATCTCTTTCCACCCAGTTCACGGCACATTCTCTACTGCAGGCAGCGATGGGACCTTCCACTTTTGGGATGGCAATGCGAAACATCGACTCAAAGGATACCCCTCGGTCGGTGGACCTATTACAGCCACCCACTTTAATCGACAAGGTACTGTCTTCGCCTATGCAGTATGCTATGACTGGAGTCAAGGGTATCAGAAGAATACGCAACAAAACACTACAAAAGTCATGTTGCACGGGGTTCAACCCGAAGAGGTCAAACCTAGACCCGGTGGCAAGAAGAGATAGGTCAATCTCGCGACTGAGACTATCAATTCTTCTTGCAACTGTCTTTTAGTGGTCCAATGGCTTCGCTCACGGTTGATGGATGACCAGCCGGGAATAAATCACACGAATCCGGAACCATCGATTGCATTTGTGTCTTGCCCTGAGCAGCTCTTCCGTCAAAACATCAGGCACCTCCGACCAGTGAGAGGCTAACGGGCTCCTGGCAGAGGCAGAACTCGATCATACACCAGCGCCCAGCTACAGCACAGGAACTTTGGACAATTATCACGCGATTCTAGAGCGATGCCACCTATGCGAGTATAAAGGCTTACGCCAGGGTCGGCTACGGCATTGTGGTTATCTGAAACCTTGGCGCTTGATGAAGCCATGCCGCTTATTTGAAGGACGAGATTTATACGCCTTCGCTCTACATAGCTCATAAGCAGAATGATACCCCCCAAAATTGAGATATCAGAGCGGCCAAACACCGTATCTCTCCTGTACCTTGATTCAATGCCAGCCTCCCAATGTGAATTTCTCTATCTCTGGTCCATCTTGTGGACACAAATGTACCGTGATTGACAGAGACAATAATGGAGGAATCCAAATCACTGGTCCCGTCATGATCAAGTCATTGAAGACTCTGGTCAGACGAGGACCAAACTCCAGGAAGCTACTCTCCGGGGCTGTCTCATGCACCTTTGGAGGAGGTGCTGTAGAACTACATAAGCTGGCCAATATATATGACGAGACGACCAGATATATTGCACTCTACATCCTGCCATGGCAGGATTGAACCCCACAGGACGGTCAATCATGAGTCCTGTATTTGGATCAGGACCATGAAAGATGAGTGGGTCCGAGAGGGTGTCTGCCGAAGATATATCAGGTATATGTCAACGTCGATCACGCTGGCTGTGTCGACGGAAATGAATATTGTCAATACGGCCGTGTCATGGGGGAAGGGATCGTGGCGAAAGGTCATGCCACACATGATGTCGATTGAAAGAACCCGAAGAAAGTCAGCCTGCCTTACTGACTGACGGTGCGTCTGTTCTTCACAACCGTAGCGGAAGGCCCGCTACCTCCAGCTCCACCTCCGGTACCAACCACACCAGTGCTTGCGTTGCCGGAGGCGTTGCTGGATGCTGCCGATACTGTGTTCGTTGCCACGCCAGCAGAAACGCCGCCTGCGTTGCCTGCACCTCCAAAGCCGACCATGCTGCCGTTGCCACTCACTGAGCTTACAGCACTGACATCGCCTCGGGACCCAGCACCGATCGCACCGGTGTTGCCGCTTCCCATTATCGTGGCTGCCAGGCTAGCAGCGGGATGACGAGCGGCTCGTCTGCCTGCTGCCTCCGCCTGTAGCTGTCGGGAGGGTCCTTTAAGGGCTTCTTCGATATAGTATCCGAACACAAAGCGGTAGAGATCGCGCAACCAGCCGAAACCGTAGACGCAATCGGTCATGCCACGAACGGCGCGGGCCACGTCAACTGGATTGAGCTGGCCACGCTCAATCGCCATTGACCCCGCAATGCCGAGGTTGCGGAAGCCTGAATCATTGGCAACAGCTTTGCGGTACGTTTCGAGCAGAGACATTTGCCAGGCCTGAGTGCCAAAGGCAGTGTCAGGGAGGGATTTGGTGAACATGGGTAAGGAGTTTAAATTGGGGTCAGATGATTGGCGTGTGTAGCCGCGGTTGGTGGCGATGGCAGCTTTGATAAAGAGTCCTTTGAGCAGAATCAAGGTCGGGTCGTCGGACGGTGTCCGTACTGTCGATACTGAGGTGGCCGATGTAGGAATCGCACCGCCATCAGATGCAGCGGACATGGACACAGCCGACATAGGTGCCGAGGCATTGGAGGTCCAGCGATGGCCGGGGTTGGCGGATGTTGGAGCTGGGGGTACTGGGTGTGGAGAATGTAGAGAATTGATAGATCGCATGGCGGATGGAGTGAGGTTTCGTTGGTTCGAGATGGATGCTGGTGCGTTATTAGAGGTGGCGGTAGATGACATGCGTAAAGCAGCTTCAGCACCGATGACGTAGATGTTAGGTATGGGTGCCTCCTCGGGCGAGATGGTTGTGATTGTGTCTTCGAATATCGTTGTAGGGGTTTCCGGTATAGTCTTAGGGTTTCCATCATCGTCAAGGGGGACGAATCCAGATCGCTTAGCTTGGTTGAATGCTTGGGTGAATGTGGTTTGACTGGGCCGTGGAGTTCCTCGCTCTGGCCGGATCTGCGTCCAGCCTTCGCGGAAGAGGTCGCAGAGTTCCCAACAAGCTTGTATGGCCGATCCTAGAAGTTCTGAATCGGGTCTTTTCCCTTCCCGTCGATTTTGTCGAAGACTGAAGAGCATTTCTGCCAGAGACCAACACGCCTCGAGCAGCGAATCCGTCTCCTCCCCAGTTTTAGACTTTTGTTTCATCAATCGATGACACAACGTGATATAGAAATCGAGTGTCCTTTCGCGGAATGCCTCGGGTAGGCTGCGATCATGTGTATTGAAGAGATGATTGTTTAATTCGAAGCTCACTCGAAGCACTGAGTCGGCAGCTTCGTTAGTCCTAACTCGGACCTCAAATAGAGCCTGGCAAAAATCTCGACACAGGTCAAGTGTGGGTTTTGCAGAGTTGTGTCCGTAGGAACCAGTAAGTGTTTCGTCTTTATTATTGTATAGTGTTTGGCAAAGTTTCCAGCAAGACTTCCATGCCTGTTCTTGTGCATCCCCTTGACCAGAGAAGCTGAACATCCTTGTCCGATGAATGTAGCTTAAGCTTGCCAAAGTGTTGCAAAGAGTCCAGCATTCAGACAGAGCGTTCCGAAGCGCGGCCGATTCGATTTCGGCGTGGTGCATGAAATCCAGGCGAACATTGCTATCGTCTTCAGTGCTTGGATGGTCGGTATCATCGCCCTCGTCGATGCCTACCAGTAGTCAGTACCAGTTACAATCTCTTCTGACAGAACCCACTAGCTAAGCTTGAACCTGGCCGGCTGAGAGGGGCGAAGTCGTGTCTCGTCTGCGCTCGTGGTGTAGTTGACCAAGCATGTAGATTGAGTGATGAGAGGGTTGTTCGAAGTGGTGATGGAGGTATTGCGGCATCACGGGCCTTGGTTTTTAAAATCAGCCCTCCTGTGCCACCAAGCAACGTAGATACAAATACCTTGGATTTCTTGATGGCCAAAGGGGCCGCTGCCACCCTTTTGCCCCTGGGTGGGCCTTCTTTTCTTGGGGTCGGCTCTTGCTTTGGGTCCTGTATGGTCATTGGTTCTGGCACAGGATCTTGTTTTGTCGTAGAAGTGGATGCTAGAGAATCGAATGAACTCGACCGAGATCTCTCATTGTCTGCATCTTTCTCAGACTGTGTCGATCCTGTACTAATGTTCCCTGATTCATTCTTACCCCCCGGCGGCTCGGTGGTGGAATCCTGTTCTTCCGGCATTTCTCGCCCGGAAGTATCGTCTTCGGAGTCGTTGGGGGGAGATGGTAATGAATTCTGTTCGAGCTTGGATGAGTCCTGATCCTTTGGCTGTGGCTCGCGTTAGCAGGTCACAACATATTGACGGAAAGAAGACGTACAAAAGTGCCAAAGCTAGAGGGAATGTAAATCGCGGATTGAGGTTCCTCTTCTAGCCGGTTCCGGAGCTGGTGGTCTGCAGCGGGCGCAACTTGGACCTGTCGAGAGATTCAGAAGGTCCTGGCAAGGAATTCAAGACAATGGAGTTACCTTCAATGGTGTTTCATTACGATAATCTCGGCTCGAGAGAGACGCTGGAGGATTGGAATCCACAATTGTGTTGGCCAGATCACCTGCCAAAGAGCCTTTCTCTGTACCTTCGTCCTCCTCTTCAGCAGCAACACCGTCAACGTCCTCAAATTGCGTGACGTCCGAAGATATCGGCGAAGGAGCGACAGGGTCTTGAGGCGAAGTTATATAACTCGGAGGCGGTGCTTTGAGATGGCTATTGCTGGTCGAATACCTTCCTTCCAGGTTGCTCCTATAAGTGTCAGCGAGAACGGCCCCAGTGGAAGGCATCTCCAGCGTACAAGGATGATCTTTTGGCTGACGCGCTCACGAACATGGGGGATTCAGGATGGTCATTGAATGGTGAGAATGCTGAGATGAGGGGATTGCCGGAGGGACTGAGTCCCACGGATGCTCTCACGGCCATCATCGTCTCTGCGTTGGAAATACAATAGCAGCGCCGCCACCAACGATAAAGAAAGTCGGAGGCAACCTGTTGCCCGCAGGAATGGGCCTATGGTCTGTCACGCCTGCGCACAGCCAGCTCGGATCGAATGGTGACAGTGGGAAGGCACCAACGGACAAGGCAGACAAGCAGCTTTACCGTGTGGTGGAGGGACAGAATGTATTGCTCAACCACAGGACAAGCCCAGGACAAGTTGCACGGGTTTGTTGTGGCCAGACAAAAGGTCGCGTGCGGCACAGCGGACTGGAGCCGGGGCTCTGGCCTGGAGGAAGGGTGATGTTGGGGATAGTACGCTTGACGGCTTCAAGATGCATACCCGGTCCTCGGTTAGAGTGACAAGACAGACATCACGACGTCGTGGTGGACAACTTCCAAGTCGAAAGCGCTGCCCAGAAAAGAATGGCAGCAGAGGATAAAAATGTTGTTGCGATAGAGCAGCAGAAAAACCACCGACGTCCTAGTCTCGAGATGCTGAAGAGGCCGCTGAGAGGTGCAAGGTTCCTGTCCCAGCCGCAACTCAAGTGGGGGCGGTACGCCAGTATTGGCTACTGAAACCGGTCGAGGTCGGCATGGGTGTTTGATGGCACCAACTCATGTGCAGACAGCATGGTGTGCTGTTAGGCTGGCCCGTGGCCTGAATCTTTGGTGGGTGTGGTCAGTAGCACTAAGAGGTGGAATTGGGACATACCTATGGCAGTTCAAGGATCCAATGAGAGGATGGAAGATAATATCGCGTCGCGGCTAGCTGGGAGACCGGACAAGACAAGGTCAACATGTGTGATGCTAAGCTCATGTAAATAGCGACGGGGTTTTAAGCCGCATGAGCGCGTCGAGTGAGGACTGTGAATGGTCGGACGGTGATGATGGAGGGGAAGAGGATGTATCATTGGCCGTGGTAGCCAATGAGGAGCATCATGTGTTTTGACTGCGTGTGGCTTGGGAGTGGAGGGAAAAGAGGGAAACAGAAGGATTGAGCTATGGAGCCTTTTGTCAAGCAATGAGTATACTAGCACCATGCAAGAGACTGCAAGGCAGAATGAGATCGGCTGGAGGAAGAGTTGGGATTCAAGAGATGCTGATGCTCATGGTTCTCCTTCCGCGGTTGAGAACCAGTGGCTTGGGCGAACCGGAGCCAGATCCCTGACTGCCACGAGAAAGAGGAGGCGCCTTGACCGCTAGGGCATCCAACTTTGTCAAAGTGTCATGTTGGTGGACTCAATCATAGTCAGGATAGAAGGTGATTGTATCGCGAATTGTGACGACTACAGTCGCGGCGCATAGAGGTGCAGTAGGTCGCGGGTAGAGCACATCCCTGCAGCCGTGATAGGCTAGGAGGAAAGGATCCAAGTATGATAGGCAGCGCTCTAAGCGCCGACAGAGAGGAAGAGATGGTGCGGGAGGGACAATAGCTTCAACGCTTGGGCGTTCCAGGGCAATTCGCCGCAGATAATGTGGACCTGGGGGTCAATGGGTCTTGGGGAATCTCGTACCCTCGTTGGAATCAACATCCGGGTAAGCCTTGCAAGTCCAAGCCAAGCAGACTACCACCCAGTCAAAGTCGTTTGCAAGTCGTTTGGCTGCGGACTGAGAGCAAATGGCGAGAGGGTTGTTCGCTTGAAAGCCTGGGAGCCCCCACAAATTCTCCGAGGCGTGCTTTGAGGTGGGTAATACCCCGAAGAGTTAGTGCTCACGACTCTGATTGAACGGTGACAGACTTACGGTTGGGCATGATGGGGCCTTCGACCACCAAGCCTTCGGATTGACATGGACCCAAGTCTGGCGTGTAAGCGCCCTGAGGACATCAACAGAACGGGAACTCAGCCTTGGCTTGCAGAAAAGCGACCTGTTCACACGGCCAATTGGTCAACGTGAAGCAGAAGTCGACGCTTCTTTATCCGGCTCCCCGTCCATTACTGACGATGGTGAGAGATTTTGGGACACGAAGACTGTTTGTATTGGCATGGAAGACGAAGGTGTAATCCTACCAAGTGAAGTTGAATTAGAGGTTTCAATTTGTCACATGTAGACACCCAGCGAGCCATGAGAGGAAGGCACCAAGGAAAGCAGGTGTGTGTATCCAAGTTTGCAGAGAAGGAGCAATCAAGTTGGCAGGCACCTGCCTGGCTGTCGGCGAGATACAAGATTCACAGCAAGCATACACACTACACACACAACAGGGCAGATGGATGGATCATTAATGGATCATTAATAGATCATCAAATTAATTACACATACAATGTTGACTGTATCAACTAGCAGCCAGCATAGCCATCAAACGTCACTGCCCTCCCAGTGTACATCAAGTCAACAGTCTTGGTCATTCATCCGTCCGTTCACAAAATGTCATCATGAATACCGGGCTCATTGCACAACCAAACGCCTTGCTTGCGACCAAGAAATCGCTAGTCTCGAACGGCTCGTATTCCGACCAGCATCATCGAATGGTCATCTGCTTTGCCATCTGCCCGTTCTTACCCACGCCGCCTTCCCGGGATGCAGCCGCGCTGATGCCGGCCTTGCGCTCAAACACCTTCCAGAATTTCAAGCTTTCGTCAGCAGCTGCGTCATGGAATTAGTCTTTACTGCCAACAACGCTGATCAAGTGGTTTCAACTTACCTGCGGTTGCAAGCATCTGTCCGTCGGGGCTCAAGCAGCTGTGGAGCACCCGGCTCTCATGAGCGGGAATTTCAACATTGCGGACGAGGGTTGGATAGCTCCAGATGGTCAATGAATTGTCTGGGAATCCTCCGGAGCTGACAAGCTCGCGGTAGTGATTGCTCCATTTCAGACTCGTCACCTGTGATCCCGTATCCACACTGTTGACGCGAGCGCCAGTTGTCGTGTTCCAAAAGTGAATATGTCGGTCGTTGTATCCGCCTCCGGTCGCCAACAGGTTCAATTGCCAGGGGCACCAACTAAGGGCCTTGACAGCCGCTCGGTGGTTCTTCTTGGCGAATTTGGGAGCTGCAAGAGACCGGGCGTCCCAGATGGAGACCAGGTTGTCATTTCCGCCGGTAGCGAGCTGAGCTCCATCTGACCGCCATTCGAGGCCGCAGACTTCCGAGGTGTGAGATACCAGCTCGGCGATTTTGTGGTCCTGGACACGGACGTCGTGGTTGAAGACAAGGCCGCTTCGGGCACCTGTCGACAAGGTATGCTTGTTCCAGCCCATCACGCCCACGCGAGTGTCGTGGCCGAACATGCTTCTCAGCTTGGTGCCTTCTTCCACGTCCCAAATCTGGACTTCGCCCGTTCCAAGGCCGACTCCAACATAAGCTCCATCTCCGGACCACTTGACGCTGCTGACATAGGTGTCTGGTGACGTCTCCAGCAGGCAACTGACGGTGCCAGACTCTGCAGACCAGACGTAGACATTACGCTTGAGGCCAATGGCCACTTGGTTACCCGAGCCCCAGTCAAGAAGATTGAGGTAGTAGTCGTCAGCAATATCGGGTGCATCCAAGACGCGTTCAGGAGCGGATTGGACGCGTCGGCGGAACTGAGCAGACTGAGCACTCGCTTGCTTGAGGGGTCGATTGTATTGTGACCGAAGGTCGATGGGCTTGGAAGATTCTGGGGGAGCTGGCTTGAATTCCAGAATGCGCTGAGTGGTGGAAATGCCGCAAGCTGATGCAAGGGAGGATTCGTATGCGACGGAATCAGGATCGGCCCTGCCGTAGGTTGATGTTGTGTTGTCATCGAGCCCAAGTCCCTCCAAGGCGGTGGTAATGTCTGAGTCGGCACCTCGCGCCGAGATGTCAAAAGCACTGGCAGCATTGGCGAGGACAGTAGAACCATCCTGACCGGCGGTCCGGGGGCGAGTGTTCTCATCTGATTTGCCCGAACCAGCGGTGGCCAGTCCTGCACTTGCGGTACGGCTGGGAATGAAACGGTCGGCTGTGTTATGGGGCAGTCGGATTGTGGTCTTGCCTGGTCTTGATCTCAGAGGACCCTCTTTCTTCGATCTCTCTCTTAGAGGAGTGCCTGACACTGCAGGACCGGTTCCAGTCAGAGTCCAGTCCGACACACCCAATTCCAAGCCCTTGGGCGAGTTTCTTGAGCGTGCAATGTTTGACTTGGGAGAGTTGGCATAGGCAAACTTCGATACCGATCGTGAGATGGATCGTGAGAAGAAGGTTGAGGGATCGGACTTGTGAATCGATTGGTCCTTTCGGGGGGGAGTGCATGGAGATGTGGATGAGATTTTGGTAGCGGCGCTGGCGGTCCTCGCTCTCCGTGATGGAGTTAGAGGCATGCGTCCGCCTGCAGTCTTTGTGGAGAAAATGCCATGATGGCTCTTGAGGGGAGTTGATACTGATGTGGTGGCCATGGTAGGCTATGTGTAAATGTTGATCGAAAGGACAAATCAATGTTTCGATCGGAGTCTGTGATCCGAGAATCAATCAAGATCTCGGGGGTTAGTGGGTTGGTCGATTAAAGCAATCAGAACTTGTCGACAAAAGTCTGTGCTTGGGTCCAGCAATTCAGTGATGTCTCAAGATTCTCAACTGAATGGATCCTGAGAAGAAGCTATGGTGATAGCAGGGGTTAGTATGTTTCTCTGTGGTGTTCCTGAAGATTGTTGGATGATTGTGTAACCGATCGAGGCCGAGTTGGAGTGCAAAGCAGGCAATGCAATCGAAGGGGCGATCAAACAAGCGAGGATGCGAGTAGGATCTAATGGACTGTATGCTATGCTATGCAATGCAACTAAGATGTAAGGTAGAGGGTTCTTTGGAGGAGAGGATGGTGGTAGAGAAGGAAGATGAAAGGTATCAGCCTGAACTTTCCATAGATGTAGTCTGAGCAAGAGTGGAGAGGGACGTCATGTTTAGGAAATTGGTTGCCCGGTAACCAGCCAAGATGGGTGGGAGGAGCAACGACGTCGGCGCACTTTCCTCATGAGTCCAAATCTGCGTTTTACTCGTGAAATGGTTCGCCTTAGAACTTTCTCACCCTAATCTCCTTAGCAGACTACTGCAGATCACTACCACACGAAGAGTACTGAGAACTTCATCCGACGTGACTTGACGAGAGATCCCGAGAGGTGCAGAGGCTAGCCCATCGGCAGAACTCTAAATAATTCTCATTCTTGGTCAATGACATCCGTTCCTGTCATCAATTATTTGCAATCGAGAGTCGACGCCATCACTGTGTGAAGAATCAGTCCTTGTTTCTATCTTCCACCGCTTCATGGTTGGTTCCGTTGGGGGCCTCGATGATTCCTTCCTCCTGATGAAATAAGTGCCATCTGCGCCTTTTTGATCCACGGTTGTCGTCCACCACGCAAACTGGACTGAACTGGAGCCCCGGACACTCGTGAACCCCTTCATCTCATACCCTCATTACTCACCATGGCCATGCACCCGTCGCACCACCATCTTCAACCGTCACATCCCCTCAATCCATTTACCTCTAACAGTCCTGGCTGGCCAGGCCCGTCGTCCTCTCGGGCTGGGGCCTCTGGGACCAGCACTCCTACCCCTTCCACTTACCTGATGCCTACCAGTCCTGCCAGGAACATGGGGGCGAGAGACGGCTGCAAACCTCGGATTCTCAAGACGACCGGGCAAAAGCCTGCCTGTCTTGTCAATGCCTCGGTCACCTATTGCGGCAACAACCAAATTTACGCCTTTGGCGGGTTTGATCAATTTACCGATGAAGTCTACAATCACGTGCTTCGGCTGGATCTCGACACGCTAAAATGGGCGCTAGTGGATAATTACGGAGACATTCCTGGCGTTCGAATGGGACACTCAGCCTCGCTCTATCAAGGTGATAAACTTCTGGTCTATGCTGGGGAAAATGAGCATCGCGAGTATCTCTCCGATGTTGTCATCCTCAACCTCAAAGACCACCACTGGACTCAACCTGAAGTCCGCGGCCCTGTGCCCAAAGGTCGCGCTCGACATGCGGCCGTCGTCTACGAAGACAAACTCTTTGTGGTTGGTGGTCTGACCGGAGAAGCAAACTACATTCTTGATGACATATGCTACCTGGACCTCAAAACCTGGACCTGGTCCAAGACATGGAGTTTTGTGCAGCGATTTGACCATAGCGCCTGGATATGGGGCGGGCGCTTGTGGGTCCTTGGCGGTCTGGGAGCAGACATGGAACGACCCTCTGAAATCTGCTGGCTGGATTTGAAGGGCAGTCCAGCTCTTACCGACTCAGGGAGACAGTTCTCCTCTATTGGTCGCAGCACTATCGGGCGACAAGACGCGTGGTTGAACCCTCCGAGGCCCGACCGCATTGACACGTACGCCGCCAACTCTGGTAGCGTACACATTCGATCATCGAAAAGAGAGAAGCCGACGGCGCCGGGTGCGATATCGTCGTTGAAGTTTGTCTCGGGTCCGCATGTTCCTCTTCAGTCAGCCGGAACCCACTTCCACGTCTGTTCATCTGGCGCTCTTCTCGACTTCATCACGCCGGCCTCCAACATTCGCCAGAACGACTGCAATCTGTCGTCTCTCGAGCTGGACTCGTTAAGATGGCAACGCCTTGTCGAAGGTAATGAACTGTTCCAACCTGGGTACAAATGGCACTATTGTACTATCAACGAAGACGGCACCAAAGTGTGGCTGTTGGGATCTCCAGCTGACGAAATCGCCGGTGGCAACCACGAACTTCATTTGAGTGAAGTTCTTGCTGTTGACCTAAAGCGCTACGGATTGCTAGGAGATGAGGACCGGACTTCTACATCGGAGCAATCGCGAATCCTTGCCACGGAGCGGCAGACGACTCACAGTGCCACATCAGCCGTGTCCAACAGTCTTGGTGCTGACCTTGCCCTGATACTGGACCAACCGCCGGACATGAACAGCATGAGCGACTTTGTTATCACCGCCCAGCCTGAAGTCAGCGATAACGAATCAGTCATTTCGGAGAGCGAATCTCAAGGTCGCTCACCGCTGAATGGGAGTGGGTCGCAGGCATTTTCCTCGGAAGCCACCAATGTCAGCCAGCCCATCCACGTGCACAAAATCATCCTCTGTGCGCGATGGCCACATTTCAAGCGACTGTACAACTCCAAGATGATTGAATACCAGACGAATCGTCTTCATATCCCCGAGCCGTATTCGGTTGTCCGTGCGTTTCTGTACTATATTTATGCTGACTCGATTGAGCAACACCCGGTTTTCTGTCGGAATCTCACCGATGTTGCTGGGATGCTTGTGATGGCTAACCTCTATGATATGCCCAAGCTTCGTCTGTTGTGCGTCAACCGGCTTTCACGGGAGATCGACGTGGATCACGCCGCCATCATCTGGGAGCGAGCCCGTCGCACTGATGAAGAATGGCTTGAGGAGCGGGCGGCCAAGTTTTGTTTGACCAACTGGGGGCGGGTAGTCCGGACTGAAGCATTCCGTGGGTTGAGCCGGCATAGCTTGATGGAACTCTGCGAAATGGTGGACATGGAGGGACGAGTTGTTGGCGGAGAAGAACTAGATGATGGCAGTATTATTGACGCTGGTCGATATCGCAGGAGAAGTCATCGACCCAGTGAAGCAACCGACGATGCTGAGGGAGATGAGGAAGATGGCATGGATATGAACTAGGGATGGCCATTGACGAGTTGACTGGGCCGGTGTGGCCGGTGTGTTGTATGCATCGACATGAAATAGAGGTTGTTGGGACAAAGGTTCCGTAGTGTGCAATATTCTAGCATGTAGGTATTAGCCAGGTAGGGGTCAGTGGAGTTTTGAGATTCATTACTGTATGCTGGGACCTGGACCTTCCGTGCCTTGACCACGTGTGGCACCTGCCGACTTCTGTTACTACATTATTTCTCTACAAATCTCATTTGATTACGTGGTTATAATTAAAGATGGCAGTCACATCGCCAATCCACAGCCGTAGGTACCTTACCTAGCTAGGAACCTTTTCTTCCAAACCACCTACCAAGTTACACTCATTCGACCCACTGTCAATTGCCAACTGATGCCACCATAACCGACACAGATCTTGTGACCAGCCCCGGATAGTTGTGCGGAGCCCCCAGCTTTCGTTTGGCCCTTGGGGGAGTTCGCCAACGCATATGCATGCCTTTATTGGGGGCTTTACGGGTGCTCATGTACTTCATGATTCCCTTGGTCCAGTTAAAATAGTCGGTGTTTCGACCGTGGGGAACCGGTAACAAAAGTTGCGTGATGTCCATCTCTTAGGTAGGGACCTATTCACGGCTGTCACGGTCGCCACGAATCTCGGGCAGATTGACGGTTATGGAATCTAGATCTTACAAGAGCCGGTAAGAGTGAGCACTGCCGGGCATGGAGCCTTACCTTTAGGTCCTTCCACAGCGTTGCCTCACATTGCCCAGGCTGCTTGCCTTAGGCTATGGATGATCTTGGCACCTTCGGCTTAGGTTGGTATCTCCGCAGGGAAGTCGCGAAGTAGGATTTATCACTGGCAATTACGTGCGGAGAGAAGTTCGGGTCTGGATTGGGGGATTTTTACAGGAGGAGGATCGCGTCACTGCTGCCGTAGTCATGTCCCGAATACCAGAATCTTGAATCTTGGGATCAGAGGTTATAATCAAGGAAATATCCTTCGCTGGAGAACTGGAGAATCACTGTCGTGTCGAGTCCCCAGGAGTCCCCAGCGTGGTTGACTTCCGCCATCGCCATCGCAGAGTCGAGAGACTACTTAAACGTCTTCAGAGATCCGCACTCGACCTAACTAACAGGTCCCTGCTTCCGTGCCGTTCAATCCGTGATCCGACTTCCTCTCCACCAATCCCCAGTTCATTTATCTATTGCTTGCTATAAAACTCCACAAAGTCCCCCTTGGATTGGGCCCGAGGCGGAGGGCATGTAATTACGAGCTCGCTCTATCTAGACATCGCGAGCGCTCCAAGATGAAGCAATTCATCAGACTGCGCCGACCGGCCAGCAATCTCCTCCGCGCCATTGACCAGCAATCACATCAGTCACCCTCACCCTCACAATCACCATTCCTGCGGCAGCTGTCTTGCACCAGATCTTTGCACAGTTCATCCATCAGACGCAATGCTAACGAGGAGGGCAAACCTTCCTTCAAAGGCCAACTTTATCAAGCAACCAGCGAACGACTACAACGAGAACGGTCGCAAGAAGCTGAATATGTACGCCAGACTGAGGCTCGCCGTGGCGAGCGTGGCAGGACTCTCGAGATCAGTGCATGCAAGTACCCCTTAGAACCCCAGTCGCTCCCTGTTACTGACTGACTCTAGTCATTCTGGTCGTTGCGGGCGTCTCATACTACCTGGGAAGCATTGGGGACAAACCCCTCGACAGCTCCTCCACCACTCCCTTGTCGAAAGCGCCGCCTCCTCAACACGATACGCGAACCTCGGTCCTCCAAGCTGCCTGGACCGACATCGCTCTGATTGTCGGGAAAGAGCATGTTTCCACCCTCGAGAGTGACCTCGAAGCCCATTCTGGCTCTGACTGGTCCTCCTATAAAGCCAAACCCAACGAAAAGCCATTCCTCGTCGTCTATCCTGCAAACACCGAAGAAGTCTCCAAGATCATGAAAGTCTGTCACCAGCGGAAGATTCCCGTCACAGCGCTGTGCGGAGGAACGAGTCTGGAAGGTCACTTTGCACACACAAGAGGAGGCATCTGTCTTGATCTCGGCCGTATGGACCAGATTGTCGAATTCCACCCCAAAGACCTCGACATCGTTGTGCAACCTGCACTCGGCTGGGAGCACTTGAATGAAGATCTCCATGAGCACGGCATGTTCTTCCCTCCAGACCCGGGCCCGGGCGCCAAAATTGGCGGCATGGTTGGCACCGGGTGCTCAGGCACCAACGCGTATCGATACGGTACCATGAGGGACTGGGTTGTCTCTCTCACTGTTGTTCTCGCGGATGGTACCATCATCAAGACCCGTCGGCGCCCCAGGAAGTCGAGTGCAGGTTACAACTTGACCCAACTGTTCATCGGTAGTGAGGGAACCCTGGGAATCGTCACTGAAGCCACCCTGAAAGTGGCCGTCATTCCCAAGAACCAGAGTGTTGCCGTGGCCTCGTTTCCCACCGTTCATGCGGCTGCCGAGTGTGTGGCCAAGGTGGTTGGTGAAGGAATCCAGCTCGCTGGAATGGAAATTCTCGACGACGTTCAGATGAAATGTATCAACCAAAGCGGGTCAACCAGTCGGCAATGGGAAGAACTACCGACTTTGTTCTTCAAGTTTGCCGGTACGCCGGAGGGAGTCAAGGAACAGATTGCCACCGTTCAAAAACTCGCCAAAGCCTCCAAGAACAAGAAATTTGAGTTTGCCAGAAACGACGACGAAGCCACCGAATTATGGAGTGCACGTAAGGAAGCGTTGTGGAGTGTGCTGGGAGTCAAGAGAAGCCCAGATGATCGTGTTTGGACCACCGACGTGGTAAGTCGAACCTGAGGAAATGTCTCGGCCCGGCTCGCAGGCTAACTTGTATGTGAAGGCCGTTCCCATCAGCAAACTCGCCGACATTATCCAAGAAACCAAAGATGACATTGCCAAGGCTGGTATATTGGGTGCCATTGTTGGGCACGTTGGCGATGGCAACTTTCATGGCAAGTCTCCAATCCTATCACTCGACGAGACTACGCACTAATATTCAAGTAGGCATCCTCGTGTACAACGAACAAGAGAAAGACGTTGTGTCAGATTTGGTCCACCGCATGTGTCAACGGGCAATCGAGATGGACGGTACCGTCACCGGTGAACATGGTGTTGGTTTAAAGAAGCGAGAATATCTCCGGGAAGAACTTGGAGAAGATACTCTGAGTACCATGAGAAGGGTAAGTCTTGAACTGGCACACTGTTTCCTTCTAAGCAGGCCTACTAACACAGATCCTATAGGTGAAGCAAGCACTCGATCCTCTGGGAATCCTTAACCCTGACAAGGTCATTCATCTCGAAGCAGGTCATTGAGTGGGCGATCAGCAAACAGAATGACGCTTTGCCACTTATAGTCATTGCATATAAATCTTGTCTGAAAACTTCTGTCGCGAACCTGGTTACCTCAATGGTCCACCATGTTTCCACACCACTATGTGATGTCCAGCAGTCCGTGGCAATACTGAACATGCCCATACCTATAGTCTTGATCACATGATCTGATATCACGTGTAAACATTTCTCCTGCGTCCAATTCAAAATCCCTCCTACCCCGCACACGTGCTTGTCCCTGGTGCCTCCCCACCTTCCATCATCGTTCCCTCTCCTGCCTCTGAGAAACTGCGCCCACTTTCTCGACATGCGGACACTAAATGGACACTAAATTTCTGCTCTTGTACATCCACCACGGACCAACCATCTCCGCCATCGACTTTCCCAGCTGCCCTCGTTTTATTAGGCTAAAAGGAATGCTTTTCTGTCATTAGGCCTGTGGGCAACCCCGATGGAACGAGTCTCATTCGTCTTGATTCCGGTGGGCTCGCCTGTGGCTGCACCCTGGTCTTTTGTCACATCCAATGACGCCCCCAACATAACACAAATTCTTGTCCTGCATTTATCATGACGACGTACGGATTTCCAGCCATGGTAACCCGCCCGCCGGGTAGGCTGGTTGCTATTTCGCCCAACCTCGTGAGGGAAGAATACAACATAATATCTTCCATGCTTTGAGCATTGGACCGCTGGACTTTGGACTTTTTGATCAGATCACGTTCACCTTGTCAAGCCGTCCATCAGGTGATACATCATAGACAGTACCCTCGACATTGTGAGCCATGCCTACAGAAACCCAGACTCGAGTACGTCGCGTAGACTTCATTCCCCAACTCCAAGCCCTGTTCATGTTTCTAGTATTCTGACCAAAGCTCAGGAGAATAACTCCTTTGTCCTTCGTGGGATCAAAGATGTTCTTTTCGAGGATCGACCGGTTCCTAAACTCACGAACCCACACGATGTCCTCCTCCGAGTCGATTTCACCGGCATTTGCGGTTCTGATGTTCATTACTGGCAACATGGTCGCATAGGCCATTTTGTCGTCAATGACCCCATGGTTCTAGGACATGAATCAGCAGGCACTGTCTTCGAAGTCGGTTCGGCCGTCAAGGATCTGAAGAAAGGTGATCGCGTTGCTATGGAACCGGGGGTCCCCTGTCGACGATGTGTGCGGTGCAAGGAGGGCAACTATAATTTGTGCTTTGAGATGGCCTTTGCCGCCACTCCTCCTTATGATGGTACTCTGGCCAAATACTACGTCTTACCCGAAGACTTTTGCCACAAACTGCCCGACAACGTCAGCTTGGAGGAGGGTGCTCTATGTGAGCCGTTGGCGGTTGGCGTCCATATCACCAAACAGGCCAGCGTTCGACAAGGCGACTCAGTCATTGTCTTCGGCGCGGGTCCCGTCGGCTTACTGTGTGCCGCCGTGGCCCGAGCCTTTGGTGCGAAGAAGGTCATTGCCGTCGATATCAACGCCGAAAGACTCGAGTTTGCCAAATCTTTTGCAGCCGACTATACCTTCATCCCGTCCAAGGTCTCGCCACAGGAGAATGCCCAGAAAATAAAGGACGAATTCGATCTCCCCATCGGAGTCGATGTCGCAATCGATGCCAGTGGTGCCGCTCCTAGTGTGCAGACTGCCATCCACGTTCTTCGAAGCGGTGGCCGCTATGTCCAAGGTGGCATGGGAGGAGATGAGATCACCTTCCCCATCATGGCTGCATGCACAAAAGAGCTCACTGTCAAGGGAAGCTTCAGGTATGGCAGCGGGGACTATCAAAATGCTCTGGATTTGGTCTCAAGCGGTCAAATCGATGTCAAGAAATTGATCAGCCGAAAAGTCAGTTTCGACGACGCCGAGAAAGCTTTCGAGGATGTCAAGGCCGGAAAGGCCATCAAGGTGTTGATCGAGGGGCCAAAATGAGCGCTGACAAATGGAATTTTAGTTCATCAATGAAATTCCAGTCTTGAAACTTGTGAATGGCCTTCAAGAGTCTATCAGTTTGTGTCACTCTTCAAGCGCTATGACTCTAGACCCCCTTGCACTCCGGACATGACTAGACTGGAACTTCGTGCAACTTTCACAGCGTCTAGCAAATCTCTCCGCAAGTGACGGATGATTCGAGACTTTACTCTGGCCAACACTCCCTCCAGCTCCACAGTCAGAGTCATCACGTCCTGCACAATCACTCACTGAACCACCAAGTCTCGATCCGGCCCACTCATCGTGCAAATCCATCACAACCAGCGTCCAATTCCATGACAGCAATCCGTCCACAGTCCTTCAAGTCTCAGATGAGTCGACTCATCCGTCCCTGATGCAGCTGGAGTCATTCTCCTCCAGATGACTCAGAGTTCCGACCTCTGGGGTATAAATATGTCTGTTCCCCCTGCCCTTTCTTCGTCTTTTTCTTTTCCTACATCCACCACTTGCATCAAGCACTGGCTCCGTCTCTGCCCTCTTTTGATACTTTGCATTTCGTCCCCTCTTGCAAACGGTATATATACACAAAATTATTCAGCCATTTTGTGACGGCTATTGGGCCTCTGCTGGTTAGCATGTCCGTTTTCCAGCAGCCCGACTCTTCTATCAACTTCCTATTGTTGAGAAGCTGAACAACTTCAACATCCTACATCAGTCACGAGAGGACAATACTCCCGCAAAGGAAGCTGAGTGCTCGGTCCGTGACTGGTCCAGTGGTGCGCTCCGTTGCGATCCTTTTCAGTTCTGGTTGCCTGGCGTTTTCTCATTTCGGTACATTACAAATCTTTGGGATCATGCCTGTTGTTCTGGAAATTACGATTACGAACGAAACCTCGCAACGCCTTTCGCGCCTCGACCCAGAGTCTATTACGAATCATTCAGTCTCCCCTTCGAGTGAATCTGGCGGAAACCGTGAAGAAAAAATTCAACGGAAAGGGTCTGGTCTGGCGCCTACGAGGTCATGGATGACCCATCACAACCGTCTTCGTGGAAGAAGGCTAGAAATCCTGGCTGATGTAACCGCAACTCTCTCCAAACGAGATGGCTCAGGGCCTTACAGAGAGTGTTGCGGAAGTCCTTGTCCACCGTACAATATTTGGCACATTGTCAGCATCTGTGGTTCGACTACAGCAGGGCAAAGACCGAAGATGGCTTTGTCCTTTGGCCCTTGAAATCTGGGCAGCAATCGGTACTCTGAAGAGAGATATTTCAGGCATGAGGAGTCAAGACGGCAGGACAAAGACCGAAGATGGCTCTGTCCTCTGGCCCTTGGAATACCTATGGGCAGCGATCAGGAGAAGCGACCGGTGTCTATCCTCTTATCAACCACGATAGAGGACCAATCGACAATATGCATACACAAACACAAACATACATCCCTACGAACTCATGTCCCAGGGGAGTTTGTTTGTGGTCCGGCTCAACCACAATGCTGAATTGAATGTCATCGCTTGCTGGCTTGACATTGACCCAGCTTTAGTTATGTGGTCCTGGAGGAGATGGTCAGGCAATTACGGGTCTGAACGGTTCAGTAATGTCAATGCTGCCGTGCTCGAACTTAGCCAATAACATGTGAAAATGGCGGAGACCTACGAGTTCAACGTCGGATTGTCCAGTATGAGAAAGGTCATCCGTGTTGGGTTGTCCAGTCCAGTATGAGAAAGGTTATCCGTGTTGGGTTGTCCAGCACAAGCCTATCGACCTAAACCTGATGTCCTTGACCCTGGCGATCGACGACGAATTCAGTATTAAAGCAGCAAAACAATGCCCACTTGTGTTCGTTGACAAGCTCCTCGCTTGGGCGGGCGGAACTCCGAGTCTCTATCTCGCAAAAGAAAACAGAGTTATTTGAAAGATTTGACGAACTTCACGATGTCATGATCCATGCCGAGTCCTTGATTCGGAGTAAATGGTCTGCCAGGTCGGGAAAGGACCGCAGAAAGATCCTGAACGAGACAAAAATGTGGCAAGAGGTGCCCGTGATTGTCTGGTGACCTTTGCAGACATCTGCAGCATTGCCTACAAACCAGAAAAGGGCAAATTCAGTGGGAAAGGTGCCTGGCTAACTGGCGATGCAGTTATGGGTTGTATTGCAGCCATGCGAGGCCAAGGAGATGATGCATTCTGTGTGATATCGCCTTACGCTTGGGAAAGGGAAACTTACAAGCGTAATCGACGAGCAAGGCCAACTGCACGCCGGCAAAACATTGAACAAATTGTGCACAAGCGAAGCTGTCATATCACGTTGACATGACCAACTTCGAAGGTGCAACGGGTTGGATGGGTACATCTACTGCTCCTCCCCCCTTCCTTTGCATATATCAAGCAACTCAGACGGTCGGATCTTCTAGCTATTACAGCTCCAATTGAAGTCAATGTGACTCCAATCCTTTTCTTCCTCATCGTTGAGAAAACCTCGTCGTCTATCATTGCGATACGACAGAAGCTGTCTCACAGGTGTTGTAAGCAGAGAGCAACAGAGCTGGACATTAGGCTGGTGAGAGGATTGATGTGGTACGAGACGCAGTCAACACCACCGAGTGATATGTATCGTGGAAGTTGTCTCGGATTGTACTATATCTGAGACATTACTGGGAGATGAGATGGATTTCTAGAACCCATTCACGGAGGCAAGATGGACGTGCTGGGAATAAGAACGACGTGCCCTGTACATGGAATGGCACAGTTTGCGATACTCAGTTCGAACTCAATTATCGAGTCCGCCTAGATATTGAAGAAGAAGGAAAAAAAATCATAAAAGCCGTTGAAACTAGATTATCTATTCAGTCCCTCCGTAGTCACTCTAGAGCATATCGACTTCATTTGTTCGCCTTGGGCGCGCGGGTGATATTTGAGTGATCATAATCTGGGATGAATGATTTCGTTATAATGCCAATTTTGTATGTACTGATTGATGCTTGATCATCAGGTCAACACCAACACTCCTTTTGAACCGCATCTTTTCATTTCCTAGATCAAGTCAACCTCTGTCCGGTGATATTGAATTCAACCTTGCTAATGCCATAATTGCCCATGATCCACAATGTGTTGAGGTCTTCACCGGTCCATGCAAAGTTCTGGACGGTGTAGTTTGTTTGGATGCGGATGAGTAGTTGGCCAACATCGTCGAGAATGTCGACGCCTTGTCCTGACCCCGTGAAGACATAGCCCTCTTGACTGACCTTGAGACCATCAGGAACCCAGTCTTGAGCAAGGTAAAAGGCGCGTTTGTTGGAGATTCGGGTTCCGTTGTTGGAGACATCCCAGGCGTAAATGGCTCTCTTGCCTGTCGTGTTGAAGGTGGTGCCTTGGGAGCCGAGGGCTGGGTCGATGGTTCCCGTCACGGCACCCGTGTCACTGATGTACAAGGTCTTTCCATCCGGCGTGAAGGCGATCCCGTTGGGCTGTTCAAGACTGTCGTCGATGAGGAACACAGCGCCAGTGTCAGGATTGAAGCGATAGCTTGCAATAGGGAGTTGTGGTGCAGTGTCGGTCAATGCGTTGAACCAGCTGTATGCAGGATCTGTAAAGAAGATGTCTCTGGATTGAGGGTGAACTGCCAAATCATCAATGTTGTTGAAGTAGAAGCCGTAGTAATTGTTGAGGAGAACGACCGATTCATTCGTGGCGGGATCTACCGTCCGGATGGACACCCTTTGCTCGCCGCCTGGAAGATCGTCGGCCCCTCCTGATGCGGCAAAGAGGATCAAACCATCGCGGAATGTACCACCATTGGGGGCGTAGACCGGCGGATTAGGGGTGTAGTTGCTGAGAGTGGGCGGGTCATCGTTGAGGTTGACAACGAGTTGGGGTAGATGGCCGATCGGTGGCGCCAGGACAGAGATGAAAAGGAGGTTCTGCTCTGGAGCATAGACTGGCGCTTCATGCACAGCTTCGGAGACTTCAAAGACAAATTCATAGCTTGGGTTCTCGCCTAGGAGTTGCAGTCCTCGTTCGCGGTCAAAGACGACGAATGATGCATTGCTGAGTAGACCAAAGCTCGTATCGTTCCCAACTGTGGTATTGCGAAAATCATAAGACTCTTTGTTGGTGGAGATTGAGCGATTAAAATGGTAGGGCAGGACGGCGGCCTGGACAAGTCAGTTGAGCTTTAGTGGATGCTCGGGAGTGTCCATACATATTTGTTGACGCAGACGATAGCACTGTCGCTAGGGCCACAGGTTTCTACCAAGGGGGTCGTTACCCCTGCCGGTAGCACAACCTGGGCCAAACTGACGGGCGCCGACAGCAGAGTGAGAAAAACCAAGGAAGCTTTCATGTCGGATGGGCTGATGGACCTTGACGACGTTTGCAAGCGGGGAGATTTACAGAACCCGACGAGGGTATATGTAGACTGTCCATGTTTGCGCGATCGTTGCGGGGTTGTGTTCCCAGTTCTCGCTTAGTTCGTGTAGAGAGGCAAGTTGTGATGACGATCGCGTCATAGGCTGATATTGAAAATTGGAAGCCTTTGAAGATCCCACGACAGGTTAGCGAAGCTTTTCTCCAAACCCTGCGGGCAGAAGCTTCGAGGCACCGGAAATGCTCGTTGTTGTCGTCCACCACGCGAAGGGGTTTGGAGTAATTGCCGAATATAGTTTCTCGATAGTAGATGTGGGGGATCTGCAGGATTTGCGGAGAATGCCTGCTAAGCTCTGCTGACCAAACGTCATCAAATGAGACTTGAGGTTTCAATAGCCTAAGTGTATAGTCGGTGTGAAATGCCGGTTGTAGACGAAGTGATGCAGGCGACTCTAGGGTCTAATGTCGTGCATTGAGACCGGTGGCATCCTCGATGCCAGTATTTCCGGTGGAAGTTGGATTAACAGGTTCACCGGCAATATTTGCGATGACTTTTAGTTTAGCATTAGCCTTGGCCAGACGGTCGTCAAAGTCGGTAACTGCCTCGTCCGTATTGTCCTTTACAACCATAGTCGGATCCGAGGTAGACAAGAGAGTTTCAATGTGCCTCTGGAGTCTGGCATTGGATGGAATATTTCCTAGTGTCTGAATGATCTCGCGTAGCAGAGTAGCCTCAGTTGCAATAGCCGATGATTGCGGGGTTTGCTCGTCTTGACTTTGATCTGATTCTCTTGTGACTGAAATGCGTGAGTGCCAAAGCGTTGCTCGTCCATGGGACTTTCCGAGTTCGAGAGCCTTCTCGAATCCTTTTTCTATCCCAAAGGTTCTCCCTTCAATCATGCCAGCATAACGGCTGTCAGATACACCGGCCTCATAGCCTTCATTGTAATATTCGTCTTCTAGCTCAAGGAGCTGATCAAATGGATCGGCAGACATGTCGATGTTTGATATTGGCTTGCCGCTTTGACTCTTCCTTGGGCAATATGGCGACAATCTCGCGCGCAGTCGTGTTCAGCTGCGAGGCTGGTGTATCTCAGGAAGAGACGATGGATTGCAAGAGGCTCACAATATCAGGACGTCTATCATATCGTTGATGTCTCAAGGCGAGAGTGTATATGTTGGAAAATGCTCTGGGAAAATCTGAGGCTTAAATGTAAGCATCAAGACTAGCGGCTTGGGTGGATGACTAAGAATATTTGTGCGGCAGGCGCAAGTGCGCAGGTGGCAAGTGCGTGCAGGTGGCAGGTGCAGTCCAGGCAGTCAGTCACACCTTCCTCAGTGCGGGGATTCAAATGACTCCCAAGAATTCTGAGATATTCTGATATTCTGATATTCTGATATTCTGATATTCTGATATTCTTGTTACTCTGCATCCTCTCTTCAACCACCTCAACACTGACGTCCACCCTTTCAAGCAGGCGATAGACCATAGAAAACCTCAAGAAGCCATACACTCTCACTCGATCCTTTTGCGTTGTCCTCAAATCCACCCAAGGCTGAGTCATAGAGCCACATTCAACCCACCTTCCAGCCCACCATGGGCGACCAGAAGATCTTGCCCAAAGAAGGCCAAAGAAACATTCTCATCACCTCTGCCCTACCATATGTTAACAATGTAAGTGTACTCTGAGCCCTGCGATGGATCAATACTGATTATGACTGTTTAGACTCCTCATTTAGGCAACATCGTTGGCAGCGTGCTCAGCGCCGACATCTTCTCCAGATACTGCAAGGCCCGAGGAAGACCTACCCTTTTCGTTTGCGGAACGGACGAGTACGGCACTGCCACTGAGACAAAAGCGCTGGAAGAAGGAATTACCCCAGAAGAATTATGCGCGAGATACAATAAAATCCACGCCGAGGTCTACGAGTGGTTTGAGATTGGTTTCGACATCTTTGGTCGAACTCCTACCCGCCAACACACGGAAATCTCCCAATCAATCTTCCTGAAGCTCCTCGAGAATGGCCACCTCACCGAACACACCAACAGCCAGCCTTTCTGCGAGAAGCATGGCAAGTTTCTGGCCGATCGATTCGTCGAAGGCACGTGTCCCAAATGTGGTTATGACGACGCTCGAGGTGACCAGTGCGACAAATGCGGAACTCTCCTCGATCCTCTCGAATTGATCAACCCTCGATGCAAGGTGGACGGAGCAACACCGACGGTGCGGGAAACCAAGCATACCTACCTGCGGCTGGACGAGCTGCAACCACAGGTTGAAGAGTGGGTTCACAAGTCGATCGAAAAAGGTGGCTGGTCAAGAAGCGCAAAAGTGATCACCGAGGCGTGGTTGAAACAAGGTCTGAAAGAAAGAGGCATCACTCGAGACCTGGCGTGGGGTGTTCCAGTTCCTCGACCGGGATACGAAAACAAGGTGCTTTACGTCTGGTTCGAAGCGTGCATTGGGTACCCTTCGATCACGGCCAACTACACGGACGAGTGGGAAAAGTGGTGGTACAACCCGGAAAATGTGCAGCTATATCAATTCATGGGCAAGGACAACGTCCCTTTTCATTCCGTCATCTTTCCGTCATGCCAGTTGGGAACCAAAGACAATTGGACCAAGCTCCACCATCTCTCTTCCACCGAATATTTGAATTACGAGAATGGTAAATTCAGCAAGAGCCGTGGAATCGGAGTTTTCGGCAACAACGCCAAGGAGACCGGTGTGCCTCCGGATGTGTGGAGGTACTATCTGCTCAAGAATCGACCAGAGTCCAGCGACACGCAGTTTGAGTGGCGTTCATTTATCGATGGCAACAACTCGGAGCTTCTGGCGAAACTGGGCAACTTTGTCAACCGAATCATCAAGTTGGTCAATTCCCCCAAGGCTTACTCAGGAGTGATTCCTGAGTTCGATCCTCACAACCTTCCCGAATCGTTCAAGGAGCATCTGGCCGAGATTACTGAGTCAGTGAAGCTCTATCTTTCGGAAATGGAGGCAGTGCATCTTCGAAATGGAGTGAATGTCGCCATGAAGATCGCCGAAGCTGGCAATGGTTTGATCCAAGCTCATCGGTTGGACAATGCGCTGATCGCCAACGACCCAAAACTGGCGGCTGCGGTGGTGGGAACAGTCATCAACCTCATCTACCTCACGTCGGCCATTTTTGAGCCTTATCTTCCTGCAACGACAGCGTCCATCCGCAAACAGCTCAACCGAGACTTTTTACAGATTCCTTCGGAAGAAGACATTGAGGGAGGGTGGCTGCCGACTTATATCCCATCCGGCCACAAGATTGGTCAAGCAGAATACTTGTTTACTAGAATAGACGAGAAGAAAGCAGACGAATGGAGAGACTACTTTGGAGGAAACCAAGCGGAGCGAGAGAAGAAACGCAAGGAAGAAGCAGAGCTTGCAGCCAAGAAGCTTGCACAAAAGGAAAAAACCAAGGCCAAAAAGGCGGCACAGAAGGCGGCGGCAGCAGCGGCAGCAGCAGGAGGAGGGGAGGGGGTCGAGAAGAACGCCAAAGGAGGGTCAAAGGGTAAAGATGCAGTGAATAAAGTGTCGGGTGTAGGAGAGGATGCTGCTGTAGAAAAGATGACGGACGGCGTGGCTCAGGTGACACTGCCGAGTTCTTGATGATAAACATGGGCCGTGGAGTGAGGGACAGCGGACAGCGGACAGCATTTACGAAGAAGATGTTAGACTCAAGGTCATGTCGAGCGATGATATGTTCAAGATGTCCTGACTGATGCAGAATTTCCATCTGTGATCATCTGTAGTGCGATTTAGGATACAATGAAACGAATTGCTCGAATGTAAATGCCCTTGTCTATGTCATGAATGTAGATGGTACAAGTCGTCTTGGTGCTCACTGTCGCCATCGCCACCCATCTTGAAAGGTCCACAAGGCTTGATGTTAGTTTTCTTTGTATAACAAAACTGATGCTCGGATTGCCATATGGACTGAGAGTCAATTGGAGGTTTGGTTGGAGCAGCATCGGATTTGGCCGCCGCTTGTGAATTTATCCCCAACTTCCAAGGCGTTTCGCTGGGGCCGAGGGGCTGCTGGGATCTTGATGGTTGGTCCAAGGTCATCGGGAGGGCGTAGCAACTGGAACAGCTGGAATTACGTGATTGTGAGGTTTGATCACTGCCGAGGAAGAGAATTCCATGGTCAGGTCATGCCACCAGACACCATCAAATCTGTTATATAATTATATTCGAATGTCAAGCCTTTGGTCGTGATAGTTGTAGTAGTGGTAGTGATGGTGAATTGATGTCCTCCTTTTATTCCCACTAAATCATCCTTTTGGATCGACCATTCATCTACATCTATCCATCACCATGTCCTTCGATAGCATCCCCATTCTCGATCTCTCGCTGGCGAGGGACCCCGCCACCAAGCCACAATTCCTACTGGATCTTCGCCACGCCTTGCTGGAGGTCGGCTTTTTATACATTAAAAACACGGGGATCCCGCAGCCACTGATCGATGAAGTGATCGATCTAGGCAAGAGGTTCTTCACCCTTCCTGACGAGGAGAAGCTCAAAATCGAGATGAAGAACGCCCCGTCGTTCCTGGGCTATAGCAAACTCGGCATGGAAATCACTCGCTTCAAGACCGACTGGCGAGAACAGATCGATCTATCCACTCCTCATCCAATTCCCGGTCCAGACGATCCGCTCTATCGCAACCTACTCGCTCCCAACCAGTGGCCCGCCGAACAGGCTCTGCCCCGCTTTCGCCAGGTCTATGAGGATTACATGGCCCGCATGGGTGATATGTCGATGGAGTTTACCAGCCTGTGCGCCCAAGCCATCGGTCTGCCAGCTGACGCCTTTGCCCAATTTTTCGACGACTCTCAGCAGCACAAGTTGAAGATTGTCAAGTATCCGGATCTCGAGGAGCTCGGCGTCGAGGGCGAGGCTCAAGGTGTGGGCCCCCATAAGGACAGCATGTTGACCAGTTATCTCCTCCAAGCCAGTCACCATCGTGGCCTGCAGGTGCAGAATGCAGAGGGCCAATGGATCGACTGTCCGCCCTTGGACGGTACTCTAGTCGTGGCCATTGGCCAGGGCATGGAAGCTCTCACTCAGGGTGTCTGCCAATCAACCACCCACCGCGTCCAGAGCCCAGCACGAGGTACTGGCGCCAGATACAGCATTCCCTTTTTCCAGGGCGTCAGCTACGATGCCACTTTCGAGAGCATGGACGTTCCAGAGCCGGTGAAGCAATTGCGCGCAGACATCCTTAAGAAGAGAGGTGGCCAGCGTCTCGACGACATCGAATTCACTTTTATCAAGGGCATGTGGTCCAGGCTCGGTGAAGCTACCTTGATGAACCGCATCAAAAGTCATCCTGATGTTGGAGAACGATGGGTAAGATACGGTCAACTGTCACCCTCTCTTATTTGAATTGACACTAACCACAATTCTTAGTATCCTGATCTGCTGAAGAAAATACATGCCCAGCAGGCTGACGAGGCCGCCAGAGTGCTTGCAGCAGATACTGCCTCTACCACATCAAGCCTTCCACCACAGCCCCAGTCCGTTTCCGCACGTTGATATTGAGATCCCTCCATCTTGTAATGTCTTTAGTAGCACTTGTTTAGCGAGATGGCTCAGGTAGATGATACTTTAGTCGCAGTTCTTCCGACCAGTCGTTGGCTTCGTCGCTCTGGTTGTCGGACATGGTGGCTTTGGTTTTGTCGACGTTTACTATGGCCGGCCGTGACGAGTCATAGGGGTGCTAGGCGGTGTGGTAGGCAAAAACGGGGGAACATGGTGAACAAATCCCATCCTCAGCGTCTGGGTTGATTGCGGGCGGTTGCGTTGAAGATTTGAAGATTTGGCCACCTTTTAGCGTGTGCTTTTGACGAGGAGACTCTCTTTCATCTCCTCTCGGCCACTCTCAACTAAGCAGACTCTCTCTCATATGCCCTCAGACAAGTAGCCTCACTCTCGTCTCCTCTCATATAAGTAGATTCACTCGCATCTTATCCTCATCCAGCGTATCCTCTCGACCAAGATAAACGCACCATCGCCTCCACCTACCCACTCTCCTCCATGGCGAACCACTCCCCGTATGAAAACTATACACTTGAACGCCTACTGTAAGAAGCTAGTAACCGCTATCTCTCCACTCCTAGAGACCCCTCCAACGGATAGATAGTGACATTCCTCGATAATAGTGACTACCAGCGCTTAAGAACTACTTAACTATTAATAGATCAAGCATAAGACGCCGACTCTAGTCCAGTAATACCTCTAGGTCTCTACTTCTATTCGTTTATCTACGCGACCCTCGTTAGCTACTGTGCTTTTATACTCTTCGCCTTTCAATATATCCCGGATATCTCCATCCTATAGATTAACGACGACGGCGCCTACTTCTGGTATGAAATAGTCAAGAAATGATATAATTGACCGGTGTATGCTTCTGTGGCGCTGTCTTTTATCTACTCTGGGTCCGAGATGCCTAAGAAGAAGTGCACGTGACTGAGATCACCTCGTGGCATCCATCATGTGCACCTGCTTGGCACTTATCTAGTGTTGTCACCGCACCTATCAAATCACATACACGCCTAGCACAGCACCCCTCACAAATTCTTTTCTTCATACTTTAAATCCTCCAAAAATTCCTCCACAAATCGCTCAGGTTTGACACAGCCTTGTGTAGTTAATTTCGGTCGCGTGGCCTAATGGTTAAGGCACCAGTTTTCGGTTGCGAAGCGTAGGCTCAGCTTAAAATCACTGGGGATTGGGAGTTCGAATCTTCCCGCGATCGACATCGATTGTTTTTTGCCCTTTTGGCTTTCTGTCGACGCCTAGAGCGACGTGCACGCGCCTAGCATGATTATTTTTTTGATTCCCAGTGGAGGGATCATCATGGCAGTCCCGTCATCCCCATTTCACACAAAGATTCCAGATTCCGCACTACATGGTGAAGCGAGGCTGCAAGAATGTTCATCTACCTGAGCCATCTCGCTTAAAAAAAGTGCTTCTGAAGACATTGCAAAATGGAGGGATCTCAATATCAACGTGCGGAAACGGACTGGGGCTGCGGTGGAAGAGTTGAGGTGGTGGAGGCAGCTTGTACCACGAGCACCCTAGCTATAGTTCATAAGAGACTACTCCGTAAGCTCTAACTTTAAGCTCTAACTTAGGTATATACTACTAGGAGGGTTCGGCGCCTTGGAATCATATATCGGCGTCGCTCCTTCCCCGCGGATGATATTTGGTCCCCTTGCACCTTCCCTGGTATGATGCTCGCTCCTTCCTTTTTGAGACGGCATTTGCGCTATATCACATCTCATCAACCTCAAGTGTAAGTATGTTCCTAACCAAACAGTAGACACTTCGCACTGCCTAGCCGCGGTGTTTGAATTGGCTGCGTCAATCAAAGGCAAACACTCGTGTTCAGCTACCAACATCGACATTATTCGGGATCCTATACAGCTCGTGTTCAAGGGATCACCAATCTCCACTCGACAACCTGACATGCTGGCGAGCAAGTTAATCCTCGCCTCCTTGAATCAACCTGGGTTTGATGATTCTTGACGTATCTGATCCTTTCGATCTATCCTCTGCCTCCGCATATTACTTCCGCAGCCAAATGCACGTCCCTTCTCGCCAAGGATAGCCACAAACAAAGAACTCCAGAGGCGCGCCAGTAACACTCTCAAGCACACTGATGGATTCTTGAATAGTAGACACTATTGCGTCCTGGCTGGAGTCCAAGGTCAACCTTCAGCTTCAAGCAAATTTCCACTCATCTTGACTAAAAGGCTTCTCTATACTGGCTGACACCGGGATATTGGGCTTGCTCGACAATCTGATCGAGTTCTCATCCATCTCCTTCCCAATTGCCTCAGACGACGACAACATTCATCTTTGTATCCAGTAGCATTCAATCTCATTGCCTTGAGTTAATACTTCACGATTAGCCTGGGCAGTGAACAGAATACCCTCCTGCGTCCATCTCTATTCATTTGCGATACGAAGTTGTTCGCAACTGAATGACCCCAAATCACCCCAGACGCAAACCCACGGACCGCACAGACCGAACACCCAAGCCATCGCTGTCAGTGGAATTGCCGCGTCTCTGTGTACCGGGTCCAGAACCTCGAGGATCTTTGCAATATAGACGAACAGGTAAGACACAGGTATGATCAACCCAACAACTATAAGATTTCCCTGTTCCCCAATCATGAACTTGTTGCGAGCAAGGGTCAATCCAACGACAGAGCCAGGTAAGCAAAATGCAACTCACAACACTCTTCACAGCTCTAGCAGCTGGCGTAACCTTGGCTTCAGGCAAGGTCTTGACTGTCATCGACCCATGTCCACAGGTCACCACTTCGCACCGCCTGTCGACTATCACTGCTCAACATCAGGTCATTTCCACGTGTGCCCCGACTACTGCATGCTTCTTTCGCAAATGCTCCACCATCTACCCACCCGTACCAACGACTTGGGTGTCGACTACAATTCCATGCGACTATGATGGCAACAAGCATTCATCCACGCTGGTCACAAAGATCACCCAACCCGTCACATGTTCCGCCAGTAGCAGTAGTCTCACAAAGGTAACATCAGTCCCGGTCACCGTCAACAACAAGGTCTTCACAAAGACGATCACCCTAGAGATGACAGCTCGAAAGGAATGGTCGGCCAAGTATGAGAACCTTGGGCCGTTGGCTATGCCTGGCTACCCCGGTTCCGGGCTTTGCAAGGACTGTACCGCCAAAGACGGTTCCATCATCCAGGTCTTCAACGTCAAGGAATGCAGATCCAATGCTAAAAGCACCGAGTGCATCCTCTACGATGAGACGCGAGTTTTGCCTGCCCCGGCTACTGTTATCACCCAAGCCGCATGTCCCGTAAGGACATCCGTACCATCTGCCGGTACTTACACGTTCAAATTTCCTCAAACTGTTCCTGCAAGAACCGTCACAATCAGGGAACAAGTTGTCACCTACACCAAGACTGTATGGAACGCCTATGTCACCAGAGTATGCAATGGACCGACCAACTTTGACTTTACAACCACCGTGACCAAGACTTTATTCGTCCGTCCTCCTCCCGCTACGTCTGCTGTTACAACAAGTGCCGCTCCAAAAGGCTGGGAAGATTGGGTGGCACCTCAGCCCACATCCACCCCTGCCTCGACAAAGAAGACCACCTCTTCTACTCGAAGACCGGCTTTGGCCACCACCACCACCAGCAACTCACACAGCCGCTCCATTATCGAGACGTTCTCAACTTCCACGGCCTCTTCCTTAATTGGACCCGTTCAACCTGGTACCACCACCACCATCTCTTCCAGCCGCTCCATTATCGAGACGTTCTCAACTTCCACGGCCTCTTCCTTAATTGGACCCGTTCAACCTGGTACCACCACCACCATCTCTTCCAGCCGCTCCATTATCGAGACGTTCTCAACTTCCACAGCCTCTTCCTCAGTTGCACCTGTTGAACCTGGTACAACCACCACTTTGTCAACCTACACCACTCAACCATCGAGCACAACAACCTCATCCTTCTCCCTCACTGGCCTTCCCGAACCCCCAACGACGTCACATACCAGAAGTTTCACTTTCTCAACGGATTCTTCCAGGTCAGTGCTACCGCTCCCAGCACAGACATGCGTCCAACCCTCTCTTTCGGCCCCCAACTCAGCTCAAGTCACGGCTGCACTCAACCAGTGGGTCTCAGACATCACCACGGTTAACAGCTTCCTCGAAAGAGTCTTGGCGCAACCTCCTCCAGTTCTACACGAGCACGAAATTGAAGACATCGCCCGCGAGATCTACACTACTGCCTTTGACGAACCCTGCCAGCTTTTCACTCTGGTATCCGCGATTGAAAATGCTGGCCGCACAAGTGAGGCATCTCAATGTGCTTTCGATGATCTCGCAAACAGCCCTGTACCTGTATTCCCAACCTTTGTCCTTGGCTCGCTTGCGGATGTCATCAGAGACCCCAGCAGACTGTTCATCGGAGCTGAAATCATCAACCATCGACGATGTTGCAATGTTTTGCGAGACGTCGATGTTTTGTTCCAAGCCACCTCGGAGACGTATCCCGGGCTTTTGCTGACTGCTCCTCGGCCTTCGACCTGCCAGGCTGTCGACTGTAGCAACCTGAGAGATCCTCCTGCAGCCACCTGCTCCGCCCTGCCTTTTACTCCCATCAACCCTACTTCTACCACATCTAGCCCTCCAACACTTCCAACTACAACAACGACCAGCCCGCCCCATTTCGATCCCACGACGACAACAACTAGCCCACCACATTTTGATCCCACGACGACAACAACTAGCCCGCCACATTTCGATCCCACTACAACGACAACCAGTCCACCGTATTTCGATCCTACCACAACCACATCACCGTACGTTGAGCCTCTTGTAACATCTACAAGCTCTACTATGACTCCATAAGCCGCTGTTGGCTCACAAATTAAGGCCCTCCATGTCGGTGGTGTATGCATTACGGCGTTCAAAGGGTCATGAATTGTGTTTCCTGGATCAACTTTGTATAAACTTGAACCTTGCTGTAGGAAATAATTTGCATTCCTGAAACCGGCATTGCCATTCATGGCCCTTTATAATTGAAAATATTCATTGTCTTTGACATCTCGTCTTACGTGTTTCATCTAAATGCCTTCATTGCATCGATGAAGGATATTCTTGCTTTCTCGGTTATGCCCACAATATTCCTCGGGTTTTCACCTCTATCCGAGGGACTAGCATCGCTCTCTGCGTGCGCCCTGCCAACTCAAGGGTCGGAAGGGAAGCCCCATACTAGGTAACGAGTGATTCGGATAGAAAATTGGACCATAGGTCATCACTGGCGGCATGATCTCCATCAACTCCCTGTGAAAAGACCAGGAACGAATTTACCAACTCAAACGCCGTCGATCGGCTATCCGCTAGGTCTGGAATGGGACCCTTTTGTGGGGTTTCATTTTGAAGGAGAACAGCTCGGGTTTCCACTGCAGCGAGTATAGATTCAAACCAGCCACACAACGTGTCAGCCCTGAGACTTTGCTGCAGCTCAGCCCGGGAGGTCAAATTGGCTAGAGATCGTCGAAATGCTGTAATATGATTCAATGTCAAGGGTGTTCTCACCACTGCCACCGTAGAAAGGCTGGTAGACGACAAGGCCATTTCCAACCTTGGGAGCATGAAGAGAGCGGTGATCAAATGCATCCACTCCCCAATCCCGAAGGCCACGAGATACTCAGGGCTTTTGGTGAAGCGCAGGCTAAATTGTGCCAGTAAGGTATCAAGCGCTCCGAGCCCTGCATGGACGTCTTCCGCGAGTGGTGAGCTTCGGTCTCGTGACTTTAGCAATGTATGTGCCATGATGAATAAAGAGGTTGTGTATGAGGAGGAGTAGTGAGCCTCCGGATTCTCGATACATCGCTGGTTCCATTTCTGCATTTCCTGTCTATAGTCTTCTGCGTCAACACTTTGCCCCGTTAGTGCCATTAGTCGGCGTCGACTGTACCCCAGCAATATCTCGATCAAATCTGGGACTTCATGGTCGGGGTTTTTGGATCCAAATCGATGGACCACTTGAGCCGCGCTCCTCAACGCTTCAGTGCAGTACATACTGGTAGGTCGTTCGAAGCCAAGGTCAGAGATGATGGTGAGATAGTAGCAAAGTAGAAATGCACGGGCTTCGTCAACGGTTGTTTGCGATCCTTGCGCTCTGTCAGTCAGTCGCACAACACTTCGAGGTAAGTTGAGATCCTCAACCATTCCACCTGCCAGCTGCATGAGCTGGTAGAATCGTTGCGTGTGCACGTTGAACCGCAGATGGTACCAGTTCAGATACGTGAGTAAGCCTTGAAGTAGTTCCAAGGTACATTGGCCTTGTACTATGCTCTTCTCTGCGAGTACTCGACGAAAGAGCATGGCAGCCTCGAGTTGAAAGTCCGGATCCCGACTGGTCGCGGTCAAGATAAACGCGAGAACTAGAACAGGCTTTTCCTGAGCAAACGCCAAGAGCAGATCAGAGCGTTCCACCGAAGAAAACCTCATATGTAATGGTAGCGCGAACAAAGCAGCCTCTGCCATGGTCTCGTAGTGCCCTAAGTATTCCAGACAGGTCGGTAAGTTTAGTTCAGCCATCCGTGGGTATCTCAGTGCCTCTGGACCCTGAATTCCTGTGCTCTGCATCAATTCCATGCCGAATGTCAATGTGACTTGGGGCTTTGGTATATGGTTCGGGGAAGGATGAACCATTTGCAAGCTAGCCTCAGGCGGGATGGGGTCGTCTTTTCCATGCCTGTTCACTTCGATGAACCTGATTCTGTAGATTTCAGTATTCCTAAGGTCTGATATAGGTATTCGATCTCTTACCGTTGAGCTGTTTTACGCGTCGTAGGAGCTTCGTGGGGAACACAAGAGATCTTGAATTGCTTGCATCTAGGGCACGAGTCACACACTTGTGACTGGGGATCAACGAGGGTAAGGGGTTTTACCTCTTGCATTTCTGGCATCCGGAATCGTACACGCATTTGGACTTGCGTGCCCGACATGTCTCACATGCTTGCCTGCACCGATCTCTCATCACTCGCTGTGTTTGAGCCTCAGTGTACGTGTAGGAATTGACATTGAAGTAAACAAGGAGGAAGAGTGAACAAGGAGGAAGAGTGAACAAGTTCCGAGAATCCACATCGGAAGTTATAGCTTCCTAAAGAAGGCAGGCGTTGTCCAGATTGGCCAGAAATATGCTGGCTGTCTGACAACTGCCAGCTCTGTGATAGGTGCGTGGGCATGGTGGGTTTGCGGAATCTATTATTGTCAGACTAAATCAATCCTTTCTCGTCCGAAAACACCGCAAACAGCGTGATATGATTGGCGGAGCCATTGAAATACTTCCTCTGAGCATTCAACAAAGCCATCTTCAGACAGAATCGAGACTCAAACAACTCTGCGATTTGTATTCCGTAAGGGCGCAGACAGTACAGGCGTTCCTCGACCATCGTTCTCTGCACCTGACATGTCTTTGCTACGAAATCTGCATGTCGTCTCATCTGGCGGTACTCCCAGCCCGCTCAAGCCATTCACAAGCAGTATGTCTCGATGCTGACTCTTTTGACATTCTCTTAGCACAGATACATCATGTACTCAAGTCAAGGCCGAGCGTTTTGTCCGCGTTCAGGTGGAAGGAGCCAGCATTACTCTGCTCGAATTTCCAGCTTCGGTAGGCCCTCTCCAACCTCACTGGATACATCTCCTACTCACCTCGCTGACCCTAAGCAGCATGTCCTCGAGCACCTCTCCGAAACCCCAGCTGCGCATACAGCATATGAAAGATGTCCAAGGAAAGGAATATTTAGCCTCCCAGCGCCTCAAACGTCCCATAAGTCCTCATTTATCCATCTACCAACCTCAAATCACCTGGATCTCTGGGGCCACCATGCGTAACTGCGGAATCTTGATATCTCTCCCGATGTATAGCTTTGGAGCTGCATATCTGTTCGCACCAATTTTTGGATGGCATTTCGACACTGCGACTATGGTGGACTGGTTTGGAAGCCTATCGTGGGGGAGCAGGACAACTATCAAAGGAGTGTTTGCGTATCCCTTTGTGTTCCACTTTTTACATGGCCTCCGGCACTTGATATGGGATACTGGTGCAATGCTATCGAACAAGCAGGTCTGGATTACCGGCTGGGCCACTGTTGGAGCTACAGCATTGCTTGGGACCGGGCTGGTTTTTTGGGCTTGAAAGCACCGAGTCTTGACCCTTGTACAGCCAACTAGATTAGGATGACTGATCCGCATAAAGCAAGATACGAAGGCCCTTAGCCCACATTATCATCTTGCCCCTATGCACCAATATTATCTCAAACACCCCTTATGCTGGACCCTCAGTGTCGTGCTTGTGCTTTCGCTCGCGCGTGTCACAACCCAGCCATAGCAAGTCAGGTCTACTGTAGTGACCACAGATATCAAGGAATCCACGCGTCATAATACTCATACTAGGATCGATATCTGCAATCACAAGTCCTTCCTCCGTGGGCTCGATGTATTCGGTTAGTATTCGACCGTCAGGCCCGATCACCGCCGAATAGCCGCCACCGGGTTCTCTCATCAACGGTGAGCCTGCCATCGTCATCAGATCGATGCCTTTATTGCTAATGACCGTTGTGGCGTGAAGAACAAATGTCTGAGTTTCGATGGCGTATGTTTGGGAAAGACATAGGCAGCCTGGACCGAGTCAACAAAGTCACAAACAACTCATAGCAGCGGAGGGCAAGATAAGTACCTTCTTTCGACATGGAATACAGTTCGGGGCCTTTGTGTGGACTCAATGGCGGCCATCCAGCCACGTGGATCTCTTCTCTCTGTGTCGCCGTATGGTATTTAAGCAATGGCTGGCAGTGTTCCCAGCATGCCAAAGACCCCACACGTTTACCTAACTTGGTATCTGCGACGTTGATCAAGCTGTTCCCCGACGCATCGCCAAAGATCGTTCTCTCCATATGTGTGGGTTTCAACTTGCGGCGTTTGATCAAGATGGTTCCGTCAGCATCAATCAGAGCTTGAGCGATGTACAAAGAGTGGTTGTCATTTTCCGAAAACCCAAGTGAGACCACGATTTTGTTTTTGGCCGCGCATGCTTGGATGGTTCGCATTTCATCCGAATCGACGGCCAACGAGTTTTGGATGTACCTCGTCGATAGAACTGGATCCACTGGGCGACTCCTGGAATAAGTATCAACACACCGGCTGCTTGAGGTGATTCCCGAATTATAGTCTTACCAGATCCATGCTGGATATCCAGGGACAAAGGCCTCAGAGAAGCCTACCAGTTTGGCGCCCTGCTGGGAAGCCTCAGTAATCACCTTGCACACCTTCTTCACTGACGCCTTGAGGTCCAACCACTCAGGCTCGTATTGAGCAACCGCGACACGGATTGTGTCAGACTTCTCTGTGCTGCCCATCGCGAAGGATTGGAGGTAATGCAATTCAAAAGAAAGCCAACTTGACGAAGGTTTGGACTCGTAGAGACCCCGCGGTCCTAGTTTAAATACTCATCTTTGGGCGCAAAGGATGTGGCGGCGTTATCCTTGCGCCTTCACTCTATTCGCTCGTCCACCGCTCTAGACCGACCTAACAGCATTTTTTGGCTTCGGTTGTTAGAGGTCGATAATGGTCCGAGGCTCGTGATAACGAGGGCCAATAGACGTCAATCGAAAGCCGATATCTGGCGTGCGGAGCAGTTACCCGCAATCTTTTGATGCTGATTACCGGAGCGGGGGACCCGAGGCCCCTAAACCCTCGTAGCTAATGAACGAGCATGGGGCTGGAATAGTAACCCATATCTTCCAATTAACGGGACTATTTCCGCATACCAAGTCCATCAATCAGACTGCTCAGTGTGATTTGTTCGCCTAGCAGATCAAGCTCTTTGTCGAGAGTTGGACAGGAGGGGAGGACAGCGGCTCCCTTAGTGGGAGTTCCACATGGAGAACAGATGAAGCTAGAGTCTGACTTAATTATGTATTTGTCTGACTGGATTTTTGTGGATTGTGAAAACGACCGATTTCTCGTGATGACCACATGCTGTGTGACCTCATGGTCAGGCCTTCAACATCATTATCATGCCTATTCGATACCGAATTTCTCCATCCTCGGGCAGCCATAGGGGCCCTCGGGCTAAGATAGACCCCACTTAATTCCAGCGATGGTAACCCAAGCCTCGACCATTTCCTCTATATCTCCTCCAGAAACATGAGATTGGTGCCATCTTTGCATCCAATATACTCAGCGTCAAGGTCCCCAGATTTCAAAACACATAGTTCGACGAACAGTGACAATTTGCCGTCTTCGCCATGCTTGCCATTTGGAGCATAAAGCTCGTATGTGTTGCTTCGTAGTTTGACATGATCCTTGAACGACCGTCCAGCCAATTCAAAATGGGCCAGGTCCAGGAAATACATCAACTGGTTTGCCTCTGCCACGGCATTAGATTCAAGAGCTAGATCTTCAGAAGGATCAATCGGTGAGGTTTTCTTCTGAGCAGGATCTGCATTCTCATGAGCGATGTGCATGCTGAATGATGCAACGCCGTTCTTGTTCCTTGCTGTGTTCAAATGGTCCATCCACGACTTAGCGTACGGACCCAATTTCTCCAACCACGTCTCCGTTTCTTCCTTGCTGAAATGCGGCTTCCTTTGTCCCTCGCGGCAGAAGCAGAGATTGTCTGGGATCTTTGTCACTTTGACTCGTCCTAGCCGAACATTTCCAGAGGAGTTTTTGTCGAGGTCGACCACAGTCTGACTAGTGTTTTCTTTTGCTTTGGTCGCGGTGACAAGTGCTGTCGTGAATTTGTCTTCTGGATCTGTATATTTGTCCGGGTTGCTGGCCAGTCGATGGCGATAGACGCCCCAGTATCCTTCATCCGTGCTGTCCTTCAACCCAAGCATGGCAGCAAGACCTGATGCCTCGTACTTGTTGGCTGCAAACATGAAGCGGGATTTGGGCACTGTCATGACTTCACGCCATACTCCGGCGTCATCGGGAAGGTTGACCCAGAACGACTGAACCTCGGCTGTCTGCTTCCACTTCTCATAGTCTGCTGACTTGAGCCAGTATGCCACAAATGTTGTCGAGGTAGGAGCTCTGCGAGGTTGTTCATGGCTTTCGTCCTGAAGGTGATCCACACGATCTGCAGATTGATTCAGTAGATTGTAGAGTTCAAGTATTGTTTTCTTCTTGTTCTCCGTGAGCTCATCATGCTGAACTCCAAATAGAGCGTATGTAAAGACCAGACCATCTGGGTCAAGATTTGCCAGGAACACCATATCGAGTAGATGAGATCCTAGGACTAGGAAAATTACACAAATGTTCAAGTTTGGCACACAACATATTCCATATCGTGTGACATCTACCACAGCTGAGGGTTACTTATACCTCGTATAGTTGAGGAAACCGTGCCGCAGTGCCTCACGAAGCCACCATTTTGATAGGAATTGGCCACGGTCTCCCCGCATTTGACTGGACGCTTCACTGAACCATAATCTGGTCTGCGGTTCTGCCATCCGCACACCCTGAGAGGCGTTCCCGAACCTCAGAAGGTGACCTGGTGGTTCTATTGGCCGTTCATTGGGCACCGTATTCAGTCCAAAAATGGTTACTGGGATCCAATGAGCTTTCCCAGATTAGTCAAAGAACCAGATTCACATCGACCGCTCAGTCTAGGCCCGCGCCCCGTGTGTACAAAATGGGTTAAGCGATAAATTAGTCCGTGATATTCCTCCATAGGTGCTCGGAAGTTGGCGTCGTGGTGGATATCTCCACTTGAAATTACGCAAGTCAGACGGAACCCATTTGACCTCAATCATAATCAGGCTCCGTTGTCGATATCACTCCTTCACAAGTTTGGAATATCATTGATTACGTCTGCGAAAATCTTGGTCTGTAATACACCTCTGGTCACCTCGTCAAACAAAAGCCATGCAGTCAACAAACATGATTGAACATGGTGTCTTACCATGAGCACACAACAACCATGGAATCGTCGTCGACTCAACCGGCAAGGAGAACCAAGGTAGCCTGTGAAGAGTGCAGGAAGAATAAAAGAAAGGTGAGTCTTTGATTTCTTGGTGAACCAGTAATAGCTACCGGGCAGCTCAAAATGATCTCTTATAGTGTGATGGACAGAAGCCTGCCTGCTTTCTCTGTGTCAAGTTTGACAGGCATTGTACCTATCTCAACGAATTATCAAGAAAGTAAGAAAAGGGTCCAACCCTACTAAGTTGTTAAGATCTAAATGCTGATGGGACTGTCAGACGTCGGAATCAAGACGAGGAACTCATTCGCAACCTCGAGAGCCAGGTTCAAATCCTCGAGTCAGCTTTACTGAGCCGGGGAGCGGAGTCCAACAACTATCAAGATGGACATCGCCAAACTATTCGATTGGAGGAATGTCACAACCCTGCAAGTCAGACGAGTGATTCATCAGCTCTTCAAGAGCAAGGCCTGTCAGGCACGAGTGGCGTACCTGGCGACATGAGATCCGATTCGGCCATGGATGAACTAGCCTCCCTGATGTTGGAAATGGACATTGAAGAAAAAGGCGAACCTTCATTCACGATTGCCGCTGGTAGGCGCAGACATTCACAGGTTGATCAAACGGGAATTCACGACATGGGCCAAACATCTAACCAGCAGAAGCGGATGATGACTGTAGTTGACGTCTCGCCCGAGTTTATTCGCCATCTTGTTGACTGCTTTATCACCCATTTCAACCCATTCCATCAATTTATCGAACCGCACGAAAAGGAACAGATCATTCTCAGTGGTACTGAAGTTGCAGATCTTGGTCTCTCTTTCCGAAATGCGGCGCTTCTCGCGGTTGGCGCTTGCTTCTCCGACCATGAAGATGCCAAAGCTACTGGGCTTGCTTATTTCGATCTTGCGTCCAGTCTTCCGTTGATTTCCATTAAACAATGCCCTAGTGAACTCGTGGTGCAAGGTCTGGTGCTGTTGTCATGGCACGAGCTCATGTTTGGCACGGCCAGCTCAGCATATAACTACGTGGGTATGTCATATGTCATGTTCGACAATAACCATCTCTTCCATCTTCTAACCAGGTACAGGAATGGCGACTGGACAAATACTACATCTTGGATATCATGTGGCTGCACTGAGGAAACCGGCGGACTTGACCCAAGTGTTAGCGTCACGAGCTGTCAATGAACGTACTATACGAACATTTTGGTCGTATTTCTCGGTCGATCGGTGAGTGGTCATTTGTTGGAAGTGGAAAGAGTGCAACAGGGGTTCCGAGGCTGACATTTGGTAGACTTATCACATCCTCCCTGGGCATGAATTGTACCCTGCATTGGCAGAGAGTCAGATTACCTCCGTTCAGCAACATTGTTGAAGGGGAGCTGACCTTGGACGAAGCCGCTCATGAGGCTTTCTGCGAGCTATGGCACTTGTGGGACTCTGGAATGGACCAAGTGTGAGTGTTTTTCCATATTGTCCTTTTGTGATAGAACCTTTTCTTTTTAACATGAATGTTCAGATATGCATTTGGATGGGGTCAACTTACGGGAGACGAGCGAGCTGCTCTTGTGCTCAACTCGCATCAATCCTTGACCGGTTTCCACGCGCGAATTGATGATCGACTAAGACTCCGACGGGACTATCTACCTGACAGTGCGGTCTGGTTTCAGATGGCGTACCACACAGCATTGCTGCTTGTTCACCGGCCATTGCTTGGGGAGCCTAGAGATCGCCCCGCGGCCCGGTCGGCGTTCCGGCTAACCACTGCCTCTGCCCTGGCCATTTCAAGCATGATTCGATCGTATCGGAAGAATAAACGGTTTGGAAGCATGTCGCCACAGGTGGTTGATTACGTCGTAAGTGCGGCTGTCATCCATTTACTCAACGCCACGTCCGGCAAGAAATCTGCATTGGGACGCCAGTCCATGAGTGGGATAAGGACGTGTCTGGATGCATTGCAGGACATGCACCGTCAATGGCCTTCACTTAGTACACGCTCAATCAGGCAGATCCAAGCCCTTGCAAATCGGTGGAAAGTTGTTTGGGCTTTACCAAGTGGTTTGGCTGGACTTCCTGTAGGCATGCCAGGTACTGGGATTGCTGAACAACAGCAGCTGGTTGTCTCGGCAGCTACACGAGATCTGGACTTTGAACCAGCTTCTGAAGACCTAGGATTTTCAGAGCATACTGACAGTCCTCCGGCCGAGAGCTGCGAGATCAATGATCCTCTGGACTTTTGGAACATGGACGACATCGAATGGAGTACTTTTATCTTCGACGAGGCAACACCACGGCCCAACATGCAATCTCTCATCAACACATTTCACAATCCAGCTCGTGCATGGGAGCAGTGAGCCCAGAAATCGGAACTTTAGAATCGAAATTGTAATCCCTTCCCTTCTTTTCTTTTCTGATATATATTCTGGGCCCATCGAATCTACAGCTTGGAATCTCTGGACTTGTTTCCTGTCACACCGCCCATACCATCATCTCCTATAGGGTCCTTGGATGACTTTTCGGCTTTCAGACTGACTGGATCACCCAACATTGACCCGTTCCCCTCCTTGGCCTGTTGGAGATCGCGCTGTGCTGTTTCCTTCAGACTAGGCTTGGACTTTGAACCTGCGCCGGCATTTCTCTCTGAAAGATCCTCCTCGGTGGGCGACGGGGCGATATTCTGCAGAGATGGAGTCGTCTTACCCCTTGATGTCTTCTGGCTTGGTCGGTCGTTCTCCGTAGGAGATGTATCTGAGGTTTCAGCCTTGAGCGAAACAGGATCGCCGAGTGCGGTAGGATTCGATTTGACCGATTCAGCAAGGGTCTTGTGTGCCATTGTGAGCGGTATATGCCTGGGACTAGACGACCTGACGATATCTAACGAGGGGGGCTTCGGATCTGGAGATATTTCCGCTTCTAGGTACAGCAGTGGGTGTTAATAGTATGATGATATGAACGATAGCTTCAAGGCAACGAGGGCGACCTTGGATAGAAATATTCAAGGCTTACGCAGAAGACCACACGTGAAAGATAATGATACATATTCTACCTCGGCTGCTAAGACGAGTCAACGTGTCAGTAAGTAACTTAGTCTAACAACTGATATTTGGCCGGTGTAGTGTGATGATGTCGATTGTGGTGACCTGTGACGTCTTCCATTTTCCCCCGACATTCAACTCTATGAGCATTGGAGTCAAATTCATCGGCGGCACCACCCGTGAAGATCAAATCAGATCAGATGAGATCGGAGAACGGCTCGCCTAGAGATCGACACAAGAAAAGCAGATTGGCCCAGGGAATGAAGGAAAAGAGATATTGGTAGTACTAAACTAGAAGCAGTAGTAGTCGTAGTAATTATGTACGTTTCATCTCTAAGTACCTAACCTAAGGCAACGAACGACTGACTCTTAGAGTCTGATACATAGATTGCTGTGAATAATGTCGAGATTTTTAACTACTACCGAATAACGATACCATGACCAACCTCCCTCGGGACTTGAGGCTTGCTAGCTCGGTGTGGTGTGCATCGCAAACGAGCGTGAAATACATGGCTGTAATAAGTACAGAAATCGGATGCCCCCTCCCTGACTGTAGCGGAGGAAAAAAAACATATGTCATCATCGCCTGTCATTCAACACCCAGCAAATTAAAACTTCGTAACCAGTGAATGAGCTCAGTGTCACGCCACTGGGGAATGACAGCCAGCCAGCCAGCCAGCCAGCCAGCCTATGCTTTCTTAAGCAGAACCACAAAGGTGGCCTTGCGACCTTCGACATGGTCCAGATAGGCATCGAGCTCTTCATCCTCTTCTATCAGATAGGAGATCTCGTGCCCAGTGTTATCTTTTTCGATGCCGTCGATCCGTGCAGGTTTGGCTTCGGGATATTTGCTGGCCAGCAGGAGGTGCAATTCGGCTACCGACCGGCCTGTCAAGGAACCAAGCCACATTTTGGTGTTGTTGTAGACGTTTGACTTTGGATGTGGTCGGATGTACACGGCTGTTACGGCCGACTCTTGAGGTTCGACCAGCTCGTCTGCGGCCTGGAGCAAATTTGGATCAATCTGGAGGTCTGAGAGGTCGGTGCTTGGAGCCGCCGGAAGATCTCCAAATGGGTTTGCGGGAAGAGAGGGTGCATAAGGTGTGCTTTCAGATGCGGCTGTAGCCGCCGCTGCAGCAGCAGCGGCTGTTTTTCGGGGGGTGCTCTCAGATGGTCGCTTTCTGAAAGTGCCTTTGGCTTTGGCTTTGTCGTCGCGAACGCGTTTCATGACATCGCGACACAAAAGCTCCAGTGCAGACTGCTTCTTCAAGAGGTCGGCGGCGTCGGCGTTAGTAGGGTCGAGGATTTCCTTCAACAGAGGTGTCTCTGCAATCCACTTGTTCTTGAGATATTCCCACATCTCTGGGCCCATTTCCAGCTTGCTGGTGTAGTGCTCAGCGTTGAGGATGTCGTAAAACCCAGCACGAATTTGGCGACTCTGTTCAGGGTTGATACCCAAGACGTTCTTGGACTCGAGAATCGTGAGACGACGGCCCATGGTACGAATCCTTTTGGTAACATCGGTACAGATGACGTCGAGGGCGAGTCCCTTTTTAGTGTGTTCTTGGGGATCCGAATTGTTGGTCCAGAGAGCAGCTTGCAGGGTGGTGTTGTTACGAACAAGTCGATCTTTGGCGCCTTGCCATTTCTCGGCGCCTGCAACGGTCTTTTGAAGGATTTGCTCTTCTTCACAGATGGCTTGAAACTCATCACGAACGGCGCGGTATTGCTTGGTCTCTAGGCCCAGGATGGCTCTGCTCTCTTCCAACGTTGTCTCTGAAGGAAAACGCGGTGGGCCAGGAGGGTCGGCTGGAAGGCCAGCATAGCCTTTGGTTCGACGACGGCGCTTCTTGCTCTTCATTCGATCGTCGCTCTCGGCTTGAAGACGGTCGAGTCTTGCCTTTTGTCGTTCGATAAACTCGGCAGGTGGCTGAGACGCGACGGTTTCTGGCTCTGGTGCTTCGGATATGCCAGTCTCGTCTTGAGCGGCTTCGAGGAGCTGGGCCTCAATCTGGGTCGTGTCATCGTCACCAGGCTGTTTTGGTCCATTTGGGATGCGCATCAGCCATCGATTCTTTGCACGCAATCTCATCAACTCTCGTTCCTTAATCTCATGACCTTCTTCGTGTAAGATGGCAAGCATGTTGCGTTGGCTGTAATTGTTTTCCCATAACTCTTTGACGCGGTCGACTAGGTCTTCATCTCGAAAGGCGGGTTTGCGCTTGGAGGGAAAATCCCAACGCTTGAACTGAGTCTGGAAGGCTCTTTTGGATGGGGTGAAATTGTAGTTGTCTCGCATATGCTGCATGATGTCCTCGAGGGACTGGGACTTGTTAGATCGGGAATCTCGAGATGGAATAGATGATTGGGGTGACGCGTACCTTGCGCTCTTGGATGTACAGCTGAAAGCAGACATCTTTGTGAGGATCCCAGTTGTACACCTGGGCGCGTTAGTAACGATAGTCGAAGAAAAGTCTCGAGAGATGGAGGGGAATACCATGATGCCTTTGTCGTTGCTCGACCGTAATGCAAAAGCGCGTTTCGAGATGCGCGAGATGCTGGGACGGAGTGTTTGTCCTGTGGTGGCGGTTGTGGTTCACTGTGGAATTTGCTCAAGTCGCGCAGATGGAGGTTGAGGTGCAACTTGCTTGGCAGATCTTGGCGGCTGGCGAGTTTAGTCACGTGACAATAGAAAGAGTCTGGAAAATCTAAGATCCTGTCCGACATGGCAACACCTTCCTCGTCAGTGTTCATCAAGGGTACTATTTAGATGTCATCTTAGCAACAACTATGGCTATACACACATTGATCTATATCATGTTCTATGAAAAGTACTTGTTGGAAATAAATGATGTACACTGGTCATCTATCTCTGTCGACCAGGTCTGGGTCCAATGTTCTTCCTCCACTCGTCATCAATACCAACCCGTTCTTTGCGTGATTTGGCTAACCAACGCGTCTGCCACTCTTGTGTAAATGCCTCCCAGTTCTCTGCCTCGGGAACGACAAATTCAGCGATAGCATGTGCACTCTCATTGACTGCCTCCATAGGTATCAAATGGCCAGCATCGATCATGACTTCTTTAACCTTGCCGTAATCTCGCCCGCCACTCCCCCCAACGCCAGTGCCTGTGCTCTCCATCTTTTTTCTTCTTAACTCAGGGGTCGCGTAGTCAGACTGTTTCCCAAAAATGTAAAGGACCGGCGGTTTGAACTCTGGGAGGCGTCGAAAAATCTCAGCGGGTTCGGGCCGGTAGAAAGGAAAATCCGGCTCAACATCATCCGGGTGCATGTCTCCATAGTTGGCACGATCCAACTCAGGCGTCGTATCCACCAGGCCGAGATATTTTGGCCGCAGATAAGAAAACACTTCTTGGGCAACGGGAGTCTTCAGAGTCACCGGCTTTCCCTCGCCTTCCACTGGGTCCGGATACAATTCTGTGGGCAGCTCTCTCAGGCCATGCTTGTTCCATTCGGCCAGTACTCGAGGATCCCACGCCTGGTAGAACTTGTTAGCACTAAATTTGGTCGCAGCGTCTTCTCTTGAAGGCCAAATATCTCTTCGATAAGTTGAAGCTGGTGCAAACTTCTTGCTTGGGTTTTCTGTCTGAATTATGGGGTCAATTGCCACCAGTCCGCGCAGTAGATTGGGATGCAGCAGGCCTAGCTCGACTCTGTGATATTGTAAGATGCTGTTTCCAGAGGATGGAAGAAGAATGACTCACAATATTGATCCCCCCATACTATGGCCTATACCAAACAGCGGCTGAGGCATGTCTTGTTGTTTCTGGTTGATAAAGTAAAGTAAATCTCGTGCTGCGTCCCACCAATTCGCTATACCAGTCAATTTGGGGAGGTCTTCTAGAGATTTTGAGCACCAACTTACGATCATTTCCCAATGAATGTTCATTGATGACAGCACTTTCTCCCTGATGAGCAACATCGGCAATCCAGATGGATCGAATTCGCCTTCCCTGTTTCTCCATCTTCTCATAAAGGTCGTCCCACAGTGGCTCATACAATTCCTTTCCCACATGTCAGCACGTCCAACAAACCAACTCAAGCCAGAGATCAAGACAGACTTTAACGAATCCATTGGCGTGGGCAGCGATGAAAGTAATGTCGCCTGGCTGCGGAGATGGGTTACTGATCGGAGTGTATTGCTTTACGGCCAGTTTCAAAGCATTCTCATGCCCGACCTCAGTCCCCCTTGGCCAGTGTCTTGTATGTTGAGTTGGGACAAGATGCTCAGTTACTTGATAGTGCGACAGGTTTCTTCGAATGCCTCGGTCGTGGCGGACTGTTACGAGACGGTGACCATATCTCACAGCTGGGAGCCTGCCACTCCTCCACAGCGACATTATAGAATGCACCACCCAATACTCAAATCAACAATCCATTGGTGAGGAGACTCAAGTGGTTGCCTCTAGTTGGCTTATGGTCTTTGGATATATTTCCAAGTCTGGTTATTCGCGGCTGGACAAAACTCGGCCTTTGGAGTTGGAGTGATCTGGGCCGAGGAGCCCATGAACCTCTATTAATTGCCCCGCACTGACCTGGCACAGTAACACTACTTAGAGGGTACCTATGCGACGGCCCGGGTGCTCCAGGTAAGTCTTGGGGAGTCTGTTGCCCAACGGTGACGCCTGGAGAATAGTGGAACCGATCGTTTGGTCCTGGCCATCTAGATATCTATCCTAAATTGGACCTCACAGACCTTTAACTTAGCCCCTATAATAAGTGCCTAATTGTTAGTATTTCATGCTTCTCGAAGGCTTTCTCGGCCCAACTTCCGGGCTCCCCGCCTGTTGCTCGTAGCCAGTAGAAATTGTATGTGTAGGCAACAGGTGCAACCAGAGGGAGATATAATTAGAGCCTTCCAAGGTTGTCGATTATCGTAAAGTGGGTTCAAAAAAAGGCACCGATTCCCCTATACTCCGTATTAGCCGCCACTTGACCCCAACGACCAACCACAGACCAGTCGACTATCCACTTGGGTGAGGCGTGTTTACTTTTCATCATGATTTTGAGACGAACTAGTCAAAAGAGTCTGCCCCCTGTAAGCCTTGGAAACAGGACTTTATCAACTTGTTGGAACTTGTACAGTGATGGCTACGTTTCGAGGGGCCCTCCCATTTCAGGCAGGGTGCGCCGCCGCTTTTGAGATCGCTATTACAGTGGAACCTTATTCCCACCCCTGCGAACAATCTGTATTCCTCTTTTATCCCTCCTCTCATTTTCGCGCTCACTCTGAGTACTGGCGCCTTCGTCCGGGTTGCACGATTCGTCTTGTCCCCCAGCTCTCTAACAAATCCACCTGCACCGCGCGGCCCCACCTCCAATTAAACCCCCCTTTCCCCTTCTCATTCATCATGAGCCGAGTCATTCGGCCCGTTCCAAGCCTGATGCTTCTGCCTCCTAGGCCTGAACTGTCCTGCTATGTCGTATGGAGGCATGAATGATCGCTCTTCATCTCGTCACAGCCATGGACCGGCCCTGGACCACCATGAAAATGAATAAGGGCCGAGCTGAGGTACTTGAGGCCTTTATGGGAAACAGGCGCGGCATCATCGACTCAGATATCATTCAACAGTCGCTCACTACCTCACTTCACTGGATCAATTCATGTCGAAAACGCTTGAATTTTGTCTCATTACAGAATGCGAGGCCGACATGCAAAATCTATGATAAGTACTAAAAAATCAATGTTCATGTAAAGTGCTGGGAGATGGCAAAAGAGTTCAAACAATTACAAACTCGGTTGCGCCCTGCCATCTGTTCAAAGCATCTGTCCTGAGTTGACTAGGTTCTGCTTGAGCACTGAGACTGGTTTAGTTGCTCGGATGTGCTAATTCAACGGGTGCCACATGAAATTTCTGGTGAGGGTTCTGACTGTGAGTTTCTAATCCCGGAGGAGCATATAGCTCTCCCGGGAATCTTGCTGAGTCTTTGTGTTCTTGAGGCATGAATTGGGAATATCCATGACCATATGGTAGGCTTGCTGGGGCTGATGGCGTGTTACTTGATCTCTTCCGACGGCCGAACAAGAACCAGCCTACACCAACCCCAATGGCGACTGCTAATGGAATACCAATTCCCAGTCCAACTTTCGCTCCAGTACTTAGGCCGCCTGTGTCATTAGAAGCACTTGAGGCCAGGGCGCTAGAGGAGGCTGCACCCGAGCTGGTGTTGCTTGACGGTGATGATGATGATGTTGTGGTTGGTGGTATAATTGAAGAAGTTGCTGGACTAGTCGGAGCAGATGACGAACTAGTGGAAGTCGTCGTCTCGACAGCGCCCCCACCACCTGAGCCACCTCCGGTGATATTGAAATAATGGCTGCTCGCAGAAGGGCCAGTATCTCCTTCAATGAATATCTGGAAGAAGAACACCCTCGACTTGCTAAGATCACGCTGCGTGGTGACAGTCCAAGCAAAGGACGTTAGGTCGGATTTGTCCTCTTTGTGGGATGAGTTTAAGTGTAGCAGACGCGATACAGGGAGAGCCTTACGAAAAATGTATTCAAAGTCAACTCCTTCGAGTTGTTGGTATAGTACGAGCGAGATGCTCTCATTGATGGCGGTCCACTGAATGGTGAGACTGGAGCCAAAGACGTAGGTCGGATTCAAGGAAAAGTCTCCATTTGTGCCGAAAGGTCCAGGAGTTATAAACTCGAGACTCTGTGCTGCAGATTGAAATGCCAGCAGAAGTGGGAGAAACAAAACCAACATAGCTGTAACTAAGTTGTCAAACAGCACAGCAAGAATCTAGAGCAAAAGAGCGGGACAGACAATTTGCGTCAAATCATCAACATGTTGCTATATATGAAAGCCTAGATATGAGAGAAAGAGCCAGAGAAGGTCAGAGTATTTAGCAGAGGACCGGCGCTTAAGATCCTGATGGGACAGCCAACGTAGTGTTGCAACTTCCAAGCGTGTTGCAAACATGTTGCAGGGAGAATCATTGGCTTGGAGCTATTGGACGCATGCCAACATGACCTACCTGGCGCCACAGAACCGGAGACGCACGCGGACTGGGGCTGTAAGTTTGTAGACGAATGAAGCGGATGAATAAAATTACTCGAGACGCTGCTGGCTGTGAAGCCACATGCGTACCTTCGCGTATTTGTCCAGTGGACCTACAACCAGAGATCTCCCACCATAGAGAGCCCTCTCTTCTCTCTCTGCAACTCTTGGCCTATAAGTCATTCCAGCTACAATATGGAGTACTCGTACACTACTCCGTAACGCCACAGGACCCAGTTTCAAGCCTCCAAGAAACAAAGTACTCGTACATACAAGGTTTATCATGCGATGCCACTGCACATATACCATGGCGGGTTTATGGCCTTCTACCAAAGACTGTCCCTTTCAGCGGAATTCGTATCGACCTGCGATCACACCTATAGAAAGCAGAGTCTCATTTGGACCCATGGAGCCAACACGTTCGATAGCACGTGAGATGAATGCTCCAGGCTTTTCGTACAGTAACAATCCTGATTGACTTTGATTGGGTGAAAGAAAAGGCAAGGGATCAAGGGTGGGCCTCAAACTTCGAGGCCACGGGGCGCCCGGGGGGGAAGCCCTGGCGCTTCTTTAGGGGCAAGAAGCCCCCTCGGCCCCCTCGGCCTCCCCTCGTTCCTGTGTCAACCTTAATTCTTATTTATTCTTATCCTTATCCTCGAACTTTCTACCCCATGTGTCGGCGCCTACACTTTCTTAACTTCAACATCACTCCTCATCTTGGATATCCATGAGCAAAGTATGCTATTACGATTTGTGTCTCTGCGTACGCTATCAGTTACTGTTGTCATCTTTTGCATTCTCATTTTGGTAACCACATTTCGGCTGCGCGGCCATCTTATAATTCCGAACACTTCCTCGTCCTGGGGTGCGCCTGTCCACTCGCCTTCCCTCGAACTCGAACCACTTGAGCAATACTGCAATACCTTCCCTCCTTCAGAAGACATCTTGGTTATCGTCAAGACTGGCGCCAATGAGATCCACGATAAACTTTCCACCCAGCTCTTGACCAGTCTCCGCTGCTACAAAGACATCCTACTCTTCTCTGATCTCGAGCAAAACATTGGCCCATTCAAAGTCCATGACGCTTTGAAAAATGTATCCAACACAACAAAAGCCGAGAGTCCAGACTTCGACTATTATCGTCAACTACAAGAAGACAAGAAAAACGATCAAGATATTACCAGTCTAAGACGGGAGAGCGGCTCAGCAGCCTGGAATTTGGACAAGTACAAGTTCCTTCACATGCTGGAAGAAACATGGCAGATGAAACCCCATCGAAAGTGGTACATCTTCATTGAAGCCGACACCTATCTAGTTCGGACGAATTTGCTACTTTGGTTAGAACGGCAGGATCCATCAGAGCTGATCTATTATGGCTCTCCGACTTTCGTGAACGGTCAAGGCTTCGCACATGGGGGCAGCGGCGTGGTCTTATCTGGAGCAGCGCTATCTAAATTTGCTGAAAATGACCAAGGAATCGCTGCGCGATATGACCATATGTTGCAGTCTGAAGCATTTGGTGATTATGTTCTCATGAAAGCCCTGAAGGATAAGGGAGTAGCCTTCAGTGGTCGCTGGCCTATGCTTCAAGCTGAAAAGCCATCAACAATACCCTTCGGACCTGGACCAGACAATGGAGTGAGGCACTGGTGCCAGCCAATCGTTACTATGCACCACATTACTCCAGAAGAAGCATGCGCTCTGTTCGAATTCGAGCAGCAAAGGCAACATCCAAGAGTATGTCTTTCCCACCCTTTGATTGATATGTATGTCGTGGAAGCTAAAACATGCATCACAGGAGCCTCTTCTTCTACAAGAGCTTTACCAAGATATGGTCGGCCCGAAAGTCTACGCTGAACGCGAGGATTGGTATAATCTCTCTGACGATCAATTGTATCGACCGCCGGGCGTCGACGGCGACCGTCAAAAGTCTCGCGACGATATGTCGGCGCTCGAACTCGAGGCACACGTTTCGTTCGAGCACTGTGGCCGAGCTTGTGAAGAACAACCTCGTTGCTTTCAGTATACCTACTCGAATCGCGAATGTGGCTTCTCCTATTCTTACCGGTTGGGCAGGAAGCGATATCCTGAGTCTGGGAAGACGTTTATGTCCGGGTGGAATTTGGCAAAAATAGCGCGAGATCAGACCAAACACCAGTGTTCTTCTCCTGAATGGTTATGACGACTTTACGCTATGCATCTACTCATCCTTTCGACCTGAATTCTGTCTACCTATTCCAAACTCTCCAAAAGTGGCGGCACCAAACGTCAAATTCGGTGGGAATTTCCCCGATATCTGGTTGCATTCAAGGTTCTGTACTAGTTCCTAAAACGATAGAATTTTGAATCAGTATCTCTTCTCCCAAGGGCCAGGAGGCCCTCCCTACGGCCATAGCGTCGATGTGCGGTGGTGCTCAGTTATCCCTGGGTGTCAATCCCCTGCTATCCCATAATAGCTTCCATCATGCTTCCCTCATGCTTACCTAAGACATATACAAAGTGTTGTCAGAGACACAAGGCTGAGAGACAGGAGACAAGCAAACTGAGCCATCAAACATGATCTTTGTCAAGAGACTCACTGTTTCATCACAGCTACGTCGTTGGCACAATGTGATTCAGGACGGAGAAATAACAGCAACCGTTTTGCTAAATCACAATCAATATCTTCAGTCTCTTTTGTTCCACGTGAAACGTTATTGGTACAAATTTGCCCTGAATCACTAGGCCTGCCCTCTCCACTCAGAGTCATGAGGTATACGCCACGTTGTTTCGGTTATGATAGAGAGATAGCAAGACGTAACGACACAGAATTCTGCCATAGGTTCAGTCGTGGGCCAATATCTGACATGATCAGCTTGTGAACAGTCAGATCTTGAAGATTCATTGCCACGACACATGTTTGTTGTCTCTGCTCGAGTCATTCAAGGCTGGATGAATCCAATGCATCGCCGTGTTCCGACTCACGCTTCAACAAGGCTTTTCTTGTTCTCTTCTTCTCTTCCTTGTCGCTCATAAATAATTCATATCTCTCTTCTCTTGTCCCAATCCATTGAGCTTCTTGTCTCGCTTCTTCATCCCAACCAACATCATCGTCAACGACTTAATTTCCTCTTGCTTGTTTATCTCACAACATCTCACAACACTTCACAACATCTCGCTTGCTTTTAGGCCTCTGACTGAGATCCATGGACACAGTCGATCTCCCTTTCTTCAGTCTCAACCCTCATCCAGAAACAACAGATCTTCCAATCAATTTGTGCTCAACTCCACTGCTTGAAAGTGTGGAAAACGTCAAACCTCCTCGCCAATTGTACATTCCCGGGATCGATTGTCAATCGCTTCATCGTTGATCACTCATTGAGGTCTTTTTCTTGGTAAATGTCTTCTTCTGTTTAAGACTTGATCCCATCCCTCCTCATCTGGATATAAGCGGGGCTTGTGAGAGGCGCAGAGTGATCTGCTCACTCAAAACCACTGCCCGTGATATTGAACCATGCTCTTTCCTGTTGAAGTCTTTTCCCAGTTGTCTAACCTCAACCAAAGGCCAGATCACAACGCCATTTGTCCCAGGAGCTGCATCAATCGACCTTGTTGTCATCCAAAAGTCAACTTAATCCAAGATGCAAGACAGAATGAAGCCCCAAAGAAACCCCGTCTCTGAAGATACATCTAGCATCATGGCCACATCCCCAAGTTCAGCAATCAGATCCTTGCCACAGAGCACAGCAGTAATAAATACATCATCCACCACATCAGCAATTACTCATGCCCCAGCCAGAGCCCGAACCCGAAGCAGAGTAAGGCAGGGGCCAAGTAAGACACAACAGAAAAACATGGTTGATGTCTTTGCCGAGAGAATATACCCCCAGGTGCCTATCGGCGACCTCATCAGAGCATATCTTCGCCACAACTCGTGGGATTTTGAGAGTGCCGTGTCACAATATACCGAGGACCGTGAAAGACTATTAGAAAGTCTCATCGAAGAAGAGGAGAAGAAAAAGAAGAAGGAGAATGAAACCGAAAGTTCGGCGGTGTCATCTATATCATCATCATCATCATCATCATCATCATCAACAAAGTCAAGCGGTGTCTCTGACACATCAGAGCGGCAAAGAGATATTCCGAAAATAAAAGAGTTGGAGATGCCATGGTGGCTCAATGACAACAACGAGCAAGAGCGCCGAGATGCTGGGCTGGCGCTCAGGATCCACTATGAAGACCAGGCCGATGACGAGGAGGTCGAAGTGACGCCATCCGAGGCCATCCTGTTGCTTCACATGGCGGACTGGGACTTCACCGAGGCATGCGAACAATTCAGATCACTGCCCGATGCCATTAGAGCTGTAGGCAAGCAGTTTGACCGGATGCGCTCCAGCCTCCCACCACAGACCCTGAAACCTCGTGCCGGTGATGAGATCCAAGAACAACAGCTCCGAGAACAGGATGAGCGTCTGGCAACATTCATCAACATCACCGGCCGGAGTGATTGGTTTTCATTGAAGGTATTCCTGGAGAAACGTCACTGGAACCTTATTGCAGCGATTGAGGCTTGGTTTCGTTCTGGTGTGCCCCCTGTTCTGTCTAGGCGCAAACATGTTCTTTACGACTTGCGGTATGACTATAACATGAAGACACTGCCACCTCCCTCTGGTCAGGATTGGGAGCCTCAGGCTGATGGCAACGGTGAGGACGGGTGGGCTTTGGACCGCGACACAGATGTTGAGGTCCTTGAAACAACAAGTTCTGATGATGGTGACGAGACAAGTGATGATGAGTCGGAGTCGGACACAGAGCCAGAGGCGGACTTTGAGCGCCCGAAATCATCAGTCAGCAAAACCCAAAAGCCCACCGCGACATCCAACCGCCGCCCAGAGGGCTTCACGCTGCACCTAATGAAAGGAACCGCCAAACCAGGCTTGAGGAGTGACTGGCGCTTCCTTCATGAATATATCTCCAGAGGCCGTTATTGGGCGAATCGCTTCAAGGCGTATGAAAAGTTCGAGTGGCCAGCTCTTGGTACACATGACCACCACCGACGAAAACCATCCCAGACGAGGGTGCCTTTCGACTGGAACAACCAGGAACACATTCATCTCTTGAACAACTTCCGCCGCCAGAACAATTGCCGAACCACCAACACGAGCCTCCGAGAAGCGGCACAACTGTGGTCCGAGGAAGAGAAAGAGTTTCTTCTGCAGTTGAACCTTGAATGGCTCGCAACAATGCGCCAACAATTTCCCGACTTGCCCGAGGATGATCTGATGAAGAAGCCAATCTGTAACCAAACCAAGAAAGATTGGCAAACCCGTCTGAACGCCAAATTCCAAGGCACAATACAACAAGGCTCAACAACACCACGACGTGAACGAAGCATCGTGGCTATCATCTCTCAACGAACACGAACCCCGGCCATCATTGAGAGATTTAAGCTCAAAGCCGATGCGGAATATTTCAGAAAGAGAGCCAACCGGATCGCCAAAGAAAAGTCGAAGGAACAGAACGCGTTGAAGAGATCATTGGAAGGAGACCAAGAGGATGACGGACAGCCTGCGGAGAAACGTGCTCGGATTGGTGGCAGTATGATCCAAGGATATACACGTGATGATAATGACGACGAGGAAATAGATGTCGAGGGCGACGAAGTAGGTTCCGACGAGGAAGAGACTGAAGAAGTGAACGAAGCAGTGCAGTGATATGTATCAGCACAGAATACAAAGCTTCGCAAACCTACTTTGCAGTGTGAAAAATTTGATCTGAACGCTAGGGATGGATAGGTTGCTCTTTGGGATTTCGTAATGGTGATCGTATCCGCGCCTTTCCAGCCTGTTTTGTATAGAAAGCAAGTTTCGGCGCAGACTATAGTACAGGGCGACAGTGGCCGTATCCATGGTGTTTAGCTTGTGGCAAGTGGGGAGAGTGCGACAGCGACTAGCTAATCCTAGAGCAATGCCATAGGAGATGAAGAGATCCACAAACATGGCTGTCAGTAGGCGAATCCTCGAGTAAATCGAGTGAAAAGACATAGTTTGCCCAGCGGTCCATCATACGCCAGACAACAATATTGGATACAAAGACCATGTTAGGTCTTTGAATTAGGTTTTTGTTGTGATTATTTCATCAGCCACAGACCATCGCAGCTTTTGGTATTTCATCTTTGGAAGATTGAGAATCTGGTTTGCTCTCGGTAAGGGGATCATCGCTTTGAAGGGCGCCCTCGACTGGCGAGGTTATGCTGCCTTCCAACTTGGCCTTGGCCTTATCCTTCTTGCTCACTGTGAGCGCGCCTTTTGCAATGGCATCTTCAGGTAATGGCCTGATATGTGGTTGACAAACCCACCATGGCCGTTTATACTGCTCAATAACCTTTTCTGTGGCTGTCATCTCTGGACCCTCTGTCGTGTCAGGCGTTGAAGTATTTGCGAGCGTGTGTGATTCGGTGTCTGCCTTATTGGACTCCATGTACTCATCAATCCCCTCCATTGTAACTTTCTCCACCATGGCCAGAATTCTTTCGAAGGCATCCATATCTCCGACTCTCACTCTCGCCAAAGCATCACGAATATCAGTGTGCTTTGAAAGCATCGGTCGCAAGAGCTGGAAGAGATGTCCCTGCATGTATTTGATGCTTGGGGCCTGTGGTTGGTTGTGCTGCCTTTTGACCTTTTTAGGTTGCGGTTCTGAGTCCTGCTCTTCTAGACGTGGTGAAAAGTCTGGCTTACTGTCGTTGTAAGTATACAAGGGCGGGCGATTCGGCGGTTCCCTGTCTAAGCCATACTTGTAGTTGATATCCAGATATCTTCGAAAGACTCCATCAATGCGATAGCCCGATCGTCCGTCCGTGCCGTACCAGTACTCTCGTGGGTTTCGTTCCAAAGGTGGGCTGGCAAAAATGGTTGGATCTGACAAATTTCCTTCGGCACTCATGATCCCATCCACGCCTGTGGCAGAGAGACAGGCTTCAAGGTCTCCAGAGTTGAGAATATTGCCGTTTGCAAAGAGGACGGTCTCTGGAGGCAGATTGTCTCGAAGATATCGAATCATGTCCCAGTCCGCAACACCGGTGTTGTGACCCTTTTGTTCTCTTCTGCGACCGTGAACTGTGAGTATGCTTGCTCCGGCGGACAGAATCATCTTTGCATATTCGAGAGTCTTCTCGCGTGTGTCAAGAATGCGCATTTTGGCCGTGACAGGAACGGAAAGGTTCTCCTTGAGTGTGTTGATCATGCTGTATATCGTGTCCCAGTCCTCTTGTAGAAATGCGCCGTATTTGCCCGCCTTCGCAATTCCCTGAGGGCAGCCCAGGTTCAAATCAACGGCATCGCAATAAGGTGCGACGTACTGTGCAGCATCGAGAAGCTCTTCAGGCTTGTTTGCACAGAACTGGACAAAAAGGGGCCGGTCTAGTTTAGGGTTGCCATCCAGCCAAGGTGGAGATGTAGACTTGTCCTTGGAGACCAGACTCAACCGGGTGGGCTTGAAGTGCTGATCTCGGAACTTCGGATTGGATGTGAACAATCTGGCATGAAGCATTGGGGAGTAGGCTAGCAAAGACTTTGATTTGTTTTCGTCGAGGTATGAGCGGGTGAGGAGTCTCCATGCCTGAACAATGAGCATTAGCAAATCTTGTTGGAATGCGCAAAACTAATGGGAGAACAAACAAATTCTGAGCGATCGACCATCGGCGCCACAATCATTTTTGGGCTCCCTATACTTTCATAGAATGCTCTTCCTGTCAACTTGACTTGCGAGGCCACGTCCAGGCCGTTGACCGCCGGCTCTACCAAGGTTGCCATGGTGGCTTTGACGACGCTCCGTTTGGTTAGGAAATGGGACACATTTGTGAACGAGGAGAGGATGCTCCTATGCATGTGAGCGCTGGCCGATTTTATGACTTCAAAGCAGCGCTATGGCCGAGTACTTCGTCTGCGAAGCCAGAACATATATCTAAACATGTGACGAAAGTGAAATCCATCTGAAGTTTGACTGATTCAAATTATTTTACGACGTCTCCTGGCGTTAAAATCGGCCGGAGTATGAGCCCCGCACTATGCTCTACCGTAATTGAGATCTTATCTTATCTAACGAACATTCAAGCATTTCCTTCGAGTCTGGTTGTTCTTCACCATTCTTACCAACACAACCTGCGGACTGTCCTGATCAAGCTCACTTAGTACAGAAACACTGGATACTCTGAATGGCATCGTTGAACCCCCAAAAGAAGTCTATCTCGGCGATACCCGGCTTGGCAAGGGTGACATAGGTCCCGTTGTTTCTGAAGCGGATCCTGTTTTGACAATCGCGATCCCTGTTATGGAAGTGAGCAATGATCATCGTGAATCCATGTGAATGATATATTGTCCACAGGTTGGAGGGAACGTCTTCGAATTACCTGAAAACGTGGCATATGGCGTTTCCGTCCGGTCCAATTGAGCTTATCGAGTTTTCCTATGAACACCAGAACGAATCATTAAGTGGAGAAACCAAGACCCAAGACTAGATCATTGGACTAGATACCTACCCATCCTCCTGCTATGTGGATGCATTGATTAGGTGTTATGAAAGAATGAAGGCATGGTTCGACCCAGTTGGAGTTTTGGCAGGCATAGAACTCCACGATGATTAGTTTGCAATAGATGTCTCTCTCTTGTCCCCGATGATGCTTACTCCGCAAGTCACAGTTGAGGTAGGCCTATAGATTGATGTCGTCGTAGTTCCTGTGGAAGTCAGGGTAATAGTAGAACTGGGTGCGTATGTGGCAAGGGCATCGATCGCTTTTTCCAGGTGGTTAGGCTTGAACGGGGATGCCAAGGTCTCCTTCACAGCAACAACGCTGATCATCATGAACAAATGCATTGTATTTTCACTCGACTTCAGGAAATGGTTGTAAAAGTGGACAGCTTGAGATGATCCATCACCCGTTAAATCCTCTCGAGAATGTGGGGGGACGAAGCGACTGCATAAAAGTCGCACTCGCACCCGAGGTTGACTAAGGCGTGGACTAACCTTCCGTGAGCACAAAGACAAGACCATTTGATCCGCGTCAAACGCGAGCAGAACCAACTGCGAGAACCCGGCCCCTGACATCGTGTCCAGTGTTGGTGTGATTGCAGTCTCTCAGCCTGACTGCATAAATCCCTTATTTTTCCGATCCGATTGGAAAACAGTCTTGCAGTATTGTGCTTGTTCCTACATCTCCAGGCCTGTCATGGTCCTTGTGGAATGTGTCTGCCGTGGGTCCGGACATCTTGTCAATCTTGAGGTCACGATCCCACACAACCTGGGAACTTCCATCATCAAACAAACGTTTGAAGTATTTGATGCGATGTTGCGGAATCCAGTCCTCATCAGTGACCTCGTTGATCCAATCTTGAGCTGGAATTTCCCTAATTCCTGCAAACCTTTCGAGATACCCGACTCGGAACTTTGTGATGTCAAGCTCTCGATCCCACTTGAGCCGATTCAAAATAACTTTGATTAGGCATCAGAAGAGACACAAGACCTATTGGTATGCAGCATACCTTGTGCTGGTCGCATCTTAGCTGTTGGCGGCCGGTCTGAGAATGGAGGAGTTTCATCCTGGCCGCGCCGTCGTTTGGTGTAACGTTCAAGATCTTGAAGCCGCTTTGCGTCATCTTTCTCTTCCTGAGCAAGCTCGTCTTCAATCTCTCTCAAATGTTGTTCTGCAAGAATCCTCAAATCATGGATTGGTCGATGGAACCGGTTAGTGGAGCTAGGGTTCGCCATGATCTCGGAAGAATTCCTCTTTTTCTTCTTCTCTGATCTGGAAATGCTGTGGGTGTAAATGAAACGCTGGCTATTGCAGACAGGAATTTTCAATGTGAGATGAGGGAAATGATGGACGAAAAAACCACTGGCACGTAGCTAGGCTGGTGGGAAGGAGTGACACTGAGGGTGATGTGACAAGGCTGAGAAAAAGGGGTCATGCAGGCAACTGCCCTGAAATTGTAGCCCCACGGGTACTACGGGCGCGGTTCATAAGAACAAGTATGACTCACTGTCCACCTGTTTTGAGAAGTTTTGACGACTGGTATGAGTGTTGGTGGGCGTGGGAAAGTCAGACCATGACTCCGTCAAGGTCACAAGGAAGAGGTTGAATGAGATGAGTGGTAGGCTTTTCGCTACAGCCGTTGTCGACGCAACAAAATGCGTCATACCACTTAGGCCATCGGACGGCATAAGCCAATATTAAGTCCATTGCTCTTTCGGGGCTGTGTTGCTGACATTTGATCGACAGGCAATTTTTTGACGAGGAATTTGCGCCCTGGTGTGTCTGGCCTGGGTGCCTGGTGCAGGTAGTACATAAATCCACGTGATAGAACTAGCCCCAAAAATCGAGCTTGAGACGCCGCTTTTATGAGATATCCATATACAATTGGTGACTCAGGTTATTCGGGGTCAGGCTTCAGGTTCTAATTGAACTCTGGTCAATGCTAGGATTGAGTATGCTAAAAGGGAACTCATTTGTCCATAGGCATTACCCTCGTCTCGGGCCATTAGGCATACGCTTTTTAACCCACGAGCACGTCGTGTACAGCTTGGCAAGCCCAGATGTCGCGCACAGGGCAGCGCTTAACCCTCGCCCAACCGGGATGAGACGCAAGCAGCGTCCTTGGCAGATCAGCTCCACGCATCTATCCTCCACTATCATCACATAGAACAGGACAGTGACTCGTCATCCAAACACAGCCCCAGCCTCGTGCCACGTTGGTTCATTCTCCGTCTCCAGTCTTGTCTAGACCTGCAAGTCACCCCGACTCCGAGCAGAAGACAGGCAGTCGTCTCTCCTCCCTCTCACACCAGGGTATCTCCATACCTGTCCGACGCAGAATGCCCCGTCACGGATAGAAAAGACAAGAGAAGACAAATCACACGCTTCCTAACCGAATCACAGAGAGGACGCGCCATCTGAGGCGTCAGCCTCTATCGTTCCCTTCCTAACCCTCCGTTTCATCCAACACTTGCCACTAGCCTACCGATGACCGCTTTGCCACTTTTCATACAATACAAATTCCACTCCTGCCCGCTGCAGACACGCATGACAAGGTCTTTCTCTGGCCCCTCCACTCTTCTTGCATGACACCCTTGTACCGACTTCTGAAACACACTTGAGATCGGGCCCGCTAGCATTAAACCTCGATTGGCAGCTCTTTCCAGACGTGTTCACAAGTGCCACAGTCTACGACCTGTGTGCAACTGGCTGGACCTTCAAGGTTGAGCAGACACATACACTTTGCTGTTGCCCTACAATACTTTACAGTTCCCGAGCCGGTCGAAGCTAAGCCAAGATGAAGCGGCTCATGAAAAGCATAAACAAAAAGGGCTCAAGTACAGTGACATTCTTTCGCTTGACTTGCGCAAAGGGTGACTGACAACATCCAGGTCCTGATCGAGGTAGCAATGGCCCCGTTGTGTTGCCGCAAGGTGATGCTCCCGAGGCTGTTGTCGTGCGCGAGGTGGTGAGTTTCCACAAGTATCCGATCCCGCAGCTTCAATGGACTAACGACGAGAAGACCGCCTTCTGTGAATCGGGCGCCCCAAATGCGCCAGGAGCTGGGGATGAGTACCTTCATCTACCTGCGATCGTCGACGCCGCCGAATCCAGTCCTGTCGCCGCCAAGGAGGCCGCTCTGACCATTCGACGCTACCTCTCCAAAGAACACTATTCCCGAGGGTTTGCACAATACAATGCCGTTATGCTCACGCGAATCCTGACCGACAACCCTGCGTACCTCTTTACACAAAACTTTGATGCTAAATTTGTCGCCACGGTCAAGGAGCTGCTGCGTGAAGGGCGAGATGCCAATGTGCAACAGATTATGCGCGAAACTCTCGACTACTTTGAAGCGGAGAAGCTGCCGGGCAACGATACGCTGAACCCCATAATTGAAATGTGGAGGAAGGAAAAGGGCAAACGAAACACTATCCGACACTCGGTAGGTTGGGGCTCTATAGAAGCCGTTGGATCTGATCATCAGACTGAACATGGCCAACAGCAACATCGCGTTCCTCCACCATTTTCCGGCGCACGACAGCCATCCTCTCGTAGACGAGACACACTCCCCCCTCCCGAGGAACTTGTGTCAAGGATAGAAGAAGCCAAGACGACAGCTCGACTTCTTGTTCAGACGGTTCAATCAACCTCCCAATCCGAGCTCTTGGCCAACGACCTGGTCAAGGAGTTTGCCGATCGTGCTCGAACCGCACAGAGGAGCATCCAGGGCTATCTCAATGCCCAGAACCCGGCGCCGGACCCAGATACTATGCTCACCCTGATCGAGACCAATGATCTTTTGAACATCGCCATGTCCAAGCACCAAAGAGCTATCTTGCAGGCACGCAAATCTGCTGGTCTAGGTACTCCTAGCCCGCAAGTGGAGATTTCTACCAATCCGCTAGGACCACCAGCACCACAGCCAGGATCAAACTTCTACAGCAATCCAACATCGCCGCCGAACGAACCTCTTTCAACATCTCCTCCTCGGAATGAAAGCGCACTTCCTCGACCACTCAGTCCGGTGCGGAATGATCAACAACAGTATGCCCCACCTCCTGGTCCACCGCCAGGCGCACAAGGCGCCGTTAGAAGTCATCTGCCACCGCATTCTCCCAGCAGCAGTTTTGATTACGCGAGTGCCTATGCAGCGCCGTCGGGACCACCACCGCGGAGTTATGAGGCGCCGTCGCAGACACCTGCTGTACCGGAACGTCCACAGCCACCCTCTCAAAGCTATGCTCCACCTCCCGTGGCGGCAACGACAGCGTACGGAGTGTCAGAAAACCCCTTTGACGATGATGCCTACGGAGAAAACCCCAGTGCCTCGCAGAGGTCGCATGGACTGTTTGGGCAAAGCCAAGGTGCATCGTCATCCCCAACAGACCAGCAGAGGCCTGGACCGGGAGTATACACTTCCAACACCTATCAACCTACCCCAAGTTACGTCCAACGTCAAGATTCGGCTGCTGCACACATCACGGTCCATGGGGCAAGTCCTCCTCCCAACCAAACAGAACGAGATCCTGTGAGTCCCATCCAGGACGACGGACCGGATGGGGCGGGCAAAAAATTCAACGACCTAAGAATTTGAGCGAGTATTGAAGACCAGCATGCATGCAATTCATGAGCGTCATCGAAGACAATTGAAAAATCATATTTTAGCGGAGCAGTCAATGACCACAAACAATAAAGATGATTCATAAACAACATGTGACTATAGCATATACCCTTGTCACTGCCGTGAGTTGTGTTGTGGCTGTACGGAGTAGTTGTGCCATTGATCCTATGACGACAAGGGCGTTCGAGTAATATCAGTGCCAAGGTAGCAGCTGTAGGAATTCCCTTAATGGATGAGTTGTTCCCCCTTCTCCCAACCCAGTGACATCTCCAATTTCTTGAGTCAGCAGGTCTCCCTTTAAACTTCTCCCACCGTCCACCGTCTTTTCCTCTTGCAACATCAACCCGTCTTCCGACCAATTCATTGAGAGTAGTGCTTCTCTCATGGAGCTTGACCTATCTGTCTTATTCCTGCACGCATCTCGCGTCTTTGTCGCACCTGCCACCTGCTCCGGCGCCTGCCATTCAAATCCAACATGACATCGTTGGTACCCCGCTCTGCCTATTCCAAGGACGAGCTCAACAACCTCTACCCTGACGACCTCGAGTTACGTCTGGTCCAGGTATTGCTGAGACATGGGGAGAGAGCTCCAGTCTCGGTCCGCTTCGGCAATGTAAGAAATAACCCCCCATTACCCCCCGAAAGGTCAAGCGGCAGTCTGACGCAATTCACAGGCTGGACTTCCTGCATACTGGCCATATTGCAATGCCGCTCAACGCATACGATCCGTTGCCTTGACACCAGAAGACACTAGTCAATGGAATTCCCTTCAGTGGAGAAGAAGACTCGAAACCTTTGGGAAGGATGACGGTCCGACCATTGCCTCAGGACCGGCTGGTGAGGTCGATGGGATTTGGTGAGTCACCCCCCGCATATCGCAGTTTCGAGGAATTATTCTGCCGTGCACAAGTTAAACATGTCTGCTAATCGGGAGTATGCAGTCAGCTGGGAGAATTGACCGATAAAGGACGAGAGACCACCTACGAATTGGGCCGTCGCCTACGCCACCTCTATGTTGATCAGCTTCGTTTCATGCCTCAATTGATAGCCAACGCAGACCTCATCTACCTCCGAGCCACCGCCGTTCCCCGAGCACTCGAGTCGGTCCAACAGGCATTTTGGGGCATGTATCCATTGACCTCTCGCACTGCCACTTTCCCGGCTCCTACCATTGTCACTCGGACATTTCAAGACGAGACCCTCTTTCCCAACGATAGCAACTGTCGAAGATTCGCCCAGTTGTCCCGCGCATTCGCTCAACGGACCGCCGACCGCTGGAATGACTCGGAAGAGATGGCTCATGTGTCCAAAATGGTTGGCAAGTGGATGCCTGACGGAGCAGACAACAAGGTGGCCGTGGACTCTCATCCCAGACTGTCAGGGCTCATGGATACTATCAATTCCACCCTCGCCCATGGAAGAGAGACACGCTTGCCCAAAGAATTTTATGACGAAAAGGCACGTGCCATCATCGACAAGATTGCTGTCGAGGAGTGGTTCTCTGGCTTCTATGAGAATCTCGAATACCGCACCTTGGGTATCGGAGGACTCGCTGGTGACATTGTAGAACGAATGACTTCCAAGATTGAGGGTGCCGGCCTCTCTATCAATGAGATTGGTGGCGAGAATGGTCGTCCAGGTATTGGCCGTGGTGGTGAAAAGGGAGTTCGCTTCGCCATGTCTGGCTGCCACGATACCACTCTGGCCGGCCTGCTGACTAGCCTGGGGGCGTTTGACGGGGAAAATTGGCCTCCTTACAGCAGTCATATTGCAATTGAGCTCTTCCGCAAAAAGGATCCCAATTCGATTTCATCAGGTTCTAGCTCAGATGCTACATTCCTCTCCGAGACAAGACCCGCGTCAACCGAACCAAAAGGAGAATATCGCCCTGGAGCGATAGCATCACTCCTCGGCTTACGTTCTGCTTCTAGTTCAGATCCTTCCTCCACTTCCCAGTCTTCGAATACACACTCGGGGAAATCTCCTGCCCGAACTCCAAAGTTCAAGGACCTCATCGCGCGCAAACCATACAAGGATTTGTCAGGCTCGCAGAAGGATCGTCTCGAGCCATATTATGTCCGAATTCGATACAACGATAAGGTGATGAAGGTCCCTGCATGTGCCGAACCAGGAAATCACTATGAAGGCGATGATTCTTTGTGCACCTTTGAAGCCTTCAAGCGCGTTGCGGATAGCTTCGTTCCACTGAACTGGAAGTCTCAATGTGCCTCGAACCTGAATCAGAAAATTGCAGCTCTGGATGGACCAGCCGAGCCTGCTGGCCAGATTGACGATGGCTTCTGAGCTCGAACCCGCAGCCCTGACCCTCCCATCAGACTGCAGCACAAGTCATCTCTGGCGGGCTTGTTGCAGACACGCGGGCTCTGATGACCACTTCAGGTTCCAAAATATTAAGGCATCTCCAATGTCTTCCCAAAAGTGTGATTTCACATATTAGATTATGGGGTTTTCTCCCGTACCAAATAGATACCGGCGCCGCATTGGACCAAAAGTAGCCCAAGGCCTTAATAATGTAATCAAGCGGGATGATCACTCTGGCCTTAAGTAACTGGAAGGATAGATTGTCGAGGCTGAACACTTGTCAGAGTGTGATATATTGCACGTGATCACGCGTTTCTTCTTGACGCGTACCTGCGACGCGTCCAACGCAAATGAATGGAGATGATAACTGTTGGAGAAAACTGGGTTACTACATATTACAAGATGTCTGGCGATATGAAAGCAGATCTCATGAGTATAACCTTCTCTTTTGTATTCGAGGCAGTGTGTCGCACGTGAGCACAGTCCGAAATGGATGCCTCTTTGGTCCAAGGTGAGAGGAATTCTTTCTCTTGAAACCGCAACACACGTGATCTTCCGATTGACTGCTGCCATGGCAAACAGCATTACAGAAACCAATTGTTTCTCCTGATGGACGATTCTTGGCTGTTGTCAATGGCGATGATGCCATCCGTGTTGTCCACCTGTCCAACACTGGCGCGAATAGGTCAGGGTTTATCGTCACGAGAGTCATCATCCCTGCATCAGCCAGACAACTAGTCCGACAAAGTCATCTTCTACGTTGGTCTCCTGAAGCCGTCACGAACCAAGGTCTACATGTCGACTCGCCTACCACACAAGAGACGGAAACAGTCTTGTTGCTGTTCTCAAACGGGAAACGAGCGGTGGTTTTGAGCCTAGAACTGTCGTCGCTCGGCCACGGAAGCACAAATGTCATGGAAGCAGATGCCACGGCCAACATCGTGGCGGACTACCAACTAGGAGATCAATTTGGACGACTAAACTTCCTCGACTTCGTTTTGGGCCATCGCCACGCTCTCGCTATGTTTGAGTTTAGCCCCAACGCTATCATGCTGGACCTTACTCAGCCGCAACGTGTGGAACTTGCGGGAGTCAAGTACTCTGATGCCAAAGGACTTGCCAAAGCGACAGATTCTCGCCGGTTCGCGCTCTTGCGAAGAGAGCGTGGTCAAGACAAGATTACCATCTTTGATATTGATGAGAATCACCAAATCCTCCCCAAATCCTTCGACATCCATACTTCCGATGCACAGGGTCTCATGTTCTGTCCCAACGGTTCGCCATTGCTGGCAGTTTGGGATTCTGCAAGCTACGGAGTTAAAGTCCTCTTCTACACTGGACAAGGCCACGCCCTAAAACAGCTTGACATCACCCCTGAGCATGTCACCTCGGGAAAACAGCCTTTGGATATTTTTGGGATAGGACTTACTTGCTGGAAGTGGCAGCGAAGTATTGGTCAAACACTGCAAGCTGTTGGTGATGGAACAAAGCATGTGATGGTGAGATATCAAATGGATGCGAGCATGAAAGTTCGCACTTTAGCCAACTTTGTCCATCCAGACATCATCAACGGAGGGGAAACCATTGTTTGGCAGGAAATGCAAACGCCATCGTCCCCAATGTCGTCTTGGAAACGAGAATCTTCAGTGTTCTCAGCTACAAATGGCGAACCTGATACACCTACGGGCTCCCACGTGGAGTCTATCCAAGTCAATTGTGATCACAGCTTGATTGCCACCAAGATCAGAGGTTTTAACACTGCCTTGTGGATCTGGCAACCCGCCCACGACGAACCTTATGTGGTCCTTCTATTCAAGAACCCGATCAAGACCATTCTGTGGCATCCTGAACTTCCAAATGTTCTTATTATCTTGACCATCCAGCATACCGCGACCCTGTATGCATGGCATCAGGCCGATCTCCCCCCAATCTCCGGGACAGTCTTTCCCGATGTCCAGGACAGTGCTTCAGGCTCAAACAAAAGCTCTCTCGCGCAAAAGGACACGGCTGCTTGGCTTCCATCAGCTTCGTGCGACTCCGGGCGTGTTCCCCTCCTCTTTTCGAGTCAGGGGACATTTGACATCGGACTCTTACGATATTCAGATGGCACCCTTGCTTTTGAGAGCCTGCTGAAACAAGTGGACAACTATCATGGAGACTTCACCTTCACGAACAGCATCGACGATACAAACATAGAGACGCCTAGCAGGATCCGGGAAAGAGTCAGGCCGAATTTGATGGAGTTTCGACAAGATCCTGGTCTCTGGTGAAGGGAAGCCACTGTCTCCAGTTCGGTGCTGAATATGGTCTGGCTCGCCCGGGCAGTGCCTTCCCTATTTTCGAGCAAATTATGTCGGCTGGAGGCCCTGCCTGGTTGGATTAGCCCATCGTTATTGCCATCGATGGGCAGAGCCTCCCTGGGCGAAGATGTCGTTGCATTCTTGTGAAGCAATGCCACAACCAAAGAGGGTTCTAATGATCATTATTGCCACTCGGACATATCTTATAAAGCTCAACAAATGCTTCTTCAATATCTATTCGGCGAGATGAATGGACTCTTCCTAGGCAAGAAAACGCACGACTTGCCCAAAATGACTGCCGACTCCCCTCGCAGGTATGAACGGCTAGTTAATCCATCCGCCGACCAAGGAGCTAACCATGATGATGGCCATGACAGCACACAGACTACCATCAGCATTTCAATCCAGATCCCATCTCAGAAGTGCTCGCTTTCTTGCAAACAGCCATTTCAAATTGGAGTCTCTCTCACCAGCCACTCGGAAGATCAGATGTTCACTCGTCATCCAATTAAGCTCCATCTCATGTCCAAAGCACACACAAGAGGGCCGGCATTTCAGTTTCTCGACGCAAGCACGAATGCGGTGATGGCGACGTACCGGCTGGAGTTGTGCCACGGCCCTGAAGTGATGACCATGTTGTTTAAAGCCAAAATAACTGATCCATTCCGGCCGTCACGTGCTTCGATGGCAAAAGAATATGCGTTGAAGTTTTATCTCAACGAAAAAGGCGACACGGCCGAGGAATGGTGTAAAGACTTGATGGGCAAATTAGTCAACGGCAGGCGATACAAGATTCGAATTGTGGACAATGCAGGGGAACGAATGGGTTTTCAGAAAATGAAATTCAGGGTCTGGTATTGTGGTGGTGCAGATATGTTTGGTGTCACAGATTGAAGGCGAGGGCAAGGCGCTGACATGGGGTTGGGTGGATATGTATTGGGCATTGGGACCATTTGATATAGATACCTAATTCATCGTCGACTGTCTTAGACTCTCAGCAATCACGAACTCCGGGACAGCATATTGCCTGCGCGTAAAAAGAATGAGAAACTTGGCTGTAGTATTTCTATTGTCGGCTATTGGATCAAATGCCGACACGTGCCCGCGGGGGTCAAAGAGTCAAGAGTTTGGGGGGAAGTGTTTGTGGATGAGAATTCATAGAGTCTGCTTTTATTTGTAGAGCCATGATTGCCAGAGCATTAGACTATTGTGCTAACATGATCTGGTGAAGACAATACCCAACTGCATCCTGAGATATATCTTCCTTGGCTTTTTGTTGTCTCTTGATTCTCGTGATCGACAAACTGTGACGCCGTCCTCACTTTATTTAGGCGGGGAAACTTGTATCAATTCCTCACGAACGACAAAGTACACCAACATCCATATATTCAACTCAGACTTTCTCCTCCACCATGGATTCATTACTCAAGCTGTTCTCACTGCAGGGAAAGACTGCGGTAGTCACAGGCGGTACTCGAGGAATTGGGGCATCCATGGCAATTGCCTTGGCCGAGGCTGGTGCCGACATCATTCTTGTTCAGGTGAGTCATCTGGCCATCACTCTGAGGTAAACATTTCAAGGTCTGACTGGTAAAAATCCAGAGGGATGAAAGTAACAAACAAACCTACGATGCTATCAAGGCACTGGGACGTCAAGTCACCATCGTCACCGCCAATCTATCAGACCAAGATTCCGTCAACAAGATCATCCCAGAACTAGTCAGCCAAGGTCATCAAATGAATATCCTATTGCTCTCAGCAGGAATCCAACGTCGCCATCCAGCCCACGAGTTCCCTTTGTCTGATTGGGCGGAAGTACTACAAGTCAACCTGACAACCAACTTCACACTGGCCCGCGATTTTGGAGGCTATCTGCTATCCAAACCAACCCCTCCAGCGGGAGTCTCGCGAGGCAACATCATCTTCGTCGGTTCACTACAGTCGTTTCAAGGGGGCATCACTATCCCCGCTTACGCGTCCTCCAAGGGCGGCATCGCACAGCTGACAAAGGCCTTGAGCAATGAATGGGCATCAAAGGGCGTGCAGGTCAATGCCATTGCCCCCGGCTATGTGGCGACGGATATGAACGAGGCTTTGATCAACAACGAGACAAGAGCGAGGCAGATCCTGGAGAGAATTCCTGCCGGTCGCTGGGGTGTGCCGGACGACTTCAAGGGTGCTGTCGTCTTCCTCGCAGGGAATGCATGTAGATATGTAAGTGGGGAATTGCTAACGGTTGATGGAGGTTGGATGGGCCGGTAGGAGGCGCAGTTCCGATTATGCATCAAAAAACGATATAGCCTACTGAAGGAGGGAAGAATGGAGAGATGTCTCCCTGATGGAAGACCGCTGGGATATCAATATGGATATCAACATGTGGAATCTCGAGAGTTGAAAAGACCGAGGTTGCGAGTTTGACGTGTCACAACGTGTCATTTGAAGACCCTCGGATTATCATTCTTCCTCTCCATCAAAATCCCCCAGATTTCAAAAGAACTTCATTCTTCTTCTTTCTCTTCACATCATCCACACTCCCATCCACAATTCATTAAGTTCTCTTGCATGGAGGAGAATACATGATGGTCGAATATGGAATCTGCTACATGCAGATTCTTCAAGGTAGGCTTGTATCAATTGACATCTCTGCTCACTGACCATAGATGACCTCCTGGCTACTTGCACCTCGTACCATCCCCCCTTCCAAACAGATGAGATCGTGTCATTATTCATGCAAAGCACAAAGAGGCGGAGAGTTGATGTGCCTCCAAGCCTCAATAGCCACCGAATAACCTCAACTTGATATCCTCTATTCAAACACCGCTCCAAAGCACCGCAATTGAATCATTCACAACAGGGACATTCAACACCGTGGACGACACCTGTTGTAGGCTGTGAATAAGAGTCCTAATGCGCCTTTATTCAACCATGCCTTTGACGTTCACTATTGAGTCCAGGCGCCTTTACTGCCTCGACAAGGGCCTTTATCCCCCAAATCAATCCATCTTTCATTCCTTGTTTGCTTTTTGTTCTAGGAACAATTGTCTTTCACACAGCAAACAAGTCTTCGATAGACATGCGCCCGCCTTGTACCACAACTATTTTACCCTGCCCGATACATACAGCAATCTTGTCCTCGAAACCTTTCGTGTACCATTCGTGATCAATCTGCCTTACGCTGGCTAGAACAAACACCCTATTGCAATTCAATTTGCTCTGACACAAACACACCCTGAATCGTCACTCAACCCAATTTTTCATGTCGAGAGGAATCCGCCATTGGCTGGCGGTGGCCTTATTGCTTTGGGCCCCTTCGGTATATTCCCTATCAATCGAGACACTGGCAAGCTCTCATCTAACTCCGAGGGATGAAAGAATTGATGGCAATTTGCCAGTCTCCATCGACAGCCCGAGCACCCCTTTTCCACCCATGAACAGCTCAGATTTGGGCAACATTACAGTGCCTGGCTCATTCTACTCGGGACTTCAAGGAGTCGATCTTGCAAAGGATGCCAAACTGGTCAAGATGATGTGGTTTACCATTTTCTTGGTCGTGGGCATGGTCTTTGCACTCCGACTCGCCCAACTCTTCGTCGCCTACATCCGAAACATCTTCTGCATGACAGCCACCCCAGCCCAGCAGACCTACTACACACTTGACCATTTTCCATTGTGGACCTTTTTGAAGAAACATCTGGTGTATGCACCTTTGCTGCATAAGAGACACAATCGTGAACTTCAGATGTCGAGCGTCGTGAACTACGGAACCATCCCAGGCCGCATTCACACTTTACTGCTCGGGGTTTATATTCTCTCCAACATGGTATACTGTCTCATGCTGGACTGGAACACCCCTGAAAAGGGACGCCTGTACGCCGAACTGCGCGGTCGCAGCGGTATCCTGGCGACCGTCAATTGCGTCCCTTTAGTTCTCCTCGCTGCTCGCAACAATCCAGCCATTGCAATGCTCCGAGTTAGTTTCGACACCTTCAATTTATTCCATCGATGGCTTGGAAGACTGGTGGTCATGGAAGCTTTGATTCATTTCTTTGCATGGTTGGCCGCTTATATCCTCGCCAAGGGCGATGATGCCACCGGCGCAATCTTCCACAACAACAAGTTTCTGCAATTTGGTCTAGTTGGCCTTATAGGCATGGTCGGCTTGGCCGTCCATTCTCCATCTCCTGTTCGCCACGCCTTCTACGAAACCTTCCTTCACCTCCATCAAACTCTGGGCTTCCTCGCCCTGGTTGGCACCTACGCTCATGTCGCTAGCAAGATGCTTCCCGCTTTCCCATTCATCCTGACGGCTTGCCTCTTTTGGTTCGGAGATCGTCTTTGGAGAGTCGCGCGGATTATCCACTTGAACCATTCTCGAGGTGGCGGTAGGACCACCTGCACAGTCGAGGCTTTACCAGCCAATGCCTGTCGAGTTACTTTCCAACTGCCACGACATGTGACCATCCGACCAGGAAGTCATGTTTACGCTTACATTCCCGCAATCTCTCAATGGATGTCACATCCTTTCTCTGTGGCATGGACCAATGCAGAGTCGGATCCATTGATCGCACCACCTGAACTGGAAGCACCACCTAAAGAGTTTGAGACTCTGGACCAGCTGGAGCGTCAGTCTACGCGCACCAACCTCGCCGTCAATAAAGAACCCACGAGAGTTTCTCTCATTATCTGTGCTCGGTCGGGGATGACCAAGACCCTGTATGACCGAGCATTTGCAGCCGAGAACAAGCGGCTGCAACTGAGTGGCTTTCTTGAGGGACCTTATGCAGGCCACGACTCGATGATATCATACGGCACTGTGGTCATGTTCGCTGGTGGTGGTGGTATCACCCACCACCTGATTCAGATTCGACAGCTCCTGAAAGGCGCTCGATCGCAGACAGTGGCGACCCGCAAGATCGTTCTGGTCTGGTCCATCCGAGACACCGATCCCATGGAATGGGTCAAGGCTTGGATGACCGAGCTCCTCAACATGGAAGGCCGACGTGAAGTCTTGTCGATTCGAGTGTACGCCAGTAGACCCACGAGGGTCATCAACGAGAAGAAGAACAAGGCTACCATGCAAGTGCTCAAAGGTCGTGCCGATCCCCAGGCTATTTTGCAAGAGGTCATTCCTCAGCGAATCGGCGCTATGATGGTCAGTGTCTGTGGTCCTGGTGCTTTGGCCGATGAGGTCCGCGCTGCGGTACGAGATAATCTTGATGTTGCACGCATCGATTTCAACGAGGAGTCGTTTACCTGGTAGGTGTCTTGCGGCTGCAACAATATGCGGCCACGACAGGTGTGATGCGAGATTGAAATTGGAATAGATTGGCCATACCTCCACGTAATGTTCATCACGATGATTCAAATTCGAGATATACCCTTCCCTATGTGCATTTCGCCCCTAGTTTCCGCCACATGTTCGTTCTGTGTCTCTAGCCAAAGTATAAGACCTAAGATTCTTGTGTGCCATTAGGCATAATGTCACATCGTACATCAAAGCCATTGATACTATATATATCAATCATCGCCCAAACCATCCAGAAACGCCAGCGAAGGAACAAAAAAGGTTGAGCCCGTGACTGGAGTGGAATAGTCGAGAATACGATCATGAAGACCTGGCGGGTCGCCGATGAACATGCGCTCGAGCATTTTCTCCGTGACCCAGAGACGGCGCGAGTAGCCTATGAAATAGGTGCCGTACTCGGTAGACCCAGGCGAGCCAAAGGGCATATTATCACGAAGGATGTCGTATTCGACGCCATCTTGCTCGACCGTGGCAAGCGTCTTGTGTGCTTTCTGCTTGTCGTCGTCGGCATCATCCAGCTCCACGTTGTCGAACTTGGTCCGTCCAATCACCGACTCCTGGCCTTCGGTTCCTAGCTTCTTCCACCCGCCTAGATTATGCAGATATTTCTGTACCACGACGTAGCTGCCGCCAATGGAGCTACTACCGCTGACATCCAAGCCTAGGTTATCTCCCTCGGCCACCAGTACCGCTTCAGGCACGTCCGGACCAACTGGATTTGCTGTCCCATCGACAAATCCCAATAGATCGCGCATGTCAAAGTATCGGAAACCAACGGTTTCATCTTCGACTTTCACCGCATCACCAAGCAGGTCCATGACTTGCTTTTCGAACTCGAAACACAGGTCTCGACGGTCTGCCCGGATGTGGAAGAGGAGATCACCTGGTGTTGACACCGCGGTGTGCTTGTTGCCTTTAAACTCCCGAAACGGATGCAATTCCGCCGGTCGAGGCTTGTTCGTCAGTCGATCCCAGATACGACTGCCAATCCCCACGGTTGCGGCAAATTGTGCACTAGAATCTCGGATGGATACATTCTTGATCAAGTCGGCGACACTAGCCAAGGTCGAGCGCACTGTTGAGATGGCGTCGTCTCCTTCCGCCACAGATAGGACGAGGAACGTCGCCGACATTGTCAGCGGTGCATCCACGCTCTGGGCATTGACTGGTGCACGGCGAGACATGTTGGTGGTTGGAGTTGCTGTTGCTGACGTCGAGCTCGTCGTAGTCAAATACCTCTGGACTCCTGGTCGACCAGATTCAAGGCCACAATGTTGACGATGTACACTCGACAACGATGGCAAGCGACAGGGTTGAGTTCTGCTGCTTACCCTCCGAACGTGGGGGTGGGGTGTCAGGTATATTAAACGACCAGAATGAATTGGGAGAGAAGATCGAGTGCGTAAACACGAGGTGAAAAGGGTCTTTGGCATGCTCATGCTCATACCAGACGCACGACAAATCCAGGAGATGGGAAATGGCAGCACATTCACTACTGTGACCGCTCGTTAATCATCACTGCTGACCGTGCAAACGCCACATGTGTGATCAAGTGGACTGACTTGATTGACCAACTGAGGCGCCTGATGCTGTGAGTTACTCGGATATACATTCCCCCACCCAAAGGGATGAGGAGGAAGGCACGTCAGCAGTTTATTCCTTCGTTGTCATTGGTCTCTGGTGCACATGCATGAGGTGGCAGGTGCAACTGGTGAAAATGTCACCCGTGGCCCACCCACCCCACGGCAAGTACGGGTGTCTTGGCATATGGGGAAAGTGGACCGAGATGATTATATAATCCTATTTTTGCATGTATCGATTCATCAGATCCTTGTATGCCTTTGTCCTCCTCTTGATGGATGCAAATAGAAATATCGACTAACAATTGAGGATCAGAGTGTCCTCGGACCATATTCAGGATGTCTTTGTCTTCTTCTCTGACATAGGTCGATGCTCATTTACTAGACTAGAGGGAGGGTAAGTGCCTGATGGGAAAGGCCATGGTACCAGCGAACAACAACCACGACTCAAAGAATAAGAGGTAAAGCCTCTGAAATCAAGTTCGATTTACTGAGAATGCCCCTTTTTTTTGTCGCACTAGCATCATCCGACTCCTCAATTTGTCCGCTGGTCCAGGCTCGTCATCATCTCTTCCAGGCATACAAGTCATCATTTGCTCGATTGCTGCGTTTGCATCTTCGAGGTTCCAATCGTTCTCATGTTGGAGAAGCGCCATCTCCGCGTTGGTGAGCTCATACCAAACCTCATCATTGCGGACGCTGCACCTCGATGTAGTCTTCGTCGAAGAGCCGAAAACGGCGTTTTAATTAGTCCCAAAACGGGAAGCGGGAACTCCACCCTGTCACGCAAGGCTGCGTTTGGCAAGGGGGCGATCTCACCAAAAGAGAACAATGGGTTCCCTTTTCCACATATGCACTCATCGTATTGCGAATCGTGCTACTTACAGAGAGACTGAGAAAGATTTTGAGGCATTGGAATGACATTCGGTATTCATTCAATCATATTTCGGCGTGCTAGATCTTTATCATTGATAGGATTGCACGTATGCTGCCGATCTCGTCCAAAGCCAGTTACCTAGCTCTGATGAATCAGTCTCCAATTATCATTGACAACAACACATCCGATCTAGCTAAAAGCTAGGACACTATCTCAAAGAGATATCTGCCCACCTCAAATCGAATACTGCGGGAGTTGATTAGGTAGGTAGACTCGACCACATCTCAGCCTGGACCTCCCTCCCGGCCCCTGCCCCGAGGCACTCCGTAACAATATAGTATCATTCGGTCTAAACTGCAGAGTCGAAAAACCGTTCCAATGGATCATTTATTGTATTTCACCCTTTGGATGTCCTGATACTCTTGGCCGGTATCTTGTCGGGCCTCGCGCCTTAGCTCGTCTGTGAATTCATCGTCGCTGCATTCAGGACATTTGTTGAACTTCTCAAGCACCTCCACGATGCGTCCGGGATAACAGAATCGACCATTGCAAGGATTTATGGGTCGAGTAATCCGATGTCCTTTTCGCTCTAAGTGTTTGGGCAGCTCCTTTCCTCGCAGTTTGCATTCCTGGAAATATGTCTTGATATGCATTTCACACATGTTGGTTGCCTTGGATGATGATCTGGATCTTGTGGTTTATGATAATTATAAGCCTTTCTAGTCGTTTCTCTCGATAACGCATATGCTACACCTTTCCAAGATACTGAGGTGATGAAGGGGCCCTTTATAGTTGTGAACCTGAGGATATCGTTTGTTTGTGAATCTCGGTTTGCATCGTGCAACTTGAGTCTGACGGCAAGACACCCCAATTCAACCCAGTACGACCGCCTCAGAGAGTCAGCATGTCAGTCATTTCCCCGGTATTTCAATCTGATCCAATTACAAGCCGCATTTCAGTGCATCAACTATCAATGCTGAGACGAGTCAGAAAAACACCAAAGACGAAGGATGAGCACGCTCTCCCTCTTCTTTACATTCAGTTTGGCTGCCTATCGTAAACAGTCAAGCACCGCTGAAAGCCGAATCAACCAATATTTCCGATCTTCTCTTGATGAAATGGCCTAGAAATATTAAGTCTACCGCAGTTGGGGTTAGGGGTATCTTGTCTGGGCTGTAGCCTGGCAATGTCCTGGATCACTCTTTAGATTCCCAGGTTCAACTCAAGACCCAACAGGTAGAAGACCCATTATAATCTCATAAACACCACAGACAACACTTGCTGTTGTTTGTCGAATTCCAATTCTTGATAGACTGCGATAGATGTTGAAGTCAAACAGGTATGGTTTAGAGTATGATACCGGAATTTGGAATCCTTCCTCGACGAAAGTGCTCAATCTTTCCAGAGTCCGCCAACCAGCGCTCAGCTATGCCCTCTTTGTTTCACATCAACAACACCTCACCTATCACGAACCTGATCTGATTCTATCTCCCAAGCACCTCTCGCAAAAGGAATTTCCGGCTTCTCATCCGGGCTTGACCCCGACTGCGAGCTTTCCCACAAAATGGACATTCATCCACTTTGTTCACAATCAAGGAGACCGTGCTTGGAACACATGTGTCCTTCTTATCACAAGGGTCGACCCGCTCTTTCCGAACATGTTGTCTGGAGTTCTTCAAGGGGCAGGACTCCCATGTGGTTCTAATTTCTTCAACACACATTCTGGTGGAGAGAAGGTTGGCCGTTGATGCGTGTCCGAAAGAGGTAGAGGGATTGAACCAATGAATGATCGTGGTGTCCTATTCAAAACAGGGCCACTTTGGCGTAGATCGAAGGTTCGAATGCATGGTATGAATCACCGGGAACATCCTTTGGAAGCTGAAGTTATGCTGGTATTAGTACTGGTTGGAGTTGTCACTCAAACGAATGCATTCCAACGTAGGGGGTGAAAATAGCGATAGTGAGCTGGCTACTCTGTTCAAGTGCCACCCGGCAGACAAGTCATCTCGTCTGGTGTCTGGCAGGGGTTTGGAGTAGTCTATACGAATTCCAGCTACCTATTCTCCGCGAGCTTCCACACCGATGACGGTGACGAATCAGATGCACCACATGACGTGAGGAGGGTTTGGCCAACGACAACGAATTCCTACGACTTTAAAAAATGTTCATGGCGAATGGATAGTATGCTAAATCTACTAGGTAGGTACCTAGTAATCATTGCTCAAGCCTCTACCGAAGTTCTGAGAACCAGATTAGAGGGTCAATTGAACATTCCTGGCAAAATTCGAGTATCTCGTAAGAATTCACACTGAGCAAACGCCAATGCCCATTTGAACTCTCACGGCGCTCTGAAGTCTCCGTCAGAATCAGCCTACGTTACATGGTCCATTGCACCGGTTCTATGGGAACCAGTATTGGCGGCTCTTTCTAGCATCTTCCTATTTTTGTCCTGTGGAGCAGGTTGATTTAGAGACGTGCATAACGATAGAAGAGGGAAGTTGTTGACTTACGCAGAAAGGACACTCCTCATCAGTGATCAACTTCTCTTCCTCATGGGGGATGGCGCACTCCACTCCCTTCAAGGGGCAAGGATTGATCAGATCAACGAATTTATGGTCATTTACTGGGTGAAGTGTTCTGATGCGGCAGCGCTTCCACTTGGTGGTGATCTTTTTCTTACACATTTAGGTCAGTGTAAAGTGCGTTCAAGCTTTGGATACGACGAGGCCTTCTAAATTGCTTCGGAATGTTGGAATCGATAGACTATTCAATCGTTGTTTGTGACGTTAAAAAGACAGGCTTAGGTCTATGAGATCTTCAACGTGCTTATATAGGACGGAATGACCGTTTGCATCGATGACACTTTCCGTCATCGAAAAGATTTCTGGAGAACTTCAGACTCACACATCTCAAACACGGCCTCTGAGTCATGGTTGGGATTCGAACGAGCAAACTGGGGACCCAACAACTGAAGATATGATTTTGCGTGGAAGTGTTCTTCCAAGTATCAACGATCATAACTCGGAACTAAAGTTCCTGTGCAAAGCTAGGATGAGTACCCCATCTTGCTACCACCAAGACCGGTTTACGCCTAGAGTGCTTTGAGAATTCTAGAAATTGTCCATAAGTTATAGGCCCAACAACTGAAATCTACGCTATCTGTTTTATTCAAATAGACCAGGACATTGAATGATGGAGAAAAAGAGTTTCTGATAATAGTAACATCTTGGCTATGGGAGGTAGGTAGATGGGTGGTATCTATTTACCTGCTATTATACATATAACGAGACTGTTTCTAAGCAGAGACGCATCGTGTTTATTGAGTGGAAGTTTCGCCCGTCGAATCTGCTGGAGCTTTGTCCTCTTTAGAGCTAGCATGGTGTTTTCTCTCATGGTGGTGTCTCCTGTCGTGATGTCTCCTGTCATGATGTTTTCTATCATGATGTGATAGTCGCTCGTCATGATGCTTTTGTTTCTCACAGTATGGACATTCCCTGTGAGTATTCAAGCGCTCCACGATATTTCGTGGGGTGCACATAGTAGAGCCGCACCTGTCATGAACTTCGACGAAGACATGGCCTTTCCGGGTTATATGTCCGTCGGAATCTTTCTCTCGAAGGTGGCATTTTTCGAAATACGTCGTAATTCGTTGGCCGCACATGATCAAAGAGTATCTCCTATCGAGAGTATCGATATAGACCAATCGGTGGTCATTCGATGGTTGCAACAGATCGATTTGTGGTCGAAAATGACGATCAGAAATCTAATGATAGTGACCTTCTCAGAATGGTCCTTTAAATTTTGAGAGACAATCAGAATCGCTCATCATGCGACTTGAACGAACAAATTGGTCAACGTTCGTAGTCTATCACAGTCGACCGTGTCAATACAACAAACGCTTGATCGGTTAGTGGGTAAGATTTTGTCACCGGACCAACTCCCTACTGGTGTAGAAGTGTCACTCGAGAGAAGGTGTTGATGTTGGCGGTTTGACCTGAATGGTCCAGGAAGAGTCAGTGAGGTTCTATCTGACTCCTCTAGGAAGTATATATATATATATAAGTATATACAATCCGAACCTGAAATTGCTCATTTCTTGACATATTTCTCACGAGAAAACTCACAGCAAGGTCATACTTTAGCAAAGTGACACAGAGTCTTCAGCCAAATCAAGATGTGTAAGAGAATCCAATGGAAGATTTGGAAAAACTGCCAAAAGAAGCAGAAACATGGCACGCTGGTGGTCGAAGATAAGTGCACTAGATTCCGAAAGGGAGCCAAAAACACTGGTGCTGATTCTTGGTGCCCGGATTTCAATCGTGGAAATGTCCTGGTGAACGGAGATCTTTATGACCCATATTGTCCCAAGTGTAACAATACTTGGAAGGAGCCTTCTGAGAAGAAACCTGAGAAAGTTCCTGAGCAAGGGCATGGGGCACCACAGAGAGCAAGATCTTCAAGTCAACCCAGGACCACGGTCAGCGACAGACCTAGTTCATCTCGAAGTAACAACCCATCTATGCGACCACCGAACAACCCAATCTTTCCTCGTCCTACAAGTAACCCAACCTCTTCTCGTCCTACAAGCAACCCAATCTTTCCTCGACCAAGCCCAGATGAAGACGTTGAAATGCGGGACTATAGCGATAGCGAGGGCTCTCGTACAAACCCAGACAGAATGAGCTGGCGCCCTCAGTCAGGCTCGGATTTCGACATGGATTTGGATACACCAAAGGACTATCGGCGTTGGATATGACTGCGGCCTAAGGCAGCGAGCCCTATTTGTTGCATTGATAGCCAGTGGGCCGGGGCTATCGCGTCTTACACTTCCATGGGTGCCTTAGAGCGTCGGTTTTACCTTGGTAGATACGGAGGACGGGCAGAGAGTCCAGAGAAGATTCCTGAAATGGAAATATTCCTGTGGGATGCTGGGCGCCACCGACCCGTGAAACAGGGTGTGGGGAACCTCAAGGCCTCAAACTCTGGAACAGGCAACGATCCGAGGACAGCTTGATTTTGAATGTAACTGTTTCGTTGACGGCACAATCCATTCAAATATCAACCATGGCCCTGACCACTCTTTGCACTCTCTTTTGATTCATAAATCATAGAACAAATACTTGCGGCGGCCGGGTAGCATCGCTCTTTCCTCCATTGTTCTCTCTTCCTTCTTCAAGCCACCTTCCTGATCTGTGAATTCAGTCATTACCCCGCACCGGACCTTCCTCATTTCGACTTGTCGCTTCCCTCCTGCCGCCGCTTCATCAAATCTTGTCCGCAATCGGCTAGCCTCGTTCTGTTGTGTCGCTGACTCAGCATCGACATTGCGTCGCCTTGAAGAGAAGTCGATCATGTCGGTCACCAACACCACTACTGTGTCGGTTGCTAAGACTTCGACTTTTCTAAACGCCCAGTCATTGAAGTCCAACATTGGCGTGTACACGAATCCAAAACATGATTTATGGGTCGCTGAGGCTTCGCCAACGGCAGAGCAAGTGGAGGCAGGCTACGATCTCGGCGAGGGAGAAGTCTATGTGGGAGTCAAGTCAACAGGCATTTGTGGTTCTGACGTTCATTTCTGGCACGCAGGATGCATTGGTCCCATGATTGTCGAGGCTGACCATATCCTCGGTCACGAGTCCGCCGGGGTGATTCTGGCAGTGCATCCATCTGTCAAAGATCTCCAACCTGGCGACCGCGTCGCAATTGAACCCAATATCCCCTGCTACAAGTGTGAACCATGTCTGACAGGAAGATACAATGGATGTGAGAGTGTCGAATTTTTGAGCACACCCCCAGTCGATGGATTACTCCGGAGATATATCAAACACCCGGCAGTTTGGTGCCACAAGATCGGAGACATGAGTTTCGAGGATGGTAGCCTGCTGGAACCTTTGTCTGTCGCTCTGGCTGGAATTGATCGTGCCGGCCTCAAACTCGGTGACCCAACTTTGATTGCTGGCGCTGGTCCCATAGGTTTGGTCTCACTCCTTTGCGCGGCTGCAGCCGGCGCCACCCCGATAGTCGTCACAGACATTGACCCTGGACGGTTGGCATTTGCCCAATCGCTCGTTCCCCGTGTCAAGACATTTCAGGTCCCGTCGGCTAAATCGGCTGAAGAGACTGCAGATGGAATTATCAAGGCATTTGGTGGGATCAGACCCCGGATCGCCATTGAGTGCACGGGTGTGGAATCCAGCGTGGCCAGTGCCATCTGGAGCATGAAATTTGGAGGCAAAGTTTTCATCATTGGCGTGGGCAAGAATGAGATGAAGGTCCCATTCATGCGCTTGAGCACACAAGAGATTGACCTACAATACCAATACCGATACTGCAACACGTGGCCAAAAGCAATCCGTCTAGTCGAGAGTGGTGTTATCAAGCTGGATAAGTTGGTCACCCATCGCTACAACCTCAGAGATGCGGTGGAGGCTTTCAAAACGGCGAGTGATCCCAAGAGCGGTGCAATCAAGGTCCAGATCAAGAATGACGACAGTTTATGATGTATGGAGAGATACCAGAGGGCCTAGCCTACGCAAGTTCACCCTAGAATTCTCGGTGATGATAAGACTGCTTGATCCTATAGAGGTTGAGCATCAACATTTTCATTACTTCAATCGAGCAGCGCATAAAGATCGAGAAGTTGTTTTAACCAAATTCGGATCTACTCCGGACACAGCCTCATCATTGTAGAAGCTAATGGGCGCGCGTCCCGTGTGAAAACGGGCTTAGGAAATGCTTAGGGCCAGATCGTACCCCATCACTGGGTCTCACAGACCCAGACATTCAGGCCAATTCGGTTCGCAGATGCTAATAACTTCAATAGTACCTTGGACTTGGTCCCACGATTCACGCGCGTTCGAACGCATTGGCCATATTGCCAAGAGTGCCTTGTCATACTTGTATCAAGACCTGGACTTGCAAGAGCCTTCAAAGTGTCTGTGCAAAGCGGCATTTGCTGCCAGAGCCGAACTCTGTCTCAATTGACCTCCCTACCAGGGAAAGGTCACTTCTAAGTTACCGTCTAAAAAATGCTATCAGCACGCTGTTGCACCTCTTCAGGTGAGATAACAAAATTTCAAGGTTTCGATGAACATGGTCAAGCATCGGCCTAGATCCAATACCTTAGTCGCCCTCTCAGTAGAGGTGCCTACGGAGTACGTGGAATCTTCTTGTTGTGGCGGCTACTAAGGCAATCGATCTCATGTCCATTGCCACAGATATGGTCTTTAATGTAATGCCAAGTTCCATGGAATCCAAAAAAGAAGACCTGAGGGAAGGCTCATAAAATAAACTCGCCCGTCCTTGCGTGGTTCGACTGGTTATATCTTGTACGCCTTGGCCCGTCCGGTTATGAGCTGCTCTGTTGAGAACCATCATTTTCTGGCTTTGCGGCACGGCGGGGTGAGCGTGCAAATTGCTCGATGTAGCTGACATGGCTATCACGCCAACGACGAGCTGGGCCAAGGCCAACCTTGCTATGGCAATCACGTTCATCCCGTTGACCTGGCTTGTCGTCACCATGCGGTTCATTGCTCGACGGAAGATCAAGGCGGTGGGCACTGACGACTGGTTGATGTTGGCTGGGCTGGTGAGTTGCCGTCGAAGCAGAGGGGTCATAGTATGTCTGGACACGCTGACGCTCTCAATCCAGATTGCATACACCTGGTATTGCCAGACCGTGATCACAGCTGTTTTCTATGGGCTTGGCGAGCCGGACGCAAGCCTGACTGTTCAATTACGGCAGGATGGAAGAAAGGTATAGTCCAATCGTAAACGGCCTCTGTTCCTTGCTCTGACTCATTCTTGTGATAGTGGGTTTGGATCGGTGAGATGTCATACTTGATTACCATCATTCCAGTCAAGGTCAGTATCGCCGCGGGCCTGCTGCGAATCGCCATCCAGCGAAGACACAGATACAGCCTTTACTTTATCGCAATACTATCAACATGTGCTTCATTGGCCACAATCATCCTCAGACTGGTATGGTGTAAACCGGTCGAGGCAACCTGGGGCTCCCCGGGATCGTGTGGGTCTATCTCGACCCGGATCGATACTGGGTACTTTATGTCGGCCGTCATTATCTTCACAGATTGGTCGTGTGCAATCCTCCCGGTAGTTATGTTGTGGGGCCTTCAGATGAAGCTGAAGGTAAAAATTTCAGTGATTATTCTTCTTTCTCTCGGTGTTTTGTGAGTCGGCCTCATTGTACCTTCCTCCCGCTAGGCCCGAAAAACATTCTAACACCATGTCCAGCGCGAGTTGCCTTACCATTGTCCGACTGGTGTTTGTCATTCATCATGATTTCACCGTCAACTACCTTGTGGGGATGTCTGCTATCTCGATTTGGGGCGTGATCGAGCTAGGGATTGGAATCATTGCCGGCTCTATGGTCACTCTTCGGCCGTTGCTGAGACACATCACATGTCTGAGTAATGATAGCTCAAATTCAGATTTGAAACCGCAAGATCAGGTAACCCCATACCGTCCTGCGCCTTACTTACCTAAGGTTGCAAGAACCAACAACCCCGGGTATCGCGTGGAAGACAACGACGAAGAAGAAGACTCCTCAGAGGGTGGTGGCCAGAAACACACCTTGAAAGAAATGCTCGCCATGACAAGAGTATCGTCACGATCAGAATGCTGACGGCTTAAGGGTGCTCCCCCTTCGCACTGCCCGTGGAGAAAATGTATAATTAAGATAGAAGGACGAAATGGTCACTAATAAAAGTAGATATAATATGACATATCATAACCATCACCTTTCTGAGTGTCGTCTTTGTTGAGAATTGTCCAGGATTGATGTCAACGTACCTCCGACAAGCGGAGGAAATATATATCACGTGACTTTTTATTTCAGATGACTAATAGTCAGATGGCGTGCGTGGGAGGCTTTCGCTGTGGTGGATTGTCCTCGGATAGAGCACCATTTGCCGTGGATATGGTTTGTCAGGATCTATATTCGAGTCAGAATTCGTTTCTGGATATTTATAGCGGCATCACGGTCTTGAAGAAGTCATAGTACCAAGAGCCTCAGCATTCACCACTCCACTCATCGCCATGTCTGCAGACGACAGCAAGGAAACGATCCGGGTTGCAATCTTAGACGACTATGCGGGGATTGCCAACGAACATTTCGAGAAAGTCATCATTCAATACCCTCATGTTCAGGTGTCCAACTATGCGACAACACTGAATACACGGACGGAGGAGGGTCATGCGGCGTTGGTCGCACGACTTGAACCGTACACGGTGGTGGCGTCGATGCGGGAACGCACACGGTTCCCACGTAGCGTGCTCGCGGCACTGCCTAAGCTGCGGGTGTTGCTGACGACGGGGATGCGCAATGCGGCGATCGACCTAGCGGCAGCCAAGGAGTTGTCGATCACCGTGGTGGGCACAGGACATAAGCCCAACATGGTCAAGGGCTACGATGCGACCAACGAGCAGACTTGGGCGTTGATTCTGGGTCTGGTGAAGAATATCGTGGCGAGCGATGCAAGTATCAAGTCGACGCCAGACGGCTGGCAGCCTGGCCTGATATCTAGTCTTGGGGGCAAGACTCTGGGTCTTCTAGGCCTCGGTCGTCTGGGTGCCCAGGCCGCCGTCACCGGGAAACTGGGCTTCGGCATGAATATCCTTGCATGGAGCTCGAGTCTGACTCAGGAGCGAGCCGATGAACTAGCTCAAGCCAATGGTCTGTCACCCGGTTCTTTTGTCGTGGCAAAGTCCAAGGAAGAGCTCTTTCGGTCTGCGGACGTTCTGTCGGTTCATTATGTTCTTTCGGACCGGTCTCGTGGCATTGTGGCCAAGAAGGAGCTCGAGTGGATGAAGAAGGATGCTGTTTTGGTCAACACCTCGAGAGGTCCATTGATTGATGAGACAGACTTGTTGGCTGTGCTGGAGAGAGGTGGGATTAGAGGTGTAGGCTTGGATGTCTTTGAAATTGAGCCCTTGCCATCAGATGCTCCCTGGCGGAGAGATGGCTATTGGGGCGTGGATGGGAGATCTGCCGTCTTGGTCAGTCCTCACAATGGTTATGTCGAGGGCGAAACTATGCATTCTTGGTATGAACAGCAGGCTCAGAGTCTCAAGCAATGGCTAGAGGGAGGAGTGGATGCTTTGGAGAAGAAAATTGAATAGGAGGGTCAATACTTGAACATGGGGAGAGTAGGTGGAAGGAAAATTCATGAGATTGCCATAGCTCGCTAAAATTTATCGGTGCTAATGAAGCAATCTATTGTCCACTGACTTCATTTCCTTCTTCCTTGGAATTTAAATCATGCTTTAGCCTGGATATCCAGCTCTGGCCTAGATCACAGCAAACAGCTTTTATGCTTTTATTTCCCGAGATAAGTCAATGCTGCCACCGTCAGAGCATCAACCCCAGTCCTTAGTGTAGGTTGAATGATGGGGGCGAAGTATGGGTTATGATTAACCGGGACCGCGTGTTGGCTATTGCTATTCTCAAATATTTTGGGATCGTGACCACCAAAGAACCAGAAACAGTAAGGCTTGTTGATATGGGAGCCGAGGATGCCAAAATCCTCGGAGCCCAACACGGATTTCAAATCTGGGATATGAGTATCGCCAAAGTATGAAGTAAAGGCCTTGTTGATCTTGGCCGAGGTCTCAGCGTCGTTGATGGTCAATGGGAATGAACTGGTGGGCTCAATAGTGGGTTCCTTGGGGCAGTTGCCAGCTACGCACTCAGCATTGACGATGCGCCTCACACTGGCAAGGATCTTCTCCCGCCATTCCACGGTAACAGTGCGGATATTGATTTTGATGACGGCCTCATCAGAAATGACATTCTCAGTGCTTCCAGCTTGAAGAGCGCCGACGGTGACGACGGCGGTCTCATCAGGGGGGACTTCTCGGGCGACAATAGACTGTAGGCGCACGACGATATAACTGGCAATGACGACGGGATCGATCGTCCCATGTGGCATGCTACCGTGGCCGCCGTGGCCAAAGATGGTGATTTTGAAACTGTCGGCGGCCGACATCAAAGGGCCAGGTCGAAGTCCTGTGGTGCCCGCTGCCAGTGGGAAGACATGTTGACCCAACACCACGTCAGGGATCGGACAAGCATGCTTCTTGGCATCGTAAAGGCCGTCATCAACCATGGCTTGCGCACCACACCCTCGCTCTTCCGCGGGTTGGAAGAGGAAGACAATGGTGCCACTCCAGGTGTCACGCGCAGCGAGAAGCGTCTCGATGGCGGCAAGCAAAGAGGTGATGTGGAAATCATGACCACATGCGTGCATAACAGGCTTGACTTCGCCGTCAACGTCCAGCTGGGTCTTGGTGCTAGCATACTCGAGATTTGTTTTCTCCTTGATGGGCAAGGCGTCAATGTCGGCGCGGAGCAGAATGGTTGAGCCTGGGCCGTTGCGAAGGATAGCAATTTGACCATGTCCTCCTATGCCAGTCCGGATCTCAAGGTCGGACGACAGTGACTGCAACTTCTTGGTAATGTGGGCAGCAGTTTCCTTTTCCTGGGTTGACAATTCGCCATTGGCATGATAGTATTTGTATAATTCTTCGTAAGGTTTGAGATCTGGTCGGTACTTGGAGACGATGTTGGAAAAGGGCGACGTTGATGCTGCGTCGTTGGCCATGGCGGTGGCTTGGGGTTCACTACAGTGTGTCGGTGATGTGGCTATCTGCGTTGATACCAAGTGCTTGAAAAGTACTGAGGTTCAGATATTGTCAACCCTCGCTTTCGCCCTTTGAGGATTTGAGATATACCCAGTCTTCTCCGCATGGGGGCTGCCAGTCGAGAGGTCATCTCCGGCGCCAGAGCTGATAGCAGTGGATGGCGGGTGGAGTAGTCGAATGAAGGAATGTCGCGAGGGGGAGTAATGACGTGGAGAAGAGGATGCGCAGCTCGGAATTTGATTGGCTATCAATTGACAATAGCCGAGGCAGCAAATCACCGTTGAAGATGCTTTATCCGCCGGACCACAATGGTGGGCCGTTGGCATCAGACAAGGAATCCTGTAACTCACACCAGCGGAAGAGATCCATAACGCAAAAAAACTCCGAGGTAGTCCAATATGCAACGCTGCTGAAAAAGCCAGAATGGGCAGCATCTCAGGGAAGCCCATATCGCAGATGAAAGTTCATTTCTATAGTGTTCCCCAGCAGTCGTCACCCATCGTGGCCCGTTTATTCTTCATCCACCATATCTTCAATGGGACGGATCGTCCTGCTCCGGCCACTTGGGGCCCCTTTCACTGTCCTGACCACCCGGCTTTTGACGCTAGAAGCCTTGTCTCGAATACTCGAAGATCGTTGAATCGGCTTGGCGGCGCCTTTCTTCGGTGTTCCCTTGTTCTTACCAAGGAGTGCAGTGGCCGACGAAGTTGATACCACCCTGTTGTTGGCGCCCTTTGTTCGACTAACCGTCTTGCCGGTCTTGCCCTTAGCAATAGTGACTAGCTGTTTCAACTTGGATGGGCGACGCACCAGTGTACTGGCTGTCGCGGTACTAGTCTTGCGTGAGACCGCTTTCTTGATGAGCCGGATCTTGCGGACTTTGAGGTCGGTGTTCGTTGCTGCCGTAGATTTATACACTTTCGCCTTGGCCTTGGAGGGACCAATTTTGGCCTTTTTGGCGATACGGGTGGTGCCCTCCTCAATGGCACTAGCAATCTTCCTTTTGACACCAGCCAGTTTGCCAGGCTTCTTGGTGTCCTCTTCTGGACTGGTTTGTTTTCGTCCCTCTTTCGGGCGCGGACCCAGGAACCCCCTGCAGTTGTCCGCCCCACATCGACATTCCTGGACGTTCTTTTGCGAGTATGGGTCGAAATTATAATCATAAGTCAGTTCTTCTCCGGTCACGATGCCACGATGGCCGGCAAATAGAGCCATGCGGGGTTTGCCGTTGACGGTCCATTTCTCCATGCGACAGTTGGGATCACACGAGTGGTTGACAAAGCGTGCAATTGAGCCCCGAGTGGCATCAATGATCATGTTTTGATCAAACAGCATCAGGTAATATGACTGCAAAATGGTCAGTCGACCATTTGGCCAAGTTGGGACCATGAAACTCACCTCGTTGTTCTTGTACATGGACTTCATCCTGCGCTCGCACTCTTCTTGAGTAATGATCTCGCCAGTATACTCCACGATGATCTGGTTTGGATCAAAGCTACGATTGCTTCTGACACCATATCCGCGATCTTCGGTTTTGATGACCTCGACGCCAATATTATATTTGCCTCCTTTCTTAACTCTCTCCTTTAGATTCTCAAAATTGCGATTGCCGCACTCCTCGGCCTTGAGGTTGCAGTTGCGGCCGTCGCATTCGTAGTACATGTACCGATTCATGCAGTTTTGGTCGCAGCCAGTCTCAGGGGTGCACGTGCAGGTCGAGTCCTCGATGTACTTGGATACACGCCATTCTTGAGCAGCATCACCCACAAACACGTTCTTGTTGACCTTTCTCCATTCGTCAGGCTTGGGTTGCCCGGCGGGGAGTGGGGAGAAGATATCAAAGGGTAGTTTAAAATCCCGGCCATTCTGCAGGAGACGTTCGCCGGCGTACATGGGCATGGGAAATAACTTGTTCTCCACGACTGGCGGTGGAGCCTCGACGCTCTGGCGCTTGTTCTTGCTTCCCGAGCGACGCACATCAAAAGATCTGACCTGTCCGACAAAGAGACCAGCCGACAGCCACCTTTTTTCTCGTCGGCGGGTGGCAGCCTTGGGCTGGACGGGTTCTTCAGCGAGCGTCTCCACCTGGCTAACTCGCCGTTTCTTTGCATCAGGTTCGGCTGCTTCGGCCGTCTGTTGAGTTGCTTTCTCCTGGGATCTGTCCTTTCTCTTGCCCAGCACGGTAGATGCAATGCCCGACACAAGCTCCGATGCCCTGCTCAGGACAGGGATACGCGAGGATCTTCGAGAGGCATGCTTCTCTGCAGCCTTCTTCTTGGCCTCCCAGATCTTGTTGTTTTCCGCCATCTTGGCCTTTCGGGCTGCGGCTCGGGCAAGACGCTCTGCCTTTTCTTCTTCGGTCTCTTCCTCGTCCTTGATATAAAAGGTAGAATTTCGGTCGGGGCTATGAAGCGAGGCGGGGAAGTGTTTATCGCCCTTAGGGAACATGTCCCCCATGGTCCATGGGAGGTCAAGGGCAGCAATGCCTTCTTTGATCAAGGTTGACTGGCTGGCATTGTCCATATTGACCAGTGTCTCTCCGCTGACAGTGCGGTTTGCCAGAAATTGGTCGTCCGCGTCTTCAACGAGTAGATCGGTGCTCTCACACATCAGCGTGTTCTTGGTCACGCGTCTGGCTCGGCCCTTTGGGACATGTTTCATGCTGACTACCTGAGCATCCATGATGGAGACATCGAGAGAGCTTTCTGAGGGAGTAGGTAGTTGTCGCAGAGGAGGGCTAGCCACCACGATAGTATCTGGATCGTCTTCGGTGGACATGGTAGTGTCGACGCGTTCTATGGGAGGACGGGTATTTGATAGAGTGGTCTCGGGGGTGGGTTTAGATCCATACGCTGGGCCCCCGAGTCTGTAGAAATTGAGGAGGGATTGTCGCAGTGGCATGGTTGAGAATAAGAGGGAAAGGGGGAGGGAGGGCGGGAGGCTGGCCAGAGGATGACAAGCAAAGGGGAGGGCGGCTGCTCAGACGTGTCTTGGCCTACAACGCGTCCTAGGACTGCATTCAGACCAGAACGGACGTCGGCAAGGCTCGGATGAGAAGGCCACAAAGCAGAATAAGGCAACGACGCGTATGGTGCTGGAGCCAGGTGGACGTTGCTTGAGAATGGTGGTGGGAGTGTTTGGTGGTGGTTGTGCTGGTAAGAGGCTGGGAACACGACCGAGATTAGATTTAGATTGTGAGGTGCAGCGGGAGTCGAGGAAGGAGCAAGGAGCAAAGAGTAAATGATGCAGGAGCCTGCAACCATCAATTTTGGCTCAAGACAGCGCAGCCACAAAGTTGTCGACCTCTAGAATCTCTATCAGCTCTTCAACTGTTGATTCCAGTTTAGAATTATTATTTCGGTGAGTCGACTCGTCCCAATAATAATGATTGCAAGGGACCCTGAGAACCACGGGCCCTCGGACTTTTTGTTTACCACCCACTTACCTGATCCTTCTACCAGTACTGCACTGGTGCACGATCACCCAAGATTAACCAACGATGAACAGCGAACGGACCTATGCTTCGTCAACATACCCCATCAGTGCCCATCAGTGCCCATCCTAACCACCTTTTTCCCCTCCCTCGCCGTGGCAACTCGTGCCACTTGGATACACCGCTGGCCAGTGTCCCGAACTTCCACCCACGGAGTAGGTCTGTCAACTGCATGTTTCACATTTGTTGGACACATAATTATTATACTCTACAGCGTTGGATTCCTCCCACTCACTGTTATACACCTGCAACGCCTCGATGTATGCGTGGACACACACATCTCACCGTGTGGATAGTACATTTCCCTTGGCCGAAGGGCCTCCACCATAAATCCTGCTGCAAATTCCCACCATCATTTGCTTTCCAGCTTGCGAAGCTTCCTGCCCGTTGGTCCCTCGAATGACTTTCCCGCTCCCTGCACCGGCTTCATCTCCATGGCCTCCTGCTGCTCAGCCCCACCTTGGCCTCGCCGCTGGCTCTTGCTTGCCGCAAACCGTCGGTCTCCCGACTCGTACTTCTTCTTAAAGTGAAGGTACGTTGGTGGCTTCGGTCGAGCCAGCACCGTAATCCAATTCCGAATAAAATTCCCCTGCGTAAACGGTCGATGCCGTTCTGACTTTGGGAATCGTCGAGATGCCAGGTATTCCCTCGTCGTATCACCGTGGCCCACGAGCCACAAATGATAGATCCACAACGAACAAGGGTAGACGAATGCTAGAATTCCGTAGATGAACATGGCAAAGGGTGCCTTGTTGACAGTGATTGAATCTCCAAACGAAAGTCCTTGTTGCTGCCCGTAGGCAATCACGTGGCCCAATGAAGCAAAGGCCAAATATAGCCCGACAAACGTTCCTGTGCTGACAAAAGTGAAAAAATACCGGTAATTTCTTCGACCAACACAATTGTTGACCCAAACACAATGGTGGTCTAATGTCTCGACGCAGTTATCGCACACTCGACAATGATAACATCGTGGAGGCCGCCAGATGTTGCATGTCTTGCAATATTTGACCGGCACGTCCATTGCCGCCGTCTGCGAGGTTGCTAATCGCACCATCACCCAGTCATTCGTGGGTGGTCCGATCGCCAGAGGGTCGTCGTTTTCATCGGGAGGAAAGGGATGGATATTGCGCGGAAAAATCTAGCCATGTCAGCTCACTAAACAGCCACGGCTATTCATCCAACTTACCCCAGGGTCCACAAGGGACGCATGTACAAAGGATGACAAACAAATGAAATAAAGGTATGCGAATACAACCGGAACCGCTGGTGATACATTGTGCCAAAGGTATGAAGCACTGTTACTGGTTAGCGCCAGGATTATCAAGAGGTTAGATAGCGGACTCACGAATAAATGAAGAAGAAGACGGCGGGCACAATCAGAACGACCGCCGTAGCAATATTGATTGGTCGATCCCGGGCATTTTGGAGTCGACCACCCCACCAGAACACAGTGTTTCCCTCAAAGTACTCGTAATTCTTTCCCAAGGCACTCTTCGATGCGACTCGTGCATCAGACACGGTAGGTAGGCGAGACGACGGGGCGCTCGAGGGTAATGGCTGATGCCCAGACTCCAGACGATGTTTGCTTGCGAGGCTCAAGCCCGATCGGAACGATATGGGCGACTTCTGTGGTTGGTCGGTGGTCTTTAAGGCAGCCGAGATATTCAGGCGTGATGGAAGATGTTGCGCGTGGCTATCGCGCGGCGATGGTCTAGCGTTGACCAGCTGAGTTTCTCCATCTGTATGGGACGCAAAATCGGCGAATTGGTTGTCGACTGTCTCAGGTGCTTCCGACTGGGTGTAGTCGGTGGCGATTGAGGGAATATGACGATGTGACCGGGGCATGGCGTGAAAGGGACCTTGTCGGCTAGAGGCCAGACTACGTGCATCGGCCTCATCATCATCCTCGTCCGCGATTGCGGCCGGTGGCTGTACCGGCTTCCCACCCAAAGATCTTTTTAATCGCTGAGCTTGTAGTTTTTGAGAACTCATGGGCTTGAAGAACCCCTGTGCAGTTAAGGACGGGACATGTGTTCGGCTGGCCTGACTGGTAGGACTTTGAGGGCGACTGGATTCGGCATTGCTATCGGGGGCTGGATTGTTGCGCTGTGAACGGTTGACGATGCCCCTCAAGTGGGAGTAGCCATGCTGCGACACAGAAGGATTTGGTAAGGAGGGTAGATTGGCGACGCCAGATGCAGGTCTTGAGGCATTCCCATCTTCGGAAATGGCAGAAGAAATCTCACTCAGAGCGGTGCTGGGCCGAGCAGCCATGGCGTTTGATCAATTCTGACGTTTGAATCAATAGAGCGCGTCACAGGTGTGACGTGAGGCGCATCTTCTTCAAGTAGGACGAGCGTGGTGAGCCGCAGTTGGTGACTGCGGTTGGTCTTGATATGTAATAGGATAGAAAGCGTGTCAACAAAAGGCAAAAGGATCAGCCATGGCTCTGGGGACAGAAAAAGGGCAGCAGTGATGTCAAGAGATGACAAGCAACGAGTTGAAACCCTTGAAGCTGCAATTCTCTACCAAGCTGACGTCCTGTGCAGGAATCAGGATTGAGATGAAGCAATCCAACCCGCAGTCCAACCCAAATCCAGGCACACGGGGAGAGAGTACGGAGTAGCGAGGGTCCTTTTCGGGCGTCAGGGGCAGGATTTTAGTGGCACGAGTGGCACGAGTGGCCCTGCGGCGCCGTGGTTGTCTCCTGTCATTCCGGATATGAAGATCCGTTCCGTCATTGCATCAGAGCGGGCTGAATGCTGCACCGTAGTCTCAATCACGTGATAATGACCCATCTGCGCTCAGACCACCGCTTGCTCTCCAGTGGACCATCTGAGCTGCAACTGCAATGTCGCTTCTCACACCACCACCTCAGTTTTCCACTTGACTATCAACCAACAGCTTCTGAACTCAACCACCGGCCTTGCGATACCCAATTATCAGCTTCTGACAAATCCTTCAGAGCCATGGCATCCCTCATCTCAAGAAATTTTGTCCGGGCAGCATCCTCCGCTGCAAAGAGCCCGAGGGACACATCCTTTGTCAAGCAGGGAGCCAAACGAGACCCTGAGCTCTACGTATGCCATCCCCTCGCTCAACATCAATCAATTCGGTCTCGCCCCTCCCTGTCGCTCTGAAGGCTAATCTTGGGGTCTATATAGATTCTTTTGGGCGTCATGTCTGGTGCATTCGGCCTCGCTGGATTCTACTTTGGACGTAAACCCACCTCGGCCTCTTCCGAAGCCGATGTCTCGGTCGCCAACAGCTCCATGCCATGGGAGGTCGAGCACGACGAGTCTCAGGACGAGTCAAAGGACTTTAAATACCAATATCATCCCAAAGGAGACAGGAGCCAAACACCAAAGAACGCCCCCAGTGCTCTGAACACGGTCATTGTGCCCAACGTCACACTACCAAAGGTAGGTTTCAGTGCTCTTTTCCAACGACTCGGAGTCTGATCTGGTACTGCAGGAGATTCATGACCAGTTCAACAAGTGGGGAAAGGACAGCGACACATATTAGACAAGCGAACACTATCATAAGCTCCTGAGGTTGAAGTCATGCTGGATTGCCCCGCGTGAAAGACGAGTCCACAATCAAATATTGCGGCGCAGAGAGAATTTGTACATATCGGAAAGGGAAAGAAAGACACACACCAATCGAGTATATCTCGACTATCCAGTCCATTTGATCGTGCAGTATCTGTGTATCTGCTTGGTTGTCTTTGCGTAAATCACGTGTTACTGGGTGCGCACGACTAACCTATCAGAGAATAGCTAGACAATGTTAGTCGAAGGACCATTTCAGCATCACTAATGCTACATTGACAGCCGTCACAAATCTATAAACAGGTGCAGATGAAATTACAATTTGAGTCTGAACGTACTACTCAACCATTCACCCCTCTCCTATTTTATTCCACAGCGCGCCAAGCGTGGGATTCGCTTTGAGTTGAGGTGAATGGAAGACGATTTGTGGCAGTGTAGAGCGGACAGTCTCGGTATCTTTCTTTCAACCTGGCAACTTCATTATGGACCCTATCGCACTGGCATTTTTGCCAACTCTGCTCCTTCATTTCTTTCAAGGAGATTATTCGTGTTTGTTTCGCTCTTTGAATCGCTTCCTCTCCATCTCAGGTTACTCTTGTTCTAGAATGCCTCACCCTAAATGAGAGCGCACACACACACACACACATGACTACTCCGTACAGCGTATCTGAAAAGATATTATATAAGTATATGTTGTTGTCATTGCTACGCGGTCCAATGTGATTAGCCAAAAGCAGTCATTCGCCATTCAAATATCACTGATTACGCCGATGACGGAGACGACGGAGAACTGATGGTTTTCGTGGTCAGATCCATATCTACACCGGCAAGGTCCGGAATACGCTGGTTATTCGTGATCCCTAATCCACCCCGGACGAATTTGGTCCAGCTTACACTCCGTCCACGCGATACATATTTCGGAAAATATTCTGAAGCACCTGATACGGCCGTTTAACATGGATCCACCCTTTCTGCTGGATCGAATTTGTCCTCAAACGGCTCAGACTCGTTCACTAGCAACAACCTGAAACTCGCTATTTTGGACCCCCCCACAAGACGAATTCGACATTGCTTCTGCAATTCGTCACTCGGCCACTCATCAGTGTCTTATGATCCGAACTCGAGCTGATGGTCTCCTTGGGCGTGCTTGGACCAGCCCAGAAGAGACGGACGACAGAGGCCGGCGCGCAGTCGCTTAGAATCCCACGTACAACGTCGGGGCACGGACCATACTTCGATATGCAAACGGCTACCAATTTACCATGCACAACGTTAACTCTTCTAGTGAGGCTCGTAGATCTATATTTGGCTCGCAACTTGGATTGAAAAGATGGTCTCTCGCCTCTATTCAAACACCTCACACTTTTCACACGGAGCTGCAGCATTCCAAGGAATCCAGAATGCTCTCCGTAAACCTCAGCTTGGTTGATATAGGAAGAAAATGGATAGGGTGACGACTGTATTACGACAAGGAGCAACACAGCTCCGTGCTTGTCTGTACAAACCAAGTATTTCCAGACAAACGTTGCAGAGGGTGGCCACTATACTAATCTTCTTCATCTTTTTTTCTACCATCTTCCATTTTCGCGATACTCCTCCGCCGATATCAATATCAATCTCACGGAAGACGCAGCATCCCCGAGATGCTGCCGCCAATGCCACGCTGGGAGTTAGTCAAGACACCGTGCCACATGTGATTTGTTGCGACTCTGACAAGCATAGTTTGAAAAAATCCTTGCAGTCTCTCTTAAACCAAGCTGGCGCACACGCGGACTCCTCGCTGCTGCAGGCCATACGGGTCTCTCCATAACAATTCCCGAACAGCCCTACAACACCAAAGCCCTCATCGACGCATTCGGGGACCTAGGGTCCTCAGACGAGAAGATTAAGAGGCCGGGCGTAGGGTCGGCACGCGCATGGCTGGCTCATCTGGACATGATGAAGTACGTCATTTCCTCAGGCTTGTCCACAGCATTCATCATTGAGGACGATGTCGACTGGGACGTACGTATCCATTCTCAGATGAAGCTCGTCTCAGACGCTGTCCGTAACTTCACCCTGGCTTCAGGAGAAGACAACCTCGCCCCCTTTGGCAACGCATGGGAAGTCCTATGGCTCGGACACTGCGGCGAGATCTCGGAACGCGACCGTCCCAAACTCACCTATTTCGATGAGACCCGGCCCAAGACAGAACACTACATGGGATGGTCCCACAAATGGCTTGAAAACGAGGAAGCCAGTGTTCCACCCACTCACCGTGCCGTCCAGCGCACACGAAACACCGTCTGCTCATTCGGATATGGAGTTACCCATCGCGGCGCCAGAAACATTCTGCGTCAACTTGGTCAAGGTCAAGACGAAGCCTTCGACATTGCTCTTATGGCCCATTGTCGAGATGGCAAACTATCGTGTCTGACCGTCTTACCTGAGATCATGCATCATTATGAGCCCAAGGATGGCAGTGGATACGTCAGTCCAAACAACGAGTTCAACGGCAAGGGCACGTCCGTTGACGAGTCAGAGTTTGAGGGGATCATGGGCCACACTGCCAACATTGTGCGAAGCGCTAGGTGTGAGGCCCTCTGGGGACAAAGGTGTCAAGCCGGGAACGAATAATGAGATTGTTGATATTTTCTGATACCCAGTATATATTATTTCTTGTGATCTGAATAGATGCTGACCTTTCACAACACGTGTCTTTGTGAATCCACGTGTGCACTCGTTTCGTAGTTAGTCAATAACGGCTGATCATATCCACCTTACGACCATCAAGAGGCGCCAGACTCCAGCCAGCATGATTGTCAAAAGCTGGAGGCGGTCATTTCAGACTTGCTATATATAGCCAACACGTGGAAATGACCCCTGTTGGCACCGGGAACCGAGATTGTGTTATGCTTGGCCTTTTCTTTTCGTTCGTTAATGCAACCCCTAGGTATTCTTCTTCAGAGTACCGAGTACTTACAATAAAACCCCCAGCTTGGCCCAACACCGGTGATGAGCAAAATCGGTGGTAAGCCAAGCTGGGGTTGTGATGTAGCAGCCTAGCGTGTCCTCACCAACCACTGAGATTTGACCTTTCAGATCTCCCCTGTAAACAACAGTTGTTTAGTTCGTTGCATCGCGAAAAGTTTACCACGCGTGAATTACATCAATAATTATATATCAACATATCATCATACAAAAACAAAAACAAAAACAAAAACAAAACACTCTTGACCGCACAAATAAAAGGCTGGAAATCGAGTGCATACGGATATGGACTTGGATTATGATCGCCGCTTTCAACTCATGGCACTCCTTGGGATGACGGCTGCACTTCTCGCGATATATGCGGATACGTTAAATAAACAAGAATACGACGTATACTACGACGAAGACGACGACGACGAAAATGATGAAGACGACGATCACTACCAAACACAAGAAGACCCACGGCGGAAGAGAAGAAGGAATTCCAACGAAAGCCAAGATCTAGGGAGAGAGAATCTCACGAAGCGGATCCGGCTCAGTCAGCAAAGTCTCAGATTGTTACAGACTCAGCAGAGACCTCCTTCAGTAGACAGGACTCTTCGCTGGGTTTCTGGCACTCGGAGTTTTTACGAGAAGCCGTAGAATTATTGGCAAGCCTATAGTGTTATGATTTGTCGCGAGAGAAAGAAAGGGGCTGTTTGATGTAAAGATTATCATTAATTGGAATGGATAGTAATGTCTCTTGTCTTGGTTCCAGTACCTTGCATAGAAAGATATTTCTAGGTTCCACAACCATTCCCGGTCGTGCTTGATGTTGGATAAACATGCTCCTTATGGCTCAGCCTCGTCACCGACCGACACCCGACCAGACCACCGTTCACACCGGCATTCCAGTCGAGAAGAAGTCACGAAACCAGAAAATGGTTCTAACAAACCAGTTCTTGCGGCCTCTGGGCACAGTTGGTGTAGCGGCGGGGAAATAATATATTTGAGTCCCGACTTATATCGTGTTGTTACATGAGACCTTTTATCATTCCAACTTCAACTTCTCCCCCATGATATACCAAAGGTCTCCTTTCTGGGCTGTGATGCCGCATTTCGACAATGGAGCCTAACAAACGAATGGCTCGAGATTCTTTTCAGAGGGCAAGGCCAACACCAGACCCTACTCAAACATGCTGCCTTTGTTCATCTCCGGGGCTAACGTAGCGTGTTCACTTGGCCTTCCCAAAATCCAGCCGGAAGTTTTGGGATATTAATCTTGGGAAAGGCAAATCCCTCTCGGCCACTACCTGACTCTCTCTTTCGCTGTGGACTGGGTGTGCTGGGTGGGGTATTAAAATGTTTCTCTCTGGCGTTTTCAAAGGTTGTCAAAGAATCGTCAAGACCTTGCTGGAGTTGTAGTCTCGATGCCTTTTCTGAAGGGGTTTCATCGTCGGAACTTGATCTTTGAGGTGGAGTCTTACTCTCTGCATCGTCTTTATCTGTCTCCCCAGTTTTTCGGTTGTTAGCATCCGCGCCTGCATTTTCTTTGCCGCTATCTGCTGCATCTTCCTGATCTTTATCTGCAAGAACTTCGACAGGGGTCTGCTTGGGGGTCTGCTTGGGCGTGGGGATGAACGCAGGAACCACGCCCCCGGCCATGCGTGCCCAGAAGAGCCTTTCTCGCAGCCGAACTAGTTCTTCCCATACATCCTCTTCATCCTTCTTGTCGCCGACCTTTACCACCCCTTCCCGAACCATACGAACATAAGCCACGAGATCGCCTACCCCCCTCACTTTTTCGAGGCAGAGAAGGCAAATGGACCACTTGGTCGCATCTGCTCCTTCGCGCACACGCATGGCATGCGTTCTGGGATTCTCGCCTTTCTTCCTGCTTTCGCCACACAAGGCACATGGTGTGTACTTGCCATAGAGTTTGAGCGATGCCTCAGCTATTGGCTCAACAATAAGACTAGAGTCACCAAGAGCAGATAGAATGCTTCGTCGATTTAGCCACGACAATGTAGGCGACAGATCTAGTCGAAGGGTAGGCTCGATGTCTTCGGATAGAATTCGCTTATAGAATTTGGTGTCTTTGAGAGGAACCGGACCACGGGTTTGGTCTTGCTGGGGACTGAAGGAGCCGGGAAGGTTGGGGGAGTTGGCAAGTTTGGAAGTTGCTGGTTGAGAAGCTTGAGACAAATTGGGGTTTGAGGTGTTCATAGATCCTAACCCCATGACGTTGAGACCAGAGTATGAGCCCGAACCTGCTCGAGAAGGGGCATGAGATGGATTATGAGAGCGGACATGAGAGGAGGCGACAAGGGTTTTGAAATCTTCGTAGGCAGGGATGTCGGTCCTGCACATTGGACGTACAAGGTGTGTTAGATGAGTGGCGGGAGTTGGAGACACTTCGCCGTTTTCCAACGAGACTGGCGTCAAGTTCATGGCTTCCATCAATTTGTTCAAGTTGTTGTCATCACGGCCAGTCCCAGGACTTGAAGGAGCCAGAGAAACACGAGGGGAATCTAACTCTCTGCGGAAGTCTGCAGTCGGACCTATTTGCTGCATCAGAGTTTTCAGCTCTGATAGTTGCTCGGTCTGAGATGCAATGAGGGCCTCGCCATCCTTGATCTGGTCCCTGAGTTGCTGGTTCTTCTTCTCCACTGTGTCCCGTTCTCGGTTAGCCGAGGCGACCATTTTATTCGCTTCATCGAAGAGAGAAGCAGTCAGATTCTCCAGCTCGGACTCGATGGATCGTTTCTCTTGCTGAGCCTGCATCTTTTGCCTTTTCTCTTCGGCGAGTTCGGCGACCAAACGACTGGTCTGTTCATCCTGACTCTGCTTGGTAACCAAGAATCCGCCTCTTATTCTCTCGGTGTGGGCGCTCGCTTCTGCTTCGAGTTGGGCGATTCGTACTCGAGACGCCTCGAGTTCTTGCCGAGTTTGGGACAATGTGTCATCAAGAGTGGTCTGATGATTAATGGCCTTGATGAGTTTGTCGCTGAGGTTGGCGACTTCGCTGTTAAGATCGGGATGCTTTGAGGAGGAAGAATCGGAGCGAGTAAGATCATCAGAGCTGGCAGTCCTCGGATCTGCAATGGTTCGAAAAGAGGTTCCGGGGGAGGGATTCTGGATATCTGCAGGGGGACTGTCTGACGTGGCAGAGGCCATAGTCCTTAGGGCTAAAGTCGACTTCGGTTTTGGCAAGAAACCTCGCGGCTGGACAGATGCAGGTGGCCCGAGGGAGATGGATCGCGAATGAGACGGAGGAGTAGGATTTCCTAGTAGAGCTCCATGATATACCCAAGAGTTCATGGTTGTATCCGGGGTTGACAGATGTCAAGTTGTCAGTGCGGTCTGCAACAGAGAGCCGCGAGGTGGCTTCATGCAGGTATCGTGTGACGCATGCTGTAACCCTTGACGAGGAGGGAGGAGGGAGGAGGGCCGAACAGGAAGGACTGGTTGTTTTAGCAAACAAAATCAAGGAGGCGGGAGAGTAACGAGGAGCGGCAAAAGGATAGTTGGAGAGTTGTATGAGGATGGCGATAAGATGTTGGTTCTAGGTCCTCGGCGGAGGCCTGGGGCCATTGGGGAATGATGGATCGAGAGGAGTACGAAGGCGGGTAGACTGGCTAGTAGGAGTCTGCGAAGGGCATTCTAGGTCAGGCTTGATGGAGTGTTTGCATGGATGATGATGGAGGTGGTGGAGTTAGCGTGCCATGTTGGCGGCTAATGAGAACTAGAGTCATTAGTAACTCCTAGTCTAATTCACTAGCTGATATACAGTTAGACTCATATTGTTGGCACTAAATGGCGACCTGCTCCACAGATCTAGCCATAAGAGCCACAGAGAGGAAGGCACCACTCGAGGCTAGCCAGGCCCCTGCCCTGCAAGAATAAATCGAAGTCACCCCGCGCTTGCACTTTCTCACTTGACCAGATTACTCTTCTCGAACACCCACTGGGTACGCAATTAGACATGGCGGACGATGAATTGGCGCAGGTAGATGGTCCTAACCACACTTTTGACTGTTCAAAGACTCACAGATTCTTGCAGATTCGAGCGGCACGGCTTGCCCAGTTGAGACAACAGGGTGGTGCAGGCTCACCTGACAATGCTGAAGAACAAGATCAGAAACGGTGATTAACAAAAGTCTGCACTCTCTGTTGAGCTGTCACTGATGTCTCAGCAGAAAACAAGAATCCGAAGCAAGGTCCTCGATCCTCAACCAGATACTGGAGCCTGAGGCGCAAGACCGTCTTGGTCGCATCCGTCTGGTCAAAGAATCACGAGCCACTGATGTCGAGAATCGCTTGATTGCTCTGGGGAGGTCGGGACAATTACGTCAAAAGGTGACAGAAGCTCAGCTCAAGGACATGCTGGCCAGCCTGTCTGAACATGAAAAACAATCCGGCCAGACGCTTGAAAGTGTGAAGGTCGTAAGAAGAGGGGGGTGGGATGATGATGATCTGGACGACCTGCTCAAGGATTCATGACCATGTTTTGCTTCGACACGATACCCCGTTCTAAAAGTGTTGTACATTTTCTTACACTTGTTTCATGCTACGGTCGAAGAAGGGGCTGCCGATGCGGCTTCTTGTGCTGCCTTGGCCGCTCTGCGCTGCTCGCGGAGTTGTCTTCGAATCTCCCTCAAGTCCGGTGGCTGTTCGATGCCCAGTCTCTGGCGCAGTTCCTCCACTGGGGTCTCGAGTTCTTCCTCCCAATATACATTGATCAGATCATGGCTCTTCCAACCATTGGCAAAAGCCCAGGGCAAGAAGATTTCAAACATTCTCTTTCTCTCCGCCGGTTTCAGACGAACAATGGCTGCCAGACTCAGGCCGGTCATGGGCAAGCCAGTGTTGGCAAACTCGAAAGCCTTCAAGCCAATTTCGCCTTCAACCCAGACTGGAAGACCCGTGACGGCGTGGTAGAAATCATGACATTCGCGATATCTTTGCATAACGTAGGCTTCCTCTTCGTCGTCAATGTAGCGGACGTTGTCTCTCGTGTCGGGGGTGACTCCCTCCCTGTCTAGCCATGCCGCATAGGTCCTCCCAACCGAATCCTGGGGCAACGCCCGGAGCATTTCCAAAGGGAGTGTTTTGGAGGTGATGCGAGGACGGTCTCGTAGAATCCGTCGTCCTGAAGGATCCGATAGCATACGGGTTTTGAGGGCGGTAATGAAAAATGGTTGCGCGGTGGCCTCCCCGCATGCTGCAACCATGTCGTGCCTGTAAGGATCGATGAGGGAGGTGACTGCACTGCCAACGGCTAGGCCCAGTCTTTCGAGTCCAGTCAAGGGAACATGGCCAGGGTAATTAGGAGGGGGACGATTGAGGACCGAGAATGGTCGTTGAGAGTCTGTCAAAGGATGGTGGGATGATGCATGTAGTCTGGTAGAGCTAGTACACAGCGCGAGAGATGGGCGGAGGATGGAAGAGAGGAGAGTGAGGTCCCGTTGGCGGGGACACGATACCAACTTCATGCCTCAGATGGAGTGTATCGTTCGAGGAGATGATGGAGGCAGAAGATGGGTAGTGTGTTGAGAGCAAGCTGTAGTGAGCTTGGGTGCGCAGTTGATTGACGACCATATCACGAGATTTTTTTGATTTGGGATGTCGCTGGATGGAGACATTCAGCGCAGCCTTGTCATCAGACCATTTAGGCATGTCTCGGGGCGCTTTTAGGGAGCCAGAAGTATCAAGTGCAGCCTGGAGGCCCCTAAACAGCACTGTTCGTAGGGTGTCTAGGTGCTAAGCTAGTGTTAGGTACCTTACTCCGTAGTCGTGGTAGTCCAGCCCGCGCCTTTCTTGGCAGGCATGTGAAACTCAAGATCCTCGGCCTCATGTCATCCTTTGGGAATTCCCAGTCTGTCGATCTGTTCATCGAAAACGATACTTCTACATCAATAACATGGCTTTCGACACCCATTGACTCGTGCGACTCGATCTACCTTTGGTCTTAATATTGGCATTTCGGCTCCTGAGCAAACCTGTGCTTCGAGCACTATGCTTCCGCCCGCATCGAAATACTATTGACACCTTCAAGCATGGAGTTCCTCCAGTATTTATTCGGCCTCATTTATGGCTTTTTGTACTGCTTCTTCATGAGCTTCGCCCCTACACGCAAATCAGTACGACACACCCCCAAACCAAAGTCAATCATAACATATGACGATTACTACAACAACCAGTTGATTCTTGACACCTTGCGTGGAGTCGATGGCTGGACCACTCAAGACAAGGACTCTTCCTATGACTGGCAAGACCTAGCCACTCACCGACGAGAACTTGAACGTTGTCGGAAATTCCACGATGATCGAGCACTGTGCAGCCATTTGCGCGACCAGAGTCTTCGCAATACTTGTCGAATCCTATCCCCTTCTCTCTATCGAAAATCCCCCGTTCAGACCAAGCGACTCATTCACGACTACCTGTTGGAGCTCAGACGCTGTATTGCATACGTGGCCGACCCCAATTCCATGAGATCGGGCTCGACCGTTGTGTCGGCTCATGAGAAGCGACAGCTGTTGAGCGATATGCGCACAATCCTCGGCCGCACCACTCTCGTCCTCCAGGGAGGCGCCATCGTGAGTTTATCTCATATTGGAGTAGTTAAAGCACTGCATGAGCAAGGTATCCTGCCTCAAATCATCACCGGGAGTTCATCAGGAGCATTCATTGCTGCCATTCTCTGCACCAGTTCTCCACGGGAGTTCTCCCAGAAGTTAGAAGGGGTCGGTGTCAACTTGGAGGCATTTTCTCGCGCTCAAGCGGAACGACCAGCCACTGCCCTCACGACACTACTAAAGTCTCCACTTCTCGAAGCTCTAAGGCGTCGCTATTTGCGATATCAGAAAGATAGGCACTTTTTCGACATTCAAGTCATGCGAGACTGCGCGAAAGACAATTTAGGAGAGATAACTTTTGAAGAAGCCTATGCCAAAACTGGTCGAATACTAAACATCACCATCGCCATGTCCGAAGTGGCCGGCACCCCTCAATTGCTCAACTATGTCACTGCACCTCACGTCCTAATCTGGACTGCTGTCATGGCATCTATTGCAACCTCGAAACAGATGTACGCCCCTGCGCAGCTCCTATGCAAGGACGAGACAGGGGCCATCGCTAACTACTATGCGGCCGACTTCTCCGATCTCCTCTCGGATCAACAGGTCATGGTTCACCCAGAGACAGCATTGCAACGAATTGGAGAGATTTTTAACGTCAACCACTTCATCTTCTCGCAAACCAGACCCTATGTCGCACCATTTGTCCGTTTACAGGCGTGGGCAGATCACTATCCCCTGCTCGGGGCCATCGTTCGACTCTCGTTGGGTGAAACCTTCCATTGGTTGAAGCAATTTGAGAACCTGGGCATCTTACCGGTCCCGCTGCAACGTGTCTTACTGGATGAGAAGGTCCCTGTGCCTGCACAATGGGGCAAGATCTCCATTACTCCCAAGCTTGGACTGCGGGACTTTTGTCACTTGTTTGACTATCCTACGATGACAAGGCTGCAAGAATGGGGGTTTAGGGGCGAGCAAAGTACATGGCCACGAATGTGTGAACTCAAATGTCGATGTGAAGTGGAAATGGAATTGGATGCCGCATATACCAGAGTCTGGAGACGAGTGCCAGGGGCCATGACAGCCGATTGAGCCACGGTGCTCCTATATATGCCAGTATCTGTTGGATGTATTGATATGCCTCCTCGACTCGTGACTGAGATTGTCACGTGGGTTCCATGTGGACGGATATGTGGCGGTGCAATGTGTGGCGCGATGTCATCGTGGCGTCAGGCTTTTCTGTCTTTCAGGTCGTTTCCGTCCGATCATTGGTCGATGCGCGTCAGGCGCTAAACTGTATATGAACAGATCTGCCCTCGTATGTGGATCGAGGGCCAAAGCGACGTCCCTACTCGAGGAAGGCGCCACTGGCGCTTCCCGTGGCTTGGGTGCGGGCTGCCCAAATGACATCATATCATTTGGCCAACCGGGAATTGTGATCAATGGTGATCCCTTGAAAACCAACAGCACTGGGCCGCGTAATATCTTCTATCTCGTCGGGCTTTTGATGCTCATCGTGGTTCTCCAGCTTTATCAGATTGTTGTTTACTAACTTCCTTCCCAACTTGACCAATGTCTCATTCGGCCTCCTTCATGGCCGGCACTTCACAAGGGGAGAAAGAGAAGAAGTCTAGGAGCCTTTCTCGGCTCCTGGGGAAACGAGACAAGACGCCTGAGAACAACATGCCTGATTCCGCATATCAGAGCTCTACAAATAGCACCGACGCCGCCCCGAAAAGTAACACCACTCCTAACAATGAGATCATTCCCGTCGACAAAAATACCGCCTTGAGACCCATGAATAATTCTTCCTCGGAAATCATCTCTGCTGAGAAGAACAGTGAGATTGGCAACATTGATCAAGACAGAAACCTCGCCCTCAAACCGTCCACGGGCGAAGTATTTGACGAAGACACCGGTGAAGTAGTCACGGTAGTCACCACTACAACTACCACGACCACCACGACCACAACAAGAGGTGGAAAAAAGACTCAAGATGTCAACCGAGATGTTGTACAAGATATCAGACCACCGCCGGATCAGGTCATGCCCGCAGCACGACCCCCTTTACTAGAACCCAGCCAACAGGGCTATGCTACCACCATTGACGGACGACCGCCATTGCTGGAGATGCCTGCAGGCTCCACGGGGAGGATGCATTCACCTCAACCTGCAACAATACCAACTAGCACCACCCACCAAGTCACTCAAAACCCCGCTCTCCCACCGCCGCAACAGACTCCTCAACACCTACCCCAGTTGCCGCCTCCATCGTCAACAGGTGGCGCGCCATTCAAAGACTCGCCCCCAGTGCCGACACGAAGCGCCATGCGTAGGTCACAAGAAGTCACTCGTGACCCATCATTTGAATACGCCCCAGTCAGCCCGGTTGACGTGCCTGGAGCCTTCCATGGAACAGGTACAACGCCTCCCGCCAGTCCATCACGGCAAAACTTTAGTTACCCAACTCGGGCAGCACCTCCTGGTGGTGCTCCTCCTTCCATTCACCAAACCGATCAGCCCCAGAGACATAACGGCTCAACCATTAATGACTTGAAACTGGCGGCCAAGGGTATTCACGTAAGTTGATCCAGAGACATCCTTCGTCTTCTCCCATTCGCATCTCTTGTACTTGGTTCGGCAGTGAACTAACATGTTGCCAGGGTGTTGGTGAGACTCTTAGGGGAACCTTCAATTCAACAATTGACAAGAACTTTCCACGAAAGAACGAAAAGAAGGCGGCGGCTAAGAACCTGCAAAACGAGCAAGTCTTGGCTCGGGGGAGAAGTGAAATGCAGGGGATACCGGGCGGGTGGCCTGGACACCATGGACCTGCATTCGAGGCTGAGCCCGCGCCTGTCCAAAGTCATCCAACCGGCGCAGCAAGCACAACAACAGTGGGGACTAGTCCGCCGCGAGAAAAGGGAACGCTGGGGAAGTTGTTCAAGCGGAAACCCGTGGGTGCTCAAGGTATGGAATCTACAACGGCATAAGTGGTGGTTCCTCTCTTATGGATCAACATGCTGGCGTCTTTGTGTGTTTGGTGTTATGACTTGATGTTGTCATGAGTTTGGAAAAGGCAACGAATTTTGACAAGCGCACAATCTGACTTTATTGCTTTTGCTATATGAATATAGAAGCCGAACCCCTTACGACAACAGCACCACCTTCGACCCGGCAATCGCATCGATTCTTCTGAGTTGGTATGATGGATCGTCGTGGAAAGAATTCGATTTTTCTGTGAGATGAGGAGCGTTAAGTCGAATTTTGAAGGATGTACAATTACGATCGTCTGTATCACTCGCTACAGCAGCTATTTGAGCCACGAATACCAGCCATATAATGATATGATGCCATGGATGTTTATAGTCGGCTCCAAACGAATCATGCCAAGGTTTTGAGGAGGACTCCATGTAGATCAGGTGGATGAATATAAGCAATGACGACCAACAGGACAGAAAGTAATGAGCGCTTAAGGGAGGCTTTTGATGCCACAATGTGCCAGTGAAGGCAATATCGACGGCAGAATTAGAAGGTCAATGATTTAATCATACAAAAAATCACATTATGACACACTGTTTATGATATACGTTCGACACGCTCAGAAATCCAAACAGAGCTGGACCCCGATCTTTTCTAAATCCTCAACTTCCAGCCAACCTGCATCACCACCGCCGCCACTCCCTCCCGCTCCGCCAAACCTATCCGACTTCTCCGCTGCACACCTTCTAATACCCTCCCGGACAAACAGTTCGAAGTACTTGCTGAGCAATAACCGTGCATCCAACGACAGACTCGTGGACTCGGGGTTCTGGAAGTTGTGTCTCAGCATTAAATGGAGCAGACCCTGGGGAATGGGTGATGTCGAGTCAGATGATCCGGTCTGAGAATTGGTTTTTGACTTTGATGTTGATTTTGAGGCTCCATCGTCACCGTGTGTGATTTCTGCTAGGATGTAGTCTGGTTCTGGCGACGAGGCGCGTGATGATGGAGATGATGCTGGTGAAGATGTTGTTTGTGGTGGCGATGGGTCGGCTTGGGAGGAATTTGCATCGTCGCTGTTATTTTGGTCGTCTTCTTCGTCGTCTTCTCCCTCGTCATCATCCTCGTTCTCTTCTTCTAGTATCCTTCGTGATGATCCCTTTCCGGATTTTAATCGTCCGTCCTTGCCGTTGAGTGACTTTTCTGAACCATCCCTGGATAATTGCTCCTTCCTACTCTGTACGCCCATCCTCCCACTGCCGTTTGTTGAGGCTTTGGTCTTGTATTGTTTTATCACACCGTTCGTCGCTTTAGCTGAACTAGATATAGACGATTTCTTGGTCGCTCCTTTCTCTTTCCCCTTTCCTGGCCTTGGTGGTGAAAATACAGGCCGGGGATTTGATCTCGGACGAGTATGGGATGGATTTGTGGGAGCCATAGTGGTGATGGTGTGAGATGAGTTGAGCGGAGGGAGGGGAGTCAAGGAGATGGGATCCTTGGTGAAGCAGCTTTTTGTTCAATTTCAGGAGATTTGGTTCATCTGGATCTTTCGCATAACCTGCATTCAGTCTTGTTAGTAGCGATAATTGATGTCAAGGCGTCAACAGGGTTCGTTGCAAGTTGATGGTGGTGGTTGTTGAGATGCGGGTTTGTTTGGTGAGGAATGACATCAGACTTTTGAGACGCGTTCCTTCCAATAAGCGGACGCGTAACGCGACAAGACAAGACATGACCTTCTTCCCTCCTCTCACTCCATCTCTCTCTCCTCTCCCTCTCTCTTCCACCCAAGCCACCAAGGAGCTGACCGGTGAAGCTTAGCCATGCCGTGCCATGCCTCGCATCCCTGGGCAACGTGGCGCCCTTCGAGTGATCTGTCTACCGTTCAGCCTCATCCTCACGAAGTTCATGGAAACCTAAGGTACCTAGCTATCCTTCTTTTCCCCCCTTTTGCAGAAGTCTACGTTCAACACAAACTTGAGCCCTATTGAGCAAAAGAGGCTAAGTTCTGCAGGACAGACCTTAAGCAGTCTGCCCCAGCGGTATATCTGAGGTAGGATAGTGAGAAAAAAAAACTGTTCTGAAAGACTTGGCCGCTTCATACTCAACGCGTGTAGATCACCCGAAAAATCATGCCCATCTATCAGCGTAGAGCACGAGCTACAGGGGTCACCACGTTCACCAATAGCTCAGATAGACTGGTCCATTCCTGGAAAAGATTCTATCCGGCCTGCCTATATCTGGGCTGACGGCGGTCTGTGCACACGGGAAACGGCTTTCTTCAATCTCAGGCATCGTATTCCTCGCAATTCTGCCTCCAGCTTCCCTCGATCCGCATCTCAATGACAAGATTGGTAAAGGGGATGACAGCACCTGACATCGATATGTGAAATGTAGCACAGCGAGCTTGATCATGCCCGGGGTGAGAATACCCAACATATTAAAGATGACGGCCAAGATGGGAGACCCTGGAATGGTTGTTCAACCTCAAACAGAGGCTCCATACTGTCACGGCCATGGCCGAGTCCGAACCGTTTCTGCAAACAAAGGCAGAAGATGACGATCAGGGACAGGATTATGGGATTCCTCTGCACGATACACATATCGATGATTCCGCCCTTGCATCTATCGAGGCTGCCGTCTTCCGCCATGATACCCGACGTGCTTCGCTGACGACCTGGCGAGGGATATCAGAACGAGTCCAAAGCAAAGTTAGGTGGCTACCCTCCATTGAGCCGCCAACTGCCACCAACATTCGACAAACCCTGATTGAAGCGCTGCCACGATACTTCAGACCCAGATCCCTCGGCAACACATCCCCACCAGGTCCAACGGCGTACCTGGATGCTTTGCGAGGGTATGCTGCCTGGAACGTGTTTCTCGCTCACGGATATAAAGACTACCACTTCTGGTACAAGCACCAGCCCATTCTATCGGCGCTGATGGCAGGAGAAGCGATGGTAGCTCTCTTTTTCGTCATCTCTGGCTACGTCTTGAGCTATCGACTACTCGTCTACACCCACAACAGATCCGGCGACAAGCTGCTGTCAGGGCTGGCAAGCAGCACGTTTCGACGTGGTATGCGGCTGTATGGTTCGACGACCGTGGCATTGTTTGCCGCCATGATTATGGTCCGCTTACAGCTGTATGACGGTGGTGGCAAGTACCCACTTCATATCGACTCCTTATGGTCGCAGCTTGTCGATTGGACGTTAACACTCTTTTTCTTCCTAAACCCCTTTGCCACCGAGATCCATGGCTACTACACTGCCGAGGGCCTCCAGAATAAATACCTGGGACCTATGTGGACCATTCCTGTTGAGCTGCGTGGTAGCATGATCATTTTTATCTATATCGCCGCCACCTGCAGGCTCCGCGTCTACGCACGAGTGGCCTTGACGTGTGTCTTCATTGTCACCTGCTACGTCTGGGGCGCCCTTTATGTCGCCGACTTTTTCATGGGCCTGCTGCTCGCCGAGCTCGCACTCCTGCGCCGCCCAGAACGTCTCCAGACGGCTCCGTCACTGCCCGAACATACGACCGTACAGGTGCGTCCAAGACAAAGTATTGCGTCAAAGTGCATATGGACGGCTGTCTTTGTCGTTGGCTTGTTCCTCCTTGGGGAGCCGGATGCTAAGACAAATGCGCTGGGCATTTTCGGCGACTGGCCTTGGGCGATTCTCCGGAGTTGGATTCCAAGCTATCTGCACTGGGCTGACAAGCTTTCCTGGTATTTGGGTATCGGATCATTCCTGCTCATTCTGGGCCTGGAAATGTATCCTACGCTTCAGGCACCGCTACGCTGTGGATGGAGCCAATATGTTGGGGACCTCAGCTTCGGCATCTACGCTTTACATGTTCCTCTTCTGGTGGCCATCATCGGCCATTGGTACGAGGTTGACGTCCGCTTGGCATACGGCTGGGACAAGGGCTGGGGCATTCTGCCCGGTGCTATCATCATGCATCTCGCTGTCTTTGCTTGCGCCGACTATTTTCACCGCGTTGATAGACGGGTGGTGGCCTTGGGCAGGTGGATCCAGGTAAAGTGTTTTGAGCGTTGGGACTAGATTTATCTTTGGGTGATTAGATGCTGGGGCACGCAGAGAGTGGTCCAGCGAGGTTCAGAAGAGAAGGACGACGTATTCGAGTAGTACATTAGATTGTAATAGATTCGCTTGATGTCCCATCTGTGAAGAGCCTGAAGGCAGAGTGGTTCAGGGGTCGTTTGCTCACGTGTTATCACGTGACGCCAAGCTAACCTAACAATCTAACAATCTCCCTTCAAGATTACTTTGACCTCCGAGATCAGTTGGATAGATTCAACCTTGAGACGCATGTAGCCAGTCCATCTTTGGCGCATCAGGTCGCCCCGAACTTGGTGGATCGGTTCTCAAGGTATCAACGGTGAATCTACATTTGGGTCGAAAACAAGCAACAGCACGTTACTATTCACTTGAGTTGAAAACATCGACTTTGGTCCGGGAAGGACAGGTGTTGGCTGAGCTTCGGTCCTCCAACAATGTCGAGCCCCAGCAGTCACCGACCGCGAAAGAAGAGAAAGTCAGCCCCGACTCTGCTGAGAAGCGCCACTATCACCGACATTGTCAAAATCGACCCTCAAGACAATGCAGTCTCGCCCGAATTTCCCCTCGTCGCATTCCTCTGGCCAGCGCGAGGAACGACATCTCAGTGGATCTTGATCCCCCTCATCCTCATGATTGTGGGGTTGTTTAGATGGAGTGTCGGTCTCTGGGGCTACTCGGGCAAGGGAAACCCCCCAATGCATGGAGATTTCGAGGCTCAAAGACACTGGATGGAGATTACTACCGGCCTCCCTGTATCTCAATGGTACTTTTATGATCTCCAGTACTGGGGTCTCGACTATCCTCCATTGACAGCTTATCACAGCTGGCTGTGTGGCAAAGTGTAAGATATCATTGCAAAGTCACAAGGCTCACGCTGATCAGATTCAGGGGCTCAATTTTCAGCAATACGTGGTTCGCTCTGGGCACGTCACGAGGACTGGAGGATTACCACTTGACTGTCTTTATGCGAGCAACCGTTATCTTCTCCGAGTATCTCACCTACGTGCCGGCTCTTATAATCTTCCTACGACGCTACAGTCGGGCTGAAGCGACCGGAGTGACGAGTTCATCGATCGCCCTGGTCGCCATCATGATGCAGCCAGCAATAATCCTTATTGACCACGGTCACTTCCAGTACAACACGGTCATGTTGGGGTTTGTCGTTGCAACACTGTCGAGCGTCTACGCTAGTCGGCCACTGTGGGGATGCATCTTTTTTGTCGCCGCCCTCGGCTTCAAACAAATGGCTCTCTACTATTCTCCGATAGTATTCGCCTACCTTCTAGGATCTTGCCTCACGCCAAAGATCCGTGTCGGCCGATTGATCGCCATCGCCATTGTGACTCTTGTCTCTCTGGTTGTTGTGTTCGCACCTCTGGTGCTCGGGGCGCTTTACGAAAACCATCAGCAGGTCAAGCTCCCTATTCAGCCAACACCGCCACTGCTGGCGCAGATTGGAATCCAAGTTGACCCCACTTCACCTCTTGGAATTGTTCTTGTCCAGGTTTTCCAGGTTATCCACCGGATGTTTCCATTTGCAAGAGGCCTGTTTGAGGACAAGGTGGCGAATTTCTGGTGTTTGACCAACACATTCTACAAACTTCAGAAACTCCAAGGCATCATTGAACTACCACGGCTAGCCACCTTTGCCACATTGATGTCCATTCTCGGACCGATGCTGGTGATTGGGGCCGTACCCAAGAAATCTCTTCTTCCGTATGCACTGGCGACCTCGGCATGGGGATTCTTCCTCTTCTCATTCCAAGTCCACGAGAAGTCGGTGCTCCTCCCTCTTCTCCCCATGACTTTGTTGCTTGGTAGCAAGAAAGGGCTGAGCAAAGAGTATCGAGCATGGATCGGATGGGCGAACCTGGTTGCAGTGTGGACCATGTACCCTCTGCTCAAACGCGATGAACTTCAAGTCCCCTATGTTGTAGTATCATTGTTGTGGGCATATCTCATGGGACTGCCTCCAACCAGTGCGAGTGCATACTACGACCCGGACCGCGAGAATGTCACTGGTCGAGCACTTTTGCCGGACGAGCTACGAACGCCAACCAAGATCTTGCATTTCCAAATGTACATTGTCATGGCGTTTTGGCATCTGCTAGCAGCATTTGCTGTTCCTCCCGAGGACAAGCCTGACTTGTGGGTGGTGATCAATGCTTGCATCGGCGCATGCGCGTTTGGCATCTGCTATCTGTGGTGCTTCTGGAAGCTGGTGAGCGAGAGTGGCTTGATCGATTTCTACTTTGCCCATCAGGATGTGGTGGAGACCGATCGTCAACAGAGGGAAAGATCGAGTACTCCGCGAGTCAAGATAAGTTGATGCAGGCTGTGGGATGGTTTTAATGCAGTTCTAACGAGTGTCTGCATTTCGAAGTTGGGAGGATCAGACAGCGCGGTACCGTTAGGCGTTTGGTTAAAGGAAAAGTGACCCTAGGCATATCAGTATTACTCTTTGTATATCTAATACAGCCACATCCTTCCAAATAAAATCAAAATCTGTACATCAATCATGCCATCATAATTTCAATGGTGTCCCGCAGAATTCCCCAACCCATACCAGTTCATAATACGTTGCGCAGCATATAAAAGAGAGGGTGTTTGGTTTCACTCATAATTGACCACACCCTTGATAGCCCAGATCTCGCCATTGCCCACGACACCGACGACTTCATCGACGACCAGACCACCAGGCCAAATGACCATCTTGCCATCATCGTTCTTTTCCCACCACAGTTCCTGGCCTCCCAAAGTCTTCACCTTGGCAGCCTTGCCCTCTTCCCAGGGACTGACTGGAACGACATGCTCCTCGACGAATCTCTGCAGGTTACTCGCGGCCTTGTCTTCATTGCTCTCGGCGCGGACATTTGAGGAATCATCGGGACGGTCTTCCCAGGGTTTGCGGGGCAGAGCTTGCATTGCGGAATTGAGGGGTGCCAGGAGAGTGGTGTTGTGATCAGTGTTGGTGGATTCAAGGCGGCCTGTCACAGACGAGATGTCGCGGGTCAATGAGGCGAAGATGTTGATCTTGCGTGTCTGCGGCAGGATGTCGGAGATGGACAGTTGTGTGCCGGGAGGGCCAGTCTCGCCGGTTGAGGGAGATGAAGGCACTTTATTGTCATCATCCGGCGCCCCTTGTACTGGTCCTGGATTCATGGGTGACTGATGCGACTGCGAGTTGGCTTGGACGATGCGGTCGGTATGGATGACGGCGGGAGAAGGGTCTTTGAAGGAGTCGCGGATCACGTCGATCGGATAGAAGGCCGCCGCCAGTGATAGTGATGAGAAGATGGATGCAATCACAATTGTTCGCCGCATGGTGAGTGATGTGTTGACATGTGTGTTGGGATGATGGATGGAGTGTGGTTGATGAGATGAGAATCCAGATCTTGCCTTCAAACCGGGACAATGTTCCTCATTTGTCTGCGGGATGGAGTGACGTCGGTGGGTGATGGTCATTTGAACATTCACCAACTTAATAGTGCAGGATAAGAGACAATTGTGAATGATAAGACGAATAATTTGTTGTCAGACGGTGAGTATCTATCAGCCAATCCCGTACCATGTCTGCCTACTGTGCCTGCCACGTGCCTTGCTCACTCCTTCCCTCTTCTCACTTGTATTATTACAACATATCTTCTTTTCTCTCTTCATCTTCTTCTCGACTTGTTATCTCAATAGCCAAAATCAGCTTCATCCGATGAAATATGTGGCCGCTGGCGACTGTCTCCAGATGAGCGTGAAGAGCCAGGCGCTCTTGAGCCCTTGTCCCCCAAGGTTTGAATGTTCTTATAATCCTACACACTTCTTACTCGTCCCTTCTCAACCCACTCTTATCTGCAAAGCCGCTACGGTACATCTACCCATCCGAGTATAAACATGATACGCCGACCTATTACCCCATCATGGTGGAGCACTCTATTCAGCCGACATGGTGCCATGACTCGAGGTCCGAGGTACTCACATTTCCCTCCAAAATGCGGAGAGATCAAGGGACATTGACTCGAGACTCGGGCCTTGCGAATGCCCCGCTCCACATCCTCGGCCCAATCGTGAAGCCTGAATCCCTTTGCCACGTCCACTATTCCTTGGTATATGGCCTATACCTCGGGGAACTCGACTACTCGTACATTTGACTGCTTGCAATTTGGTGCTTTCACCGTCCACTACAATTGCGGACAATCTAGGGATATATATATATATATATATATTGGCCAATCTCAGGCTTTCGTGCCAAGATGCAAGCATTGAATTGAAGCTCCAGAAGACCTCCACCGACCATCGTTGATGAAAATACACTTTCTTCAAAGCAGACAATCCTCAAAGGTCGTTTCGATAGTTGGTCTGGCGTCATGGCTTCGTCAACCATAATCAGCGGGTCACAATGTCCTCTTGGTCTTGATGACAAAATTACAGTTCCAGAGCTGATGCTCAAGTACAACCCGGATCTATGCCCACCTGACAAGGTCGTCCACATCGACACTATTGCAAATAAGAGCTTGACCTATCAAGGTGTCCGTGACCAAGCTGCCAAATGTGCCTGGGGCTTGAAGAATAAACTTGGAGTTAAGAAAGGTGATAAGATCCTGGTTATTGTTCCTAACTCGGTATGTCGGTATCCACAGCAGATAATGTTGCCCTTCGGAGTCGACATGTGCTGAATGCGCCAATAGTCAGATTTTATCGTCCTGGCTCATGCCACATTATGGCTAGGGGCCATCTTCTCGTACGGATTTCCCCTATCAAAATGTGTTCGACCCAAGAGACATTGACAACGGTTCAATAGCCCATTGAATCCATCATCCCTCGCCAAAGACATTGCGCATGCCGTTAACTTGGTCCAACCCAGTTATCTTGCCATACACCCCAGTATACTTGAGGCAGTAGAGTCGGCCTTCAGTTCTCTGGGTCTGACCAAGTCAACTCGACCGACGCTTTTCACATTGATTGGACGAAGCAATAACATAAAATTGGTATGTACAGCTCTCCTTTGCCCCTATGGTTTCTAGGTTTTGGTTTTTAAATAAGGTCGTAGTTTCCGGACGACATCACAGGCTCGGGGCCAGACGAGACACTTGCGCCATATAGTGTGGGCAGCGGTACTACTAAAGACTTGACCGCCTTCATCGTCTTCTCATCTGGAACGACTGGCAAGATCAAAGGGGTGCAATTGTCGCATTACAACCTCGTGTCCAATTTGATTCAGACTCGCATTTCTGTCCCGGGCATGATGAATTCATCAAGTAGAGAATGCTTCTTTCCCCCATGTAAGTCTACTCTATATCTCCACCTCAACACCAAAAATCACTCTCCACCATTTCGATCATCTTGAAATCTCAATATCGCTAAGATGTCATTCAAATCAAAGACTGCCACGTGTACGGGCTCTCTGTTGTCGTTCTCGTTGGCATGTGGGTCGGTTCCTTCACATGCGGCATCCCGGCATTCGATTTTGAGCTCTTTTGTTCCAAGATGGCCGAGTATAAAGCCACATGGGCGCACATTGTGCCTCCCATCGCGGTCGAGCTTGCGCAGTCTCAGACCGTGCTCAAATATGACCTTTCGGACCTCAAGACCATCTTGATCGCAGCAGCTCCAACGAAGAGAGCATTACAGATCAAGTTGAAGACAAGATTCGGCGAAGACACGAAGATCATTCAAGGTACGACAGATTGTGTTGATATAGGGACCCCTCCTTTCGACTCCATAACATCTTGGCCTTTGTAACGATAATGACTGAAATGTCCAGGTTTCGGCATGTCTGAGTGTTCGCCGACCGTCATGTTGCAGAGTCCCCTAGACGACGAAAGCAACATTGGCTCAGTAGGGAAAGTGATTGTTGGAACGTACGTGTGGTCCCTAATATTTCTAGGCTGTCGTTAACCCGAATTCCAGTGATGTCCGACTAGTCGACCCTGTGACGCTGAAGGACGTCCCTCGAGGTGAAGAAGGCGAGCTCTGGGTTCGAGGTCCACAGACCATGATGTGAGTTTGTCCCCTGTCATCGCACCACTACCAAGGTTAGAAATTCGAGACATCTGACTATCATGTGTTTACTGAGCAGGGGATACTACAACAACGAAGCCGCGACTCGCGAGACATATGTCGGCGAATGGTTGCGCACAGGCGATATCATGCGAGTGGATGAGAATGACAACTTCTGGATCACTGATAGACTCAAGGAGGTAAGTGAAACATCGTGGTGGACCGACCTGCTCTTCTCCCTGTCACCCACGACCCCCTATATATACGAGAGAGCAACCATAATCACTAACCAACATGGCATATAACAGCTCATCAAGTACAAGGGATTCCAAGTCCCACCCTCTGAGCTGGAAGACATTTTACTACAGCATGAGTCGGTGATAGACGCAGCAGTGACATCGATCTATTCAGACGAGCAGGCGACGGAGCTCCCGATCGCATATGTGACACTCCACAGTCGACATGATGCGACAAAGGCGCCAGCCGAGCGACAGGCCGTGCTTGACAATATCCGCACCTGGATCGACGGTCAGGTGGCCGGGTATAAGAAAATCCGTGGTGGCGTCTGGGAGTTGAAGTCCCTGCCCAAGACCCCGAGTGGAAAGATCCTCCGTAAAGACCTCCCCTGTCGTGTTGCTGAGGCGAGGGCGGCAAAGTTGTGAGTTCACTTGGTTGTGTGTTTCGTCTCCAGATTCATTCTCCAGAGTCTGCCAGGTCTTTAGAAATATAGATGAATCAGCACAAAGCGTTCTATTTGTACGGTGTCCAAATCTTATAAACAAGTCAACTATAACAAGTGATGCCTATCAAAAAAACACCAAAAACCCCCGGCGCATGCTCTAGGAAGCAGCGCGCTCACTGCATCACTTTCGACATTCTCTGGAATGGGAAAGTAATCGTGATAAGCATGTCCAAATGTCTCTCCAACCCTCGGGACCATTGAACCCTCCGTCCTCCTCAGTAGCACAGGTTCCTCCTTCATCGAGATAGCCGCTCGATTCTGGTCGTTGGCAGAGCGCGTTGCCTGATGTCCAGACGACACCTTCGGAGAAGAGGGCAGCTGCCACTCTGTGTGACCTTTGGGATTTTGGGTATCTCAAACATTTGCAGCCGATTTCATAACTCGTCAATTGTCCTCATGATACGCAAGAATTCATTGTCGCTCATGCCAAAAGTGGTTACCGGACCCAGTCTTCGTCCTCCTGTTCATCATTCAAGACCAGATCCGGGTTGGACATATCCGGGGCAACGGACCAGGAAGGGTCATCGACAATGTTGGCTGCTGGAATAGACGTCTTTGTCAACGGCGACGGATCACTCCTCATATTGTCCATGTGTGCATATCTTTGCGCCTCTCGGATAGTAAAGGAATGTTCACCGGTCCCAGTGCTTCCGGGACTGGAGATACTGGGAGTAATTCCACGACTCACGCTCGACAAGCGCGAGGGTGGCTGCTGGGTTGGCTGACCAGGCCCTCGTGGCGAGGGCTGCGACTGACTATCTTGCTGAGAGAGTTGGGTCTGCATTTGTGCAAACTGGTTTTGCATTTGCATCCGTTGAGTTTCTGCCTCGACTTGTCTCAGATAGTCGTCAATATCATAGTTTTGAAGGTTGTCGTTTGCCAGGAGGTTCGCCTGGGGGGTTCCATAATAAGACGAAGCGGAGCTGTGACGAAATCGATCAGAGCTATCATCGCCACCAAAACTGCTCAAGTCGTTGAAATGGTTGTCGGCACTGATCTGGCGGTCATTACTTGTGGCGCGGTCATTAGTCCAGCCCGTGGAGGGAGACTGTTGATCGGCCTCGGAGGGTTCACCACTGGAAGAATTGATCCCTATCCGATTAATGTGGTTGGATAATTCTTGAGGATTATAGGTGGGTTGCTGAGACATATATGGGGAGTTGTCCTTGGGAGGTGGTGTGTAGCTGTTGCTCCCCTCAAGGTTGTATGTGGACCAGTCGATGGAGGCTAGGTCGTTGTTGTAGAAGCTTGACTGCACAGGCTCATAGTCTTGAGCTTGTTCATATGTCATGAACCAAGTATCCGGGAATCTTTCTGGCAAAGTCAGGTCGAGTTGACTACCATTTTGGCTGTTCTGTTGGCTATTGTTTTGAGTGCCGGGACTGTCGGTGCCAAAGGGGGAATATGAATACGCATTGGGGTCGAAAATCGGCAGAGCAAGATCCCTGATTGTTGGATTGACAACGGGATAGCGCTGTGGGCTGAGAACAGGAGAATTGTGTTCCGACTTTACTTTCCTCTGCATGATGCTGACAGCATCGGTCATGGAGTTGTGCAGAGGAGATTCTTGGAATGGTTTTGTGGAGAACTTCGTGAGAGGAAGGCTATCGGTGGACCTTTGGGCAATCTCGCGGTGGCCATGAAGGGAATTGGATCGAGAGGGGATCTTGTAGGGGGTGCCGAGTTGATTGTGAGCATCGTTGAATTTATGTACGGGCTTGTGGTGGCCATTTGTGAAGATGGTCGGTTTACTCTCGTGAGAATTGTGGTTAGGACGAGGCTTATGATGGTCCTTAGGGTGGTCCTTGGGTTGCAGAAGTTGTGGGATATCTTCGGGGACTGGATCGAGGTGGTCTTTTTTCAAGGAGCAAGTACATCTGGAGCCATGCTGACAGCAGCAGGTGTGCGGTTCTAGAGTAGTGAGTATGTGCAATTCAAGCAGAAAAAGATGGGCAAACCTGTTTTATTCTCGGTTTTGTCCTGGGGGCAGTCTTCCTTGCCATGGGCCTTGTCGTGGCACTCGCATTTGACATGTTGAGAACGAGCCTTGCGAAGACCTCGGCAGTGTTGGCACTGTGAAACAGGTCTTCCTTTCTTGTTGACATGTACCAGAGGACGGTCTGCAAGCGATGGCATTAGTGTTGGTTCGGTCATGATACCCTGAAAGGAAGCGGTGGGAAAGACAAACCTTGATGGTGGCAGGAACTAACGCGGTGGCCTCGAACGCAGGCTTCGCAAGCGAATTTTTCCCCGTTGATGAGCATTTTGACAAAAGAAGTCTGTAGAAATGCGGGGGAAGTGAGAACAAGACTTCTAATTGTTGAAAGAGGTCGAGGAGGGAAATGGTTGGTTCTTCGGCGGGGCGCGGAAAGGACTAGAGCAGAGGTTCAGGGCGGAATGGTTATGGGTGAAGGATAAAAGATAATTCGGACGCGCCGGAATAATCTGGATGGCAAGGCGAAGATTTTGTAATGGTGATTCTGACCGGTTTAAAGGAGGACGAGGTTACGGAAATGGCAAGGCCGCTGGATGGAGAGAGCGAGGTGGTACGGATAGAGGGTTGTCTCGTGGGGTGCGGGCGGGAGATGGTGGATGGAAAATTGACCGAGACGCCGGCGGCAGATGAAGAAACGCCAGTGAAAAATTGAATATAAGCCCGTTAATGACCAGATGTTAATTGGGATCGGGATCAGCCATGATGAGGTTGGGAGATTGATGGCGATGGCGAGAGTGGTGGTTGAAAATTGCAAGTTGAGGATAATTGAGGATGAAGATGAAGATGGAGATGGAGATTAGAGGCAAGACGATGGGGTGAACAGACAAGAACAGAACAAGATAGTCGCAACGGTCAAGTTTGGACTCTGAAGCAGGGACCGACTAGGGCAATAATGGCAGGCGAATCATGGGGGGTAAAGGCGAGGGAGCGATGGGGGGGGGGAGAAGAGAGGACCGAGGGTCGAAGGTTGAAGGTTGGGTGAGGGTCGAGGGGTCCTGGCGGGAATTTGGAAGTGAGCAACGTGACCACCAAGCCACCATGACTACTAATTACCTACCTAGTACTACTGCATCTAGGTAGGTCACCACGGTCACCTAAGGACATTGGAAGCCCGAGGCGGCCGAGGGGCCTAGAGGGAGAGGCTCTAACTCCCCAAGTACTGGTGGTGGGTATTTGGTGGTGGATGACTGGGATTACTGCCCTACAGATGGAAGAATGAAGGATGGAAAATGGAAGCACAGGCACTGAACCCTGCACCTGCACCCGCACCCTGCACCCTTAAGGACCTGCACCCAAGAATCGAATCGTGGTGGATCCAAAAGAGAAAGTCGCAAGCGAGAGCCGGAAAAAAAAGGTCCCACCACGGACGTGAGTGTGACTTGGACTGGGTTGGCAACAGACTTGGTATCAATGGCGAAACCTGCCAACCCTTGATAGTTGTCTTGAAATACGAGTCATGGCTTTCTATAGTCTTGTTGAGTTAGCATCCTCTATTGTTGAATCCCCAGATGTCTTCTTACGACCAAAGAGCAAGATATTGGACATACATGGTGAGTGACGCCTCTTTGATAGACACGATAAGACAGGCAAAAGAAAGGTGTTCCGCGGGGACCGGAACCACCCCTCGAATCTACCTAACGCTTTAACCGGGTGATCATTCACTAAATTCCCAAGTGCCGATCCGAGATGCTACTTAGCAGCCTTAGGCAGGCCCTGGCACGTCCGGGTCGCCGGGGAAAGGCTCACTTTCTCTCGTTCTTTCGGGGTTTCGGAGTAAGGATGGGATCATGGAGAGAGTAATTGCCCGAGGATGCGTAGGATGAGTCCATTCATCTGCTTAGGCATCCATTAGATAGGTATGTATGGTACATGCTGATGAGAAGTTGGGGGGAATTCGATGAACCGCAAGGACGGGTACCAGTATCGCAGCCTGAGGAAATCCTTGGCCTTAGCTAATAATTAGTCTTTCAGGCATTCTCGAAGCCTGCAAGCCTGCAAGCCTGCGGCTGACCTTGCCAGCTTGCTTATGGCGACTTTGGCGCTAGGCGGCCATAGGCTGTGGCTTTGCAACGTTGCCACCCACGTGGATAGCGTCGTGTCGACGTAGCGAGACGGAATCCTTGCAACCGGCTCACGGCTCAGAACATTTTGTAGTTACGTGTCCCTAGATAATCCTAGGCTCAACTCAGCTTCGTCCCAAATATAAATACTATGTAACGGCAAATCGCGTCAATCAGACTGCGTTGTCAGCAGTAGACTTCAGGTTTGGGGAGCAACTCCTGGCTTCTCCAACCTTATGACTTGCAAGCTGAGCATGACCACGTCAGCTCGCAGTTTTACACATAGGAACAGCTATCAATGGGGTATGCTATGCCATGCCATGCCAGTGCATCACATATTTGGCGGCGTAAACCCTATCTATGACCAGGTTGCCTAGTCTGGTAGTTGTCAATATTGAATCTACGGAGAGACTACTTACTTATAGTCTACCATGCACTTGGCTCGTGCCAACTGCCCATTCGCCCATCGATGGACCACTTGCCCAATGCTCGCAATCACTTTTGGATTCTGGATCGTCAAGGACCACAGACCTTGTCGACTCTCACGTCACTACCAACATCATGAAAATGACCTTGAACTTGTAGATTGTGTGACATGGCACATTCATTCTTCTCAACACACTATGGAAATTCTTCCCACTATCGTATCCTAATATTGCAGGCATGTAATAGAGAGGCCAAGAGACTGTGAGTCTTTACGACAAAACACTCGTGTCTGGCCATCATCGGTTGTCCGTTCGTTGCTTCGTGATGCCTCTCGCGTCTCGCGTTCGTATTGTGGATTTTTCTGTCACTTGAAACCAAGGATCAGAAACAATCGACCGCGTATATCCTTCTTTCCAACGCCATATCAATGCAATTCTGTACATGACACAAAATCCAATCTGGCCAAAAAGCCCGGCTGGGTCGAGAAAACGGGTTCGCTACGCTCAGCGTTGATGTCCAAATCACTGCTTGCCTAAACAACAGGGCCGGCCTTGATCACTTCTTCAGTAGCCTCGTCGGCGTACTTCTTGAAGTTCTCGTTGAACAGGCCTCCCAGCTTGGTAACTTCCTCGTTAAAGTCGGCCGATCCGGTCCAGCTCTTCTTGGGGTTGAGGAGCTCATCAGGAACGTTGGGGCACGACTTGGGCACGCTCAGGTTGAAAACGTCATACACTTCGTACTCAGCCTTGGCCAACTCTCCAGAGTGGATGGCGTCCAAGATGGCACGAGTGTACTTCAAGGGGCATCGCTTGCCTCCAGTGCTGGCGCCGGCACCGACCCAACCAGTGTTCAGCAGCCAGGCGTTAGCATTGTGTTGAGAGATCTTGTCAGCCAGCATCTTGGCATATCGCATGGGGTGCAGAGCCAGGAAGGGTTGGGCAAAGCATGATGAGAAGGTGGCTTGAGGTTCGGTCACACCATCCTCAGTACCGGCCATCTTGGAGGTGTAGCCTGAGATGAAGTGGAACATGGTTTGTGCTGTGTTGAGCTTGGAGATGGGTGGCAGAACACCACGAGCATCACAAGTCAGGAGGATGATGTTGGATGGGTGGTTGTCGCTGATGCAGGGAATCTTGGCGTTGCCAATGTATTCGATGGGGTATGCGCAACGAGTGTTCTCGGTCAAGGTGGCATCATCATAGTCGACATCACGGGTCTCGGGGTCGAAAACGACATTCTCCAGGACTGAGCCGAATCGGACGGCGCCGAAGATATCAGGCTCCTTCTCGGCGGACAGACCAATGCACTTGGCATAGCAGCCACCCTCGATGTTGAAGACACCCTTGTCAGACCAGCAGTGCTCGTCGTCACCGATCAGCTTTCGCTTGGGGTCGGCAGAGAGAGTGGTCTTGCCAGTGCCCGAGAGACCGAAGAAGACGGTCACATCACCGTTCTGGCCCTCGTTGGCGGAGGAGTGGAGGGTCAAGACGTTGTGCTTGACAGGCATCTCGTAGAAGAGGACTGTGAAAACACCCTTCTTCATTTCTCCGGCGTACTCGGTACCCAGGATAACCATCTCTTTCTCGGCAAAGTTGATGGCAACGCTGGTGGCGCTGGTCATGCCGGTGGTGTATCGGTTGGCGGGGAAGGAGCCTGCATTGTAGATGACATAGTCGGGGTGGAAGGTCTTGAGTTCTTCTCGAGTAGGACGGATCAACATGTTCCGCATGAAGAGGGCATGGTAGGCACGAGCGCAGACGACTCGGACGCTGATCCGGTAGCGGTCATCCCAGCCGGCGTAGCCATCGATGACATAGATTCGATTTCGGGTGTTCAGGTAGTCGACTGCACGCTCTCGGTTGATTTTCCACACCTAGATGACGTGAAACGTGAGTACGGGTCTTTCAGGGCGAAAATAGGAAATGAACAGCAATGACCACGTTGGTAGTGGGGAGGGGAAGACGTGAAAGTCTCGTGACAAGTGGAGCCCCTGCCCCGTAGAGTCCCGGTGCCAAGGATTCACCAACCGCGGCAGCCACAAGCATTTGCGTCATGGTTGTATGCGGGCAACGCGGGGCAAGTGTGGATTGGAGGCGATTGGAGGCGTCCAGCTCTTCCATGATCCTGCTGTCCGAGTCTGCCCAAGCGAGAGAGTGCATCATCTGCATGGCGGGGAATAGCTCCCATTCCACAAGTTACACAAATCTCGACCCAGAAGACCGGAGCATGTGCTCCCATGTCATGAGAGTCGACAGGTCAAGGGACACATGCCCAGGCGATATAATCAAAAGGGGTGGTATGGCAAGACATTGTGAAGTGGACTGTTGCTTACCTCGGGCGACATGGGCTTGTTGACGGGTCCCCACCAAACATCTTTCTCTGATGATTCCTCCTTGACGACTCGCTTGTCCAAAGGCGAACGGCCAGTCTTGGAGCCAGAGTAGGCAGTCAGGGCACCAGATGAAGTGATTGCTGAGCCGGTCTCATAGACGAGAGCATCTTCATAGAGAGCAGAAACTGATGGGTTGGCGACGATAGCTACGCGGTCATAGTCGATGTGTGCCGTGGTATGGAGTTCTTCTTCGAGCTCGGTGTGTTCGCGAGATGGCCTGTAATATCTTGTTAGCGGCGTGAATAGACGAAAGGAAGCGGCGACGACGTACTCAACACCACCTGGGTGCAAGGCGGTCTTGTTGACCGAATGAGTGACCATTTTGACAGAGAAATTCCTGAGTTGTACTTTTGCAAGGTTGGATCGTGCAGTTCCGGTGGCTGGAGAGGGAGAGTGAGGACGGTATTGATGAACTGCTTCAAGACGGGTAGAATAGTCTGAAGCCATGGGGGAACGGGCTTCTTGATATACTCGTTCTGTCAGTGTCGAATCTAGGCCAAGCGGATTCAAAGTGCCTTTCCCGAACGCTGGGCGGGTGAGATCGGAAAGGGGTGGGAGGGTTTTGCGTGGATGGAGAGTCCGAACTTGCCCGAGGATTGCTGATTGGTAGATTGACTGTTTCGCGAACGATCTTGACCCTAGTATTTGGAGGTTGCTGCGGAGCATGCGAAAACAGTACCTAGAGTCCTTTTTATTATCGTCAAACGTGAGGATTGTAAAGGTAACAGAGAAGCGCGGAAACGAAAGATGAGACAAGCTGAGAAGAGAGGGGAAGAGGAGCTCTCGCAGCTCGACGCTGGCACCGGCGGGCCAAACAAGGAGTTACTTAGTCCGGCCGGCTCATCATGCCTGGGGATTCGCCTGGGGAGACCTGGGGCAAACGTCGTTCATGATGGAATTACGAGGTACCTCGTACTGGGAAATGCCCCCTCGAAGGACCTACCTGGGCTGTAAGCGGACCTAATGGGTATGTGCACATTGGGTCCACGGCTGGCCCCTCGGGCTGCGCTTGGCCTCCCCTCACTCCCCCTCGCCCTAAGCAATTCAATGGCTGATGGCCGAGGGGCCACTGGGGCCTGGCCATCCCAGCCATTAACCACTCATAAGCGTCCACCACGCCTAGAGTAGAGGTCTAAACCCCGCCTTCAGTACCCGAAGACAGAAATGCCATACCGATAATGCAACCTCACACACGTAGTCACGGCAAATTTGGTTTGCATGTTTGGGGCACTCAATTTCCGGGTAAGAATCTGCTGTTACTTAGTGCCGAGCCATCAATGCCCGAGGGCTCCAGCAGCCTGTTCCTTATACGCCACTCGTGCACTGCGCCTTGACTGGCGTGTCTGGGTGCCTCAATATGTCTGTGGCGACGCTCCGATATCTTCCATTTTTTCACTGGGTGGCGATCACGGACCGATTGTCCAACGGACAAGGATCCGATGTTCAGGCTCGATTTCTCTTCCTGCATGTGCTCGTGCCACTCAGATCACATGTAGATTCGACTTCAGTGTCACGACTCTGACTTCGAGTACAACGACGACGAACACTAATAACAACGCGCGCAGGGATCGTGTTCATTTTGACTTGGTTCCAACGCAATCATGAATCTAGTACTATAGATCACTCCATCTTTGCTGTTTTAGTTCGACCGATATTGCCACATGTGAAAGTCAGTGAATGACAGTGAATGACAGGTCAAGTCATGTTGTTCTGGCGAAATCCGCTCGACCCATTGTTGATTGTTGGTAATGGGTGTTCCCCAATGAAAGATATGATCGTGCCACAGAAGGATTGGCAAAGGTCAATGACACACTCTTCATCATCAGGTTTTCCATATTGTCGATTGTTCTTTCCCTGCTGCCACCCTTCAGAGCTCCTCCTAAGCTGTCTTTTCCCATGCGGCCCAGGCGCCGAGCAAACTGCTCGTGGTTCCTGCAAGACCAATGATGCCGTCATCGAAGCTGGCATATCCCAAGGCGGTGCTGGGGACAGTCAAGTCGCACAGATCGGAGACGAGTTGAATGTTGACTACCTGTCGTTGTCTACAGCAAGAGTTAGATTAGATTGTCATTATTTCCCTCAAACATCGACGATCGCTTACCTTGCAATGGTGATCTTGTCCACTTTAGCTTCAGCGTCCTTCTCGTCCACGGCGAGTGATCGCTGTCTCAGCTTGTAGGTGTTGTAGATTCCGGCGATCGCGCTGGCGGTCAAGCCAGAGAACCAGAAGCGATAGGCCGTGGCTTGCAGGCTCTTTGCACGGGGGTCCTTCTTTGCGCCCATCGCATCCAGCACGGTCAAGGAGTCGCACAGGAGATAACCTGCGTAACCGATCTGTCGCAGGATCTGAAGGTATTGGCTGACTTTGTCGCCATTGCCGGACTTGACGGCTGAGTTGTACAATTCTGATCCCAGGCGCAAGTGTTCAACGAATTTGCCAACTCGCAGGATTTTTCTGGTGAGACCAAACTGGGTCTTGATCACAGTCCACGGTTGAATGGAGCTGCTGGGGTTGTTGGTGCGGTATAGGTACCAGGCATAGAATCTGGCAAAGTATTGGATCGTCCGGAGCACTTTATCTCGACCGACTGCATGAGGAGATACCTATTAGCATCACCACGACGACGACTTCACATGGGTAGCAGGCCAACGTACTGGTAGTTGCAACAAAGCGAAGGTAATGAGTCACGAGAGGGTGATAGACTAATGCGTCGGCGACCATTGTGGCGACTCTTGATTCTGTACGAGGACCCGGCTCTGACTTTTTCTTGGAGGTGGTTGATTTGGAGCGTCTCGAAGGGTTCAAGGATGTAGGATCTGATACGAGCACCGGATTGGAGGTGAGAAAGGGATGTGAATTCGAAGACGCGATGGTAAGATAATGACAGGATGTTTGGTGCCAGGTTGGGCCAAGTTTCATTGGTGGTTTGCCCCAACTTACTGAACTGGCAGGTCCCAGGCCGAAGGTAACCTCGGTATCTTGTGATTCAAACTTGAATATTTGAATCTGGACGGCTATGCATTGCAAACCACGGCTTTTAACAGCTATTTTCATACGCTATTCATTCAGATATATACGTATCAATGGTGAGTGCCCGAACTTTTGTACACGTAGTGTCTTTGACCGCAGGTCAATTGATCGCGGTGATTGTCACGTGCCAACCTATTTTATCATTGCTAGGTCACGTGATGTTATCTGGCGTGTCTGGTCGATGTTCTCATCCTCATACTCATCCTACCCAGGGAATGTGTAGATACTTGTATTAGAAGCAACTGTTCTGGGATTGCGCATTGAGACGATCCAAAATTACTCTATATCATATCGCCAGTATAGAAAAGTATAGTGAGGCTCAGGCTGTCATTATACCTACAGTTCTGAGAGCCCACCCCTAAGGCTTCTTCAGGAATTGGGCCGCATGTCCCAGAATGGCAATTCGGTGGCGCCAGCTTTCCGATTCTGGAATCAAAAAAGATCAGAAGCGCCTTTGGCGAGGCTGTAATAATAGATGTGACTTGACACTGAAGATATTTTAACTACGATGAGCACATTGGATATCAGAGACACAGCTCTCCAAAGCTGATTTAGACACTGTTGCTTGTTTGTCTAGGTACCTAGGTAAGTTAGCTTAGGTATACAAGCACCCCGCACGCTGTCTCCCGACCCAAACCCTAGATCCAGGGCACCAGGTGCCCATGCTGCCTATCCAGACAGATCTGGATTTTATGCTACCGGCATAAAGCATCATGCATCATATGTCTAGGTAATCACTACAATTATTACTGGTCGATCCTACATGCGTCGTGGTCAACGACATCTATTACGATGATCGAGCGGAATGATACTAAGCCGTATCGAGATCTTGCCATGGAATCAAATCGACTCTAGCTTTGACCTCCGGGCCGAGGCCGGCAACTGTCTGAGCATTTGGCGCCGTTGATGCGGAGATGATGCCATTAAAAACGGGTCTATATCAGGTTCTCGGCGCCAGGCTTGCATCGATACTGATAATTTTCCCGTTGATTGTGGTGTTTCTTGTGTGATTTACTGTACATAGCTTGCCGGACCAAGCAGCCAACATCTGAACCCCAGTTGCAGTGTCCTTCCTTTCAGTCGAGGCACTGGATTGATATCAACAGTGTTTTGGCACGTCGCGATCCGTCTCCTCCAACTCAAGACAATTCATCCATCAGAATGGCAGCCAAATCACCATACCCCGATATAGTCATACCCAAAGTCGACCTCTGGGGATTGATGTTCGACTTACCCCGAGATTTCTCCGATAATCAAGGCAAGCCTTTTTTTGAGCGGCGCAAGAGCAATATTCAGGACTCTAACATCTTGTCCAGTCATATACCGAGCTGTCGACTCGGATCGCAGCTATACTTGGGCCCAAGTTAAGGAAGCAGCTTCAGCCTTCGGCGCTGGCCTTCGAAATCTGTGGGATTGGAAGAAAGGCGATGTACTCAACATATATGCTCCAAATGATGTAGATTTCGGCCCTATTGTCTATGGTACTTTTTATGCCGGTGGCATTGTTTCGCCTTCAAACCCTGGCTACTCGGCGGATGAGTTGGCCTTCCAACTCAATGACTCGGAATCAAAGGCCATTATCACTACAGCTGACTTCCTCCCTACAGCACTAAAAGCAGCTCAAAAGGCCAACATACCTGAAGACCGGATCATTCTCCTCGGAGGAAAAAGAGACCCGACCCATCGCGTGAAGCACTGGACCAATATTCGAAAAACTTCAGGCGCCGTTCGTTATCGGAGGAGAAAGGCGGATCCTGACGCTGACTTGGCATTCTTGGTGTACAGTTCAGGCACGACAGGACTGCCCAAAGGCGTCATGCTAAGTCATCGAAACATTATTGCCGACCTGTTGATGATTAAGGGCTCTGTGGGTGGTTGGTACGATACTGGAAAAGACAAGATTTTAGGAGTCTTGCCATTCTATCACATCTACGGATTGACTGGCCTCGTGCACCAACCACTTCATCGCGGCATTGAGCTTGTCGTCATGCCAGCGTTCAATCTAGAAGTCTTCTTGAAGGCCATTCAACACCACAAGATCACGTTTGTCTACGTGGCGCCGCCTGTCATTGTTCGACTGGCACGAGACAGCCTGGTGGATAAGTACGACTTGAGCAGCCTCAAAATGATTACCAGCGGAGCCGCGCCGTTGACTCGGGAGCTGGTTGATGCCGTTCATCGACGGCTGAAGCTCAAAATCAACCAGGCCTATGGATTGAGTGAGACAAGCCCCATGACACATACGCAGGTAAGAGTCGTGCCAGCCCAAAAAGCAATTCATCGACTAACCTATATCGTAGCCCTGGGATGAATGGTATTCGTCGGTAGGGAGCGTAGGGAAATTGTTCCCGAGCATGACCGCCAAATACATTGCTGCAGACGGCAAAGAACTCGGTCCAGGAGAGGCAGGAGAACTATGGCTATCAGGCCCTAACATCTTCAAAGGATACTGGAAGAATGAGGTAGCTACTCGAGACGCGATCACAGAGGACGGATACTTCAAGACTGGAGATGTCGGATACCAGGACGAAAAGCACAACTTTTATATTACAGATCGTGTCAAAGAACTGATCAAGTACAAAGGATTCCAGGTACCACCAGCAGAGTTAGAAGGCAAGTTGATGGATCATGCAGACATCAACGATGTTGCCGTCATCGGGGTCTACGATGATCACCAGCACACAGAGGTCCCAAGGGCCTATGTCGTCGCAGCCAACGGGAAGAATTCTGAGCAAGATGCGGAGGCCATTGTGAAATGGTTGGCAGAAAAGGTGGCTAGCCATAAAAGACTCCGAGGAGGTGTCAGATTCATTGATGAAATACCCAAGAGTGCTGCTGGGAAGATCTTGCGCAGGGTGTTGAAGGAGAAGGCAAAGCAGGAAGATTCAAGCAAAGGGGTGAGACCCAAGCTCTGATTGTCACCTTGTACACGTATACAATATTGTCAACTGGATCTTTCCATAATTTCTACATACTTGTCAGTCACTCGGTTGCAGCGACTATGGTCTCAAGAGCCGCGGGAGTCTTATGAATACGCTTGTACTTCAGTGTATGTGGCGCCCTCTAGTTCAGTATTAAGTCGGCACCAGCTATACTGCATTGTAGAACATGATGGGGCACACATAGATAGGTAGGTACATATGCTAATGCGTGGCAGTACGAGTACGAGTACATGCATACGAGGTGTGTACGAGGAGGTCATGCACAGGATATAAGCATTGACAAGCCTACCAAGCTTTGGCATCCATGTCCAATCTAAGCCATTCCAAGCGGGGAAAAGGCATGATAACATCGGCAGGCAAGGGGGATTTTGAGCGAACCAGCGAGCTAGTGCGGCGAGGTTTCCTTCCCATTTCATTATTATGCTGACGTTCTCTAGATCCTAGTGTATAATGGCTTTACTAACAGCACGAACCAGTGCAAATGTAAGACACCGTTCACGTGCTGGTATGAGTGGAATCAAGGTAGGGGACTCTTGATTTTGGTATCTCAAGTCTCATATGAAATGCCACGCGTCCTTTCCACTCTTCAATCCTTCAATATTGTAGCGTTACAATGGATATTGTACAATTAAGCCACTGACATCAATGTCTCTCGCTCCCAAAGAGAAAGGGCGGGTTGGGATTCGCTACCTCGAGATGATCGACATTCGGTGAAGACTTGCCGTGCAAGCCGTACATGCCTGCTCTAACAATCCTTCACGTTCGCTGAACCTCGCGATTGCCTCAATCAAGATGGTCAATCACACCTTCCTCATGCCAGCTGATCAGAGCCCCGCATCATTGCATCTCATATCTCGCATCTCCCGCTTCGTCCGACTCATGACTTTTGCTGATGCTTGGACTTTCTCCTTGCGGATCATCTCGTGGCCCATCGGTTGGCTATCGGGTGACCCCTTTCATTGGAGCACCTTATTGTTCCTCGCTATGACAAGCTAACTATCAAGTGGAGCAGCATCTTCGTCCTCCCTCGTCGCCTGAACGATGTACAGCGAGCTAGCATAGACTTTACCTATATCTATGACCGCGGGACACACCATGTGCCTGATGTTCTGACTCTTAGCTTGCTTCCTCAATTCTGCCTGACACTGCACTTTTCGCATTCCTTCCAACATGGCCACCGAAAAATCTTTTGAGGAGACACTCGGTGCGGACGATTCAGATCCTCAACGCCTGCATTCAATCCATGCCGCCCCTCTCGACGCAACGCCAAAGACACGCTGGGAGCGAAGCTGGCCGGTTATTGCCTGTGGAGCAGGTCTGTTCTCTGATGGCTATATCAATGGTGTTATCGGCAGTGTCAACACAATGCTCAGGATCATCTACAAGGACGAGTACATCAACAGCAATGCTCAGAATAACGTTTCTTCCATCGCATTCGCTGGTACTGTCGCTGGCCAACTCGGTTTCGGCTATCTTTCCGATCACTGGTCTCGGAGACACTCACTCCTCATCTCCACCATCATCTTGATCGTCTTCTCTGCCCTCAGCGCCGGTGCCTACGGTGCGGGAGGTAGTGTCCAAGGCCTTTTCGCTGCCCTAACTGCCTATCGCTTTCTTCTTGGAGTTGGAATTGGTGGCGAATACCCAAGTGGCAGTGTTGCCGCCGCTGAAAGTACGGGGGAACTACGACATGGACATCGCAATCGATGGTTCATCGCATTTACTAACCTTGCCATTGATGTTGGGTTCGTGGTAGCTGCCTTTGTACCTATGATTTTGGTATTGATCTTCTCCGAGAACCACTTGAGAGCAGCATGGAGAGTTGCTCTTGGTCTAGGCGTCATCCCGCCATTGTCGCTCCTCTATCTGCGGATCAAACTACGAGACCCCGAACAATACAACCGTAACAAGATGAACGAATATCCCTACTGGTTGATCCTCAAGTTCTACTGGTGGCGCCTCATTATCGTGTCACTCATCTGGTTCATCTACGATTTCTCGGCTTATTCTTTTAGTATTTACTCTTCGGCTTGGCTGGTACTTCTTCTTCCCTCAGATGCGCCTCTATGGAAGTCTTTCGGCTGGAATACCGTCATAAATCTCTTCTACGTTCCCGGCGCCATCATTGGCGCCTTTCTCTCTGATTACATCGGTGCCAAATACTGTTTGATCCTGGGTGTCTGGCTACAAGGTATAGTCGGATTCATCATGACTGCGATCTATCACCACCTCAATCAACCATCTCAAGTGGGGGGATTCGTGGTTATGTATGGCATCTTCCTCGCCTTGGGTGAGGTGGGACCCGGTGACAACATTGGCCTGGTCGCTTCAAAGACCTCAGCAACATCAATCCGTGGCCAATACTATGGAATCGCGTAAGTCTTTTGGAGCCGAACCTTCAATCAATTCAAATGTTCATATGCTGACCGCTCACTAGTGCTGCAATGGGCAAAGTTGGGGCATTTGTGGGGAATTACGTCTTTCCAGAGATTGTGAAAGCCGCGGGAGACGATGTCATCAAGCAAGGCCAGTACCCATTCTACGTTTCCAGCTCTCTGTGTATCCTTAGTGGATTCATTGCTTTGTTCTTCCTGCCCAAGATTAGCCAAGACACAATCACCGAGGAAGACGAGAAATTCAGAGAGTATCTCAGTCGCCATGGCTACGATGTGACAACATTGGGCACCAAGGAGTATCAGATGGACCAGGAAGTTCTTGGTTGATAAGTCCACCCTTTCTCCAGTGTAATAGGCGCAGGGAAGTTTCGGCAGTGGGAATTGGTCCTAGACCAATACATGGCCGGAGCCTTTTTCACACGTCGATGGCTTATATGGATCGTAATGAAGAGATAGCCCAAAATGAGTACAATACTTTGTGTTCACTTAAATAGGAATCATTAATTATCCGAGAATTACGAGATCTAAAAGCCCATTGAAATCCGTAGTCAAAGGTGTTTTAGTAAACGCTATCATAGTAACCTAGCCTTATTTAGGCAAGCTTAGTGGGAATCTGGCCAGAATGCCAAGCGCTAAAGGAGGCAAGGTTAGTGCGCAAGCGTCAGGCTGGCAACTGCTGCGCGTCCGTCTCGTCACTACGGAACAGTCTAGGAAAGTGAACTTCATCAATATCCTTTACCCGCGAGACTGCCACTCCTTCAAATCCTGAACTGCCCATTATATCTTTGCCTCCTCTGTCCCTGTCTTGATTATCGATTTCCCATCTACCACAACTCATCTCCATCCTCACCATGGGCTCAGATCCGCAATTCGCGAAATACCCTGATCTCAAACTCGCCCAACACATCTTCTCTCTCACGACATCATCAGGGACACCTCAACCGACATCACTGAACTACCTCCAAAATGCCATTCGAGAACACAAGATGGCCCCGCTTTATCGGCATCTAGCTCACCCAACCGAAGGAGTGCTAAACTCGGTCGGGGAGAGTACAGCACAATCAGCAGCGACACCCAAACCCCCAACGCGAAGAGCCTCTCTTGTCTCAAGCAATCTGCTACCCCCAAAACGATTGGTACCTCCGGGAGTGCTTCCATGGGATGAAAGCCTGTATGAACAGCTGAAGGCAGATAATGACAAGGAACTGGAAGGTTTTCAGAAAGAGGAAGAAGAGGCAGAGGAAAAGGCCGGCGAAACCGAAGTACAAGCTGCTCGAAGCAAACGTGCCGACTTTTGGGCACGCGTTGGAGACAAGGTCTGCCCTTTCCCCCATATTTGACATTCTTGTGCTGATGATTTGCAGGACAAAGCCATCGCAGCCTACGAAAAGGTGTTTGACAAGACTGGCCCCCTCGGCACCAAGATCGATCTTGTACTCGCCATTATCCGGATAGGTCTCTTTTTTAACGACAAGCTATTTGTCAAGAAGCAGGTCGAGCGAGCAAACATCCTGGTGGAGAGCGGTGGTGATTGGGATCGAAGAAATCGATTAAAGGCTTACAAGGGTCTGCATCTCCTCACCGTCCGATCCTACAATCTTGCTGCGCCCCTCCTCCTCGACAGTCTTTCCACCTTTACTAGCTACGAACTCTGCAGCTACTCAGCTCTGGTCACATATGCAGTTCTTGCCGGCTCCCTGTCATTGAAGCGAGTCGATTTCAAGGCCAAGGTTGTTGATGCCCCCGAGATCAAGGCTATTCTAGGCGACGGAGAAGACAAAGGCCCAGGTGCTGACGAGGAGATGAAAGATGTGTCCGCCGCGACCGCAGAACGTGCGACTGGATTGGTCAACTTGAGCACACTAGGCACAGGCTCTGCAACTGAAGCGCAAGACGAAGCCCCTGTGGATATGTCTCCGCTGGCGGGACTCGTGAACAGTCTCTACGCTGGCAACTACCGCAACTTTTTCCTCTCGTTGGCCGCTGTGGAGGAGAACTTTTTGACGCAAGATCGGTATCTATTCGAACATCGAGCCTGGTTCGTACGAGAGATGCGTCTCAGAGGGTATCAACAATTGCTTCAGTCTTACCGCGTGGTGGGGCTCGCTACCATGGCATCGGCGTTTGGAGTCAGCGTGGACTTCCTAGACAAGGATCTCGCCAAGTTTATTGCCGCCGGCAGGGTGAGCTGCACGATCGATAGAGTGCAGGGGGTGATTGAGACGACCAGACCAGACGACAAGAACAAGCAGTATGCTGATATTGTGAAGCAAGGCGATGCTCTTATCACCAAGCTGCAGAAGTATGGACAAGCTGTGAGATTACGGGGAAGTGAACGTGCATGAAACCAGAAGCGCGGTTAGAAGCTGAGGCCATTATCAAGTCGACAGCCTCTCAAGGTGGATGGGCAACAATAATGTAAATTAGGGCTTGTCAGCGGTTGCCGCCACACCCTTTTAGTATTCCACTAGAATCCATATCTTGGCATTGTTAGGACTATCGCTAAGGGAGCAAATGTCTTGTGAAAGAATACGGAGTACACAATGCTAAATCGATATCTGACTTATTCTCTAATCATCGCAGCCACGAATTAGTCGAGGCCCTTGATACGAATCATCTGATAAATGCCATTGTTGTAGCTTCTAGCTGACTGGCTCGGTGCTTTCACCCCTGTCAGAAGAACGACAGAAAGAATGACGATTAAGTCAAACTTTTGGCCTGAGAAGGGGCCCGAGAGGCCTCTCGGGCCCCCACACACACCACAGGCGTGCCTAGTTCCTACAGTAGTTCACCCGTGCAGCGATAAGATAAACGAGCCGAGGGGATGGCGCCTCGAGGGCCTGAAACTTGTGTCTCCGCGCTCGGACAGAGAAGCTTCCAAGATTATGATCTTGACGTCGATTGACTCACAGAAGACGCCTTTACTATCTCACGCGAGCAGTTATCTTTTGAGACTATCGTGTGCCAGAAGCAGCGCTGCCATCACCACAACCACCACGGGCACCCATCGTTCTTGTTCTGTCCTCCCATCCCCTCTGGGCATTGGCAAACCCAACTCCAGTCCCAGCTCCGGCTACGCCCTTCTCCCTGGTCACAAGTCAAACAAAGCTTCCCCAAGTTGCCCCACTCGTCCTCGGAACTGTGAGAATGTCTTCTATACATGCTTCTTTTCTCCTTCAAAAGGTTCAGCATTTCTCTTCTGAGCTGGCCACTGCCTGCAAATCCTTGTCCCTTGTTTCTCAAAACACCGCCTCACCGTTGCGATCGAATCAAAGTCGAGGTAAGTCTGCAGTCGCCGACACCGCACCTGCTTCCTTTTTCTTGTGGTCTGAGGTGTCAAGTGATGACTCCTCGACGTGTTGGCACCCATGTGCTTTGCTTTTGTGTCCCGGTTTTTTTTCTGCCCACTCACCCGACCACTGATCTCTGGCTGATTTCTCTTCATATAGTGATCCATTCTCCCCGAGTTCCTCGAGTCTACGCTCCATTCATCCGTCGCAACATGTCGTCCACCGCTCGCCTCCGCAGTTTGAACATTGACAATATCAACCCCCATGTCAAGGAAGCAAAGTATGCCGTCAGAGGTGAATTGGCAATCAAGTCAGAAGAGTATCGTGCCCAGTTGAAACAGCGAGACCCCCCCACTCCTCCAGAGTCGCCTCTTCCATTCGATACAGTCATCTCCGCCAATATTGGAAATCCTCAGCAACTCGATCAGAAGCCCATTACCTTTTTCCGACAAGTGCTTGCATTGGTGGAGAATCCTCTTTTGCTCGAAAATGAAGAGGCATTGAAGTCAAGTTTCAATTATAAGCAGGATGCCATAGATCGTGCTCGGTGGCTGCTCAAAGAGGTCGGGTCAGTCGGTGCATACTCCCAATCTGCTGGTGCTCCAGGTATTCGTCAGTCTGTTGCCGACTATATTGAGAGACGAGATGGCTTTCCTTCGAGCAAAGATGACATCTATCTATCAGCCGGTGCCTCTTCTGGTGTCAACACTCTCCTGCATATCATCTGTTCAAGTCCTCAAACCGGTGTTCTCGTCCCTATCCCCCAATATCCACTTTACACTGCCACGCTTTCGGTACTCAACGCCACCTGTGTCCCCTATTACCTGAACGAGGAGCATGCGTGGGGAACTGATCTCAAAGTGATCAAGGAGTCATACGATAAGGCCACCAGTGAGGGCACCGACATCCGCGCGTTGGTCATCATCAACCCAGGCAACCCCACGGGAGCATCACTGCCTGAGGGGGATGTGGAAGAGCTAATCAAGTTTGCGGCCGAGAAGAAGCTGGTTCTCATAGCCGATGAGGTGTATCAGACCAATGTCTTCATTGGAAAATTCCACTCGTTCAAACAGGTGCTACGAAAGCTCCAGAAAGCCGAGCCTGGAAAGTACGACAACGTGGAATTGGCATCACTCAACTCCGTGTCCAAAGGTATGGTTGGCGAGTGTGGGCACCGGGCGGGATACTTTGAGCTTGCTGGTTTCGACAAGGAAGTCCAGGCGCAGATCCTGAAATTTATCAGTATCATGCTCTGTCCACCTGTGGTGGGACAGTGTCTTCTGGAGATGGTCGTCAACCCGCCAAAGGAAGGAGAGCCGAGCTACGAGCTGTACGATAAAGAGTACAATGGCGTCAAAAATGGTCTGAAGGAGCGAGCAACCGCACTGTACAACGCCTTCCGAGAGATGGAAGGAGTCGAATGTGGTGAGCCTCAAGTAAGCATCAAGAGACAAAAATCCCATGTACTATGTCCACTTATTAACTTGCGACAGGGTTCCATGTACCTATTCCCGACCATGCATATTCCCGAGAAGGCATGTCAAGCGGCCAAGGAAGCGGATCGGTCGCCAGACGAGTTTTATTGTCTCCGGCTTCTTGATGCTACCGGTATCTGTGTGGTACCAGGCTCCGGATTCGGCCAGAAGCCAGGAACGCTGCATCTTCGAACCACCTTCCTCGCACCTGGCACGGAATGGGTTGGCAGATGGACCAAGTTCCACCGAGAATTCTTGGACAAGTACAGCTAGGGGAAGCTGGATCGAAACTCGCAATCATCGGGTGGGCAGATTTAACCGGTATAAAAACAAAGCAATGCGGGAAAGTTCTTGCGACGGCCGGGGGACATTGTTTCATCAATTCAGATCTTTGCTGAGGGTGGAATTAACTCTTAACTGAGTACCAAGTGGATTTAGGAGTTCAGAGCGAGGCTCAAGCCGTGGACTGAGGTATACACTTGAGTGTTAAGTCCAGTTTCTTTTCTATGGAGAGACGTTGATAGCTTTCAAGTATATCATACAATTAAGCGAGATACCTAGTCGGCTACAAGTCCCTTACTAAACATATCTGATCGAATTATGGGGAGGCCTCGGTGGGAAAGGCCACTGTTTTGCAAGACCAGACTCCAATGGCATGTTACATTGAAGAAATATTGGTTCTCAGGGAACAGATCATCAACAACTTACGTTGACGATGAGGTCTCAAGAACTGAATACCCAATGAAAGGGATTGGCTCCTCTTGTGCAAGGTGATCAAGGAGAACGGCGGGGTGCTAAACACCAATGACAGACCATGTAAACTATTTACACGAGAGTTCATCGAGTTCATTTAATGCGAAAGCCCCGTGACAATACGGTCATAGTAGTGGAGGGGCGGGATCGTCTTCGCCTTGTATGAAGCCAATCCAAAAATAATCAAACCTTATGGACCATCAAGTGGGCCCAGGCCCAAGAAGGCGAATGGAGATTCTTTCCGAATACTCGAGAAGGTAAAGATAAGTACCAAAGATGGAAATAAATGGTCAAGTCTGTGGCACAGCGTTGGAAGCAGATTTCCGGGCTTTTGAGGGAGACAAGGAGAAGAGGGGGTAGACGAGAGGGGGAGAACAGGGGAAGGAGGGGAGCGGGATTGCCACTCGGTGGATTCCCATGAATGTGTTCGTGAATTTCCGTCGTTGACTGTCTCCTTCGATGTCGTTGGCGCGGATGAAATATCCCGAGTCGAGTCAATGCTGATGATGAGGGTGATGGGATGGTCTTGGTGTTAGTTTGCCTCGTCATCAAAAATGACTTGTGCTGGCTGGAAAGTACATAAAATACTTAGGACTCTACGATGTGGCATAATGTATGTATCGCAAATGCTTGCTGTAAGTACCACTGGACCTAAAGTCCTCTGAGTTCCAACGTGCCATCATTCATGAAGAGACTCGATAGTGGATCGATATCTGTCACTGACTAGGGCTGGATTATCATTCCACTTGCGAGACGGGCTGTTGAGGACATATTACCGAATATGGTAATCTTAGTTGTAGTATTAGGTAAAGCCCCACCATGTTTATGCAACGACATGTATTTTGTCCAACTTTTTTCATGTTTGTCCCAAATCACGCTAGGCAACCACTCTACCTGATACGGTAGTCTCACCTGTAGTATTTGGGAAAAACCGTCAAGTTGATGTAACGACATTATGTTTGTCCATTTTTGTCCACTTGTCCCAACGCCCAAGCACTCTACCATATACGGTAGTCTAAGTTTCAGTATTAGGCAAAATATGTCAAGTTGATGCAACAACAATTCTGTTTGCAATTCTGTTTGCAATTCAGTTTTTGTGGTCTGTCCACTATTCCACCAGGGAGACAACCACTCTACCGGATATAGTAGTCTCAGCTGCAGTATTAGGTCAAACGCCATCAACTTAATGCAACGACGATTGTGTCTGTGTCCCGTCGCCTGTCTTGTCGCCTGTCCTCAGGTTTGTCGTCTGTCCCAATCTCACCAGGGAGACAACCACCTTACCTGATCTAGTAGTCTTAGATGCAGTATTAGGCCATAACGAGTCAACTTGATGCCACAACAAATCAATTCAGCGCAACTGCACGCCAGTCAATTGACCTCACTGCGCTAGGCAGACAACCACACCATACTCCGTAGACCCTGTCACTCTTGGGCATTCATGCAGAGGCTCTGCAGGGTTTGTGACACCCTCCCTCCCCTCCATCCTCTCGCAACAATTGGTATGGTTCTGGTTTGCCTGATCAGGGACTCAAACCTGCTCATTCTAGTATAATCGACTAAACTTGACTCGCCGACAAGAGGCATTTGGTTGCCCTGTCACCAACCAACCCAACCCAACCTAATTGTCTTCTTCTCCCCTCCTCTCCCCTCCCCTCGCTTTCCTGTCGTCTCACTCATGCATCAATCCCTCTACCCCCCGACTTCATCATGTGACACCTAACTCCTCTCATTATACTGGTCTCTTCAAGCATACCCCCAAGCCTTCCTTGATATTTAGTTCGAAGACGTGCATGGTCCATGACCAGTCCTCAACCTCGTATCTGTCGAGGACCCCAAGTGCAAGTGGGAGCGTGGCACACACATAACCTCCAATCAGAAGAGCAAACAAGACCTTTTGGCAGATGCAACTGCGCACAAAGTTATGTAGGCGTTTCTCGAACGGGCCGGTTTTCCACATAAATTGCTAGATCGAGTATGTTTGGCTACCTGAAGTCGTTAATTCCCCTCTTCTTGATCAGCCAGCAATTCATCTTGGCCCTCACTCAGCCCGGCCGGACCGTGCCTTATTTTTCTTGTTTTTCGTAGTCACTGCATTGACAGGTCTGAGGGATGGAGGACTTTTGACTTGTCCGGGGAGTCGTTCGGGCACTATCGATCCATATAGTATTCACATCGGCAGTTCTGGTCTTTTGCCAGGGATTAGCGAAACACAAACGACTATGGCGCATGGTTGTTCACTTTGAATTCACCCATGTGGTGCTAATGGATGCTATTTCGACTTCGACTCAAGAAAACAACATGTCATTTTCCTATCCATCCTGACAGAATGTGGTGACTTTTGCTAACCCTGAAAATGCTGTACCTCGACTCCAGACGATACATATATGCGAATGACTCCTGCTTTCTTCCTTAAATATCCTTGAATCCCTTGCTATCATGATCTCATCACCCCCTTCTGAATTCGAGCCCCTGGATCAATATTGACAGCGGTTCGACCTTTCACTCGCGACTCCGTAAACTCATCAAGTCCGCTTCTGGATCAACCCCAACATTCGGTGAACCCACAATGGTTCTATGTTTCAACAGCTTCTTCACTTCGGTCTCCAGTTGGCTCACCAGGTCGACCTTTTCTACCATGACCGATCCTTTCCAGTACAACATCCGGTACAGCTTGAGCCTTGCACCTCCTAGACAAGGCAGCATCTCTCTCAGGATATCGTGCAACCCTTCCATTTGCAACCTTTCACCCCTCAAATGTCGTGTCACCATTGCTTCACTGGCACTTGTCGTGTTCGGGCCCGGATCAGCCCCTCCTTCGCCGGTGTGCATCGCCCATATGATGGGCCGGTTATGGCTGGTTTTGCTCAGTTGTGTGGTAAAATAAATCTCGAGGTCTCTCATCGCTCGAAGCTCATGCAAGTGTCCCAGCTTCATATTCAACTGGTCTCCAAGTTTGCTTCTCACGGTGGACGAGGGTGAACGGGCCTCTTCACGATAGGCTTCGACAAGTCGAAGGAAGGTACTAGTCATTGTATCATTCAGCTGAAGTCTTACCTTGTCCACCCTTTTGACAAGGCTTTCCTGGCGGAGCAATTCTCGAAGCTCATAGTTCCATCGCCCCGAGGTATATGCAAGGACTGGTAACATGCGCGATAGCATGGGACACATGGTCAAACTGATTTGTCTAGCAGCGGGGAATGCGGCATCCACCTTGGCCACCACTTTCTCTGGTGAAGTTGCCAGTAAAGTCATGGCCCTTTTCCGCCGAGTAGAGATCCGACTGTCTTGCTCCAGAAGCGGGATAGCAATGTCAATGTGCTTGATAAATTTGCGGATCAACAAACGTGGGAGTTGCGGAAGAGTCTCTGCTTGTGGATACACCACAAGACGTGCTCGACGACAGATGAGTGTTTGACTCTCATCGTGTAATTGATGACACACACTCAGGATGGAAGGGGCAGCGTGAGTTTTGTATCTGTAAATATCGGTAATCCACGGCTGACGACTGTGTGGATGAATCACACGTTTGGTGGGTTGAACTAGGTAGAGAAGGATGTGTTCTCGGATTTCTAGAGGCAGTTTCAGCAAACGGCTGGATTGGCCCTGTTGTTGTGAGGTTGACTTTGGCCGCATCCTGAGGGAATCTCCGTTCCACTGTTTGACGGACTGGAATCGTATCGAAGTGACTGAGGTCCAAGCCTTGGTCTCGCGATATGAGATTGAATGACGTTGAGTAGTGCGTCTGTCTCACTTGTCTGTTGGCCAAGTTCTTATTTTACTGCGAGCCGCAAAGCAGTTCGTTCTCCTCTATCCGCAATGATAGAAGGAGTGCTTTGAGAGAAAAAGGCCAGAGGGGAGTCATGAGGATCAGCGAGACAGGCAACAAGATGAAGCGGGAAAAGGATGCACCTGTGGTTACATTGGGAGTCTGGATCCTCGGACTTTCCGCTTACCGGAGCACTGGGACGAAAAAGGTAGGTGCCAAAGGAACAATGTAAGTGATTTGAGAAGGATGAGAGTCTCCCCTGGCACGTGGCAATAAGAATTGTGCGCGGAGGAATAGCTTCTGTAGGGTAGCCATGCGAGAAAACATCATCTGCTTACCATTGCTATTCCTCATCCCCATATTCCACCTCGAGAAACCCGAGGATGCATCGTGCGGTCCTTGTCCAAAGCGGTTCGGTGCCTAGCGGGCCCCAGGCCAAGCGTACTTTAATTCTTCCACGCGAGGTTCTCGTGGCAGTGCCAAAGAGTCGAGTCACAGCCATGTATATACCCTCAAGGTAAGTGATGGCCAATAAGTCCAGAACGAGTTGCCATCAAGTCTCCTGCGACGAGACAGGGCTGAATAATAGCATGAGCTCTTGCAAGTTATAGGTACTGAGCTACTGGGTGGACACCTATAATCTTTAAGCATAAACCGCGGCGCGAGGCACCTATGGGTCCCTTATCGTGGCTGCTATGGGTCGAGCTCTAAGTAGACTGCTGTCCCAGATGCCATGGTGTAAGGTATTAAATACCTGCTAGGTGCTAGGTACGGTAGGTACTTACAACTAACACAACGCGCCGAGCTAGGTACTGTCCTAAGGTACCAACGCACATGGATTTTGTGGTTGGAATAAAGATGCAGTCGGGGTCGAGGGGCTGCCTTGGTACCTACCTACCTACCAAGGCAGTACCTAGCGACCAGCTCACAGGGTGAATTAGGTTAAGGTAGACTTGGGGATGAGTTCACTTATCTCGCCCATGACGTCTGGTGCTGGGCAACTTGGTTGTGTCATGATCTCCGCAGCCTGCAGCCTGCCGCCTGCACCAAACACCTTACCATTGAGCATCCAACGTCTTCAACTTATTTCACTGCATCTCCTATACTTTACTTGCATCATGCTGCAGGCTTCAGTGTGAGGTCCCAATAGCCTCTTTGACGCCCTTGACTATTTCCAAACCTCCCGGTCCGTCACTATCTCACCTATACCATGTCGTTCATCTCCTCTTGCTTTGGCCGTAAACATGGCGAAGATACAGAGCCTCTCCTCCCTCGCTACGAAGATGATACCGCTCGTCAAAGAGCCCTCCACCAGAAGCTCCATACCTATCAGATGCTGAGAGCCCTTTCCAAAGGTTTCATGCCTTCCAATGAGCAGACCATCATCAATCTACGTACTCTCCTCGCATCAGACATCCTCAACCCCAATAATACAGATCTCTCTGACTCCGGTCGCTTGCTCATCCGTAACTGCCGTTCCTGGCTGAAACTGTTCATTGAGCTGTTGAGAAACAAGAACAATCAAGATCAAATACAAGACTTTATCTGGTACTTGACAAAGTCCAGGATTTCCATCGATATCAATGACATCTCTCATTCAGCATCCAAGGTCAAGGCGCGGGCAGATGCTCGGGCAACATACGAAAGCTTTCGCACCGTTGGCGGACTACTTCTGACAAATGCCGACTTTAGGCTATTTCTCAACGACGTCACCACTATTGGAAGAGAAGTCCTTGCCGATACAGCCTTCTCTCTATCATCTGCTGCGGAGAAAACTGGGAAGCAGTTGGAACTATCCGCAGAAGAGCAGGAATCTGTACAAAAGCCTGGTGCCGACGATGGTACTCTTCCTTCTAAACAAGATCTCGAACAAAATGTCGACGAGACAAGCCGTGTTGTTGGCCAAGAGATCGCAAATGTCGGCAAGGACGCTTTGCAAAGCGCGAAGGAGAACTTCTCTGGTGCCCAAGGCGAGACATTGCTGTACCGATTAAAGCAGACTGTTCTGAACCTCCGCAAGAGGACAGATTATCAAGACTCGGTGTCAACCATAGCAAAACTCATCCAGAGATACGCTATTGCGTATTCCAGAGCTGCAGAGGCCGCCATGGCCACGGTACAGGACGACGTGGAACCAAATCCGGCATTGGATCGCGCAATCCGCAACTTCTGGGACCTGATGAGCAGCTTTGGAGATGGAAAGGCGTGGGAAAAGCTGGAACAGGATTTCAAGAAAGTCATGAGCCACTCCAACTCAGATCCACAGTTCGAGTCCTTCATGACCGATATTGGCAACACGGTACAGCGAATGCTGACCGACCCCGAGTTCTTTGACAATGCGACCCAGAAGATTGACGAGTTGAAGCAGAAATCTTCTAGGCTCGAAAAAGATTCTGACTTCCAAACAGATCTGGATAATATGCTTCGGCAAGCCCAAATCACCTTGAATTCAGTGGTAGAGGACCGGGATGTCAACGCATTGCTCAAAACAACAAATCGAATTCTTGCCAACCTCTCTCCTCCCAACAGAATCACGAACCCGGATCTCATTACAGACGCCATCCACATCTTTCTCCCTCTCCTTCTGAGAAGTATTCAATACATACCAATTCCTCGGGTCGAGGTATCGGTCCCCGAGATGGATCTGTTATTGGAGAATGTGGTCTTGGAACCTGGGCGCAACGTAAACTCGACCTCATTCCTGCCATATCGTCTTCTCATCTCCACCAAGAACGACCTGGAGATTCGCAAGACACATTCCAAGAAAACGGTATCCAAGGCCAAATCACTCATCACTGTCACTATCAACGGTCTCTCAGTGGCTGCCCAAGACCTCGGTTTTTGGATCCGGGGTCATGCTGGCCTCATTCGGTTTGCAGACGAAGGCATCGCCTCCTTCTTCCTAGACGAGCGAGGCATTGATGTCAGCCTCGACCTCGAGGTAGGCCGGGAACGCCTCGAGCAGATTCTGTCTTTGCGCGGGGTTCGCGTGCACATCCACAAACTTGATTACAAGCTACGCAAGAGCAAATTTTCGTGGCTCGGATGGCTCTTTAAACCTTTCCTCAAGCACCTCATCCGACGATCTCTTGAAAAAACTATCGCCGAGACCATTGCCAGTGCGCTGCATGCGGCCAACCGGGAACTCGTCTTTGCGCGTGAACGTCTCCGAGCGACTCGCATTGCTGATCCTCAGGATCTCATTACCTTTATTAAGGCTATTACTGCGCGTCTGACGCCGGAGGATGACCCAGACTTGTATACCCGGGTCGGGGTGGATGCCCCTGCTCAGGGAGTGTTCAAGAACATCTACACCCCCGGAAGCATCGTTAAGTTGTGGCATGAAGAGGCATTGCGTGCAGAGGAATCTATTCAAGATGGAGAGGAGCGGGGGGGAGGGTGGAGAAATGACATCTTTGATACTTCTGTGCAATAAGTCCTTGAGAAGGAATGTATGGTTTGTTAGGGCACAGAGTGCAATCCATGATTGCTGGGAGGATGCAGAGAAAACCCAGACGTGTGTCCTGATTGGCTTTGGGCCTGGCTGCCTGTGCTTTGAGGGGCATGCTTTATTGTGTGAATACGACAATTGAGATCTCTTCAAATGAAAAAAAGGACCTTGATGGTTGCTTGCTTTTCTAGGACTTTGTTTCGGGGGTCATGCGAATAGTAGGTATGTTCGGTATGATGTATGTAGGTACTTTGGGTAATAAGCAACGGTTATGTCACCCGTAGCATTTGATTGATGATGATTGCTTTTATATTACTACTTAAGTAATCCTTGTTGTCAAAAGGTGCAGGTGGGATGGACGGCGAACCGTCCAAAGTGGCGCCGAACTCGGCGGCGGAAATCGGGGATCGAACGTGAATCTGGGCTCCACCTTCTTCTCCCAATAATTTTTCGACTGCAGGTGCCTGCATGTCATGACTTCTCATTGCCTCACACCCGTCACTCATTTATCCCATCCCATCTCTCCTTTGACCCTATTCAACCACCAAATCGACCCCTTTCTCTCCCGCCCACGACCTTAGACCTAGAGACCTCTACTCTACAGCAGCACTCCGTATCTTGGACAAGACCCCCACTCGCCTCGGGCGTATGAATGTCCTACTCCACCTCGACCGAACCTGCGCGGTCTTTTGACGAACTCGGCACCTCCCACCACGTCTTCGGGCAGGATGATACGTCCAGTCTCCAGGGACATCGGCACGACAGAGCCCTCCTTCAAGAACAGAATACATCAGACATGTCTGCCTCGGACCAACTCAACATCACCACTGGGCAGCGTATGATTTCCGCCACTGTAGGCAGTGTCCTCACATCACTACTCGGTACGTCATGGCTTCGATCGTGGTAGCTAGCCTTCAAACTCACATCTTTCCAGTTACACCCCTTGATGTTGTCAGAGTCAGACTTCAGTCTCAATCACCTCCAACTCCACACAATCTCTCGCGGTTCGCTGCATACTCGACCAGCTTCAAGCGATTGCCACCCGACCTAGGTATTAATTCATGTTGCCGAGAGGTCTTTTGGGTGGGGGATAATGGAAGCTTTTGTATCGCCGGACATGACACACACGCCTCAACAGCTTCCACCGCTGATTGTGCCGTGGAGCAAACCCAGAAGAAGACATACACTTCGACTTTTGACGGTTTGAAGAAGATCGCGCGAAATGAAGGCGCCACGACATTATGGAGGGGACTCAGCCCAACCTTGGTGATGGCTATTCCTGCCAATGTCATTTACTTTACTGGGTACGACTGGCTGCGGTACAGTTCGGCCAGTCCTGTGAGGCGAGTGTCGAATGATACGTACGCACCGCTGGTGGCAGGCGCGATAGCTCGAGTCGCCGCCGCTATTGCTGTATCTCCGGTTGAAATGTTCCGGACGAGGATGCAGGCAACTCAAGGAGTGTCGACGGGCATTTACAAGGAAACGTTCCTTGGATTACGCCGGATGACACAGACCCAAGGGTATACATCTCTATGGCGTGGACTGACGCTCACCATGTGGAGAGACGTCCCCTTTTCTGGATTGTATTGGTGGGGCTACGAGGTGCTTCGCAACTCATTGACAGACATGAGAGTGGCAGCCAAAGGTCAACTACTCGACCCTCATCGGTCATTGACCAGTTCGAGAGATGTCAAGTCGGAGCAAACACACACGGCAACCTTTGTTGACAGCTTTTTGGCTGGTGGAGGCGCAGGGGCGGTCGCTGCCTTTGTGACCACCCCGTTTGATGTGGGCAAAACGCGACAACAAGTTTATCATCATGCCGGAGATGACGCTGCATCGGTGACAGCAGCACGCGCCTTGGCCAAGGAGGGTAAGCCGATCCCTGAGGAGTTGTCCATGCTACGCTTTCTGATGCACATTGCCCGGGAAGAAGGATTTGGGGGCTTGTTCAAGGGCTGGGCCGCACGCTGTTTGAAAGTGGCACCGGCATGTGCCATCATGATCAGCAGCTATGAGGTCGGAAAGAAATGGGCGAGAGCAGTAAATGAGAAGAAGGCAGACAAGGCTCTCTGAGGGAGCAGGGCGATTTGTCCAATGGATCTGTCTTGTATCAACACATTAATGAACATGAACAGCGAGGCGTTGAGTTTTTACGGGAAACCGACTCGTGGGCGGCAATCTTAGCGATTGTCGAAAGAAATCAATTGGCTTTATACATATGGAATGGGATGGGATCCTTCTTCTCCATGTAAATAGTCTAGACCTAAGCACTTGAAAGACGCCATGTTTTCCAGGAATCACTCTACATATATTGGCATTTAATGAAGCGGGGCACGATATACGCTACTAGGATACATCGAAGTACCACCATGGGGACCTAGAATGCCATTCGCCCACTCTGCTCAGCATGAATTATCTACTCCAGTAGAGGGAGGGAGGGATGACGATTGGAAATCTAAGGGCGGAAAGCCCGTTGGGGTCCCCCTCGTTCCTCGTCCCGCACCTCCATCCTCAGAGCGGCAAACATCTCCATCTCCATTCTTGTCATTCGGCTCGGCCTTTGTGGTTCATCCCCGCACGATGGCCGATGACAAGGGCTGTTCCAGGACGAAGGTGCCACTGGATGTGAGAATTGCGTTGCGTCAATGAGATTCAGACCCCGATATCTCATCATTGCCGAATTACCGAATGAGCTTTGAATAGCCACGTTATCACATTCTTTGGAACCATCTTTCTATTCATCACGCATCACGGAAACAAGTTGATTGTACGCTGATTACCTAACGTAGTAGTCTGGCTTGACGGCGAATCGCAGCCAACTCATTACTAGAAAGGAGCGACACATTGCTCAATTCAAAACAGACAGAAATCAGAAATCAGAAACATAATCGACAATGGCACCCGCTCTCGACGTCTACGACGCCTCGTCCAAGGAAAACCGCACGGTAGCGGCGTTGGGCAAAACCACTTCAGGCAAACAACTCAAGATTCGCTCGTATCCCAAGTTCGACAGTCTCGAGGAGGAGCGCCTGTACAGAAAACAGCATCTGGCCGCGGCGTTTCGCGTGTTTGCTGACAGGGGGTTCGACGAAGGTGTCGCAGGTCATATCAGTGTTCGAGACCCTATCTTGCGGGATCATTTTTGTGAGCCAACTCCTCGCTCTCTGACGGACTGTGATTGGACATCGTGGTCCTGTATAGGGTGGTCTATCACAGCGGAAGCCCTCCTCCAACCCCCATATTAGATCGAATCTTTGCTGATGTATGTCCTTTTCCTTGATTGTCTAGGGCTCAACCCTCTTTCCCAACACTTTAGCCAGATCAGTGTCAGTGATTTGATCCTGGTCAACGAGGACGGCGATGTGGTGATAGGTGACGAGCCCATCAACGCAGCGGCGTTTGCGATCCACAGCGAAATCCACAAGGCGCGACCAGACGTGGATGCGGCGTGCCATGCCCACAGTGTCTATGGCAAGGCTTTTTCGGTCTTTGGCCGGGAACTAGATATGATGACGCAGGACGCCTTGCGCTTCTACAAGTCGCACGCCGTATACGACAACTTTGGCGGCGTGGTGCTCGACCGAGAGGAAGGCAAACGCATTGCTAAGGCCTTGGGCAACGGCAAAGCCGTCATTCTGCAGAACCACGGTCTACTCACCTGTGCAAAGACGGTCGATGCCGCTGCATTTTGGTTCATCAGTCTCGACAAGACCTGCCATGCTCAACTCCTGGCCGATGCCGCCAGTGCTGGATCTGGTTACAAGAAAATCCTCATCAACGACGACGAGGCCGAGTATTCGTACGCACAGGTCGGCACCGACGAGAAGGGCTGGTTAGCGTTCCAAGGTTATTACGATGAGCAGCTCGCCAAAACCAATGGCAGTTTCTTGAAATAAGAATTGCTGGTCTAGTGGATAGACCAGGGGGCAAAGCCATATGCATGATGACTCGAATTACATGACTGTATTTGGTAGGGCCTTCAGGTGATGTCACCAGAGCTGGATAATGTCCTTCCGCGTCTGACTGACGATGGTGGCGTTTACACGGATGGCAGGCCGTGGATGGAAATAGTACTGAGTAGGTGGGATTGTTTTTGCTCACCACATCTAAGCACGAACGAAAGACATGTACCATTCGTATTCGGCCTGGTGACTAGGTGCTTAAAGTGGCGATGCATGAACGACAAAGTACATGTGTACGTATCCAACTTCAAGTCTTGGCCTATGCCTTGGGTGGTGGGTAAACGCTCTCGTCCTTGGACTCTGACATGGTTGACTACAGAATCTATACCTGTATGCATTACGACTCCTGTGACCATGCCGTAAGATGATTATAATTAATGAGCATTAAACACCCTCGTTCCATGAGGCTTTACATGACTGTGCAGCTTGCAGATTGACTCAGTGTGCAACATGTCGAGATAGGCACAACGTGTATTAGTCCTAATTGGTCGCAATGACTTAGTGAAAATACCTAGATTGGCAACCATTCAACCATTTTGATGCTATCTCTGCGTCCGTCAGTAGTTTCAACAACACTTGTTGGTCTCGACCGCATTGGGATGGTCGTACCTGCCGCTTTGCCGATGAAAGTTCAGGCAGCGACGGTTTTGGGAGCCCGAAGTGGACAAGAGATGGCAGGCACAGCAAATTACTTAGTGCATGGCAGAGGTAGGCACGGATGACCAACTACCGAGGGAAGGAAAGGCCTAAGACGAGAGAACTTGAACGAAGCTGCCCTGACTCGATTCTTATTATCATTGGACCAACCAGTAGCTTGGCTACAGTGACCTTGGGTCCGACCCACGTCATCCAATCCCAAAGATCCAAAGCATCTCCAAAGTGGAATCAAGCCTTTGACACTGCTTCCAAATACTGTCACTTGTTCCACTCAACATCATTCCAGCAACAGAACAGCATCCGCATCGCACCAGCGGGAGGGTCTGGAGGGTCCTTAAATGGCCACCCCTCTAACTTTGTTTCCACAGTATGAAATCTTGACACACATCATCGGTTATTTTGGTGGGGAAAAGTAGGGTCATAGTCAATCGACCGACTCTCTTTCGACCCCGCGCTTGTGTGTCCATGGTGTCTGGGAAATTCCCTCGACACCGAGATCGACCGCCGCTTTTAATCCCGAGAACAGACAGAAATGATCAAGTAAGTTCCCAAAACCCCGAAGAGGCCAAGGTGTTGGGTCGATCGGTACGAAAGGTAGGTACGTGCATACCTAGGTATATAAAAGGGTTGACTCTGACCCTGTCCCACTGTCTATCTGTCGTAAAAGTTCCATTCACCCAGCACCACCTCAAATCCCCTCCATTATTCCTGACAGTTAGCCTACCTTCACCCAAGTACCTTACCTCACCACCCAATACAACCTCCATATCCTCCTTCAAAATGCCTACCGGTAGCTGTTTCTGCGGAAACATCAAGATCGAATACTCGGGCGAGCCTGCCATGACTGTAAGTCCACACACACTTCAACATCCACCAGCATCAACCTCCTTCCTCCACGGTCTCCCCCCAGCTCGATGATACCTCACCACCCCCCAAGGCGCACCTTCCTCATACCTCTTAACTAACATTTCCTGTGTAATCCTAGGCCCTCTGCCACTGCAGTGACTGCCGTAAAATCAGCGGCGGCAACTACAGCAACAACATTGTAGTCCCATCTGCCAACTTCAGCATCACAAGCGGCAAGCCCAAAGAGATCAGCAAGACAGCCGACAGCGGCAAGTCCATTACCAGCGGATTCTGCCCCGACTGTGGCACCACTCTGTTCCGCTACGGCGACAGTTTCGGTGGTGTCGACGGCATGAGAATCATCAAGGCCGGTATCCTCGACGACGTCAACGTCATTAACAGCATCAAGCCCGGTGCAGAGCTGTTTTCTAATGAGCGGGTCTCTTGGGTGTCGGCCGTTGAGGGTGCGGGTCAGGTCAATAACATGGGCTAAGAGGAAACACCTAGAATACCATACCATATCCTGGCGACAGCGGCTATCATAAGATACATTGGAGTTTGCGTCCACTGGGATGCTCCATGCTGAGTGATGGGATGATAGGTCTTTGCCGGGGTCTTCACGTTGGACAAACTCTCGGGTATTCCCCGGGCCCTGCAGAACATTATATAAACATATACATACATAATCCAATTTGAATTCAATTGAATTCCGGACCTTCCAAGGTTGGCCAGAAGGAAAAAGGCGGCCTTAAAAAGTGCTCGACTTTATGGTCTAAAACTACGCTCCAGCTATATTAATATTTGTTGGACTCAACGATCCTTGACCGCGCAAGCCCTCGACAAGCGACAAGCGCACGCCCAATCTCAACTCAAAACATCCAAGCTATCACATGTGACGTCGAATAAAAGTAATGTCAAATAAATAATACTCGCTTGCCCTCACTCAACAGGTTATAATGCGTGGGTATCATGATGCGCCGGCAAAAATCGCACGGATCTTCCTTCACTTCCGGGTAATAATGCAAAATGGTGTTTGGTCGGGTGAAAAGCCGCTGAAGGAGATGAATCGACCTTGACTTGCTCTGGTCATGTGGCTGCTGTGCTTTCTTCACCTGGAGGCTCAAGGTTGTTGGACAAGCCCCCCTTTGAGTCCTGTCGTCTGGCGGGCTTTCGAGAAGGACTGGATAGTGGACTGGGAACCATCATCCTTTTGGAAGGGCTGGGAAGAGGTGGTGCTGGAGAATCCTTCCGTAAAGGGCTGGACAAGGGACTCGCCATGGCAAGGCTCCTGGCTCGGGCATGTAGTTTCCTCTCATCTTCGCCGCTCCAATCCCTAGTCAACTCGGCGCGCACGCCTCGACTCCATTCCCGGACAACTTGTTCAAACGTTGGCCAAATAGCTGCATCTGATGCATTGGCAACTGCCATGACGTCGAGCTTCAGTTTCAGCTCCCACCTCAATTCGGCCCCCTTGAGCCAGTATCTCAGATTGTCTGCTCGTCGATACGGTTTGGCGACATCTTGGTGGCAGGTGTTGATGTAGTCGAACTGGCGCTTCGACCGCTTGACAGCCTCGTTGTGCATGCGGATCAGGTCTCTGCCATCGGCGAGGTCTCGGAAGAAGGTCGGATATTCGTCATGAAGTGATCTCAAGGGATTCTCACACTGTCCATGCAGCAGGAAAAGGAGAAGATTGATATCCCTCTCATTTTCCCGACTGGTCCATTTCTTGTCGTTCATCCAATGCCAGTCTTTCCTCTCGCTTTTGTCGGCCTCCTCCAACTTGGCTTCGCGGTCAATCATCATTCCAACATCACTCACCCAAACAAGAACGGCTAATCGTTCTTCTTCACGCATGCCCCCTTGGAAGTTCCGCGCAGCACATTTCTTGAGAATGTCGAGGACTGAATGGAGATCCTTCCGTAGCTCTTGGTCCGAGCGTATAGAGTTCAACCGTTGTGGATTTGGATGTAAAGTGTAGTATAACCGGGCGGCTCTGATAGCCAACGTCGTCGTGTCCAAAATATGCAGACCTTGAATTTCATGGAAACCCTGGGTCTGTTCTTCCGAGTCATGATTGGTGATTTGGTCACAAGACTCAACTGCCTGGAGAGCATTTTCGAGTGCCTCTACCAGCTCTCTCTTCATCGTTTTCTGGTCTGGAGGTGGTGCCACATTGCTGGGGCGATGTCGGTATGTGGAAACATTGGGAGGCAACATCACATCAGAGCCATCCTCTTGGGCAGCTTCCCACATGGCCTGGACTTCCTCCTCGATGGGGGACTCGACGAGGTCACGATTGGCGGTCAAAGAGACCCTAGGGATTTCATATTCTCCATTGCTCTTCTTCTTTGCCATCTGGGCACCTTTGCCATCGAGGAGGCCTGTCCTTGCAAAATAGTACTGCAGGTGAGCTATACTGCCGAGGCTCATGACACTTTCTCGATTTCGTGCTGAGTCGGCAAAGGAGCCTCCCTGAGGACGAACATAACCTCGTCGACGTGGACCTGTGCTCTGTCGGTAGGCAGTGGAAATATTCTCATATGAGGAAACGCTGGAAAGTGAAGAAAGGCCGGAGATGGACCGAGCAGACGATAAGCTTGCGGAATCGGGAGAAGCACCAAGGGTTGGAGAGGAGGAGGGTGAAGGCGTCGAGAGGGTTGCGGGATTGGAACCGACTTCTGTGGACATTTTGGACTGGCAAGGGTAGGTGATGGATAGACAGTGAGGTGGTTTGCTGGTTCTGGAAATCAAGCTGTAGCCAATGCCAACTGCCTGGTGACACGACTTCGGCTCGAGGCAAATAAAGGTTTGGGAGTTGTCAAACGAAAGGGACGAAGATATTTCTGACCAGCAGGGTTTTCAAAGCGCCATGAGGACGAGAAAAGGTTGCCGTTAACGACAGGAGCCGTGAAGCACGGGGCAAGAATGAAGGTGAATGACAGATGGAGAGGTATTAGAGGTCCTGTCAACTGACACGCAGAGAGAGGTAGAACACCTGTGGGCCACGAAATTGGACGAGGAATTGCTGGTAGCCAAACAGCCAGTGGACGGCAATGCAAGCTGTGGATTGCTGCAATCGAATTGGAGAGATGTGAGTCGTCCGTGGCAGTGGAAAGGGGCTTTGTTGTCAGGCGCCATCTGTGAGAGTATGGCAGTCTAACCAAGTCCGTATCGTGCAAAGGCTTACCCAGAATTGCACCTGGAGAATCGAGATCTGGAGGGCCCGAGACCCTTGGACGATCATTACCCATACGCATATTCGTGTCGTTTGATTACCTAGGTTGGGAATAATGAGTAGCTCCCTCGGTTGACTCTTGATTAAAACTAGGTAAATTATCACGCTTGTCTCTTTCCTCGCCCTACTACATAGATTACAAGTTATCTCAATGTCGAGGTGCTATCCATACAACAAGAATGCATCTCGTGAGTATGTCTTGAAAAGTTCAGATACTATACATTCTTCATGTCGTTCCTGACAGGTCTTTATTTGTTGACATGCAACGCGGAGGATTATGATGGGGACGCGTCAGATAAACTCCCGGGGCCGCCTCGGGCTGTTTCTCGGCCAAGTGGTCCCTGGGTTCCCTAGATTTAGGCTCCAAATGCCTGGGCAGTCATGGGCAATCAAAGTCTGAGGTTAGCAAGTCACTAGCCACTCGCAAAGTCATCTCCTCAGCCACGCCCAAATGAGATCCACTAGTGGCGTCATGGCTTCCCTCTGCCAATCCAGACAGTCGTGACTGCATCATTTCAAACTGACGAAACACCTTCGTCATCGCTCTTGCCATCGCCGTCGCGAACACCGTCCCCAAACACCATTTCCCCATCCAACTCATCCCACGTTCATGGACTATCGAGATTGATCACAACATCACGCTACTTACTTCCCATCAAATTGCTTTATCCAGACATGGCAAAAAGAGTGTCCTTTACCGTCCACGGAACTGTCCAAGGAGTTTGCTTCCGGTATGTTATCCGAGGACGCCCCTTGCCTTGACTAACGACGAGCAGCGACTTCACCCGGAAAAAGGCAACTAGCTATGGTCTGACTGGCTTTGTCAGGAACACATCCGATGGCAAGGTCTGAACATTCCTTTTCCCAGATTCCAACGATCTGTGGTGGTAATCAATGAGCTCCAGGTCAAAGGCGAAGCCCAGGGAGAAGAAGACTCCTTGAAAAAACTCAAAGGCGACCTCAACGAAGGACCAAGAGCAGCCCATGTTGTCAAACTTGAATTCAAAGAGATTGACTCAAAGGATGGCGAGTCCTCCTTCATTGTCTCATGAGGTTGGGTATGAGTGGTGGCACAACCTCCCACAATCCTGAACTGTCCCATCATGACAACTCCTCATACTAGCCAGCTATTTCCAATGTTAAATCACCATATTCGAACGCCACCACATCTAGATTTGGCGACTTCAGCCTCGGATCTGCCGCTGTACTCCTGAAGATCTGTCAGCTTCGGACTCTCATTCTTGCATATGCACGACATTTTCCGAGGCATGTGCTCGTTTTCAGAAACCCATTGCTCGATCTGGTATTAATATAGCATGTATTTCTGGAACGTATTTGTCGAGAGCCTGTTGACCCCTCATGGATACATCCCAGAGACCATCGGATCCCTCGTCTCGGATGCCTCACATGGAACCATTTCCGATGCAACGTCAAGTATATTTCTCCAAAATCCCACAGTGATATGACGAAAACGGAAATCCTCGCATTATCATTCCCGCGGAACTCCAACATAACCTGGCGATCAAGTCCAAAATAGGTAAATAGGCTTTTGACAATGCTTGGTCTTTCCTTGGCATCCTCTCCACTATACACATTCTCCTCCATCGGCTATATGATTTCCCCAGCTTTAAACAGCATATCATGTCTTGGCCTGGGGAACAAGATTACTACCAAGACCGAGGCCGCTGGCTTCTCCAACTGCTTGAATCTTTATACGGTGACGCAAAGACTATATAAGCAACTGCGTTGAGCCCTCGGCACTTGGCCATGACTGTTGTACCATCGCCCTCAAATCACTCTTAACACCAGCCCCCCGATGCACAGGATGGCGAAGAATCAAGAATTTAAAGACGACTCGGACCAGTTATCCTTGGATAAGGCCCCTCAGGAGTCTTCTCAGCATGTCGAAGAGCTCATGAAAAGTGGCTTGGACGCCGATGAAGCATACTTCCTTCATAATATACCAGAAAAGGAACAGAGGAGGATCTTTCACAAGGTCGATGTTCGACTGGTCCCTATGTTGGCACTTCTGTTGGTTCTCTCTGCCTTTGGCGTAGTCCACTCTATTGACTATGGTATAACTCACAGGTATCTGATCGCTCATTTGGACCGAGCCAACATTGGCAATGCAAAGATTGAGGGTCTTGAGGCTAGTCTTAACATGACCGGCACCGACTACAATGTCGCTCGTGAGTACAAGGTAATCAAAGCATCAAGAGATATTCCTGACTTTGTTTCTCGATAATAGTGGCAATCTTCTTCGTGCCGTACATTCTTTGTGAGGTTCCTTCGAATCAGATCCTCGTCAGGTGTAAGCCATCCTACTATATCGGCACTCTGGTACTGGCTTGGGGCACAGTCATGACATTGACTGGAGTCGTACAATCTTTCGGCGGCCTGGTGGCAACACGGTTCTTTCTGGGTCTCTTCGAGTAAGTCAGGTTCCTTGTCCGACAGTCAGATGTCATGCCAACTCTCCACAAAGAGCAGGCTTTTTCCCAGGAGCGATATTCCTCATTGCACAATGGTACCCGCCGAACAAAACTCAGACTCGAATGGCCATGTTCTACTGTGCATCTGCATTGTCAGGGGCTTTCTCTGGCTTACTGGCATTTGCCATTGCCAAGATGAACGGGCTGGGTGGGTATGAAGGGTGGCGATGGATATTCATCGTCGAGGGGCTTGCATCGGTTGTCATTGGCGCTGCATGCTTCTTCTTACTCCCTGATAGTCCTTCCGAGTCTCGATGGCTACGACCTGATGAAGCAAGATTTCTCAACGCCATCCACATCCTTCACCGAGGCCGCAAAGCCAAGGCGGAATATATTGAAGGCACCAACAAAACCAAACGCATCAATTGGCATGTGCTCAAGCAAGTCCTGACCGACTGGCAGTTATATCTCCAGGCTTTGGTTTTCATGTCCAACGCCGTGCCTAATTACGGGTTGAAATTCACCATGCCACAAATCATCCGTAACATGGGCTTCACTGCGTCTAATGCACAACTTCTCACAGCCCCTCCTTATACTATGGGTGCAATATCAGCACTGATTTCCGCCTTACTTGCCGACCGCTATACATGGCGAATGCCATTCATTGTCGGCGCGCAGACACTGCTGATCGTGGCTTACACTATCCTCTTTATCAAAGCCGAGGATATTGCCGACAACGTCCCTCTATGCTACTTTGCCGTGTTTGTGGCCTGTTGCGGTGTCTATCCCATCCTACCCGGGTGTAATGCATGGACCATCAACAACTTGGCAGGTCCCGCGAAGCGAGCACAAGGAATCGCCTGGATGATTGCAATGGGCAACTGCGGTGGAATCGCAGGATCCTTCATCTTCATCGACAAAGAAAAGCCAAAGTATCCTACCGGGTTCGGCAGTTCTCTAGCCTTTGCTGCGGCTGGCATCGTATGTGCTTTGACCTTAGAGACTCTCTTCTGGACCATCAACAAAAGAAATGCCAGGTACACTGAGGTTGAGATCCGCGAGAAGTACACCGATCAAGAGTTGGAGAAAATGGGGGATCGTTCTCCTCTGTTCAAATACTCTCTTTAAAAAGAAACAGGGATTTGACGAGCCAAAACTTTTGGATTAGCATCAGCGAGGCCAAACATCAAGGACAGATATATCGTACAAAGCAGACGAGAAAAGTGATTGTTGCCTAAGGTATTCAAGCTGCACGTGCCAAGCACAAATGGCGAACCGTAGATCTAGAGTTTGAGATTAGCATCAATTTCGTCAAAACGGACGGTTAGGGCCGCTCCGACTAAAATAGGGCCCGATCCACCTTCTTCTACGGAGCCGTTGATGAAGGATGTCTACAGCGTAAACCCTTCACTAGGCATTTCCGTTTTTGTAGATCCTCTTACCGCCTTAATCGACTTAAAATCAGGCTCGCCTCAGGGTCAGCTCCGCATCGCTTAGTCTACTCCCGTGCGCCTTAGAGTGCCCCAGTAAGCACGGTGATTCTCGCCTCTCTATAACTAGGCTTAAACTACGTCTACTAGGCGTCTAATATTACCCTAATTAAGTTTACCCGATATATCAGCATTAAGAGATATATTTTGTGCCGACCTTAATCTAGATGCACAGACAAGCAAGCAATCATTATACTTTTTGGTTATAGGATAAGGAAGAATCTTGCATAGCGCTTTCTACACATCTTTTCGAGGATCATACTTCTTGAATGGAAATATACCACGCTGACTCGATTCCTGAAAATACAGCCTTATATTTTGTGTGATCCTTATTCGCCATTTTATCCAAAAGAGCCCTTGCATAGGGGGTTGCAAGATGGGATAGTGATTAGAGTAAGAGGGTCAGTGACATTACCGAACTAGCTACACCACGGCCTCAACTTCCACTTCGAACAACATGCCTTCCAAGCCAAGATTCGGTACTTCGACACAAGTCCAAACTGGTCTGTGGTCAGGACCGAGTCTCTTGAATACATCGGTTACGATATCGAAGCTTTGCGCCACATCTAGATGATATGAGCGTACACAAACAACATTCTTCCAGCTCACTGCGCTGTTTGCTGTGCGCAAAGCAACGGTTGATTGGGACATTATGACACTGTGGACTTATGAGATGTATATAGGATGTATCCAGCACAATGTTCCTCATGGTATTCAACCTCAGAAGGAGGCGATATTGATAACGATGAGAGGGATGAGAGGGATGAGAGGGATGAGAGGGATGAGAGGGATGAGAGGGATGAGAGGGATGAGAGGGATGAGAGGGATGAGAGGGATGAGAGGGATAAGAGGGATAAGAGGGATGAGAGGGATGAGAGGGGTGAGAGGGATGAGAGGGGTGAGAGGGATGAGAGGGATGGGAGTGATAAAGTGATGCGTGAGCTGGAAACGGTTTGCCGGCCACTGTTCCGACTAGCTTTCTAATATGGAAGGTGTCCCTAGGATCCATGGGTGATGTTGGTCGAGTAGTTATAGTTATGTGGGGTGAAATGCCGGAGAATCTGGGGTTATAAAAACCACCGAGCATACCACGCTGGAGGTGCGTTCCGGGCGGCCTTAGGAGGTGCTCGGCCCTTGCGCCTAAATACCTGAAATAGTCGGGAAGTTATTTAACTTAGAGGGGCTCCTCGGGCCCCTCGGACGTTCTAAAGCCCTGAGTGGGCGCCAGAGCTAGACTCGTCGCGCTGCCCAATAAGACTCTTACATGAGTAGCCACCCGTGCCACAAAGTCTGCGCCCGAAAAGGCCCCCAAGACCCCCTTAGCACCCTTGGCATCTGGAGCCCCGCGGCCTTAAGGCCTGGACTGACACCCCGTATTTACCCCACGGTTCATCTCATCCACATGTGGTAGTAAAATTGAATCGAATCCAATCCAGCCCCGCCTACTTGAGCCTCGAAGCTCTGGATGAAAAGTTCCTGACTAAACTCATCAACAAGGACCTCCAGTCTTCTACTCCACAGAGACTTCTAATACATGTCAAAATCTAATGTGGGGGACTCTGACTTGGCTCTCCAGCCGGGATGGTTCAACAACGTGGCTTGGTCTTGGACGACGCTGCTTCATCTACTACTGATGATTCATATCTTGAGCGTATGCTTCAAGACCGTCTACCATCCTGTATAAAGTGAGTTGGAGTGCGGCCACTTGAAACAGGATCTATATCATTCGTCGGTCTTGCTCATTGACACTGGGTAAATTACACCATCGCTATCGCCGTCGCCGTCACCACCGCCCCTGGTCAGCATCCCACCATGGACTTGGAGACCAAGCGCAATGACTTCGACACCATCGAGGTGTCCAAGAACGAGGATCGGCATGTCGAAGATGTCCCTCTCGACTTTATCGATCCCCATCGAGCCGCTCTCGAGATGAACCCAGAGCATTCCGAGAAACTGTCCTTGTCGACCATCCTGGCTGTCACCGTACGTATCAATTCACCTCGCTGGCGGCCTTGTGTTGGCTGTTATAAGCCGAAGCTGCTGACTCGGACCCTGCTTCCCAGTCGCTCGCACTCTCTTACATCAGCCCCATCTCCTGCGGCTTCGCACTTGTCACAGGTATCCTCATCCCCATTGGCGTGGATCTAGGAGACTCTAGCAAAATCACCTGGCTGGTCGGTGGATGGGCCATCGCCTCCTCCGTCTCTTTCTCCATGGCCGGCAGTCTTTCCGATGTTTTTGGGAGAAGGATGACAATTATCGCCGGCCAGCTGTTCTGTATCGCGGGCTCGGTAAGACTCCCCTGCCTGTCAAGTAAGGCTTTCCATATTGACAACTCGGGTCAGATCATCTCTGCGACAGCCAAGAATGTCAATACTATCATTATCGGGTCAACTTTCCTAGGATTTGGCTGTGGAATCATCTTTGTCAGCTATGCGGGCATCTCTGAATTGTTGCCAAACAAGTGGCGGTACAGCATAGACAAAGAACCATCATAACAAGCGACGATCTGACTTTCGATAGTGGAACTGGTCTGGCACTCACAGAGTACGCCATCAATGTCCCTTGGGGCGCCGCCAATGTCTTGATCGCCACTGGCTTGAACTTAAATACCTCATTAGGGTGGAGATGGTGCTACTATATGGGATTGATCTTTGCCGTGGTCAGCACCATTGGGACATTGCTCTTCTACTGGCCTCCCAAACGACCTCAGTATGACCACGAGAAGACTCGGTGGCAACAAGTCAGAGAACTCGACTTCATCGGCCTCTTGCTTTACACAGCTGGACTGGTCACTCTGCTCATTGGGTTGACTTGGGCCGGTCAACCTGCTCATCCATGGAAAAGTGCCTCTGTTATTGCTCCTATCATACTTGGCTTCTTCGGTCTTGTCGCCTGCTTTTCTTATGACTTTTTCCTCGTCAAGAATCCCTTATTTCCTCTTAATGTCTTCAAACAGATCCGTGATTTTACTGTCTTGCTGGGAATTGTCTTTGTTGCCGGTAAGATCAGTCGTTATAGGCTTCCTTCCAGGTGTCTTTGCAGCCAGACTGATCGTTCTATGACTCAGGAATGATCTTCTATTCGATGTCCGCACTTCTACCACAAGGCTCGCTTTACATTTTTACCAGTGATCCAATAGAGATTGGATACATTGCGCTTCCCAACGGACTTCTTCAGGTTCGTTTTACCACCTCCCATCAAGATTGCAGCCTAAGCTAATCCGGGAACAGCTGTTTTTTGGAGCTGTAGCCACAAGCTTCATGGGAAAGATAAAGCATCTGAAATTGCAGATCATCGGCGCGCTCGTTATCCAGACCGTTTTTACGTCCTGTCTTGTTGCTGTCATTCCACAGAGTCAAGCTGGATGGTCCGCACTACAGGCATTTGCCGTTGGTCCATTTCACCTCGTGGTGCTCGCCTGCTATGTTATCGCAGGACTTAACATCCCATTGAAGCATCTCGGACTCGCGTCGGGTCTCATTGGGACATTCCGAAGTCTTGGTGGAAGTGTGGGCAATGCTATCTTCAACGCCATTATCCAAGGCGTGGTGGGAAGCGATCTGGGACCAGGCATTGCTTCGGCGGCGATTGAAGCAGGATACAATTCGACCGAAGGCCTCGCATTACTGATCCCAGCAACCATGAGCACCATAGTCGGCATTCCTGGTGCCTTCTCAGATGTACCTGGGGTGAATCCGGCGATTGAAACCGCCGCCGTTGCCGCCGCCCGTCAAGTCTACGCAAAGGCTTTCCGCATGGTCTTCTTTGCTACCATTCCTTTCGGTGTCATTGCTTTGATCCTAGCGTGTTTCATCAATGATCCCTCAGTCTACTTGACGAATCACACCGCCGTTCATATGGAGAAGGAAGGTATCTTTGGCAAGAATGATGCTCCCGCCCGGCAATCTGCAGTAAAGACACAAACCCCGACCGTGGAGAAGTCATGAGCATTTAATGAAGATGCTTGGGAGATTAGTCATAAGAGGAAAGGTTGCTTAGCCATTGTATGCAGAATCTGTAATACTGTCATAGGCCTAGTATAGACTATTGTTCGTTATAATCACCTCATCGTCCCTTCTAGCCTCCTACTTCCTGAAATTACTAGTTCAGTGGATTCACCCTGCTTCGGTTCTTATTGGTCACCAGAATGAGGCATCGAATTGCAGAAATATAGCCGTACCCCGGGGAAGCAACATAGGCCGTGGTCTTGATGTCTTTCTGAGACCACTCGCAAGAGGTGTAATAGCTTGACTACTAACTCAATTCTACAACCTAGTCTGTGAGAGATAATGAAACGAACCCACCAACTCTCTGCCCACATTAAACTCAGGGCCACAGCCCCCACATAGAGGGGACTCGATACCACCCCACATATACCAAGACCTAGGATGTGGGCAGTCATAACAGTCAATGAGGGGCTGGACCTTGTTGGATCGTCAGCTCGTTGGACAAAAGCGATAGACTGTGGGAAAAGTAAGGGGGAAGGGGGCTTTATTGTAAGACGTTCATGGAGGCTTGTGCCCGAGGTTGGATTACACACACACGCCACAGTAAGTACCACCATTGCTAGCCCACCCACTGGCAATCCATCTTGACTCCTTTGCCTTACATATCCACTCGGGCAAACTGCTGTACCCGTGGACATAACTAGACTAGCTAAGGCATGTCATGTCACATAAGTATAGAGATCCCCATGGAAACCAAGGCAGGGTGACTCGTTTTTGGTGCTTTGTCTAGAAT